TGTTAAGAATACTTTATAAGATATCATTTATAGTTTCTCTCAAAAATCCTTAAAAAATTAGTAAGGTTTCAAATTAAAATTGTGAGAGTTGATAATTACAGAGATACATGGATAAACTAATATATTTCCGATGACAATCATATGATATTATTAATTTGATAATTGATGCATTAAAATCCTTCTCATGTCTATTTGAATTAATTTTCTCATTTGCTTCCTTAATAACAATTAAATTTGCAACTTTTGAAAAACTTATTTTAAACTTTCTAATAGCTATGATAACAAAATTACTTGAAATTTTAATTAAGTTAAATCATATTTTTACTTCTGTTTTACCTTTGTATGGCTTTGAATAAATTGCTATATATGACTAATTATGAATTATTAACTATTATATCTTATTTCCTTATCATCAAATCACATCCATACAAATAATTTTGTTTCTTTGAGTCTATATTTTATTTTATAAGGGTTTACAAATTGTTGCAAGCCATTCTAGATTAATATGAAGTAAGAATCCGTTCAATTAAGCAGTATCATTTTCTAGATGACCATTTATAAAAACTAATGTTTAAAAATGATTTTCTTATTTTTAAATAAATTCTATTTACATATTATTGCTTTTGAATCTTTTTATACCATCTTATCCAAATTATTTTATTTTTATAATATTCAGAATTGCTTTTTCTTTTATAAATGATATAATTGGTAAAAGCTAAAATATTTATTTGTAAATATTTTTCATTTAGAGAGAGAATAAATGCCTATATTGTAATCAGGCATCTTATCTTGAGAAGGAGTTGATGATAGAAATTTTTTCTTGCTTTGAATATTATTTAAGAAACTCTTCAAATATTTTTGAACTAAAATTTGCCTAAATTTGAATAGATATTATCATATTTAATTCATCAGGTTGAGAAAAACTGATTTTAACATATTGATATTAATATTTTTGCATTAAATATTCTGTTTTGAAAATAGGGTACTTAACATATGTGCAATCAGTTCCTTATTTGCAAATCCAATCATGACAAAATTCTGATTCAATATCACATTCCTCAGTATTAGTGATGAAATTATCACCACAAATTGATTCACACTAATATGAAACCCAGTTTAAATAGAAATCTTTGCGACAAATTCATTTCAAATAGTTTATAAACTGATTTATTATTATTATTAATTTAAATTAATAATTCTTAAGCACATTAATAGATTACTCTAAAAAACCCATCCAGAAAAAAAAATTTAGACATATACCTTTATGACATAAAGAACATCCTTCAACGCATGAGTATTTACAATTGAAACAACAAACAAATGGAAACAAATTTGCATCATCACAATCTTCTGAAAATTGAATTATTTAATTTCCACATAATTTTTATTCTAAATTAATAATATTATATACCTATGTATATCTGAATATCTCTTATTGCAAAAGTATTATCAGTCGAATCCTAATCTAAAGTTAGTTTTTGAAATTGTGAGCAAATTTTTTACATTTGTTTATTCTTTTATAAGCATCAAAATTATAATGAAGAGCGATAATCATAGGATTGATTAATTATATAATATATTCTCCAGTAAAAGCGAAATATGCCAATTTCTTTTCTCTTAACATTATGAAATGTCTTAATAACTTAATTTAATTGATTTTTGATGTTCAAAGTAACAGCATAAATAGTACTAAATGATCCTTGAGATTTTATGAAAGTTAACAGAACTACATAAATAAAGTAATTATTTATAATTTCAATTTTCCATAATATGTATTCTAAAAGAATCAAGCTATTTTTATTTTATTTTCTCAGAGCTGATTTTAATAAAATTATAACGCTTCAAACCTTTCCAAAGTCTTAAAAACAGGATTGTTTTTTGATTTTTAAAATCAAAAAAAAAAAAAGAAACTTAATATTTTTTTAAAAAGATAATGAATTGTGCATTTCATAACTAATGTCCAATATTTATGATATGCGTTTCTTCACATTAATGTTAAAGAAAGCTTTGTGTTGAATGCTTACATGAGTAAGGACAGGGTTTTCATAAATCACTTTTAATTGATAAGTTTGCAGTACAAGCTGCTTAGAAATTAAAGGAAAAAAAGCTTGATGAAACATCTGAGTTATCATAATACATAATGTCTTTTAAATCCATGCTCTCTCAAACCGAAAGTATTATGAAGAAAATTTAGAAAGATTTATCTTAATCAATCAAATAACTAAATGATTGGATAGAACAGGTAAACAACTCATACACTAATCTTATATATGAAACTAGTAATCTAGCAGAATCCTCCTAAATTGTTTTAGAAAAACTAGTCTCCATTGTAGAAGGAAATGCTGAGAAGAATTCTTTAGTCATGTAGTTAGAAAAGATCAACAAGTGGTTGGATCAAGAAATTAGGGCTTTTATTGAAAAGATAAATGAAGAAATTGTAAAAACTTAACCCTTAATTAAGTAAGTATTTAGATCTTATTCTATGGTTCAAACTAATTCATAAGAAGACAAAGATTGTGTAAGGAAATAATAGTTTAGTATTTAAACTAATTAAGAAGAAGACGATTTTAAATGTGAAATCTTAAAAACCTATGAAATAAAGAAGTTGGATGGTCATTGTGGTGGAGTCAACTCAATATGTTTCTCCCCTGATGGTATTTCATTAGCATCTGGTAGTCATGATTATTCTATTCGTTTGTGGAATTCTAAATCAGGATAATAAATAGCCCAATTTAATGGTCATAGTGGTTGGGTCAACTGTGTATGCTTTTCTCATGATGGTAATACATTAGCATCTGGTAGTGGAGATGCTTCTATTTTTTTTCCTGATAACTCTATTCGTTTATGGGATGTTAGGACAGGAAAATAAAAAGCAAAATTGAAAGGACATAGTGATTATGTATATTCAGTATGCTTCGCTCCTGATGGCACTATATTAGTATCTGGTGGTGGTCGTAGAAATTCTAATTTAAATGGAGATCACTCTATACATTTATGGGATGTTAAGACAGGATAATAAAAAGCCAAATTGGATGGTCATAGTAATTCAGTGTAGTCGTTATGCTTCTCTCCTGATGGTAATACATTAGCATCTGGTAGTACAGATAACTCTATTCGTTTATGGGATGTTAAAACAAAATAAGAAAAAGCAAAATTTAATGGTCATGTTCGTTTTGTCTGGTCAGTATGTTTCTCTCCGGATGGTGGTACATTAGCATCTGGTAGTGCAGATAATTCTATCCGTTTATGGGATGTTAGGACAGGATAAGAAAAGGCCAAATTGGATGGTCATACTTGGGATGTTCAATCAGTAAGCTTCTCTCCTGATGGTACTACATTAGCCTCTGGTAGTTGGGATAGTTCTATCCGTTTATGGAACGTTAAGACAGGAGAATAAAAAGCCTAATTGGATGGTCATAATGGCAATGTTTTCTCTGTATGCTTCTCTCCTGATGGTACTACGCTAGCATCTGGTAGTAATGATTTGACTATCCGTTTATGGAGTGTTAAGTTGGAAAACTGTATTGATTATTGATATAAAAATTACAATTACTAATTTAAGAATATCATAAAATAAATTTACAAGTTATATTATTTAACATAACCCTTTTAAGCATATAAAACTAATTAATATGATTATCTAATATTTTATCTCTAGATCTGTATAAGATCATCATATACTTCATGAGAATTCAAAATAATCTAATAAGTATATATTAAAAGATTGTATCACAAAACAAAAAATTTGGATATGATCATCAGCAGTTGGGGATCAATTTACATTTTTTGTAATTTCAAAGTTGTTACTGTAAATTGCAAGCTCTAATTAATTTATAAATTTTATTGCTATTTTATCAGGCATTGATTTGTTTGATTATGATATTTATCAACTTAATCTTCCAAAGTTTCATATATCATTAAGAATCATATATATTCCAAACAGGATATATTAAGTACAATTGTTTTGAATGATTTTATAATCTATTATTGATATTTTTAAGGAATTTAAATTAGAGAAATAAACTGGCATCTAGATTTTTGTTATTTGATGGTCAAAATGAGAATGCGAAAATATTTATTGCAAAATAATTATTAGAATATTATTACATTTGGATTTTGAAAAGATCATGGCGCACTAATGATGACAGCAATAAGTAATGTAAAACGTGGAAGCTATCATTCATATTTGACACAAGGATCAAGAAAAGATTTTGTTTTCGTTTTAGAATTATCTAAATTTATAATGAAAATTAAAGAAAATTAAAGACATTATATGATTATGGAAGCAAAATTATTAATTAATGATCCATAATCTGAATTGGTAGAAAGAGTTCAAATAAGAAAAATCCTTGTTCTGTGATTTTTAACGTAAAAATAATTTATTGAATTTAAAAAAAAAAATTTCTTAATTAATTCTATTAAACTTTGAGCTATTATAAAATAGTTTCCTAGAATATTTTGAAAGTTTAAGATTCTTAGATATATTTATAACCTTATTAAAATTACAGCTATTATATAGAGTCAAGAATGAACAGGAATATAAGACATTATAAAAATTCCATATTGACTAAATAAAAAAAATAGATGAAAATAGAAAACATTTTTTTCTAAAATATTTGGTGCCTTAATTGACCATTAATATGTTAATACATTTAAAATGAAATAAAAAGTTTTATTAAAAATAAAAATAACTTATTAAACAAATTTTTTTCTTTAAGAGCAATCTTCAATTTATATAAATTATTTTAAAGTATTTGATCATAAGTAATTTAAAGAGAATATTTTTAATCTCCAATAAAATTTGTTGAATTTAATGATCACTCAAGAATAGTTCTTAAGAAAATAAAAGTCTATTTTGTTTTTTTAAAGTATTTACTAATTTAATGATTAGTTTTAGTTTATATATAAATTAAGAAATTTATAGATTCTAGAATTCAAACAATCAAGGTAATATTATTTCCAATATAAAACAAAAGAAAACATAAATTTTTGAAATTAAATAAAAAACCTGAAATTTACAAAATTTTATGTATAAATGTAAAAAATTTGTTTCAAACATAAGTATTTTAAGACATAATTATTTTAAAAAAGAAAATAACAGATAAATAAAAAAAGAACTTAGAATCAAATCAGAGATAAAAATTATTTAACTATCAAACCACAATCCAATTATATTACAAAAAATGATGCTCATTAATCAGCAATGGATTTTGATATAACACCCCATTTACCCAAATTTCAAAATTAGCGTTTATAATAATAAATAGTAACTATCTATTTATCATTCACAAATTTAATATAACTAAATTTGTTTAAATGATAAATTATAAATATAATCGTAAAACAAAAATTAAATTATCAAACTAAATGGAAAGCTTTATGATTTATAATTTGATCCAAAGTAAAATCCTTCATTTCTAATATATCAAAATGGGAAAAAATTTGAATTGAATTTGTTGTGGTGTTGAATATTGTGGAAAATCTAATTTTAAGAGAGATAGAGAAGTATTTGAAAATGGCCTTAAACAAAAGACCCAAAAGATTAAATTTCGCCACAAGTATCGAAACAGCCACATAAACATAATATGACCATTTAGATCATACAAATTTGCATCGACATCATATATCATATGATGATAAGTTATCTACAGTTAGGAAACAAACTCAATCATTATTATTTATCAATTATTTTTATATATAGAAGTTTTTAATAATGTTAATATTTAATATTTATAAAAGATATATTTAAATCAAAATTTAAAAAAATTGAATAATACATTTTCAAATTCGATCTATTTTTTCTCACTATTAAATTATTGTAACCCTTAATTTGAGTAATAAAATTAAGATCAAATTCTTCATAATTTAATTTGATAAAGTTAATTAGATTTTGAAACAATTAAATTATTTATCTAGAAATCAATATTTGAACTCTCCTTTGGTTTTATTAAAATATCTCAAATGGTTATAATTTTTTCTAATTTATTTTTTAGTAAACTGAACCTATTTATTCTTTTATTTTACTACATTGATTTAAAAAAATATTAAAATAAATTTTAATTAAATTATTGAATATCCTATAAAAGCAAATACAAATTGATATAATCCTAGTATGAAAAACCTTTTTCAAAGTTGCACATCCAAAAATTATTTGTTTTGATTGGTTATTTCCATATTTCATAGGTATAATAAACTATATTGTGATTATTATTTAATCTTAACCTATTAATATTTACGTACATATTTTATAATAAGAAATACTTTAGATACATGAATTTTTGAATTTTAATTTATCTTATCCATTTTTTATTTGTTAAGGTATCCAAAAACTTTTTTTGTATTATTTATGATATCTATTTTAATATTAGATTATTTCTGAGTATCTTATCTAGTAAAAAATATTGACTTCTTAATTTTATGTATATGTTCATTCAATTGTATCCATAGTTATTTCATCTATAACTTAAAAGTCTTGAGTTGAAGCTTTATGAATAGGAAGAAGATCTGGTTGTTCTAATTTAATAGATTAAGTAGAGATTTCTTATTTTTAGAAAACACGCTCATGAATATTTTGAATATATATATGCTTTTATTTTTAATACTACCATTTTTGGATAAGCAATAGTAGAGATCAATGATAGAAATGCCCATTTTAATGTTCATGGTCAGAAGTACTCTAATATAATCTAATTCTCACATGCCCAATGCCTGGGGTGGATAATTAAATGGAACAGGATGTGAATTGAGATAAAAATCAATACAGGAGAACGTAAATTATTGTAAAATATTGGAATTCTGGAAAACAATATAGAAGAATTCACTCTAGATGATAATCTTATCGCTATTTTTTCTACAAATTATAGATTAGTAATAATCCATAAAAACAATCTAAAAGAAAAAATTCTAAAGATTTATCTAATATGAAATGAATTATATTCATTAAATAATCTTGAATGATAACATTTTATTAGTAATAACAGAAACAATAGTTTATATTGTTTATCTATTACCATTAAATGTGCCAGTAAGCGTAGTTGAATTTGCAGGCTGGATATCAAGACAAGAATTCTATTTGTTTAAATCTTCTATACAGAATCGAGAATACAAAACCTAATTTATACTAATAAAATAAAAAATGGAGATTTTAATAATGAATATGCAATTATTTAAGATAGTAAACATATGCGGTATTTAATTTTGGTATTTCTTTATCAAATAATATCATAAAATATAATGTAAGAGATATTTAATTAAGAAATAATGAATTAATAAGTGCATTCATTAAGTTTATTTTGATATATAAATAATTGGAATTTATTTGATTATTCTCCCTAATGTATCAGACTACTCAACTCTTTCATAATCAATTATAATTGATGTCATTAACAATAGAATGTTAAATTTATTAAGATAATCTTGTACCATATTCTTTAGTCTACAATGTCTCTTATAATGGTACAACAATAGGAGGACATCTACTAAATTTTTAAGTGAGTTTGGTTTCAACTTATTTATAAGAACATTAACCCTATTAAATAATTATTTTGATAAATATAAATATATTGCTTTTTATATTTCCATTAATAAGTAAATATTCATAACAATTATAATTCTAGTAATTATGATTTTCAAATGGTATCATAATTTAAGAAAAGAAAAAAGAAAAATTGCAAAGAGAATTTAAGGATATTGTCCATCAATACCAACTAGTGGAAAAACAAATACACAACAAACTTTAGACCATTTTCACCTAAAAATTAACATTTAATTATCAATAATATCTAATATTAATGATGCTGAATGATATATTATTAAAAACCTTTTTAATTCAAATATTTAATATCTTTAAAATTATTGTTGCCTTCAAAATTTGAAATTTATGATTTATATTTATTTCTCTACCTAATCTTTTATAATTTTTTACTTTTTATTTCCAAAAATAATTATGAAAATTTAAAATTTTATCAAATAATGGTCTTTTTTTTTAATTTTTCTTTAAGAAATACAACTAAACAAAAATTATAATGAAAAAAAAATATGTGAGATAAGATAATCTAATCACAGCACCCTAGTATTATCAAATAATAATAAATATCATAAGAGAAGCTGTAAATATTAATAATAAATAAAAATAAAAAGAGAAGCAGTATAAGTAAATTTGAGAAATCTTAGTAAATTAGGATCGACTATTCAGGCTGACCTTGCTTAAAAGTAATAGATAATTTTTACTAAATTTTCAACAAAAGATATTTTTTCTCTCAAAAAAATACAGAAAATAATTAGATTTAGATAAATAATAGCTTTGCCTTTGAATGCTGTAACTGAGATTTTTGTAGTTATATTAAAATGGTAATTGATATTTATTACATTTATATAAAATAAAACTTAAATTAATCTTCAAAAAATAAGTCTTTATTTCTAATCTCCGTGAAAATTTCTAAACTTAATATTTAATATTTTTTTTAAATTATTCATTCACATGATCAATTATTTTCTTACAATCATTCATTTCTATTAAATATTCTGATAAATTTCTTAATTAATTATAATTTTAATTGTTTGTCCTAGGGCAGTTAAAACAACAAAATCTAGGATTTTGCAAAATTGACTTAAACAAACATAAGAAAAAAGTGAATTTTAATAAGATTATACTAATTTTAACATTAAATAAAGATAATTTAATTTCTATAGACAAAGAAATTACAGATAAAATTTTTTATCCCCTTCGAATTAAATATTCAATAAGAACTTGTTCCTATTCAATTATATAATTAAAAATAGCTGCTCTAATGTATTTTGAAACTTTCAAATATCATAACATAATCTAGGTTTAAAAGTATTTGCTATCGAATAAAAAAATATCCCATGTAAGGTCAAATAAAGAGCGAGATTAAATTCCTTAAAGAATTAAATGAAATAGAAGCAATCCCTAAATTAATACATCAACTCCAGAAAAAAAGTATGAACCATTTAATCAATTTAAAAGTTATCTTATTCTGCCACTCCTACATAGTAGCTTACAGGTTTTGGTTAAATCTTAAAAAATATCCTTATTTTTTATTTTGGCTATTGGATTAAGTCTTATTGAGACTTTAGAAAAAGTGCATTGAAAAAATATCTTATCAATCAGTAAAATATTTTGATATCACAAAAAATTCAATTAAATTTAGAGGAAAAATTTCTTGAGCCTGGAGTTATTTAACTAATTGATTTAGGCTTATCATAATCAATAGGAAATTCAAAATTCTAAGAAAAAATATTATTTGGTTCGTTAAATTTTGTAAGCAGAGCATTTCATAAAGATGAATAATTAGGGTATAAAGAGGATTTAGAAAGTCTATTCTATGTGTTAGTATATTTGAAAAATTGTATTTATAATCATTTACAATAGTTAAATTGCCATGCTCTTAAGAATCTTCAAAGAATTTAAGAGTGTGGATAATAAATTGATTGGAGACATGAAAATTCCCTCCTTAAAACAATTACATTATCCTAAGAATTCCCTCCTAAATTTTTTAAATTTATGTCTTACATTGATGAACTTAAACCTAATTAAATGCCAGATTATTCTTTCATAAAATTTTTGATTATAAAAATGTTACAAAAAATTTATTTAAATCCAAATTCAAATCAATATTGAACTATTGCCCATTTAAGCTCTTAATCATTAGAAAACTCGGAGACCTTAAATTTTCCAGTTAAAAAACATCTTTTAAATAACGATTTTATTCAAACACAAATCCAAAAAACTATCCTAGATACCAAGCATATAGTTGTTCATATATCTGATAGGATTGGTAAATATAAAACTGTTTAAATCAAATCAATTTCAGATATAAAATTTAATGATAATTATAATTTTATTAATGAATGATTATTAAATTTCCTTTATAAATATTTATTTACTAATATTTTTATCAATTACTCTATAAATAATAATTTAAAATTTACTTAAAAATTGTCAGTTAGAATATAATTATATTTAAGATAGACTGTTTAAATTAACAAATCCATAAGAATAAAAGAATTAATGAAAGAAAAATTTCGAATTAATAATAATATTATTCATTTTGAAATCTTTTCAAGTTTTGTTCATTATTAGTTAGAAATTTTTAATATTATCAAAATATTCCACTTTTTTGAAAATACTTATTCTAATGTCAATGTTATATGCTGATTTGAAGTTATAGAAAGTAAACATCTTAAATGTAATTTATCCTATTAATTTAATTAACAACACACTCATCCCAACCCAAAACTTCTTCATATGATATTTTTTTTTTTCTCTCTTAGTGTATCCAAAAATAGAGAAATGTTAAATAATAATTATGTCATTTTTGTTAAGGAATAAATTTAGAAATTATCAAAATCTCCAAAAGCAAAAGAATTATCATCAATAAAAATGATTTTATTATTCAATCACTGCTCCACAATTGATAAATCCTTAAGATTCATTCCAATAGTAACTTTAAAATGACATATATGCGGCTCATAATCTAATTTATGAAGATGTTCATTAACAATCAAAAAACTTCTTTAGGAAGACTGTTGATTTGATTTGATTCAATAGATTAATTGAGTATTTGTATTGATTAAAAATCAGATGTACTATATATTTTACTGAGGTTTATTATACTGGATATATAAAATTAAGAATTTTATGTTTGATGATTTAATAAAAGTTAATTATTTATAGATTTTATTGAAAATAAGGTAGTAACTCGAAAGGATAAGAATAGCTTTATTTAAAAAAGGATCGGATACTTTTTAGGTAACTAAATTTTATAGGTTTTGAGAAATTTATCATATTGCAAAAAGTGTTAATGATCATTAACACTAACTCTTCTATTTATATAGTGATTCAAAAATTAAAAAAAACTTGAGAAAATCTTTAAATTAATGATTTAAATTAAAAGTATGAGAAGTATTATTTTTTAAAGTTTTCTTTTTAAAAGTTTCTTAAATTAAATTTTACCCGAAAATATTAGATTTATGGTTCCTTTTTATTTTAGAAAATATGTTCTTATTAGTTTTATTCAGATATGATATATTTATTTTAATTTACAAATAATAAATATAAATATATGGGGGAAATCAGTAAGATGGACTTATAAAAAGTAGCAGATAAATTATCTAATGATTTAGTTGTAACCTAGATAATATAATAAAATAAAAAAATTTATGTATATATTTTCGAAACGAAAAAGGAAAAATAATTACTAAAATCATTAGGAAAATACAAGGAATAAGAGGATCTTAAAACAGACAAAGATTTAAAAAGATTTTATTTGATCTCAAATAAAATCAAGATTTAATAGAATACCATTTATATATATATAATTAAATTTCATAAATCATATCTATTATTAGAAATCATTTTTATTAATTTAAAATCCTTATAAATGCTTGAATTGATATTCTCTCTCCTCTTTAATTTTCTATTTAGTTTTCTTTTACAAATAATTATCATATACTTTCAAGAGTTATTAAAATAAATCAATAAATAAATTAGAAGCCATGATAGTGGAAAACATGCCAATATGAATCCAACCAATCTGGATAAAATTATCTTAACTTAATTTAAAACTATAAACTAAAAATGTTCCTGAAATGATCATTAATAAAAATTCCCTACAAATGAGCTTGTAAAGTTCAAATGGAGATTTTAATGGCTTAAATTTGATCATGTAAATGAAGAACAATAATGATTGAATTGATAGCAAGATTGATTAGGCTTCTGGATAGTTTCTTAATTTTACAATTGTGAATATATAAGAAAAGATTCTGTAAATTTAAAAAGACCTAAATTAACCTGCCCAAAATTCATTTTTAGCCTCGTTGTAAAAATATTTCCATTTCAATTTATTTTTTATTTTAACTGTTGTAATTTAAAGCAACTATAAATTAGTTGTAGCAATAAAAATTAATCCTAAAATAGCATTAATACTGTTAAAAATTGAAAACAATGAATCAAATTTGTAATTTGGAAATTATAAAATTGCACTAAACATAAATTAATGAAGAATTGCAAAATACATTTTAAATATTCCATTTGAAAAATATTCTTTTTTTTCTTTTAAAGACATTTTCTGTACCTTACGTTAAAAAATATTTATGAATTTCATGATTTTATTACTTTTTTAATATTTGAAGAAAAGTTTTTCTAAAATATTTTCTATGCTTAGAGAGGATAATTAGCAATAAATAAGATAAGTTAGTGCAGATGAAAATACTGAAAAATAACAACTCTTAGCATTAAACAAATAAGGTTATTTGAAAATTATGTTATGGTCTTCGAGCGTCTTTTTAGTTACTTAATTTTATTTACTTCCTCCATTTAATTTTTCCAATACTTAATCAACTTTTAAATAATCAAAAATAGGTTGCATTGAGATTTTAGTATAAGTATTTAAAAAATAATTCAGATTTGGTGGAAATTTACATTGCATATATCTCACATATGATAATGATTATAATAGCTCTAATAAATTAAAAAAAATGACTGCATTTCCAGAGAGCAAAGCCAAACTTGATACCCCAGCCATTGAATACATCATAACATCATTTAATTAAGCGATGGATGTTACTTGTTATTAAGTTTTTTCTGAGAGTACAAATGGTGTGCCAAGATTAATAGTTTTGTTATGATTCTATAAGCTTAATTCATATTAATTAAATATAATATTTTTTTGAATGTCAACTTGTAAAATTGGATATTATGTAGGTTCTATAAATTCAATTTAAATTTAATATTTAGGATTGCCTAAGGTATTTGTTAAATTTAAAATGCTGCTTGTGATTAAATTATATCGAGTTGATGGAATAATAGTAAACACAATGATTTCTTCTAAACTTACTGCTTATTTTAATTTAACTTATTAAGTAAAAGTTAACTCAACAATTTGAGTTTATTCAGTGTTGTCTGATAGAATATTTAAATTAAATTCAGGAGCTAGAATATATGTACATAAACTTAATGAGCCTTGCTAGTTCATACATTGATACGAATCTTCAATTAAACATAAATTAGAACACCCATCTCCTCCATAATTATTTCCATCATCGCATTCTTCATATTAGTTAATTAATATTCCATTACCACACTAATTAATACATACATGATCAATTAACATTTGATTTTCTCCACATCTCAGATTTGTTAATTGCATCACCTACATATCAATTACTTAATCATTATTATTATCATCTTAATTATTTTTCTTTAAACATTTAGATGATTTAATATCCAATTGATACTAATAATCACATTTCTTACATTATTATTATTAACATTCAATACAGCCTTCATAACATGAAAATTCACACTAATAACAACCATCATATTGAATATCATTTCCATCATCACACTACTCATATGCATCAATAACAATGCCATCCCCACATTAAGTTGTGCAAATATTATATTAGTTAAGAATCCACCCTGGTTTGATGCAAGCTTTACAAATTCCATTTTCACATAAAGTACATTATTCTTCACATGAAAATTTGCATTCGTAACATCCATCATAAGGAATCATATTACCATCATCACATTCTTCTGTACCTAAAATTAATTAATCTCCACATATTGGAGTGCATCTATTAATAGTAAGTTCCCATCCTTTAACATCACAAGCACGGCATTATCCTTTTTCATATAGACTGCATTCCTTTTAAATTTAAAAATAGCAATTATCGCATCCATCATCATCTATATTGTTTCCATCATCACATTATTCGTTCCCTAAAACTAATTAATCACCACAAATAGGTTAACAGTTTCTATTCATAACATTCAATTACCATCCTAATGAAATACATTAAAAACATGCTCCATTAACACATGTTGTGCAATATGCTTAACATAATAATTTACAATTCACACATTATTAATCAGAAAATGAATCACCATTATCACATTATTCATCATGGGATAAAATTCCATCTCCACAGATACTATAACAGGTATTTTTTTATTTATCTAAGTAATAACCAATTTAACATTAAGTACAAACACCACTTTTACAAGTATCACAATACTAACTACATTCATAATAAGGATCATCGCAATAAGCATAATTTGATAAATATCCATCTACGCATAATGATATGCATTAATTATTAAGTAAATCTAATTAATTTGCTTCTGTATAACATTTTATACATTAGCCTTGATAACAATACTCACATTCTCTAGGACAATCAAATTATCCATGAAAGCACCCATCTTGTGCTATTAAATTCTTATCATCACATTGCTCATTTCCTGTAATATACCCATCATTCAAAATTTCAAGGCATTTACCAGCAATATTTTAATTTCCATCCGTACACTTGATACATATCCCAAATTAACATATTATACATGATTTTTAACATTAGTATTAGGAAAGATAACAACCATCATACATTATTGAATTATGATCATCACACTATTCATCACCAACTACAAAAGAATCTCCTATAAATGAATGACATTTCTTGTCTAATGTTACAATCCATCCTTTTTTGCATGATAAACAATCCCCTTTGTAACAAATTAAGCAAGAATCCTAACAACTATATTTACATTAGAAACAATTTTAATCTATTAAATCATCACATTCTTCATAATATTTTACAGTAATTCCATCACCACAAATAGTTTCACATTTGTTTGATAAATCATCCAATTTCCATCCTTCAGTATTACATTATAAACATCCATTCGAAGTGCATAAAGTGCATGATTGTTAACAATTGAATTAACACTAATAGCATCCATCCTCTAATTGATTATTTCCATCTTCACAAACATTATTTTAATTGAAAAATACACTATCTCCACAAGCCATAACACATTATTATAATGAGAAATCCCATTTATAACCTTAAATACAAAATATGCAGGTTCCCTTATAACATTATAAACAATTGATATCACAAGTAATTTAACATTATTTACAAAGACTTTCAGGATAATCATCATCACATTCTTCAACTTCAAAAACTAATAGATTATCTCCACATATACTCTTGCAGGATCCATCTTATTATAAATACCAACCGTTAAATTCATTGCATTAATAACAAATACCAAATTAGCAATCTATGCAATGATTTGAACATTAAAATTGGCAATTGAAACAACCATCAAATTGAGTTTTATTTCCATCTTCGCATAATTCAGGAAATACTAATAGGCCATCATTGCATTATGGAATGCATTTATTCTTTATTAATTTATAACCAATTTAACAAAAAATACACAAAGAATTGTGACAGGTATGACAAAATTGATCACAAGAAAATTAACATTAATGACAACCATCAAAGGGATTTGCATTTCCATCATCACACATTTCTGCTAAATTAGCTACAATTCCATCTCCACAAATTGAATTACATGTTCCATCTATTTAAATGTACCATCCTAGTTTCTCATTACATTAAACACAACTTCCAAAACAGCAATCCAAACAATTAGTAGAGCATTCATATTAACAATTAATACAGTTTTTTTTCTCCTCATTACATTATTAGAGTAATGTAATCGTATTTTCTAAGCATACAGATCTACAATCATTATTATGAACTTCATATCCACTTTTACATTAATAACATTTTCCATTTAAACAGATATCACATGCGAAATTACAACTAAATTTACAATTATGGCATCCATCAAATGGATTATTATTACCATCATCACAATCTTCTCCTTCTACTATTAATAAATCTCCACATATAGGAAGACACGGTAAATTTATTAGATCATCATAGTATCCAGGTAAACATAAACATTAATGTCTTTGAATACCTCTATAATAATCTTTTACACAAGTGAGGCAATGAGATTGTGAATTACCATAACAATTTTCACAATATTTATTGCATTCAATACAAGTATTTTCTGATAAGAATGTAAATGGATTGCATAAACAAATTCCATTCGTCAAATAAAATTAATTACTAACACATTAGGTACATTCTTCTAAACTTGTACATGTATTACATCCAGGTTAATTACAATCTTTACAGCTATAAATTTCAGTTGATGTATTAAAATCTAAATATTAATTACTTTCACAATATGAGCCTGTATAGCCTGTATCTGAACATTCAGTTAACCTTGAACAGCTAGAGCAAAAAGGAGGACACTTGATTATAATAATAAATAATATACATAATGAATAACAATAAAGTATTCAGATATTGCACAAAATCCTTATGTTATATTTGCATTTTCAACATCACATTTAAATTCAACGTAAAGATTATTAGAATAAAAGTTTGCTAAACTAACATTAAAATGCCTAGTGCTTTCAAGACCAGTTCGACCAATCAAATTATATCCTCCTCCAGGATTACTAAAAGGTCCTTACCAATCACTGCTTGAAGAATCAGCAATTTTATAAAAAAATTATCCAGTATAATCATCTCCATAAGTCAAATTAAAATATATAGAGGCTGCATAATGAGGATTTAGTATAGTCCATGTTTTGATATATGAACCATCATTCCATACTAATAGACCCCCTAAAACTATTTTATTATTGAAAAAAGAAAATTTTTAGCTTGTTGATAAACTAAATGATGGATCTGTTGTAATTTCATAAAATGATCCAATTTCTTCAAGCGTCATATTCAAATCATAAAATCCTTTGGCAAGATATCTAGAATCTAAAATAATTTAATTAATAATTTACATGGAACGATATCCTCATAATCAATACAATTTGATGAATGAACAGGACAGGTTTAAACACATCTCTTTTTATATAATTAATATGGCGTATAACACTATGAACAAGTTGAGAAATCCAAACATATTGAACAATTTTCTTAACAAAAACCTATGTCTACAGTAATATTTCTAAATCCCCAAGATTCTGACTCAGATTGAATTTAACCTTAAATTAAAATAGTTGGATTTGGATTATATAATTAAAAAGTCATCTCTATCCTTAACAAAGTATAAAAATTACCCTAACAAACTTGATTGTTCTAAAATATTTTCACAGAATTTTCAACCTAGAAACCAGATTATTATTTTATTATTCTGGATTGAATTTGATTATTGTGCAAAATTTCTATGATGCTTGCCTATTGAAAATTAAACAAATAAAATGTTATCCTAATTCTAATAAATTTCACAGCATTTTCAAGATTCATTTAGTATATCATTCCTTCATTAAATTGCAACATTCCAACAAAATCATGTCCATCACAATCGTCATAAATTAAATCTGTATTACCTTTTGAATAAAATTCATCTTTTTAAAAAATCAAAGGAAAATATCTTTGATTAGAATTAAGTATGTTTGTATTTTGGAACAAAGTAAATTTTTATTTAATTCTGTTATCAATCACACATATTTTATCAAAACGCGCAATTGAATAATCTCTACTACATTCTTGCCTGCAACCTATAAAAGTTTCAGAAAATTATTGATCCCAATAACACATACATTTCCCTCCATTTACACTACCATAATAACATGATAAACATTATGTTTCTGTAGGACCATTACAAGTTAAACAAGTTGGATGGCAAGTGTTCACATATATCAATAAATTTTTAATGCTTATCTTCATATCAGTATTTTAAGGTGTAAAACAAAATTTTATTTTAAAATAGTTAGTGTTAGAATTAGCAATAGTACTTACTATTGTATGGAATTCAAAATTACTTAAAGTACTATGACAAATTCGAGCACTGTTCTAGATTAAATCAGATTATTTGTAATATCGTTAATACAGTTGTTAATCAGCTTCTAAAATTTTGTTGTCATCATAGCTAACAATTAATTATGACTCATTAATATCATCAGCATCATCATAAAAGACATCAAATATTACTTGAGCTTGAAAACACTTATAATCAAATGATTTGTATAAATATCTTATATTATCGTCTAACTTTACATATTTTTGTTAATTCTCACTACAAGTGGATTATTAAAATAAAGCAGGAAAAATTTCAGAACAACTGTTTCTAAATTACCAATTATTGCTTCCAATTATTATGTCTGAAAAACTTTTTTCAATTAGCATCCAGTTTGCTGTACCTTGATGAATAAGAATAATCAACTAAGCAACTGTGATAAAATGAAAAAACATAAAATGATTCTGTGATGTAAATAAAAATTCAAAATAAAAATTTGATGCTGCGTCATAATTTCTGCCTATTGTCTATTTTTAAATATGTGATGATTTTGATATTATAATTCTTTATTCTATCAGATTAGTATACATCCAAAATTTACCTACAAATAGTAATAAATTTTCAAATACCTACTTTCGAAGAAAGGACTATTCACAAATAATAAAAGTTTTTTGAAAATTTTTTATTATCCAAAATAAAATTTTATAATATTGTTCTTAGACTAAATAATTTTTTTCCAATTTATCTGATATAGGCTTTTAAGACTTACTAGAATACATTAATGCTCTTATAAATTATACTACTTTCTGACTATTTCAAGCTCAAGTAAAATACACTATTTTCATATTTTTCTCAATTAAAGATTAGAATCTAGGTTTTTACAATATAATTTGAAGAGCAAAAAACAAACAACTATTATGATCATTAGAATTATTGATCATCACCATAATTAATTTCAAATTTATCACATTTCCATTATTAAATTATTTATGAAGATCTATAATTCTTACGCATTCATAATTTTTATTATTAACAATATTTATTAAATTTCATAGTTTTTTAAATTATAATTAGAAATGTAAAATAATAATCTATTTTCTCCTCATACTAAATGTATAGACTAATTAAATCTGAAAGTATTCTAAAATTCTTTGCGATAATTTCGCAAAATTTGCAAATGCTTATTAATGATTTTACACTAATTTAAGTTTAAAAGGAAAATAAGAGCCCCTAAAAATTTGTAAAATAAAATTATCATTTTTTTTGAATTTATTAAAATTTTTTTATGTAATATGAGATAAAACAAATTAATTATAAAGACCTATATCAATAATTTATTTAAAAATTTAATTAAGTTCTCAAATTAAGCATGCCTAGATTCACAAAAATCATAAAAAAATTTTTTATTGGTGAGGATTAAATTATTATTACGAAAAATAAATAAATATTGTCCTAAATGAAAAAATAGTAAATAGTAATTATTCTCAACAAATCAATTTTCTAGAGAATTTTGAAATGTGCGATAACGCGATAAGAAAAAAAATACTATAAAACCTGTTAATTTTGCTTCTTACAGAGACTAGTTATTATCTACATTAAGCCTACGAAGAAATATATTTTACATAATTGTGAGTTAATCTCAAGCTTTAAATTATACTATTGTTTGCTAAGAGGTTACTTATCAAGCTAAAACAGCCTCATTAATTTAAAATTATGATCTTAAAAATAATTGTGGTAATTTTTTCTCTTATTTAGCAAGAAATAATTAAATTTAATTAATGATTATCAAATAAATTTACAACAATTAACCTCTACTAAAATATTAAATCTAATTATTTTATATTTTAGATAATTATCATTTAACTCTTTTTGTAGAAATTTAAATAATTAAGTCTACTAAGAATAAACCTTGTTATATCATGGAAATGATAATCAATTATCATATTCTTTATTTGAAAGAAAAAATTACATTGAAATCAAAAGTTGTAAAGAAAGTTAATATTAGGTATAATAATACCAAAACTCAATTCTTTTAGGGAAGAAGGATATTAGAAAATTAAAATAAATTAAAGCATAAGTTGCTCAACCAGTAATTATCCAATATAAATTTAAAAGTGAAATTATTAATACTCTTTAATTTTAAGACATAATTATTATATTAATTAAAATTAGGATGAACTTAATTTGTTTGATCTGAAAAATTCAAGTTTTGTAATAATTGATCAGAATGTCAAAAATATTTTGCATAATTAAACCAGAAATATCTTTTAGAAAATTAGCAATACAAATAGTTCAAGCATTTTATTATTAAAAATTATATCAATAAATAATTTAATTATTTCAAAATTTTATAATTTTTTTATTGATTCTGAAATTATTATGATTGAAACAAACTTTATTTAGATAGTTTTAACTAAAGCAATCATAATCATAGATAGGCAATATTACATATTTGGAATACAGCCGATTAACAATTCTTGATGGGTATTATAAAAGTTAGAAAAAGAGTCAATTAATTTATAATAATTTTTAACCATTGTTACTTTCTGAATAAATTAATAATTATGATAACTTAATATTATTATTCAGAAAAACATGGAATCATTATAAAAAGAAGAATAATTAGAAAATATAATTGTAATAAATTAATAACTATAAAAGAATCTTAATCTTGTTCATATAAAATTGCTGTGGTCTAATTTGGATCTAATGTCTTGACTTAAGTAAAATCAATCCATAAATAATATATGTTGATGTAGCATTGACAATTGAATTAATTTTTGTATAATTAGGAGTAGAATTGTTAGTAGTGAAGATTAATTTAAGATTAAAATCTTAAAAAGAGTATAGAAATAATGTTTAATTTGCAATCTAAAATAATATAATATAAATCTGAATATGAAATACTAAAGCATTCCAAGTTTGAATCAATATTAATTGTTTGGAAAGGAGTAGGTGTCATCTTTCCAGTGATTTTCAAATAGATGTTGAAGTAAATTCTGTTTTTAAAGCAAAGATTTATTCTTTATGAAATGAAATAGATTTAAATGTAGAATCTAGGTTATTGTAATAAATTACTATTTTGAAAACTTTATTGGCTTTAGAATAAATTCTATATCATAATTAACTTATCCATTGTTATTTTTAAACTTTCGCCTTTATTAGGATAGAAATATTATTCCTCGTATTACACTAAGCAAGCTTATAAAAATATTATGTTAATATAAATCATATATAATTATTTAATTACATCAAACAAAAATAAAATTAAAGATATTTTATTAATGCACATATTTTAAGAAATCTCTTTCTTGTTTGAAATTTGAGTGATAGTTTTTATAGAAAAAAGGCGTAAATCCAGTTAGATCAATTAATTCTATGATTTCTATAATTTTCTTGTCATAATTCTCGTTTTAATAGAGTTCCTTATTATTTGAGCATATTATCAATAAATGGTACAATTATAAACTCTCAAATTAATATTTTTTAATGGAATTAGCACCATTCTACTTTCTGTGTATTTATTAATAAAATTATGATTTGATCATACTACCCGTCTCTCAGAATGTTTAGACAATATCTTAAAAAAATTTTTGGCATAAATGTTAACAAATCTCAATATCATTCATCCTTTATTAGCTAATTTTTTGTAAAAGTCAAACTTATACCAATTTTTAAAAGAGAATACTGTAAATGTAATTAGTTGCTATTTCGATAACCAACTCGAACAATAACTTCAAAACCCTTTCTTACTCAATAATTCATTAATTCCAATTTCAGCTTAAATTTAGTCTATCATTCTTCTTATTCAACTATCTTTCTATAGCTATATCAATTAAAATTCCATATAGATGTTTAGCTTATCTCAGGAAAGTATCTATTTTTTGAATACAGTTTAATAAGATATTAAAGTGTTGATATCGACAATAGTGAGCATTCATAAATAACCTTTTTAAATAAAAAGAGAGAAACAGTTTTAGAAAGTACTAAAATAAAACATTCTTAAATATGTGTGTTTTCCAGTCCTATATCTTTTATACCAATACCTAAAACCTCTTACCTAAAGTAGCAAAAATCCTGTATATTAAATTGGAATCATCATAAAACTATCTAAAAGATAGATATAATTATTCTTCTTTTATAAACAAAATAAAATTAAGTATTTTAGGAACCAAATTCAACAAATAGTTTTCTCAAAAAAATCAAAAACTTATTATCATTTTCATTAAATAACAAAAAGCTTTAGTTATTTTTTTTAGGTTGATTATTCAATTGAAATTGAAATAAAAAAAATTCAATTTCAAAAAAAAAAAATAAGAAATTAGAGTAAAAAGAATGAAATTCCATATAAAAAAATTTTTTCAGTTGTTTAAAAATTTTGATAATTAAAAAAAAAGATGAAAAATTTAATGAGACTCTCATAGTTGAACAAGAAGATGATGAATAAATACCTTAAATATATCATTTTTTGCATAATTTAATACCTGAAAATTACCTATTCAGTTAATAAGTTTAAGAAACATAAATATTATAAGTATTTTTACAAAAACTTGCTAATAAAAATTAAAAATTTAATTTGATATGCTTTCTTGAGGTAAAAATTTGGATTATATTATCGTGAACAATAATTTTACATTTTAAAAAAACTAATCATCTCTGTTTTTCCAGAAATGGTGTACGATTCGTATATTCAACCAACACCATCTTTAATAATATTTCACTATATCTAAACTAAAAATCTAATAGAATAAATTCAGATTTAAATAAGAAATATGGTCTCAATGTAATTTAATAATATATATTAAGAATTATAATAAATATAAAATTAATATAAAAATAGAAAAACTATTCAACGAAATGGCAATAATCCTGTTAAAAAAATATCCAATCCATTTATATTTTTTGGAAATCTCTAAAATATATTAAAATTAAAATCGATTTTCTAATTATTAAGAAACAATATAGTATGTATCATAAGTCTACCCTTTTTAAAGCAGTAAAATATAATACGATGAAAATCATTTTCCATATGTCTCTTGATTCCTATTGATTTCTATTTATATAGCAACTCTCTGAATAATAGTTAACAATGATAAGTATTATAATTATATTTATTAGTTTAAATACAAATAAATATGATCAAATTTGAATTAGTTAAAAAACAAAATATCTTTTACTAACATTAGAAAAAGAAAAAAAAATTGTAAAGCCTTCAAAATGAGATAGTGCCATTAAATTTGAAGTAATAAATTAGATTAGATGAAAACATTTATGCAAAAAGCTCCGAACTGATAAGGCACTATATCATGAAACTACAGAAATGCTCTAAAGCATAAAGATAAAGTTAAGTAAGTAAGTAAAAAATTCTCTTAGACTAATCAATCTAAAACAATTATCATAATTCATAAAATTAAATAACTATGGCAATTATTTGAAAGCAAAAACTTAATTAAGAATCAACTTAAATTAATTAGTTAAATAAAAATTATAAGTAACTAGATTCGATTATCAAAAAAATATAGTCAGATTTGATCAAGAGCAAAAACTCAATCAAAAGGCTTACTTATACGATTAATGAGAAAGAAACAAAGATAAATGACAAGTAATGTACAACTAATAATATTGAGCAAGCTGTTAAAGGGAATGGATCAAAATTAAATAATTAAGAATAAATTAAGATGAAAAATAAATACTAATTGATAGGAGAAATAAAATCAATTTGAATAAAAATCATGAAAGCTGAGTTTAAAAATTGAGAATCATATTCAAATAAAATTAACACTGAAGTATATGTAGATTTGAACAAATGTCAATTTTTCTATATATATGATTGTTTAAAAAAGCATACCAAAAAAATAATTTTTAGAATAGAAAGAAAAATTATACTTGCAAATTTTTTTCTTTTTTCAGTTTAATAATTGATTAATAAAATAGGTGACATAAATTTTATAATAAAAAAAAATACTGCTAAAAATAAATTTAGATTTAACATATGCATAAGCCTATCTTACTTCATCAATGTTTTCATTCAAAAATTTTTAAATCTCATATTTTCTAAGCATGAAAATGGGCAATAAAATTTTGTATTGTATCAAACTTAAGGGAGATTGCATTTAATTTGTTTCAATTTTAAGAATAAGTAAATCTTTTGCACTAAGACCAATAATGTTGGCTATTAATTTTTATACTTTTTTTAATATATATCATTAATTTATTGTATCTGGGTCATTTAATTTAAGAATACACGTCTTATTTACATTTTCTATTTTATAATTCTTATTCTTTGACTATCATCTCATCTTCTCACATGTGTACTATTACTTTATTTGCATCATCAAGTAAACAAGATACTCTAAATTCTATACTAAATGAAAAGAATAAGTGTTTAGAAAGTACTATGCCTCTAAATTAAGTAGGTTAATCCTAATTCTGGAAAAATAAGACAAAAAGAATATTTATCTACTCTCTGTTTTAAGTTTTTGGAATATTTTAATCAGGCATAAATCTTCTATCTGAATATATATCACTTATTGTAGCACCATTCAATGAGACTAATTCTATCGATATTTAACGATAAACTTAATCAAATTATTTAATTTTAGATTAAATTCCAAAAAAATTTTCAAATAATCAATATCAACCTGATTTTAATTTTCGATTAGGCTGATATAATGATATTCAATTTAAAACATCTTTGTTATTGTTTGTGAGTTACAATGTCAATGTTTGAAGATAACCTTAATAGTCATCTATTGAAGATTAGTTAAGAAATTTTATTTGTATTAATGATTTATATTTAAACTATTGTATTTCTGATTACGGAGTTTTTAACAAAATCCTTCTTTTTTATAGTTTAAAAATCTAAGAACTTAGCTTATTTCAATAATTAAAATTAATAATCCTCAAAAACCAAAAATAATTTAATGAAGTATAAAATCAGCATTACCATAGAAAACAAAAAGATTTTAAGGGCTCTAAAATATCTATTTAGGTAGGAGAGATGGAGAAAGTTAATAACAAAGAAAATCTGCTTATTTAAATCAAAAAGTGATTACATCTATGGAGCATACTCTCCTTATAAATGGTTGTATACTTAATTCGAGATGATACATTATCATCATTTATATTCTCATAAACTCATGATTAAGTTTATCTTTGAAGGAAAAATCATGTGCTATTTATTTTAAGAAGGATGATATTGAAATTTTAGGTTTTAATTAAATATAGATTATTCAAAAAAATCGCCTTAATATCAAGCCAAATATCATTTAGTCTGATGCTAATGAAATTTAAATCGAATTCATCAAGCAGTTTTATTAATAATTTTAGAAGGAAAAAAGTTCAAGATATAAGTTGTAAAAGCATTTTAAAAATATCATTGTATTGAAGTGATGAATTAACTCAAGTTAAATTAAATACGCTAAATGTAATTATGCTAACCGATATACTAATAGCATTATAAAAAATAAATAGAAGTTTTAATAGGATGCAAGGGTTAATTTTGATTTCGAGTATTGAAATATTATCGAGAATTATCACCATTATTATGATTTTTTTCAGAAAATAGTATGATGTGTAGGATATACATAAAAATAACTATTCATTCTATGATAAATCCTTTCAAATAAGGATTATATAATAAAATTTATATTATAAAATTTATTCTAAAACCTTAGTAAGAATAAACATCAATAAAACCCCATTTAATTTTAATATCTTAATTTCCATTATAGGACCGACAATCTTTATAACAACAAATAGCATTAGATTTATTCTTTTATAGATAAACTTAATCATAAATACATGAGAATATAATGCAAAAAAATGATTTTTTAAAATTGAATTATCAAACGTTTTGAGCCTAACCTAAAATAAAAATATTACTAAATATCTGCACCACAGCATTTATAAGTCAAAATGAATCCGGAGAATCATTCTATTCTTATTTAAATCCAAGACCTTATAAATATCATCTGTTTATCAAAGGTATTAGCAGGATCATCATAATGTATTTTCATGGTGAATTTGGTGTTTCCATATGATAAGGTGAGTTAGTTACAGTAATTTAGATGGCAATGCAAATATGGATGATAACTAAATTTAAGGATTTATAGATTGAATAATCATTTTTATTAATATAATGATATCGATTATAGTTATCATAAATTTATTTAGTAGAAATCAAGTTTAACCCTTTACAACTAAAATGAAAGCTATAAACTAAATTTGGATTTTGAAAATCTAGATGAAATTTAATAAAGCTAAGGGAATATACCAATTTAACTATTCCCAATATATTTGATAAATGAAATAATTTAATTAAAATATATTAACCAATAATGATTTATAAATAATGAAAAATGATGTAAAGTAAATAAAATTTTAAATTTGCAGAAAACAAAACAATGTTTTTGGTTATTATATATTAATTTATTATAACCAATAATGATTAGCATTCTATTGTTACTTAAAAAGTAGTTATCTAAATTTCACAACTTCATTTGATAATAAATATTTATTCTATTAAACAAATATTTCGACAAATTTTATTTAAGGAACTATTAGATTAATCCTAAAATCCTTGCAAATTATTCTTTTTGAACCAAATTTAAATCCAAAAAGATCATAATTGATAAAACTCTTTTTGAATTCCTTTTTATTGTAAAAAATATCTATAAAACTCTCTCTTTTATTTTAAAAATGATTAGAATAGCTTTGCAACTAATTATTTTTAATTATTTTTATATATTAATCAAGTACAAAATAGTCTCGTTTTATTATTATTTGTTAATCAATGATTATATATCTAAAAAAAAATTAATATAATTTGATGAATTGATGAATGATATCTATTCATAATTGCTCTAAGCATTTTGAATAAATTGATTATCTTTAAAATTCTATTTTATATTTTTTAAGCCACTCTTCAAAATCTGATTGACCAAATCTACACTTGCTAACAATTTATTTACCATTATAATCCTTGTTTTTATGTTCGTTTTATAAATTAAAAAAATTTAGTATTAAATTTCTTTCATCACTTTTTATGAAATTTTACCAATCCATTTTATTGTATTGAAAATTATTAGTAGCAGTCCTGATATAGTATTGAATATCCCAACATATATCAAAAATTTTCTTTCTAAGTGCTTAATTTGCAGTATTTAATGAATCACATAGAAATTGATAATAGATGTATAACTCTTTTGAAATTTATAGTGTAAAAAATTGCATTGGCTTATTAATAAACAAAATCAATTTACTTTAGGATCAAATTCTGTAAATTGAGATGATTTTGAATCTAAATGATAAATCTCATCATTATTATTTTCTTTGTCATTTTAAATTCTTGATTATGGATAAGGCTCTATGTTTGAGGGTGTTACTATTTAAGCAGATTCAAATAATTTATTTTAACATCCACAAGATTGACCCATAATGTAAAAAAGATTTTAAAATAATGCTTTTTATTTTTATTTTCCATTCATTAAAAATTAATTAAGATTCACTATTTATAATATTCTTCCATATTATAATTAATATAATTCTTATTATGTATCAATTTTATAACTTTATGACATTAGTTCTTTTGATCTTAAGTTATAAATATATCCTTTTCAATTTGAATGAATCTAGAGTTTTTAGTTATTTAAGAGCTTTTTCATTAGATGAGGAATTAAATTAAATTTTTCAGATTTATTTATGCAAATTAAATACATTAATTAAATTTTATTCATAATAAGATAAGATGTAATACAAGGATCATTAAAAATTTATTTTTTTTATTATATAGAGATGATTTAAATGTTTAAATCTTAAAAATTTAAAAAAGCTACTTTATTCTACTAATATTTACATATAAATTATTCATTTTTATAGATATTCACAATTTTGTTTCTTTCTAAGAAATTAAAATTAGGACAAACAAGACATCCAAAATTGAAAAATAACTTAATCTAAAATATTAATTGAAGTTGAAGAAATATTATTATTGTAGAATAAATTTAATTTGAATTGGAGAATAAATCTAATTTGAATTTGAGATAAAATTGAATGTTATTTTTACATTGCATTCAATAAATTAATTTTAAATTGAAATTTTTATTTAGAAATGGAATTTACCATTTACTAATAAAAAGCTTAGTTATTTATCAATCATTTTTTTAGAGTTAATTCTTTTTTAATGAAATTTTTTGTGGATATTAAATTATTTTCTGTTATATATACAATTTTTAACTTATAAAGACCTTTATTAAATTTTCTTGATATTTTTACACATATTAGTAAATCTGATTAGAAATGAAATTGTGTAATAGTGAAATGAAGTTTGCAACATAAAATGAGTAAAGGAAAAATTAGAGAAATTTTCAATATAAATATATTGATATTGAAGGGTGTTAACAATATTAAGAATTGGGAAGGACAGAATAAAATTAAGAATCAAATATTATAAATTAAATTAAAGTGTATTGATTAAATTTATAGTAAGTAAATATTATATCAGCAGAGATTATTCAATGTTAAAAAAAATATAAAAATTGCTTAAATAATTTTATTAAACTTTTAGATAATAACCAAAATTAAAGAATACATAAATTGTTAAAAGAAATTTAATAATTTAGATAACTTTGATATTTTAATTTATATTTATAGTTCTTATATATATTAGAATTTTAATTAATTAAGTAACTAAAATGGAAAAAATTAATGAATCTACTCATAAGCTGTTAGTTCTCTTTATAATTTTGAGATTTAAATTAGATAGCAGGAACTAAAATTATAAGCTTAATATCGATGAATCAAAAATGTAATTCGCCTTACTAAAGTAAAGAATATATTTCNTACAAGGATCATTAAAAATTTATTTTTTTTATTATATAGAGATGATTTAAATGTTTAAATCTTAAAAATTTAAAAAAGCTACTTTATTCTACTAATATTTACATATAAATTATTCATTTTTATAGATATTCACAATTTTGTTTCTTTCTAAGAAATTAAAATTAGGACAAACAAGACATCCAAAATTGAAAAATAACTTAATCTAAAATATTAATTGAAGTTGAAGAAATATTATTATTGTAGAATAAATTTAATTTGAATTGGAGAATAAATCTAATTTGAATTTGAGATAAAATTGAATGTTATTTTTACATTGCATTCAATAAATTAATTTTAAATTGAAATTTTTATTTAGAAATGGAATTTACCATTTACTAATAAAAAGCTTAGTTATTTATCAATCATTTTTTTAGAGTTAATTCTTTTTTAATGAAATTTTTTGTGGATATTAAATTATTTTCTGTTATATATACAATTTTTAACTTATAAAGACCTTTATTAAATTTTCTTGATATTTTTACACATATTAGTAAATCTGATTAGAAATGAAATTGTGTAATAGTGAAATGAAGTTTGCAACATAAAATGAGTAAAGGAAAAATTAGAGAAATTTTCAATATAAATATATTGATATTGAAGGGTGTTAACAATATTAAGAATTGGGAAGGACAGAATAAAATTAAGAATCAAATATTATAAATTAAATTAAAGTGTATTGATTAAATTTATAGTAAGTAAATATTATATCAGCAGAGATTATTCAATGTTAAAAAAAATATAAAAATTGCTTAAATAATTTTATTAAACTTTTAGATAATAACCAAAATTAAAGAATACATAAATTGTTAAAAGAAATTTAATAATTTAGATAACTTTGATATTTTAATTTATATTTATAGTTCTTATATATATTAGAATTTTAATTAATTAAGTAACTAAAATGGAAAAAATTAATGAATCTACTCATAAGCTGTTAGTTCTCTTTATAATTTTGAGATTTAAATTAGATAGCAGGAACTAAAATTATAAGCTTAATATCGATGAATCAAAAATGTAATTCGCCTTACTAAAGTAAAGAATATATTTCTACTTTCTTTTATCTTATTTTTGAATATAATATGTCTCTTAATTCTATAAATTAGGTAAAAGTAAAAATTATTAATTATAAAAATGCTATTTGATGTAATAATATTAAGTACAAAGATTTAATTGCTCAATAATTATGTCTCATTTAATAGGTAAACCAAACTTGTTTCTAAGAATAGAATATGAACTTTTTTTATAAATTTTGTGATATATGAAATAGAAATAAGTTTCCCTAAAGAATCAAGTATTAAATATGAACACCCAAATAAATATGATTGCTTCCCTTGAATTTTTTACTAAGCTTCAGATAGAGACAAATATTTGCCAAACTTGCATTCTTTTGTCAAGGTCTCAATGAATTCAATAAGGGATACATAAGAAGTTCTGGATACTATAACACTATTCATGTTTTACTCTCATGCAGGAGATGAGGTTCTACAGTAATCTGGGCTTACCTGGGTTTTGAAGATAAAAATTTTATGTTATCAAATATTAAGTTTTTTTAAAAAATGAGAATATAATAAGAATATGATCTCAATCAAATTATCAATAGATTATTTTATATTCAAAGATATATATTTTATCAGTATAAAAGTTATCAAAGTTAATTATAAAAGGCTTTAAAAAGAATAAAGTAGATTGTTAGTCTAACTAATGTAATTTTAATGAGAGTTACCATTTTTATGTATTAATATAGTGATTTATCTACATTAATTTAATTCTGCATTTATTACACACAATTTATTGATTTATTTAGAGAGAATCTTTTTGATCTTCATTAAAAAATTAAATAGACCAAAGTCTGAATATGGAAGAAACAAAAGAGACTTAAACCATGGTTGCATATCTAGTTGGGCTTAGTCTTCATTATAAATATTGGATTGCCTATAGTTCATATGATACAAGTTGTGGATTAGATGGATATATTCTTTTTAATTCTGGTGATATATTTGGAGTTAGTTTAATTATTTATGATATGAATAATTAAAAATTCATAACTTTGGTTTGTTTCTAATTTTCTATACAATTTTTAAGAATACTTCATGTCCCTAATTTACTTCTTTTATTTATTCAACTCTTTTCATCCAACTTAAAATATTTGGATATTTTTAAAATTCCCAATTTACCATATGCAATTACATAATTTCACAATAGGCGCTTATATCAGCTAGACTTATTTCTTTTCCACAAATATAATCTTATGTTGAAAATTCTATTTAATTAATTGACTATATACTTGTTTCTAAGAATTTTAATGCCAATATTGCTTCCTTTTTTGCCTGTTCTAAATTTACAGTTGTTTCTATTCCCAATTTCGGAGCCACAATCAAATTGAAAAAGTATTATGATAATTTTCTTGTACCTGTATGATGATAATCCAAATATTCATCAATCTTTGCTGATTCTTGTGGATTATCAGGATAAAGAGTAGTTTTAATATTCCTTGATTTTATTATATATTTTATAATAGCATGGCTCTCAGCAAGTTAATATCCATCCTTATCAACAATAGCAGGAACTGAAAAATAATTATTTATCTTAATATGTACCTTTTCTATATGGATTTATTTTTGCATACTCAGGAGTTCTTTATTTCCCTTCTGCAATTCTAATCTCCACAACTTCATGTTAAATTTTAAGTATATTTAGCACTATAGAAACGAATCTTGATGGTTAAGATAGCCAATCTATATATAATTTCAATGACATATTATTTTTAAATATGATGCTTATTAAAAAAATTTTATAACAAAATTATATTTTTATATTACTGATCTATGATTCATCAATTAAATACAAAGATAACTTCATAATTTGGCATTTCAAATACAATGATATCAATAATCAACTAAATGATCTTTAGCTCAATTCTATATTCAACACTTATGTAATAATAATATATTAAATGGTTTATCTCATAATTAAAAGAATTTTTGAAAAATGAGAATATCACATGGTTTAAATCTATTTTGAATTACTATAATTTAACTTTGAAGAATGATTAAAGTTTTTTTCCTGAATAGAATTAGTATCAACTAATTGAATTTCAGATTAAATTCTTAAATTATTCTTTTTAATATATCAAGATGGCTAATAAAAAAATTTATTAATTTTTAAAGCAAATGAAGTGAAAATTTTATTTTAAATTCGATATTTTGTTAATAAAGGAGAATACAACAATGTTATTGAGTAAAATTAAGTAAGCATATCATTTGGATATTTAGAAAGTGGATTTGAAAGAGTTTATGTAGAATAAGAACAAACCTAAGGAAATGCTTAAATTATAGGGTTATAAGAGAAGTAAATGTTTAGTAATTAAATAATATAGAATTATATAATAGTTAAGTTAGGAAATATATCTCCATCAATACAAATACTGTTATTACATTAAGATATACTGATTAAGTTCTAGAATTAAAAAAACCAGAAGAACCATTTGTAAAAGAATATCTTTAATTAGATGGTAAAGATAATCTATTGTTAGGAGTAGATGATTCTGAAATAGGAAAAAAAGAATTGAAAAATCTGTAATTATTTTTGAAATAAAAAAAGAACTTAAATAGGTAAAAGTTTAAGGTGGTTTAGGCTTTGATTTTATAAAATTAAAATGACCGAAACTAAATAGAAGTAGTTGATTTTTTATATAATTGAAAAGTGATCTAAAAAGTGAAAGATTGAGTAATCAATGAAATACTTTTTAAATTAGGCCCTATGAATAATTGAATAAATAGTTAAGGTGATATATTTTTATCGGAATCAAAACTGGATGATTAGGTATTTGGGAATAAGTAATGCTTTTTCTTTTGATTTTTTAATGATATAATATATAATCATAAATAAATAAAAAGTAAGATGATAATAACTTAAATTAAACAAATATATAATGATAACTAATGATAATGTTAACTCGAGATCATATGATACTCCAGTTATTCCTGAGCCATCCTAAATGTTGGAAGAATCATAATTCATTAATATCTCATAGAAGCATCTACTATTTCCAAACAGTCCTTTTTAGATTGTAAAATCTTGGGATGCAGGTGATTATGAATTTCCCTTTGATTAATAATTATTACCAATGATGTTTGAAAATTGTCAATCAGAATAATTGTCACCAAAAGAAGAAATAAGGAAACCCTCCAAAAATTTGAATCTATAATTTGCTACGCCATAAAAAGTGCAGCCATATAGAAGGTAACTCATTCAATTAAAATAAGTAGATATCAATCAGAAAGAGTTGAACGAAGAACTTATAATAATGAATAGTAAAATTAACCCATGAGAAGCCAAAAGGGTATATATGGACACATAATCAAGCATAGGACTTAGAAATTTGTCAATTAAGGTTAAAGAAATTGTGTTTGAATTGAAATCTACCTCCTATAAAGATGTAGCTGAGAGATTAATTTAAGAATTAAGTAAAGAAGAAGGCAGATTATTAGATTATGATAATGTATGATAATAATAAATTAGAGTCTAAAGATGAATAAAATATTAAGCGTAGAGTTTATGATGCTTTGAATGTAATGATTGCATCCAAAGTATTGAGAAAAGAAGGTAAAAAAGTTAAATCTGATATTTGTTCAGAATTGTCTGGAAAAATCAAACTCTAAGATAGAGATACATAAAAAGAAAAACTAGTAAGTTTGATATCTATTATTAAGATTAGAAAATAAAAACTACTCAAAGGAAAGAAAAAACATTTAGCTGATCTTCTCTAAAAGTGGAAAGCAGCCAATTCACTTATAGAAAGAAATAAAAATTTAAAACTATTTTCCTAATAATTTTTCTACTTTCCATTATTAATATTTTATGCTGATTAGAAATATCCAAAGTTTCTAAAAGATAAAAAAACTCTAAAAATTTTGATGAAAAATAAAATTGATATTCTTTCAGATTTAGATATTGCAAAATAATTGTTTCTGTATCAATTTGAATCTATCATAGTGAAACTGTAGACAATGATAAAATATAAGAAGAATGCTTAAAATTATAATGAATATAATTAATATATATTTTATTAAATGAGATATTTGTATGTTAAGAGCAAAATATTCTAAATGTATTTGAGAGNTAATAACTTAAATTAAACAAATATATAATGATAACTAATGATAATGTTAACTCGAGATCATATGATACTCCAGTTATTCCTGAGCCATCCTAAATGTTGGAAGAATCATAATTCATTAATATCTCATAGAAGCATCTACTATTTCCAAACAGTCCTTTTTAGATTGTAAAATCTTGGGATGCAGGTGATTATGAATTTCCCTTTGATTAATAATTATTACCAATGATGTTTGAAAATTGTCAATCAGAATAATTGTCACCAAAAGAAGAAATAAGGAAACCCTCCAAAAATTTGAATCTATAATTTGCTACGCCATAAAAAGTGCAGCCATATAGAAGGTAACTCATTCAATTAAAATAAGTAGATATCAATCAGAAAGAGTTGAACGAAGAACTTATAATAATGAATAGTAAAATTAACCCATGAGAAGCCAAAAGGGTATATATGGACACATAATCAAGCATAGGACTTAGAAATTTGTCAATTAAGGTTAAAGAAATTGTGTTTGAATTGAAATCTACCTCCTATAAAGATGTAGCTGAGAGATTAATTTAAGAATTAAGTAAAGAAGAAGGCAGATTATTAGATTATGATAATGTATGATAATAATAAATTAGAGTCTAAAGATGAATAAAATATTAAGCGTAGAGTTTATGATGCTTTGAATGTAATGATTGCATCCAAAGTATTGAGAAAAGAAGGTAAAAAAGTTAAATCTGATATTTGTTCAGAATTGTCTGGAAAAATCAAACTCTAAGATAGAGATACATAAAAAGAAAAACTAGTAAGTTTGATATCTATTATTAAGATTAGAAAATAAAAACTACTCAAAGGAAAGAAAAAACATTTAGCTGATCTTCTCTAAAAGTGGAAAGCAGCCAATTCACTTATAGAAAGAAATAAAAATTTAAAACTATTTTCCTAATAATTTTTCTACTTTCCATTATTAATATTTTATGCTGATTAGAAATATCCAAAGTTTCTAAAAGATAAAAAAACTCTAAAAATTTTGATGAAAAATAAAATTGATATTCTTTCAGATTTAGATATTGCAAAATAATTGTTTCTGTATCAATTTGAATCTATCATAGTGAAACTGTAGACAATGATAAAATATAAGAAGAATGCTTAAAATTATAATGAATATAATTAATATATATTTTATTAAATGAGATATTTGTATGTTAAGAGCAAAATATTCTAAATGTATTTGAGAGGCTTAAGAGGTTTCTTTTAATCCTAAGATATTATTGTAAATAAAAGAAAAATGAGAATATTTTTAAGTCTTTTGTTTTCATTATATTCATATGGATGGATTTAACATAATTGGTTGAAACATGTAATTAAAAACAATAAAAAGGGAATTTGATATTAGAAAATAACCAAATTTTTTGATTCCTATTTGGATATATCATGCTAGAAGAGAACATTATATATATTATGAATAATCAAGATTGGCTAGAGGATTGACAACAACTTTTTCATATTATGATTGGGATCCTGTATCATAAATGGTTTGTTATACTGACAAATAAGGAAAATAAAGATTTGAGAAAAGTATTTTCAATAGAGAAAGACTTGATATTATTGATAATGCTTTATTTGAAGAGATTTTTAGAGGAGAAATGACAGCAGAAAAAATTAAAAGAGGATCACTTTTAGTAGCTTATGAATTGAATTGTAATAATCGATTTGATTTAGATGTATAAATATATTTATAATTAGAATTATTTGCATTACAAACCTATAAATTTTATGGATATTATTAGAGGACTTCATTTTTAATTTTATGTCTAACTCGGTTTAACAAATTAATATAGATATGATCATTTTATATCTAAACCTGATTGGTTGTATGAATGGGAATAATGGAAGATTGAATTAAATGGAATGAATCGATTAAATTTTTTTAATAAATTATTATTATCATTTAAATGAAATAAAAAAGGTTTGTTTAGAAAAATTAAGCTACTTTTACTCATTTTGTAAGTGTACCATTAATTTTGTAACCTACTTAAGGAAAACTTTAAAAACTTATGGATGAAATTCATAAAAAATATAATTATGATGAATCAATGAATCCAAATAATCCATTTTTATTTCATATAACAATATCAATGTTAGGATTATCTAATTAAGAAAAAATAAATAAAGCTAAATAAATATTCACAGATAATGAGCAAACCATAAAAAATTATTTAAAAAATGTTTCAATTCGACTCAAAGGTTTAGGTTGTTTTCAAAATCGATTGAATCAATAAAATAAATATTACAAAAGAGGACCTTATGAAGATTTAAATATCATTTATCTTAATGTTGATGAAACTCCTTTACTGCCTGTTTCAGATTTCATAATCAGATAATTTCTATAAGCAGAAATTTTTGATTCAGATGATTTAAAATCTATGAATTTGATAATGGATTAATAATCAAAAATGTTTAGGGCAGAGAAATTTCATATTACTTTATTTCGACTTAAGGATTGTAAAATAAATTTTTAACAATTATTTGATGAATACAAAAATTTTGAATTTGGAGAAGCTCCAATATAATATTTCGATATAAGTACAAGATGGTAATATGATAAAGATAAGTTCTATTAACCTTTAGCTAGAATAATTGTTAATTGATATTTATATTTAATATCTATATTATGATATATATATATATAATTATCATAATGTCCATCCTTAAGGTGTTCCAATTATGAAATTACAGCTACTAGTTATAGCATATATTTTGCCTAAATGAATCAAACTTCCATTTTGTATCTATCCAATTTAAGGAGGATTTTGTAAATTCTCAGTTATAAAAGATAAATTTTGTTGATCCACCATCTTTAAAAGTTAATAATATCCATTTCCAAATATTAATATATTTGAATTATTTATGGCTATCATTCCAACTCCTCTATTTATATTAATATTTAATTATGTCCATTTCAATAATTTAGTATCAAATAATTCTAATGGAGGGGTTTTAATCAAATATTATCTAAAAGTACAAACAGATAAATTAGCACCTCCTTAATTCATTTTTGGTAAATTTATTCTAGTTTCAATTTCAGTTCTTTATTTATTTAATACCAAATCTAAACTTTCTATTGTACTTAAATCTTGACTCTAATTTTATCCCCCAAGAACATATAATTTATTTTAAAGAAATATTCCAGCCGAAGAATGTCGAGGCTATTATAATTAATCAGTTGTTATTAGAGACTATTATTTAAAATCTAATCTAAATATTTATGAACTCAATTAATTCCCAATATATCCTCCTATAATAAAGATATTCCCTTATTAAGAACGTACAGTAGAACTTTTTAATGGAACTTAACAATTCAATCTCATTTCTTACCATCTTGGATTCTAGACCCATTCCAAATTTAAAAAAAATATTGATTTATCAGTAAAATAATGTAAATATTTTTAACTGCAAAGTTAATCAAAGAAATCTGGTAAATTTATTGTAAAATTGGATATTCCAACTTACTAAACTAAATTACTCAATATTAAATAATTTACATTATTGTTCTAATCTTTTATATGGTGATTACTCTACTTTTACTGGTTAGATTTCATTTGTTAAATATGGATGATTGTATTATATATTTTTAGGTATAGATGCAGAAGACTATGCTTATTAAATTTTATAATATTCTGCATTTTTTATTGTTGCATACTATCCTAATTGAATCTTCAAAAAATATAATTCTTATTCATCTATTTAAATGTCTAATGTATGCTTAGAAACTTCTTCAATAAATGCTTCACATTCAACTCTCTACTAATGAGCTTATTAAAGGAAATTAGTTGTTTATAATTGGATTATTTATTTTATATAAGATGGAGTCTTAAGTTTTTAATCAATATGTTAAAATTCTTGAATTTTTAAATTTAACGATCTTTCCATTTATTATAATTCAACATCTAAATTTGTGCTATCTATCTTTGTAACTTAATCCAATTCATTGAACAATTCTTCAAAAAATTAATCCACTAATTATTAAACACGTAATTTTGCATTGCTAAGCTTTGTATGTAATTGACCATGAGCATCTGTTTTTGATTCTTTGAATTATTAAAGTAACTATATAGCATAATTCAAATTAGTTAATTATGTGTTTATCAATTGTAATGTTTCTTCATGCATTTCATCTACTGTAACAAAATCTCCAAATTATCCTTATTATCTATGATAATCCTAATGTTAAGGAATACACTTTGGACAGAGAGGCATTAAACAACCAGGCTGTTTACAAAAATTTGTGACATTTTGGCCTTGATGTGTGACACAAGGTGCTTACAATTAAAAATTTTAGATTTGACCTGTCTCACTAGGACTAGGAGAATTTTGAATATTAAACATAAATATTAATGTATAATTAATTAATTGAGTAGAATCCAATTGAATCTCTATTTTATAATTGTAATTACTATTTCACAATATGATGATATAAATACATTAAGGAAGATTACTAGATTAAATACAAAACTGAAACAAGAATTAATTATAAACAATCAAAATTATTAGATTTCTTGAAGAACAATAAATTAAGAATCAATATGAATATCGTAGCATTAAATGAAATCTTGGTATTTTAAATGATTTTTCTTAGGGATTCTATAACAATTCCTGAGAATATTGTTTAATTTATTGACAATTCACCAATATTTTTTTATTTTTAATGCATACCATCAAAAGATTATAAATAATTTCTAAATTTCATATTTAATTAAAAAAAATATAAGGGTTTTTTAATTCTTAGAACTAAATTAATCTAAATTTGTTTATAACTCATGATAGATTTAAAAATGATGTAAGACTATTAGTAATATTATAAACAGCAAATTTAAATAACATATTCCATAAACTGAAATAATAATATTCATAAATTTATATAGCTCTTTTTAATAGGAAATTTAAATAATATATTTGATAAAATTAATAATCAAATAAATAATCTCATCAAAATTAAATATTCATCAAAACTTTAATTTATCTTTCAAAAGCATCATCCCCATAAAGAATTATCTAAGGAATTAAAAATAAGTATCTTCTTGAATAATAAAGTTGTTTTTACAAATAAGGATGAATAAGAACTAAAATTATTATTACAGAAGCCATCAAGAAAATTAAATAAATAATTGAAATGATCTAAATAAAAATATTTAGTTACTATTAAACTATCTTAAACTAATTAAGCTTAAGATAAGAAGTCAACTTTAAAGGCTAAGTTCGCTTATTTTATTATTTCAGTAATAATAAATACTCCTTCTAATTCATTTACAGTATTTTCAGTTTTATTAAGAAATGAATTTATTTGTTGTTCATTCTTCATGCTGGAATAAATAAAAACAAGAGCTCCTTGTAAACCCTTTTAAAGACTTCCTCCTAATGTTTAAAAACAAAAATCCTTGCTTCTTTCAATTAAATCCATAGATATCACTTCACATAAATTATTATTACTAAGCTTCTCTAAATATAAATAAAAATTTTGGCTTAAAATATATTAATCCCTAAATTAGAATCTTTAATTACATTTAAATCTATTATAGATAAACAGTAATATTTTATATTTGTTATAAACTTGTTTCAACTTAAAGCAAAATTTAAGATAATTCTTCATTTTTATAAAATGGATATCTCCATCTATAATATAGAACTTCTCGCATAGCATATATTGTTGGTATGTTAGTTCCAAGATATGACATTTACAAATAAAACTCACAAGTTGGCTTATATTTATTTAGATAATTCTGCATTACAAAATATTATAATAGCCCAAAAGATATAAGAATTATTGTTTAAAATAAAAGTATAATGTATCTATTTTTAATAGTCATTTTAGTAGTGCGTTATTTTTAGGATGATTTTAAAGAGGAGATGATTGAATTTTCTTTATAATCAGTTACTTCACTTTCTTTGGCTTCTATTTTAAATTAAAAAGATAATATCTATTCTGATTTATTGTGATATAGTTCAATATATTGATTTAAGCGCTTTGATTCATATTAGATTACTTATGTATCACAATAAAGAAAAAGGAAAAAAAATTTATTTAAATATTGATCATTATAATAATAGCAATATATTTCTAAGGCTAAAAATAATACTTGTAATATAAGAAAAGGATAAAATAATTTTAATTCTTTAGAAATATCTAATTAAATGGTTAGATTAGTTTAAAGATATAAATCTTAATTTAATAAATCAAAAGAATTATATAAAGTTAATAGATTTCTATAAGAATAGAAAATATAAGGTGAATCTGAGACAGTTTTGCCATCATATTTATAAGCAGCTTTAAAAGTATATTAATAATTAATTAAAATACTTAATGCTTATCTCATTGTAATATTATAAAGTTCTCCTATATCAGTTTTAATATAAATGTAAAAATCATAATATTAACCTAAAAATTCTTATAAAGTTAATCTATTTAAAATTGCTGCTTAATTCTATTAAACATCATCAAATCCTAAATTTAAATTTGAATTTGGAAATATTAAATATTTATCTAATTAACTTTTTGTTATTGATTTTGCTGAATATTATGCATTATAATTTATTATTGTATATCTTGTTACAATAAATGATTCTATTGGTTAAAATAAATAATATTTTATTTAAAGTAGATCTATATCAACATTATTTTAATTCAAAATATTAAGACTACTAATCATTGATAATAGAATTTAAATAAAAAATAAAACTTGGTTTAATATTAAGATTGAAATTAACAGTTTTTAAGATCTACTCAAATTACTTATTTATCTGACTTTTTCAAAAATTCCATATTTTTATATATTCTTAATAGAGTAGAATTATTTTTTATCATCTTCGTTTATTGAATAACTTTGATTGTCTTTTTCTTAAATTAACTCTTTTTAGCTTTAATATACATTTTAGAGAGTCAATGGTTTAATTATAGTTTATCGATGATTGCTTCCTACTTATTATAATTAAATATCTTTATCAATATCAATTAATGCTAATGTCTAATGATCTCTAACTGATGCAAGGACTTCAGATTTATGAATATTATATGCATCTTGGTTTTCCTATTAAAATTCTTATGATTCATAAGGAATAATCACTTTAACTTATTCATCCAAATCATCCTTATCATGAACTGCTATCTAAGCATATGTCTTTAATGTTTAACTACGATATGGAACTTTTATTTCGTTTTTAATGTAATTAAACATTATTTTGTAAAATCCATACTTTGATTTTATTATGTTACAATGAGATATATAGATATCTGTTTTAGATTTTTCCTTCCAACATTCCTTTATTAAAATTTATTATTATTATTTGCTAATGAAATTCTTTGAAATAGAACTTACATATTTTTATAGTTAAAATCCACTTAAAAATCGAAGTTCTAGATATTAAGCTTAATCATTTTTTGAAAGTTCTACAAATTAAGGAATTACTAATTCTATTTAAATTCCGTAAAAGTATTTACATATTTCATGATTAATCTCAAGGGAATCTAAAAATCCTTTTGTAATTCCAACAATACAAAGAGATTCATCTACGATTAGAACAATTGAATCTTCGCAAGAGATTGTCGCTATTGTAATAGAATTGATTTGATTATTTTAGATAAAAACATCATTTATAATAGTAATTGGTTAGATAAAATCCTCATTCTAATAAAAGGTAGATGTAGTTTCTTAAAAAAAGCTAGATTCTCCAGTTCTTAGAAAATTTATAATCATTTCTTCATGATAATCTTTTATACCTCTTGGTATAATTTCTTATAAATTTTAGATTTTATTTTTCATTACATTGTGATAATTTGATGATAGTTTAATAATTTGCCTATTTTCTAAATTAGTAATTAAATAAATGGTTTTAATTGAATAAAAATCTAAACTTAAAGATAGGATTTTTGTATAAATAGCTTCATCATTAAATGAAGTTAAATTCAATACTCTTATGGCTTATAAAAAATCATTACATAATTCAGCATATGCAAAAGTTAAACATCTTTAATATCTTTTTAAAGGAAATTATTTATATAGTTATTCAATTAATTGTATGTTTTCTTCGAAAATTTATATACAATAATTTGCATGCCTTTCTAATTTAGCTTTCTTTATTTTATTTTGGGTAAAAAGCTATAAAAATTTTATCTTCTGCTTACAATTTTAAATTAGTTGTTCACTTAATTATTAGCTTTAATTCTCTACCTTAATAAAATTTAAAATATCAAGATTAAAGACCTTATTACGTACTGTTTAACTAAATATGTTCATTTATTATTTTAATTCAAGTTTGCATTTTAATGAGCAAATATCAAATTTAATTTGCTAAATCATTGATTAAAATTTTTTATTTTTTTAAATATATTCATATGCTCCGTAATAATCTTCGAAAAGTAGTAATAAAGAAAAATACTATAGTTGATCCTAAAAATCAATTAAATAATTACTTCAATCTTAATTTATTCTAAAATTTTTGAATTACTTTTTTTAAGGTTTAATTGCTATAATTAAGTGATTATTAACAATTTTTGGCTTAAATTTTTTCTATAGAATACCTTTTTAATGTTTGTGTCCTCTCCTTGATTTTAAAAGAAGATATGAATAATTTTATTTTGAAAATTTTTCAAATCGGAAGAAGAATATAGTAACAAATTTTCAAATTGATACTATGAAATTTTAATCCATAAAGGCCATAAGATAATAAATATTAACTATGGGTTGTGATTCTCTGTATCATTAAATTGGATTATCAAAACTCCAAAACAAAAAATTAAAGAATTTAAGTAAGTATGTAATTATAGTTTGAGAAGATTTAAATTTGTTTACGGAAGGTGAATAAGTATATTTGTGATATTGAGAATACAAATTAATATCGATACTATAACTTACAGTATAACAAAAAACTGGCTGAAACCTTGCACAAAAAGCAAAATCTATGTTATATTTAAAATTTAGGAGCAAGTATAATATATTGATTAATTCTAATGATTGAAAGTGTGATATTTAAATATTATACTAACTTTTGTAAATGCAATCCTATAAATTAAAATACCAAAGTAAATGCTAGAGATAATATAATTATAAGCTGTTTAATGTAATAATAATACTTCAACAATAACATTAAAGAGCCATACATCAAATATTTAATTCATAAAAAACAATACTTTTCTGGTCATTTTAAATTTATGATAATCATGAGCCAAAATTTATGTATTCATCCCTTTTAGTACAATGTTTATAAATGTCAATAAAATTCCAAAATAACATATATATTACATTAGACTTTAGATAGTTTCTAAGTTATTTAAGAATAATTATGGTCTCACTAACTTTGCGAAAAAAATAAACAATTCATCTCCATAAAATGTTTTTTAATTTGGTACAACCGTATATGAAAATGGAGTTAATGCTCCAAGTAATCCAAAAAAATATATTAATGGCTGATTCACTTCATATTCACATTCAACTGTTAAAGAATCGTTGAGGATATTTAGAAGAAATTTAACAAAAACTTCTTTTAACATATTTATTTATAATAAGGAAATATTTGATAACAAATACCCAATCAATGAAATATAATTTAATTGAATTTATTTTACAAAATTTTCTTTAGCCACCCCTTAATATTTAAAAATTTAATTACAAACTATATTAGGATTTATATATCTTAAGACTTTCTTTATGTCTAAAAGCATTTAAAAGTTAGGAAAATGAAAAAAAAAAATTATTGATAAATTTTTTTTGGCTAAGAAAACTACTGAAATTTTTTTTATTTAAATTATTTTTCATAAATTTTAATAATTATATATTAAAATTAATTTGAATAAAAAACTTTGATTATCATGCCATAATTTATTAGTCTTGCATTACAGATCTGGCTAATCTTTCAAAAGCGTCATCAAGAAACAATGTCTATTAAGGTAATAAATAGAGATATCTCTTTGCAATATAATATTATCTTTTAAGAAAAGGATTAATGATATAAAACAAGAAAATAAAGGATATTACAACAAAGCTCAAAGCGAAAACACACAAATACTAAAATGAAAATTATATTTTACTATAATGCTTGATAAAATATTATCTGTTTGATTTGTTAAGTCAGCTTTCATATAAGTATTAATTTGTTTTATAACTTGACTAATAATGAATGCTCCTTCTAATTCATTTCTAGTATCTTCAGTTTTATTTAAAAATTTATTAATCTACATCTCATTCTAAATATTAGTATAAATATAAATAAGACTTCCTGTTAAACCATTTAGGAAACTTCCGCCTAAAGTTATCGAACATAAAGCCATAGATTTCTCTTTCATCGAATCATCTAAAAAGTTACAAATGTTTGATGATGAAATGGTTTATATATATTAACTAAAATCTTAACTTAACAAATATTAGTTTCTATAAATAATCATTAAATATATATATATACATTTGAAGACTTTAAATATATCCAGTAACATTTTATACTTAAGATAAACAATCTATTATTTGATTTAGAATTGTCTCTAAATCATCGTCATTGTAAAAGGGATATCTCCATCTGTAGTAAAGCACTTCTCTCATTGCATAAATTGTAGGAATATTAGTTCCAAGGTCAGCAATTTATTAATAAAAATAAGCTGTTGGTTTAAATGAAGTAAAATAATTTAGATTAACAAAATATTTAGCTATAGAGAATGAGATTAAAATTATAAATTAAATTAGTATCAAACAATATCCGAATTTATTTGAAAGGAATCTTTTTTAGTATTATAATCTTTTAATTGAAGTTTCAACTTATAATTATTTTTACTACAATTTTAATTAATTTTCCTTTTTGTCAATGTGAAATTAATATTTAAATAATGAATCGCTATTCTTAGATATACTATCGATATAATGAGTATATCTATCAATATCCTATTCCATTGAGTAGACTTCATTAAAAGTCATAAAACCTAATAAAGAAGCAATTCTTCCTTAATTTTTTAAAAAATAAAAGATTTCAAAACTTACGATTATCAATATTAAAATAAGAAAAGGATAAAATAATTTTAATTCTTTAGAAATATCTAATTAAATGGTTAGATTAGTTTAAAGATATAAATCTTAATTTAATAAATCAAAAGAATTATATAAAGTTAATAGATTTCTATAAGAATAGAAAATATAAGGTGAATCTGAGACAGTTTTGCCATCATATTTATAAGCAGCTTTAAAAGTATATTAATAATTAATTAAAATACTTAATGCTTATCTCATTGTAATATTATAAAGTTCTCCTATATCAGTTTTAATATAAATGTAAAAATCATAATATTAACCTAAAAACTCTTATAAAGTTAATCTATTTAAAATTGCTGCTTAATTCTATTAAACATCATCAAATCCTAAATTTAAATTTGAATTTGGAAATATTAAATATTTATCTAATTAACTTTTTGTTATTGATTTTGCTGAATATTATGCATTATAATTTATTATTGTATATCTTGTGACAATAAATGATTCTACTGGTTAAAATAAATAATATTTTATTTAAAGAAGATCTATATTTGTTAAATACTAATTAAAAGTTGTTGAACTTGAATTTAAGGATACTAAAATTTAAATTGTAAAAACAGCTAATTGTAACATAATAAAAAAAATTAAGACTTTTTAAACCTAATTAGTATTTGGAGATTGTAGCATCTTTTCTAAAAGTATGTATTTTTTATAATAAAAAGCCTTTTTTTACCCACTTAATTAACTAACTTAAGATGATTATCCTTCCATTTAAACATCTTAAGAATCGGCATCCTTACTTTTAGAATATTTTATATTTATTTTCGATTTTTCAATAAAGTATTTTTATTGTTACTGTAGAGATTATAATGGCTAATATGTTTTGTTTTGCGATTCATTTTATCTAGATGAATTTTTAACGTGAAACTAATCCTCTACTAAAAATCCAATACCATCATTATTATGAGATTCTCTATTCGATAATAACAAATCTGGACTCTAGAAAATAACAATATCATTAATGTATTTAGGTTCAGATTCTTCATAAGGAATTAACATTTCTATTTATTCATCAACTTCAATTTCACTAAGATTGTTACCATTTTATTGAAAATAAGATTTTTATGTTAAAGTTCTTGAAGCACTTTAACTTCCTCTTCTTGTTGAATTTTTTAAATAATTAAATCTAATTATGTAATATTTATCGTCATTATTTTAAATACAACAATGAGTAGTATAAGTATCAAAATTAAATTAATCTGACCAACAACCATCCATAAGATCTGAGATATTTCTTTTTTGCTTATAATGAATAAGGAGTGTAACAAAGTCAAATAATTTTGATTTTGTTAAAAATCTAAGTTATAATTGTTAAACTTAACTGTCTTCAGCATGAAATTTAAATTTAGGAATTACATAATCAACTGGAATTCCATAAATTAATTCAATTTAATCTTAACTTCCCCCAACTATTTCAAAAAATTCTTCACTTAATCCAACAATTTTATTTTAATTATCAACAATCATTATAATTTAATTTTCCTCTTATATGGATAATAAAATTAATGCATTAAGTTGGTTTTTTTCAAATAAAATTTCTGTCACAATATTTACTCCTTCACAAAACCCTTTTTTAGCAATTAAACCTTCTTAAACATTTCTAAAAAATTTAGATTTTCCAGTTTTAATGAATGTTTTTATCATACTTGAATGATAATCTTTTATACCATTAGGTATTAAATCATCTAATATCAATTAATCAACTTAAAAGAAATCATATGCATTACTTGAATTTCTAATTATTTACATATTGTCCAAATTTATCATTAAATATGTTGTTTTAGTTGAATAAAGATCAATTTTTAGATTTGAAACATTTTTATAAACTTTATCTTCTTATAGAGCAGTTTAACTAAAAATTTTCATTGCTGATAAATAATCATTAAGTAATTCAGCATAAATAAAAGCCAATATATTTTACATTCTATTACTTGGATATTCTCTATATAGATTTTAAACAAATTCTTTTAATTTATCTAATTCCAATACTAAAATATTAGAGTTCTCATACAACTTATCAATTTGATCATAATCAAATTCCTTAAAAAAAAAAATTTTTTTCTAACATAAACTGATGATTCTTTTACATAATTCTAAATTTTTTTATTCTATATCCATGAACTTTTTTATATTCAATTCAAAGTCTTTATTTGTATCAAAATTATTCTTTTACATCATATGATAATTAAGTTTCTATCTACATTTTCTAGCACAAATTAAAAATTTTATTTTATTCAATACTGATTATCCTTTTTTGTTCTCCCATTTAGAAATGTATAAGAAAGCCTAAAAGTAGAATCCTAATTTCAAAAGAAGGGATAAATGAGAGATGAAATCCTCTTGAACCAACTAAAGTCAAATTTGAACGATTTACCTCTTAGTGCTTTAAACTCAATCTAAGATAAAAGTCATAAAAGTCTTCTTAATTTAACACTGTAAGCCTCTATGGTTCTATATCAATTTTTCTTATGCCTTTACTCACTATTGATTCTGTCAAAATACGTTGCTTTGAATAAACAAATTTTGATTTCAGTTCTAAAATCAAATTTAAAATTTAAGAAGGATTTGATTATTACTCTATTGTAAGTAATAACTTTTTTGAATAATAATAAGTAGCTATTTTAAAACTTAATGGCATGAAAAATATGAATAGTAGTTCAATATATTCTATTTCTAATGCACTCTCTAAATGGATTAAATAAAAAAGATTATAGACAATAGAATTGAAATTTATTGCAAATACAATAAGGAAAATATTTTTATTTAAATAAGGGTGATAAATTAATGTATTAGATAGAATAGATATATTGATTAGAAGGCCAAAAATGATCAAATAAAAAGTCATTATTCCATCCATTTAGGTATTAAAACTAAAAAGTCCTATTTAGACTAGATTGAATGTTTAAGCAATATAAATTAAAAAGGACTGATTGGATATATTAAAGGTATTTTGCTACAAGAATAACTATACTTTTGTGATTACTAATCGATACAATAGAAAAATTAAATAAATTAATAAAGTTAAAATTGATAAAGCATCCGCCTTTCTTAATAACATCTCCAAAATAATATTAATTAACCAAATATCGTATATCTGATTACAAAAAGTAATAATCTTTAAATAGAGAGTTTATTTTAAATCTTCAACATTGTTTTTCGATATAATAAAATAAACAATGTAATTCATAATAATTACACCTGCAATCACAAATAAAAATATTTTATAAGAGGAACTAATATCTCCTATAAATAGATGAGGTCTTATTATTTTTCCTAAAATTTAAAAGTATATATTATTATTTGATTAGCCCTCTGCAGGTGTAATAGTATACGAGATTGGTAGCAATGAACTAAAGGTAGTAAATAAAATTAAAGCGAAATCATTAACCTAAAATTCTGTTTCTTAGAGCAGAGAGAACTCTAATAAAAATGATATAAACTTCTAAATTTAATATCTGATATTCATAATAATAATTATTAATAATATGAGTTCAGATTCATTTGAAAAGCTTATGTAATTGATATAGGAATAAAACAGTGCTTGTAAATAACATTATGATCAAAATAACAGATAAATAATTGATTTGATAGGAAACTTAGATAATAATATGAAGAACTTAAAAAAGTAAATAGAGTAACCAACAATTCAACATCATCATACTTTATCAAAAGTAGAAGAGGTGGAGAATGAAGATCAGGAATAGTCACAATTTTAAGTGTTGTAGGAGGACAAGGAAGAATTGGAGCAGCAAATGAATTAATAATAGGAATAAGATTAAATTGTTATTTAAGATCAAATAAATGAAGAATAATGATTGATACTGTTAATTATTTTATAACTTTCAGTTGTTTTCTAATTAATATGAATAGGATAGCACCAAAGATTTAGCCATTTATTCTTGATTTTTATATACTGCTGGCATTAAAATAATGCACTCTTCCTTATTCTTAATGAATCCATCAATTGGATCATGTTTTGATTGATTAAAAGCTACCTTCTATCCAATAGATTGAATATCAAATGTTAATGTTGGATCACTTATGTAACAATTAAACATAATTTCTGATAATTTGTTAAAGAAGGTTTCGATTTAATCATTGTTATTTAGTTTTAAGTATTTTTATAATTCTGATCTGATAAATGTTTAATTTCGCATACATTTTTCATAAATTAGTTTATAATTTCCTTAAAATGACTTTCTCATCACATTAATAATTGGTCCATCTATATTATTGAAACATCCCACCTAAAATTATTGTTTATGATATTACCTCCATAATATTTTTGAATAGAGGTGAAAAGTACTCTTGAATGATTTTGTCTATTCGATTCATAGAAGTAGAAAAAAAGTAAATAATACCTTTGAGATTTAATTCTTAAGTCAACACATCGAAAAATATATCAAAACATTCCAATTTATAAAATTCTGCAATAGAATTACTTAATTCATTTGCCATAGGAAATGAAATACTAGTGTTTGAAAAGCCAGATACCATGCATCTTAGATGAGATTGCATTTATAGTATTTCGTGCTATAAATTTTAATTTTCTTTAGTTAAATTTTCCTTTTCTTTTTTAGTTAATTACAATTTATTCATCAATAGTTTAATTTTTCCTTTTAATTCTTCTTATGTTCCATCTAAATAATCTGAAGGTTTTTAGTAGTTTTCTTTGGCATAATTATTCTTCATATTTAAAGTATGCTGTTAAAACATTAGTTTTTATATTTTAAATTTAAATCATAATTTACAGTTAATAAAAATGGCTTTATTAAAAGACGATACAGCATTTACTCATGTTATAGCAATAGATTTTGGCACTGGAGCTTCAGGGTATAATATGAGCGTAATAAATTTTAGATTTGGATTAGCTCCAAGAATTTTAGATAAAGAAGGCAAGCCAAGAATAGAGGTTTTCAATCCATGTGATGATTCAGATGATTAAAAAACTCCAACTGCTATTCTATTTGATAATAATGGTTAATTTATAGAATTTGGATCTTAAGCACTTTAAAAATATGCAAGTATGCTTGATGATGGTGAAACAGCCCATTTGTTTTAAAATGTATAAAATAATTATAAAATTCTAAGTATAAAATGCATTTGTATCATATGCATAATTAAGGTAGATCATTAGATAATCGTGAACTACCATTGATGTTGATAATAAAAGAAACCTTAAAATATATAAGCAATAAAGCAATTTCTAAATTAAAAGAATAGGTAGGTAAAGTTATACCTACCAAAATCAGATGGGTTTTAACAGTTCCAGCTTTATGGAGTGAGGAACATAAATAATTTATGAGAAAGGCAGCAGTTGAAGCAGGTATAGTTGATCATATAAATTCTCCAAATTTATTACTTTGTTTAGAGCCAGAAGGTGCATCTATTCAATGTAGAGAAGATGCTGAATCTACATTAAAAGAATAAATGGCAAATAAGTCAGTTGTGATGGTATTAGATTGTGGAGGTGGTACTGTTGATATAACAGTTCATAAACTATTATGCGAGCCAAATGAAAAATTTCTATGTAATGAATTAATACCATCTTCTGGTGGTTGTGAATGGGGATCTAAGTATGTTGATCTGTATTTCGAAGAATTTCTGAAGGAGTTTTTAGGAGATAAATTATTTAGATCATATTAATAAAATGCTATTGCTCGTTTAGATATTTTAAGAGATTTTGAAATTCTCAAAAGGAAATTTAAAGGTAATAAGGATGAAAAATGTATGATAAAATTTTCATATATGGGAGAAGAATTAAATACAAATAAATTGTCTTAATTAGTAAAAGAACATAATTAAAAACATCCTTCAGAATATCAAGTGAAATTAAAAGGTTTATCTAATGTAGAAATTTCTTCAGCTCTAATGGCTTCTTTCTTTTAAACATTATTTGAAAATATAAAAAATAAGGTTGCTTAATTATTAGTTCAAGTAGAATAGAAAAAAGAAAAAGTAAACTTTATATTTATGGTTGGAGGTTTTAGTGAATCTCCATTTTTGAAGTAAGAAATTATAAAAAGATTCGAAAATAATACAATTTAAATTTTGGTACCAAGAAGACCATAAGTTTCAGTAATAAGAGGAGCATGTTTATTTGGTTTGAGTCCAAGATCAATTACAAGTAGAATAGCAAAGAAAACATATGGAATAAATACATTAACAACATTTGATCCAGAAAGACATCCTATAAAGAAAAAAGTAATTATTGAAGGAGAAGAATTTAGTGAAGATGTATTTGATGCATTTGTAAGAAAAGGAGATGCTGTTGGGTATTATTATTATAAACATTTTAGATGTGATGAAGTTCATACTAAAATATATTGTCCAGTTAGATCTAGATAAACTATAATGAGAATTATCTTCTATGTCACTGAAAAAAGGGAAGTAGAATTTGTAGATGAAATAGGTGTATAATAATTAGGAGAATTATGTATTGATATTGGTAAACCATTATAATCTGTTGAGGATAAGACAGTAAAAGTTACTCTTTTATTTGGTAATACTTGTATTTATGCAACTGCCACAAATAAAGATGGAACTGAAATTAAAAATTGCGAATTCAAATTTGAATGCGGCCATTGATCATTTTAATTAATAAATGAATAATAATAATATATTTTTTTCCATTAATTACTAAGAGAGTATATTATTAATAAAAAAACGAAAATAAAATGAAATATTTACTTTTATTTCTTACATTTTCATTATCTATTTGCATTAAATTAGAACTCTTAGAAGTATTTCATCAATCTATTGATTGGCAAGCCAATTATTAACCAACTTATGAAAAATAAATTAAAAAATTAGAAAGACAAATATAAATTATGAAAGAATAAAGAAGAGCAAAAAATTAGTAATGCGATCGTATATAAAGAGGATTAGACTTTATTGTAAATGAGTATATACTTTATGTTAATTAAGAAAGGAAAAAAATGAAAAGTTTACATCATGGTTAACGTCACGTATTGCATAAAATTAAAATAGGGTTGAAAAACTCAATTAAATCAAATGCTAAAGTAGTTCTTCATTTTATGAGACTATGAATGAACAAAATAGAGTTATTAAATTAAACTAATTTTTTGTTAGTTGGATTAGTAGAGATCAGAAATTACTTTAACTATAAGATACATAAGCATTCATTTAAGAAATGTAGATTGATAATGAATTTTAAGATGCATTATTAATTTTATCTGGTATATGTAAATCAATCAATTTAAGAATAAATTAGATCATGTAAATTATCACCTTTCAAATAATAGAAAATTGATAGAAGTGAAAGTTCAAGAAGAGATTTTGAATAAAATATTTTCAATTTAGAAAAATTATTGAATTAAAATAATGATTTAATGGAATTAAATGAAGTGAGAGTTTAAGACAAATTAACTAAATTTATCTAATAATTAGATAAAGAAACTGAACAATTATAAATTCACTATGAATCAATAATGAAAATAATTAATAAAAGTCCTGTTGAAATAACATCAAAATAAAGACTTGAATAATGTAAAAAGGATGTATTGAGCATTGATAAATTAATTGAAGCAACATAAGAAGCATTAGAAAGAATTAAAACTTGTGCTCCAAGTGAAGGTATTAAATATTTTTTAATAATTAAGGTTTGGCATTTAAATAAAAGAGAATTTTAAGTTAGATTGCAAAAGAATACTCTTAAGGTGTTGCTAAATTTGAATAAAAATGAATTTATGAATAAATTCTATAAAAATAGCGAATTGCATTTTTTTATATTGAATATATAAATTAGTAGTATTTAAATTAATCGTTAATGGACACAACCTAAAGACAAAATTGATATATGAGTAGACTAAGCAAAATAAAAAATTATTGAATGAATGGTCCGAAAAAACTGTTTAGGCATATTTATAGTAATGCAAGAAATATGTTGAGGAAATGTATTCAGGAAATTTAATTATAGTTGATGATGGATATAATTAAACTTAAAAAGAATTATTGATTCTTGAAAATTTATTTAAAAGTATAGTAATTATAATGAAATATAGATTACACAAAAACTAAAGGAGATATATTTAATCAAATTAGATAGGATATTCAATTGCAAGAAAACTATATATGGAGAATTTACAATAAAGAGTGTTTAAGTTATTTAGATAATAAATGAAATATTAAAAATATATCAGAAGTATGAAATTTTATGCTGCAAAATATTATAAGTGCAATATTAAATTAAAAATAGATAGAGATTTCCAAATTAAGTATTCAGCAAATGGAAAAGACTAGCACATAATTAAACAAGACAAGCAATATTGTAATAAGTGAATAGAAAAACAGATAATGAAATAATGTAAATGCAAAAAGAATATGATTAATTGATAGGATAATTGGAAAATGTGTTGGAGAAAAAGTTAATTGAATTAAAAGTGGAAGAAGAATAACATAAAGAATTAGTTTTAAGATATGATGATATAGTTGAAAAAAGAACTATTGTAAAGCATTGATTGATTCTATTATTTTATATTTTCTAATTTAATCATATACTATGCCAATTAGATATGTAGATGTACTAACAGTGGAGTAAGCATTAATAAAAGCTGGAAATGGACATAAATTCTAAATAAGAGCCATCATCATAATGAGCTTATAGTATATGGTTGCAGGAATGTTTCACATTGCTATAACGGAATTGTATTTTCATCAAACTCAATATAAATGCATAGACCAACAATATAACTTATATTAATGTAGTGAGGTGGAATTTTGCAAATAATATTCTTCAGAAGATATAGACAAAGAAAAAATAACATTTGCATCTCAATTAGGAGATATAATATAATTCTTTTAGTTAGTTTGCAATGACAAAATAATAATATTAATTCTCATAACATCTTATTATTTGGGTGGATGTATAGGATCTTTATATTATGGAGAGCAAATGGAAATACGATAAGGAAGAAAGTAATATTGATTATTATTAGAGATCGATTATGATTGAAACTTTGGCCTTATTGGGATTTACATGTTGTTCAACTATATTAATACCAAATGCATATTTGTTGAGTGTAGCATTATTTTTTGCAAATTTCTTTTTGAGAGGATTTTTGAATTCCTCAATGATTTTATTTTTCGAAATATCATCTGAAAATCTATAGAAATTGAGTCCTTCAATATTATTAACAGCTTATGGAATAGGAACTATTATATCACCAGTTATAATTGAATCATTTTAATTAAATTGGTAATAAAGTATGTTAATTGTATTTGGTGGACCAGCAGTAATGTTTTCAGTTCTTATTAAATTTATGTAAGAATCACCAAGAATTCTTGTTATACGAAAGAAATATCATGAAGCAAAGATTGTTCTTTAAATTATCAGTTAATGTAATGGTAGAGAAATGCCAAAAGATTGGATGTTAGAAGAAGAAGTAAGAGTAAATGAACTTAAAGAAAAAATGCAAGAAATTACTTAATAATTTGGTGTGAGGGAGGTAGCCAAAGGATATAATTTTTCGTAATAATTTGTGTTTTAATTATAGTTCCATATTTCGTTATAACTCAACCAGAGTTAGAATGTTTTGTCTTCTTTATTTGTATTCAGTAATAATTATAGGATAATTTTAAACTTCAAAAGAAATAGATGCATTTTCTAGGTTAGATAGATAAAAAACTGAGTTACTATTAGCAACTGTAGCTACTGTAGGATATCTAATCAGTGGTTATGCAGGTTTAAATTATAATAGAAAAGACGTTTTGAAGATTGTTCTGGGTGTTAGTGCTTTGTTTAATTTTCTATATGCGATTTTCCCTATTTTTCAATTAAGTACAAATGCCCTAGCATTGATATCATTTTATGATAGATTCTTACATACTATTGTTATGATGGTTTTAATTATGTGTAGATTAGTTTTGAGTTTTGGATGTGCTTTTATTAATGTAAAATATTTAATCTAAAATAGATATATGCTTTAGAAGTATTTCCTACATCATTAAGACATTATGGTTTTTCAGGAATGGTTTTCTTAACTGAATTCTTATTCATCTTTTAAGATACATATGTGATCTTTTGTCATACTTTTGGATTGAATACATCTATTGGTATGTTTTTCTTATTGTTATGTGGAATGCTGACTCTAAATAAATTAAGAGAAACCTATGATTAACCATTAAAAGAAAATGTTGAAGAAATGAATGATGAATTACTTAATAATGTATATGTTTTATGATTTATTTAATTTTATCATATTTTAGTTAATATATTATTAAATATTAATAAATTTTATTTAATTAAATGACAGAAAACTCTCAACTTGTATTCTTTTTATTTAACATCAATAGATTGCAGAAAATATCATTTTAAAAAATTAAGTTTAAGAATTGAGATTGGAATTACAATAATGGAAATCTCATTTTGAAGAATTATCTATGTAATACTACAAATTACAATAATTAAAGATTAATCCAGAAGATCTTTTAGAACTTGAAGATTTAAAAGCAAAACGATAAAAATATCTAGAATAAGAATTTCAATAGAGTAGTATTATAACTCAATAAAATTAATTAATTTTTAATTTATAATAAGATAATAGAGATATGATAGATAAAATAGATAAATTAGAATAGAAAGCTAAAAATTATGATTGTTTAAAGTAATAATATTGGAATTTAAAGGAAGCAAGTTAAAAAAAACTTGAAGAATTAGAATTGATTAAATAAAAACCTCCAACTATACTTGTCCCAAACCCAGATGTTACTGCACTTTATAGAGAAATAAATCGTTTAAATTCTATTATTTAATAAATGTGCAAGAATTCTATTGATTAAATTTGTAAGACATCTATAGATTATAAGAGTAAGTAATTAGAAAATGAATCAAAATAATGATTCTATTAATTACGTGTTTTATAATTGTTTTTAATAATAAATAAATAATTTATAATGAATTTTGCTGAGCTAGGAACAAAATTTAAAAAAGATGATAACATAGGATAATAATAAAAGTCTCAAGATGGTTGGGATATTGAAGAAGATGATTTTCCTTCTGATCATGGAAGTTAAGATTAGCAACCATAATAATTAAACAAAATTAAATATAATCAAAATTAACTTGAAAAAAAGAACGATTGGGAAATTGATGATGATATTGATGATTTTAATTAACAAACAGTAGAAGTAAACAAAAAACAAGAATAACATTAAAAAATTTAATAAGATGAATAAAAATCATCATTAGAATAAGTAGATATGTGGGGAAAATTTACTAGTACAGTGTAATAAACTTAAACTATTGAAAAACTAATTAAAGAAAGTGCTCCTTAAAAAATTAAATAAACCTTTTAAAATATATTCGGCTCATAAACTAGTGCATCAAATAATATTAATAATGTATAGGAACAAAGTTAAAATAGTAAAGTCTTTGCAAGTATTTAACAGGTTATTGATATGAAGAAATTACTTGAGTTTGAAAAGTAATCTTTATTATAAAGTAGGTCTGAATTAGAAGATGAAATAAAACTTAGAAGAATCTAAACAGAAAATGAATTGTTGCAATAAAAAACAGAGTTAGAAGAAAAAATAAAAGTTTTCACATTAGAGAAAGAATAATTCAATTAATAATTAAAGGAAACTAAATAATTATTTAAATTGTCTGAACTTATAGATCCTCATGATAATCAATAAGAAATTATAAATAAATTAACTAAAGAAAATGAAAATCTAAATAATGATATAACTAAATTGATAGATACTTAAGAAAAATAAATTAATGATTATGAAGATAATATTGAACAGATGTAATAAGAAATTGAGTATTACAAAAATCAGTTCATATAATATTAATCAAAATATAAAAATGTTAAAGAAAAGATTATGAATGAGATTCCAAAAATATAAAACTAATTAAGAACTATTTAAAAATAAGAGTTTAAAAAATTAGTTATAAATCATATTGCATAATTTAATAACTATTTTAGTGTAAAATAGTAAGATTTAATATAAATTGCAAAATAAACAACCTCTAACTAACTTAAATAAATTAGTAATCTAAAAGAAGATAATATTTAATTAATGTAGAAAGTTGAAGAATTAGATGAATTAAAGGAAGAACATTAATCAAGTTTATATATAATAAAATAGTTGAGAATATCTGAAGATAAATTAATTGAAGAAAATGAAAGAATTCAGAATGAGAATTAGGAAAAGGAGAATCAGATATAAGAATATTAAGATTAATGGATTATTTTGAAAAAAGAATTTGATAAAGAGAAATAGGAGTTAATTTAATAGATTATATAATTATAAGAGGAAATAGATTAGATGAAAAGAAATTAGGAGAATTATGTTGAAAAATCAAATATGATAAAATTAGAATAGTATGTAGAACTTATTCAAGAGGAAAAGAAAGCTGTACTTTGTAATTTAGAAAACAAAGAAACATAAATATTAGTTCTAGAGTAATAAATTTAAGATTTGAATGAAGAATTAAATAAGAAATAGAAAAATGATGGTAATGAGATATGGAAATAAGAGGATTAAGGATGGGAATTGGATGATTCTTTTTAAAGAAAATATGATGAATGTATTTTATGAATTAATAAAATAGTGGAGTTATAAATGATTTAATATCGAAATGAAAATCATGAATTAAAATATCAATTAAAAGAAATGGAAGTTCGTATGTTATAGTAATAACATAAATAGGATGCTCAAGTTGAATAGATGCATTAATTATAGATATGTTTAGTAGATACAGAATATTAGAAAAACTTTTAAAATGCTGTTTAGTAATAATAATTGAATAAATATTTAAGATAAGAAAGAATATAGGAATTAGAAGAATAAATTTCAATTGAAAAAAGAAAGATTTCGGATGAAGAAGAGAAAGTTAGTGAATAAAATTAATAGGTAGATGAAGATTCTTAAAGAGCTATAAATGAATTAAGATAAATTGATTATGAAGAAAATGCAGCATAAAGAGAAGATGGAGCTTGGGAATTTGAAGATAGTCTTAATGTTGATATTTAAGAAGTATTATTTAAATTAATTATTTTAGTAAGAAAACGTTGGTGAATATTAAAATATATTATTAAATCAAGGATAAAATATTAATTAATAAGATTATGAAAAATAAGTAGATGAAAGTTCTGATTTCTAAGATGAAATATAACAAAATGATTAATATTAATAATAAGATCAAAATGAATAATCAGATAATTATCAATAAAATGATTTATCATAAGAAGAAGCTCTAAATAGAGATTAAGAAATGTAATAAGATGTAGAAAAAGATTCAGAAATTCTATCTGAAAGAGAAGCATTATTATAAAACTAAGAAGAAGAAGAAGATGATGAAAATTATGTAAAAATTTAAGATCATATGGAAAGTTAAGATTTTAATATAAATTAAAAATAACAATAAAATGATACATCTTAAGATTAAGAATAATAATAAAAATAAGATGATGATGAATCAATTAATGAGTCATAAAATGATCAAAATGAAGATGCTTAAGAAATATATGAAAATTAAAATGATTTAAATTATCAAAATATAGAATATAAGAATTAGGAATAAAAGAAAATAAATGAAATAAGTGAAGAATAAAAAGATAGTTAAAATTCTCAAGTAGATTCTTAAAATTTTAATGATGAATACGAAAGTGAAAATGAAGATCAAAATTAATAATGCTATTAAGATTAAAATTATAATCTCGAATCATCAAATGATTAAAATCAATTTTAAGATGATGAAATTGATGGAGAAAATAAAGAAAATTATAATGATGAATAAGGTAATTAAGAAGAAAATCAATATAGTGAAAATTAAGATGAGGAATAATTTAATGGAGTTGAAGATATTAATAAAACTGATCATGAAAATTAAAATAATGATTAAGAATAAAAATAAGAATCTGAATAGAATTAGGATATTTATCAAGATGATGATAAAGAAAATTAATAAGAAGAAGATTTGAATTAATCCGATTAAAATTAGGATTAATTTTATTAAGATGAATAAAATATAGGGAATAAATCAAATGAGTTATAAAATTCAGAAATAGAATAATTAAAAAGTTAAGAATAATCATTAGAAAAAGATCAAGAATATTAGGATAATTAAGATCAATCCTTCTAATATATTGGTATTGATGTAAAAATGGATAATTTAGAATATTAATAATAAATTAATCATTAATAAGAAGAAAAATAAACAGAAAATATGAATTCACACTAATAATAGTTCGATATGGACAAACCAGATGAAAATTTTAATAACAAATTGGATGTTTAAGAGAGCAACAACTAAGAAGATTCTAATTAAAATATAGAAGTTGAAATAGATGACTAAATTAATAAAGAATAAGAGTAGATAGAACTAGAATATTAGATTGTACTTGAACCGATTTAAAATTTAAATGTTGATAATCAAATTAATGAGTAAAACTTAGGAGATTTTAATATTGAGGATGCAAATAATGAAAATAATAAATTTGAGGATCAGCTTAAAATAGTTATAAATACTTCTAATTAATTAGAAAAAAATTACAATATTGATTTTAATTCTCAAAGAAATATTCCATCTTAAGAAGATTTATCTCCTTCATATTAAAATGAAGGTGTTTAAGAATAGATCTCAAAACCACCTATATTTTCAGAAGAAAAATCTTAGGAAAAGGCTATTTGTGATTAAGAATAAGGAATTTAAATTATTCAAACACCTTAAGAAGTTGATTTCAATATAAAAAAAATATAAATTGAAAATGAAGATATTAAAGTAGAATAAATTAGTAATAATGTTGAAATTGCAGATGAAGAATAAGGAAATTAATGGGATGTAGAAGATGATATTGATTTTGATAATGAAATTGATAATTAATAAAATCAAGTAATTTAGGAGAATAAATAAGAAATTGTTTAAATGAAAATCAATAACTCATAATTTAGTTAATAATAAAATTAATAAGAAAAAGAGAGAAACATTTAAGAACCAGTTTAAGATTAATAATTTGAAGAATAAACTCCTGATGTGTAATTTGATGATAATGAAGATAATTAGGAAGAATAAATTAATACATAAATTCCGAATATAAAAAGACTCAGTTAAGAACAATTGTAAATGGATGATGAATTAGAAGAAATAGATCCATGGGCTGAATAATAAGGAATAGGGGAAAATAAAGAATCAGGTTGGGATTTAGATGATATATGATTATTGTTAAATATATATTAAATGTTTATAATTGATACTCAAAAATACAATCCTAAAGCTAAAAAAGTAAATAATGTTCCAGATGATAAAAATAATGCTGAAAAAAATCCAATAGCCAATTCTTTTGATAAAATTCTTTGCTCTTTTTATTTAGTAAATTAATAACTATCATTATTATAAATGAGTGCTTACATCACAAAATCTGATAAAAAACAAAACCCAATAAATGTAAGAACAATTGATAAATTACTATAGTGTTTAGGATCTATTGGAGGTTAGTAAGCAGAATATACCATCAATATTAATTATTAATTTATTATATTTTATTTTATAGTTAATAATTCAAATTTGAATGAGTTTTGTAAACGATTTAGATGATCTCTGTGATTTTAGTAAATTAAGTCAAAAGTGGAAATAAACAAAAAATGAATAAGTTAAATAACCTTCTCCAAGTCCTTCAAAAACTGAATCAGATATTACTTCAAGCAAATGTGTGACTAATCCATGGAATAAAGGTTTAATTGTTAAATTATTTTAGAAAATTATGTACCAAATAATGAAGAAGCAAAAAAAAATATTAGTAAAACTAGAAATCATGCTCCTCAAATTATTGATGAGGATACCGAATAATTTAAAATAAGATTAGAACATATATTAAATGTATTTAAGACAGAAGCTACAAGTGAATTTATGACTATGAAAAGATCTATGTTGGAAGATTAAAAATAAACTATTAAATAAGACACTGAAAAATATTTGTAAATGTATGAATTAAAAAATAATGAATTATAACAAACTAAAGAATAATTGGCTGAATAAATGAGAATTTGTAATTAAATTACAGAAAGATCAGAAAAAATAGCTTAATATTGTGGTAAAATGAAAAATAATAAGAGAAGATAAACTGTTTTATCAAATGTTTTAAAGGGCTTAAAGTAGTATTCAAAATATTCTTAGAAAAAAAAAAATGTAAGAAATAAAATCTATTATAGAATTAAAAAAAAGCTACTAAACATTATAAATTATATTTATAAAGATGGATATATAATTTATGGAAAAATTAATTCAATATTCAAATTAGAATTAATTAAGCTGAAAAATTGAAATTGACACATTAAAATGATGTTGATTTATTGATGGCTAAGTTTTAAAAGGAATAATAATTATTAGAATAGAAATTGTTTGAAGCTACATCTTAATTGGATGAAGCTAATAAAATTAAACTTTCAATGTAAGAAAATTTAAAGAGAGCATTTATGAGAGGAGTTTGTGCTTTAAATTTTGAAGCTATGAATGTTTTAAATGGATCATCTCAATAAATGGAATTAGATTCTTTAGCCACTAATTTATTAATGAATCCCTATTAATAATCAAATACTTAGTAATAATAATCAAATATTCATCAACCTTAATAATTTAATTAATTAAATGATACATTAAATTTAAATGAAAGTAAAGATTAATGGCAGAGATAACATTCCCCTCCTAAAAACATTATTTACCATTAATAAAATAGATTAGAAACTAATGATCATCGTTGGAAAGATGCTCCAATAGTTGGAATGAAATAGTTATCAGAAATAACTGAAAATTAGAGCATAAATATGTCTATATCAAAATTAGTTTAATAAGGTAATACTTAAATTTACTTAGATGATTTATAGTTTGATAAAGATGATGAATAAAATGAAGGAAAGGTAATCAAAGTAACTTTTGACAATCCAACAACAATCCACACATAATCGTAATCTATTAAAAAGTAACCAGTCTAAACCAAATAACCATAAACTAAATAACCAACCAAATAGAATACAATAACTAATTCATCAACATTTAAGAAAAAATGAATTTATTAATTATTTTACAATTATTAATCATCACTCCTAATATGGAATCTTTTAAACTTAGGCTTTATTATCATAATTCTTTAAATATTTTACAATAGATTATATGTTATTATTTCCTCCTAAAGGTTAGATTACATAATGGTCATTTTCTTAAGATTTTATTTTAAATCCATTATGTTTAATAATGCTCTTGAATTAATTAGGAAGAAAACCCTTCCCTTTTTATTCTATAAGAATATCATAACCTTTAATCTCCTATTTAGGTATCTCTATTTGATTCAGTTTAACATTAATTTCTTAATCCAACTTTGATTATCTTCTTGATTGATTCTAAGTAGAATTTTATTATGATTGATAGCTCTTTTGTTTTTAATATTCTGCCTCTAATTATTTTTCTTAATTTTCTAATTTCTTATATCTTAAAGAGTCATGATTGAGAAAGTTTAAATCAAAAGGCATAAAATTAGTTTTACCAGGATTTGTATGTTCCTCATAATATTTTCCAAGAGTATTAAATAAGACACTTCGCTAAGATTGTTTATTTTCAACTTTTATATCATCTTTTCTAAATTCTGCATTCAAAGTTCCTCTAACTTATTAAGGCTATTAAAAAGTAGGTTCTGTTGTGACTCTAGAAGAGATGATCGTTGATTATTTTTTTTTATTATTTTAATATTAGAGTGCTTATTTATCATTTCTAATTTAAATTTTTGTATCATGAAAGATATTGCTTTATAAGTAGCTTTGTTTATTTTTATTAGCTAAATATTAATTTTCTTCATAGTCCTATTTGAAGTTAATTGGTTTAGAAGGTTTTTGTTTAATAGCTTCTCCTACTGAATTAGATAATAATTCTTTAATTTTAGATTCTTAGTGATACGTTTAAGACTTTTTCCTGTTTTCAATAGGATATCGACTTTCAGGGAAGAGGAGCATTAAAAAGAAATAAAATTTATATTTTTTATCAATATATATTTAATTTATAAATATTATATTTAAATTCTTTAACATCATTTTATGAATAAATTTGTAACAAAACTCTAGATAATATAATTAATAGATAATGATAATATAATATCAATAAAACATTTTTTTTTCTATTAGAGAAGATCCATGTTCATCATAATCTGATTTATTTAAGGTCCATTAATCATAAATTTAAGAACTGGCAACAATAGAAGCACCTAACCAAGAAGCATGTTGACGGTCAAAAAACTTTGGGGGTGTTTGAACTTTACTTCTTGAAGACAATCCAAAAATTTTAAGATTATTAATAGTTCTTTAGAATCTTTCCACCATATTAACAGTGCAACTAGCTCCTCCTATCAAAATAACATTTTGAACTAATTCTTTTCTATAATCAGAATCAATTTTTTCTAAACTTGTTTCTAAAGCTTTATCTAATCCTTCAAAATATTCTGTTGGTTCAAATAAAAACTCTGGATACTTATACATTTCTTCAGATATAAGTAATTTGGTTTAATCTGGTAATTCGTAAGCTTAATTATCAACAGTTGGATTGAATTTTCTAAAAATTGTTAATGATTAATAATTACAAATTTTCAATAGGTTAATCGTAAAGCTTGACACATTAATGTTTAATTTCTCTAACTATTTCTAAATCTCCATATAATTATAAAGAAGGTGAGAGTTGACTATAATTTTTAAATCTTGAAAATGCTAATCCTTGTTACTTCCAAATTTCATATAGTTTATTTGTTATATATTCTCCACCTATTTCACCTCTTAAAATACCTAAAGTAGATAGATTAAATTACCTTTTTCAATAACATTACCATCTAATATTGGTGTAATTGTAGTATGTGATGATCCACAATCAACAACTAATACATTGTCTTTTCCTACTATATATTAAGCTAACATTGTATTTCTGTGAAAAAAGACAGAAGAAACATCTATTTCCTCAAATAGTATTTCAATTATTTTATTTCTGGTTTCTTTTTTAACATTACCATTTTCAACAAAGAAAAATGGAAAATGTCTTTCTTAATATAAAACATTATTTAGAATGTGTTCTACATATTCTTTCCAAATATCAAAATCTACAATTTATCCTCCTTAAAGGATATTCTTAACATCAAATCCAATTGGTTGATAAGTACTATTCTATTCAATAAATTTCATATTTCCTTCACTATCCATTAATAAATCAGATGGCAAAACAACTTCAGGTCCATCAGTTCCCGCATATCCAACTCTTGTATTTTATTATCCAAATTCAAATATAACAGGGATTTTATATCCTCTATTTTTTTTGTATGGTATGAACATTAAATTTAATTAAACAAAAAAAATAATGTTGCCATAATGTAAATATATAATATATATTTATATTCATTTAAATTTATTTTTTTTAATTTGTTTCTTTGATTATATCTTTATTTAATTTACAACACAATCATAATTATTTTGAGGTTTAAATTATTGATAAATTCCAATTTAATCAATATCAAAGTTATCTTTAAGATCTTATTTAAATAATATATTTTCTAAATCACTGTAATGTTAATTTTATCTAGAAGACATAATTGAATAAGATCTAGAATTAGATACAGATATAGATTTTTTCTTAATATCTGGACTGATTGCACTAGATATAGTATTAGTTTATTTTTGAGTTGTTCTTCTCATTCCTGTAGTATAAGTATTATTTTATCCATCTCTTCTTTGTACATCATCTATACTAGACATACCAACAGAACTGATAGAAATAGCTGATTAATAAGGATTATTAGTAATTGGAATATTTAATAAAGAATTACTCTCTTCTGAAACAATAGGTAATTAATTTTAAGTATTTGGAACATAATTAGTAGATGATCTATATTATGGTCTAATCATAGTCTAATATTCTGGTTATGGAGTAGTTAAGATTTATTTTTAATTTTATTCTTGATAAAAAGGATCGTAAGAGAATGTTAATTTTGGTTAAGCATTTCTATTACTACTTACTAAAAGTTAATTTGTTCCAAGAGGACTTTAAACATATGTTTTAGATTAGTATAACGATTATTATGTTTATTATTAATTCTATTATTACTATTATTATTATTATTTTAGTTATTAACTTTTCTAACTTTAATATGTATTTTATCCACTTGATGATCTTATAGTATTACTATTCTAAGTAAATTATTTATGTTATAATGGTATATTGATTGCTTCTCCAAAATACAAATCTTCATTATTTTAAAAGCCAGCTGTTTATAGAGTTTATTTATTATTTAAATGTCTATTAATTTCCTATTGCTATTATTATTATTACTACCATTGTTATTAATAGTATTACAATTATTCTTCATTATCAATATGATCATGATATATTATATCTCTCAAAGTTTAACCTGATACTATTTCTCCACTTTTCTAAAATCAAATAAATAATATATATACTCTTGATGGATTGGTCAAATCTTTATATGATTATCTACCTTATTATAAATCCTCTTCATAATAATCCTCATCTTGTTCCTCTTCTTCTTCATCATAACAATCTATTCGATTATTTATTTCTGGTTCATGAAATATAAATCCATAATTCTTTTTTAATCTTCTCCCACAACTTCTCACTAATTTAAAATTATATAAAGAATTCACTCTCTAATCCCATTTTCTTTCATATTTCTCTCTTTTTTATGGAATTGTATATAAATATCTACTTATTACAATATTTCTATTTAATACTGTATGAACTTTATTACATCCAGAACTCAAATGATATTATGAACCACAAATATAACAATTTTACATAAGTAATTCTATCTTATTCATAAATAACACTTCATTCTTTATTGAATGCAATCTTTCTAAATCATTATTGATCTTTTTTATTGTATCCATAAACTACTAATGTCTTATTTAAATTAATATTGAATTTCCTTCACTTCTCATTGTTAAATTATGACCTTAACCCATTAATAAATTTTCTATCCCTATTGCCTAACTCTAGGGTAAATTTTGCAAATAAACATTTTTATCATATATTCCTATTTCTCCTTGAAGAACTACATACATATATTCATCCAGTTGCCCTTTCTCTACAATTATATCATTAGTCCTATAAAATTTAAGTATAGAATCATATCCTATTTCATCTAAAGATTATTTTGAAAAATTATCTTTTAAAAAAACTATTTCCTACAATCTCTTACTCTTCATTTAAAAAAATAAAGGCTTTTATAAATTTATTGGCAAAGATTACATCAAATTATTTACCTAATATGAATATAATTCTTTCTTACAGTTTATAAAGTATTTGAACTTTCATTTTATATTAAAACATCTCGTGTATTTTATATACTTTTCAAATCAACTTTATTTTTCTCCAAGAAATCTAAAAACATCTTCATTCTAAAATTTTACTTAAATATTTACTCATTCTTTGAAAATAAAAGTTTAATGAATAAAGATACAAAAATAATTTAAAAAAAGTAAGATGTAATTTATAAAATTACTGTAAATACTTGATACGATTAAATATGTGACTCTATATTATGGAATGGCAACTTTCTAATTCTAGTTAATATTATACACAATTATTCATTGTCCAAAGCACTGATTCAATATAACTGAACTCATTCTAATTAATTAATAACCAAAGATTCGCAATATAATTGATATATATCAATAAAATAAATGAATATGTTATTTTATTCCATTAAAACTAATATTTAATCCCACTTAATAGCAAAAGTAATAAAGTTAATTTAATAATAATATCAAAATCAAAATTTATTAAAAAAGTACTTGCAATGTAAATAAAATTGCAAATGATATCTATTTTTTCTAAATTTATTTTTTAAATTTAATCTACAAATTCCATAATTAAAAATAATAGAATCACTCCTAAAACCCAAAATTAAATTGTATTAGTTCCAGCTTACAATGGAATTAAAAAAAATGAAATCAATCTTAAATATTAGAAGAATTATTTCATATATTAAAAATATGGAGTCTACAATTATACATCTTCCTTCAAATAATTTTCTTTGAAATAAGTTTTTTTGAATGGAAATTCAGCAATATTAGCATTTCTTTTTAGTTTCTAAAGAAATGTCTTAATGATTTACTGTAAATCAGTATGTTTAGGTAAACCATTTAATTCTTTCCATTTTAATGAATTGTATAATTTGGTTGTTGCTGTACATTAGTGTAAGCTTGGATTAAGATCAACTTAGTCTCTTTAACGATTATTGATTTAAGAAAATTAAGATAGCCTTGATTTTCGTTAACTATAAATTGTTGGATCTCTAACTTCACCACTGTCACTTAATCTCTTTCTAGAATGGTCTGAAAATTCAATTTTAAAATTTTTCATTTGTTCATTAATTAAAATAGGTGAGGCATGACTATGACTATGACTTTGACTTTGACACTAACTTTAATCATTCTAATTAGTTCGTGATTTTCTCAAAAGTCTTTTAGACATTAAATAATATATATATATATTAATTATATGATATTTTAACTGATTCAAACAAAATATTTAAATTACAAAAACAATCATTATTTAGTTTTACTATATAATCTTTATTCTTCTACATCTGCAATATCATTTATTTATTTTAAGATTACACTGCTATCAACTTTTGGATATCTGTTTTACATATAGTTCAACAATTTATCAGTTTTCTAATTCATTGTAGAAGATAATTACATTCAATTTTATTTGAGATCTTAAAAATATATATTCTGAATCTCCTATCTAATCGCTACAAAGTTGTTTTTTACTGTCTAACAGATTTTAAAATACGGAATCCAATTATTTCTAATAGGGTATTGAAAATCTTGGTGGATCATCAATTTTAATTTATTATTACTTTTTATGATAATATATAGGTTTAACAATTCCAGCATAATATTTATTAGTATAAGTTTAAGAAAGTAGTTATTATTATAAAAAAATGTCTTCTTTTCGTTTTATTTCTGTTTTAATATTCTCAAATTCAAGTTTTTTTTCAGAAGAATACTTTATCGTGTTTTATTTTTATTAAAATATTTCAGGTAATTTTGTATTTTCAAAATGTTTTTTTACCACTACTTCTTTTGATATTTGTTTAGGTGAATGCAAATCAAATTCATTGAATGAATATTAAATAGGATATGAAATAGTAGTTTCTGAACTATTAATCCAATACATTAGATGTCTCTTTTATTCTAAAGAAAATTCGTAATATGGCCTATTGATTGCTTCTTTAACTTCTCTCATTCTTAAAATCTATAAAATATTAGGTCTTTGATTTTCTCTAATACTTAAACAAACATTAATTAATTTTATTAATCCAGGAGAGTAAAAGTCAGAAATATTTATTTGCACTCTACCTCTACGTAATTGTTCCTTAATTTAATTTTCTGGTGTAGATAAAGGAAATAACAGTTTTTGAGATACCATAAAATAAAGTATATGTCCAATTTACCAAATATGTGACTTTTATGTATACTGACCATCAAAAAAGTATTCATGTGGTAAATAAATTGCAGGACAAGGTAGTTAACACAATGTTTATCTAGAAGATTTATGAAAATCCGTGATTCTGATTTAATATCCTTCAGTTCTAGCTAATAGTAAGATGTTTTCTGGTAACAAAACTCTATGTTATATACCCAATTCATTAAGTTATAGTAATGCATAAGCCATTTAAAGAAAGAGTGACCATATGATACTCTCTTGCATTTTGTAACCGATATGTTATAAAGTAAAGGTTTTCAGATCTCCTTAATCGCAATATTCTTAAATTATTACTAATTATTATTCTTCATTCTCCATATATTCAATAATCGATAATAGAAACTAATTCTTTATTTGTGCTAACATTTTTATTGCATTTAATCCTTTTTAATTATTTCAATATATACCTTCGTTCTTATTAGAAAGATAGGTTTTCTAAATGTATGTCTAATTGTCTGACATAGATCTTACTTTCTCAATTCTAACTCTACCGCTTGAATAAATTTCTTATAATATTTCATAATTAAATTACATTTTTTTTAATAATAAAGAAATTAAATCAATAATTATAAAATGTGCTATTATCTTCTCCAAATTATGCAGTCTTATTTTTTTAATACAATAATTATTATTTGATTTATTTATTTCTATTTGGCAATTGTTCTTCCAATTTTTCTGGCATTTCTTGACTTAATGCTCCTAAAAGTGCACATAAAATTAACTACATAAAAATTTAAGATTTACTTTAAAAATAAAAGAAACATAAAGTAAAATTAAGGCTAATCTATTAGGTCCTTTTTCTATTGCATAATACTTATCAATTTCAGTTGCATCATTTCCCCAAAATCCTTAGGAATATTTGATTGCCCATATCAAATCACACAATAATGAAATTCCAACAGCTACTGAATAATATATCAAACGTTATTTATAAAGTCTATTGAATTCAAATTCAATAATGAATAAAAAACATAATATCAACTAATTTAGATTTAAATATATAAATTTACATCTAGAAACTGACTTTTCCCAAAACAAATAAATACACTTAATCCCATTACTACTAATATACATAATCGAGTATATAATTTGTAATCATATTAAGTGTTAACATTATTTATGGGTGTCATTACTAAAGTATTTGGTGGTTAATGATTTATTGCTAAGTCTTCTTTTTCAATACTTCTAATCAATTAAACATAATTTGGAAAGGGTTCATAAAGTGTTGCAAGATCTTTTTCAAAATCAATTAAATCATCTTAAGCTGTTTTTATTTATTCATTCCAAACTTCAATTTAATTACTTAATGATTTAGAATCATTAAAAATCCATTGCGATCTTAATTTTATTTAAGTTTAAGTTTGTTATCCATTTTTATCAAATAATTAACAACAATCTTCAATTTTAGTTTAATTTGTTAAATGAGATAATGATAAAGTTACAGTTCCTAATAATTGTGGTATGTTTGGATGATTAATTGTGTAAAAAAATAATTATAATTCTTCTAAGCCTGTTGAAATTTTACTAAAATAAATAATATAATTAATTTACAAATTAAATGTTTTATTCCATTATGGTGATGGACCATTTATTTATTAAATTTCTTATTTTTGATTTTCCAATTTTAAAATTACTGACACATTTTATTATGGGAAATTCATTCCTTATAATAATTCAATTGTCAAATAACTGTCCTCTTTAATTCCATATTAATTTACTCTTTCACTATCTTTTATTGACTTAATTCTTTATTTACAATAAATACATCAAATTAATTTGATACATATTTTCTTTATTTATTATAATCTAAAATCTGCTTTTTACAACTTTCAATTTTATTCTTTAAGATTTCTTCTGCTTGTAGAAACACTTTGATAAATTCATCAACAGTTATTTTATTATTAAAACTTTTGTTCATTCTTTAATATAATTGATCTCCTAATTCTCTATCAAATTATCTTCTTAGCTAAATTTTATAGTAAATTATACTTTCTTATCTAAGCATCTATAAAACTATTCAATAGATAGCAATTCATCATGATTTATTTCGATTTCTAAAAATTCTTTTCTCAATAAATTTGCCTTTTCAATTGTATTAACCGAAGTTGACATTTTATAAATATTTTTGAAATATATTAATTATGAAATTAAAGAAATAATCATCTTAGAAAGAGACATCCAAAAAAGAATAAAAAAAGAGTAAAATCAATTGATATAACTTAGTGAGAAGAGGATTCAAAGCTTGTAAATAGTGTGGTGCAGAACTTCACATTCATTAAAAAATCTGTAAAAATTGTTAGCATGAAAATACATTTGTAAATAAAGTTTCTTATACATAATCTAAAAATAATCCTATTGATTTTTTTAAAAAGATTGCTGAAAATTAAGCTGGAGGTAATTTTTAGAATTTTATGATCTTATATAGAAAATATTATAAAAAAAATAAAAAAAGTTCCTTAGATACTAATGACTCGTATTAATGTACATAAGAAATCTTTTTTATATAACAATGAAAGTAATATAGATTTAAATCTAATAAAATCTTTTTACAATAATTCAATAAATCCAGACAATATTGATTTAACCTAAAGATGTGAATTTAAATTAAGCAATAATTAAATTATTGTTGATTCTATAATTGTTGAAAGTGGCCAATTCTATAAATTAGAAAAGGGTTACTTACTTTATTTTGGTTGTTCTTTATTGAATATAGTAATAAATAAAGGTGTTATTTTAGCGAGTATTTAAAAAAATTTATATGATAACCAATAGTTTAGTTAGTTGCATTTATATGGCAAGACTTATGATGGTTAAGGAATATTAGCAATTATATAAAAATAAAAAATTCGATTTATGGATCATTAGGAAGGTGCCATTACTTAAATGAAATTTCATCCATAATACATAACAACAATTGGCACTATTAATTCAAATGGTAGTTTTACCATTCTATCTTTAATCAATACTTAGACTGACAGTTTGTAAATATTTTGTAAAATTGTAATTCCTAATTAAATTTTGAATTGTTTCGATTGGTGTCCCAGTAATGAATCTAAAATATCTGTTGGAGATTAAGAGGGCAATATATACATAATAGAAATTAAAGGTGAGAATTTTTAAATAGTCAATTTCCTTGAATCATATCATAGGGGAATAATTAAAGATCTTTAGTTTTATATTCATAATGATAATAATTAATCATTATTATTGAGTGGTGGGTATGATGGTAATCTTAAAATAATCAATCCCATTAACTCTTAAGAAATATTCAATAAACATATTACTTCAAAGGGTATTTCATAAGTGAAATGGGATAGAGGTGGTAAATTTATATTATGTATCAATGATGATCCAAATTAAAAGGCTTTAATGTTTTGTTTCTTTTCTACAATTAAAAAAGATTCAAATCAAATTTTATAGAATGTAGAAAAAAGACTACTATAACCATTAACTGGAGATGATGAAACTTAGGTAAATTTAATTTTTATGTAGAGTTGTGCTTTTAATCCTTTCCATCATAAAATATATTTTGCTTCATAGAATGGTACAATTTATGCAGCTGATATCGAACAAATTAGAAAGTAAGCCATAAAAAAGGAAAAGAAATAAACTTATTAATCTTAAGTGGTTCATTTTGGTTAAGTTCTATTAGAAAATAACACAATTTAATACATTTCATCAAAAAATTCAATAAATTACAAGAAAAACATTTAAGTATATTTTAGATATAAAATAGTAATATGATTGGAGTTAAGGTTATCATTTTATAGATGTAGATGAATCAGGAAATTTAATTTTAGGAAATCTCCTTGGAATTTTGATTATGTTATGATTCTAATTAAATTGATTAAATTTTCTAACACTTCTCATAGAAATAATTAAATATGCCTAAATAAATCTTTCTCTTTTTATTGACAATTTTAATAAAAAATTATCATTGGTTATTTTTTATATTATTAAATATCTTATTAATAGTTAATGTAGAAAAATTGGGGATTTAAAGCAGGGTATTTAGTAGTTTAAGTATTTATATAGATGTTTGACAATTGCTTCTGGTATTATAATGGGAGCTGCTGGTGGACATAAACCTTGGCCAATTGAGCAAAAATTGATTTTTGATAGAGGACTGATGTTCCATTTTTTAAATGGGATTGGAATGATTATCTCGTCTGTTTAAGGTGTTAATATATTGCCATTTTCACTTTTTGGAACTGGTGTCATACTTTTTTGTTGTCCTCTTTATCATAAAAGTTTTACTGGGAAAAAAACATTTTCAGGTTATTTACCACCATTTGGAGGATTTGCTATGATCTTTGGATGGATATTATTAGCCTTAAGAAAATGATTAAGATAATATATAATATTTAGATGTTAATTATTCTCTTTAATATGTATTTAGTATTAAACTCTTAAAACTTTGATATTTTTATTATTAAATATGGAAAGTAGAAATTTAACTCAATTTTAGCATTATTCTCATAATGGCACAAATAGATACTCTATTTAAAGAATAGTTTATCCTCAATATGCAAGTGGTTTAGTTTAAGAAGAGACAGTATCTCAACATAGAGATTCCACTGATGATGATTAATTTATAGAAGGTGAATGCTTTATTTATATTGGGGGACAATAAATATTTACTATAGAACTTAAATAGCCAGATTTCGTACATTAATAATTATGCATTGATTTAACTAAATATTAATGTCCTTTAGAATGTTTAACTGCATTCCCTTTGCCTAATGGATTTTAGAATCCATAAAGAATTTTACCTCTAAGTACTGGTATTTTAGTCGTAAGTAGTGGTAAGAATGGATAACAAATCAATTTATTTGATGATCAATCAAAAGAAATTAATATTAATGTTTAAATCGTTAAAAGAATAATATGGATGAATTCTAGATACTTATAAGAAATTATTATTCTAATTGTAGGATTTAATGACTCAAGTGTTGGCCTTTTTGAAATCGATATCAGAAATAAATAAATTAGATTGCTAAGAGAATTCAATTTCGAATAATTAATTATATTCAATGACATTTCTACACATAATTAAATTTATTACATAGCTTTGGCGTCATATAATGGAATTATTTCAATTTTATCTATTGATCTCTTTTTTAATATTCAACATCATGTTCATAATATTGATAGAATTACTTCACCTCCTAAACTATATTTTTAACATAATAAGGCTGGCTTAATGGTTCCTATATAAAATGGAGAAATGCTATAGTATTTAGAAATAGAGAATTTTGGATTAAAAAAATGTAAGTTAATCAAATATCAAAATAATAACAAATCTATGATTACAGCTTTTGATATAGAACCTAAAAAATGTGATATCTCTTAGAATTAAAGTGAAGAATTTGAAATTTGTATCATTCATTTTGATGGTACTCTCAGTTTTTATGATTATGCTGATAACAATATATATATCGAAATATCAAAACAATTGAATGGTTCCAGATTTTTTGTGTCTAATATGCAACTTTCATTCAAATAATTTATATTGATGGGATCTGATGATGAAGTAGAAATATATCAAATGTCCTTTTATCACATTAATTGATAAATATTTTTAAAAAAAGTTTTATTTTAATTACCTAAACTATAAACTTAATTGAGGATCGTAGTGTAATGGTAACACGTGGGACATCCGAATTCTAAAAAGGTGGTTCGATTCCATCCGATCTTCTTTTTTTATTATCGTAAATTTTAATTAATTTATAATAAAAATATATAAAAATTTTAAATTTTAAATAAGCATAATCTATATACCTAATTAAAGATTGTAGTGTAGTGGTTATCATTTGGAATGTCCAAATTTCAAGACTATGGTTCGATTCCATACAATCTTATTTTTTATTATTGTAAATTTAAATATTTATTAATTTAAATAATTTATATGATTAATTTTTAAGACACATAAAGATTTTTTAGATCATTTTTCTGTAAGCTCTCTAAAACCTTTCCAATCTTTTGGAGCCTTACCTCCACTAGAATGAATAACTTCTAAAAGAGTATTTGATGGTCCATCCTTATGTTCTGGAATCATTGTCTAAATATTAAATTAAAATTTAATACTAAAGTTTTTGAGAATATAGATTATGCATCTCCCCAGTTTCCTTTGATATATTAATCAAATCCTTATTTCCAAGTTTCATAAAATTACTAGATTAAAAAATAATCATAAATTACTTATGTATATGGTTCTCTAGCAGCTGCTAATTCATCATCTTTTTCAAAAAGATTAGTAATATTTGTTTAATTATTCATAACTTATTTCATCTATTGGTCTCTTTTAAATCTATTTAAAACTCTAAATTTTTTTGATTCTTTTTAAGTCATTTAAGATACATCAAATTTATCTCTAAGAATTTCGATTTTAGATTATAAATTTTTGATTGACATATCTACAGTATGTAGTTCTTAAAATAGAATAATTGAATACCTAGAGGAACAATACTTCCTTTAACAGTAACGATGTCAATCATTCTCATTTGTTTTTAGCATTCATCAGTCAAATACTATTTTAGAATACCACTAACAAGAATAAGTGCTCCAAATTATTTTGTTGCTGCTTCTAATCTTGATGCCATATTAACATTAGGACTAAGATATGAAGCATCGATTTTAAATCCAGAACCTATTGCTCCTTCTATACCCCAACCCATATGTAAACCAAAACCCATCTTAACAGAATAATCTTTCATTCTAGCATTTAAACCTTCATGTTTCTTATATTTCTCAAGCTTTTTAGAAATAGAAATTGCAGTTATAATTTTAAGAAATGCCATTACTGCCATATCTCCTTTTTATTTTATGTATCTTTCATTTTTTAATTTTAAACTTTTAGGATTATCAGGATCTGGATGATAATCATCAGGAGAATATTTCCAAACTAAAAGAAAAGCATCACCTATATTTTTATTTGCTGATCCACTCATAGAATCAACAGTTGAATGTACAATCTCAGCAATCTCATTAACAAAAACCATTACCCCTTATTATAATACTTCAGTAGCCTATTTTTTTATTTATTATATATTTACATCAGTGAAATTTCTAATATCACAAAATCCAAATATTGCTAATATCTTTTTTCCTGGAATCATAGGATCTACACTACCTCCCTTTTTTATATTTTCAGCAATAATCTCAGAACCTGCTTCTCCAAATCCAACTGCCAATAATGCACCTACTTTCATTATTAATCTTTAAAGAACATATGTCTCCATATGTTTTTCAATCTCTTTCTATTTTATTTTCTCCACATCTTAACTTTTTTCTAATTCCTCCATAATTAAATCTTCTTATTCTTCAATATTTACTGCTTCTAGTGGATTTGCTGCTATCATTTCTATCTTCTACATCATTCCTTCTATAGGATCAATAACTAAATCTGACACATCTTTATTAAACATTATAGCTGATACTGCTAAAACTATACAAACAAATATTGTTTAAAATATTGATAAAATAGCATTTGTTTAATTATAAACAACTAAATCAGCTGCTGCATAACATTAAAGGTTCGATCCATCAGATTTTACATAATATTATAAATCTGAAAATCTATATTATTCTTTATTTTCATATGCAGGAACTTCGAAAATTTCAGAATTTGTCTAATAATTCCATTCATTTAGATTTGTATTTCCATCTCCTTTCAAATTAACATCAACACTATAAATTGGATATATCTCACCAATATGAAATTAGGCATATTGATATAAAAGAGATTTCATTATATCAGGCTTATCTTTAAATTAATAAATTCGGTAAATTCCGGAATCATAACTACTGATTGTTTCTTAATAAGTATCTAAGGAAAGAATAGGTATACTTATTAATATTGCTAAAATAATAGTAATGACCCTTCTCATTACTAAATCAGATAATTATGCTCCAACTATTGATTCTTTTATTTAATTTTCTGCTTAAGATGATTATTGAGAAGATTTTTATTGAGAATTTTAATTTCTATCAGCTATTTAGGCACCTTCAATTTCATTTTATGAATTTCTTGATTCTTCATTTTATGGTAAAATTTAATTAATAGATATATTTTATTATTATTATTATTATTATTATTATTATTATTATTAATCTTAATTTTTACTTTATTATGCTTATCTTAATAAATCTTAAAGTAATTTTTTTTGCTATTCTCTTTCCATCTACTAACGTGCATGTTTATATAGTTTGACTAATCTTACAAGTCTTATAACTCTAATAACTCTTGCTGCTTTTCTTGCAGCTCTAGATGCTGTTCCAATTGATTTAATTTAAGCTGCACTTGTTAAATCTCCAGAATACCATGTATCTGTTATCCAACCTAAATCTAATATCATTGTTATTGTTGAAATAACATCTAATATAAAATAAAACTAAATTATTGATTTAACTTACATTGAATATATATTCTGGTTTTGCAATACTAGTAAGTGTAATTTCTACTATAAATGCAACCATGCATATAACAGTTAGAACAAAGAATACATCATCTCCTTACTTATCTACTGATAGTATTCGAACATCATCACCAAATAATGCATATATAGTAACGATTGCCATAATTATTGAAAATACTGTGCTTTCTGTTATCTTCAATATCCTTTTTGATAAATCAGATTGTTGTTTTAATTGAGAATGTCGAATCTTAACTCTACTGTTCATTCTTTTTAGACGTCTCTATTGTTATACTAATACAGTAAATCAAAAAGAAGTACATTATTGAGAAGGTTTGGAATCTCCTTAACTTTTAATAGAGACATCATCTTAACTCAAATGAACAGAACCTCGCATAGGTTTGGACTATTTTTTTGTTTCCTAAGGATCAGGATCAGCCTTCTTAATTAAAGGTTAAGCTTGCTATTTCTAAGTTAACTAAATAAGTCTAAACCTTTACTAGAGATATTTAATTTGGACCATTAGTTTCTGTAGGAGGTTTTATTGATCTATCAGATGGTAACTGTAGCTATAGTAAATAATAAATTATACTTGTTGAGGATTAGCTACCATTTGATTAAAATTTTTCACAACCTAAGCTGGTACAAATACTTCTCCTAATCCTTATTCAACTTAACCCAACCTTTCTTGGTCATTTTATGAGTTCATAATTTAATAAAATAATTATAGTTTCATAATATATCATAAACTCACCCTTAAGAAGAAACAAAAAAAACATAAGATAAATCGTAAAAATGTATTAATATCTTACTATTGATCCTTAATTCTAAAGTGATATTCAAAATTGATTATTTTAATGGAAATTATTTATTTCTTTGAATTGGATAAATTTTATAAAGCTTTAAAGTAAATCAAATAAATCTCAACATATAATTATAACTATTATAATCTTTTGTGAATTCTTTTAAATTATAAGAAATTAAATTGATAAGTTATTCATTTAATAGATATGAACCATTAAAATTAATAAACTTTATTTATTCAATTCATAAATAACCAAATTTATCAAAATTTACTAATGTTACATGAAATTTAACTTTTACATAACCTACAGATTTTACTCTAGTTACTTCTCTTCCTTCACCTGAAGAGATTACTTTATCAAAATTTTTAAGTTCAGCAGTATTTCCTAATAAATATCCTAAAAATCCAGTGAAACCTGAAATTGGTAGAGGTTTGAATATTCGAATTATTCTTTCATGACTAAAAACTCTATTTATCAATAATACTATCCTGGTTAAGTTGGAACATGAACTGATCCATATCCTTTTGCTACACTTCTTCCCATAAAATCTGGACCTGATAATCTAACTACTACTTAGGGCCAACCAAAAATATTTTTAGTTTGAAAATTACATTCAAAAGGGAAATTCCAAACAATATTTCTAGAATGTAAATTTCTTGATGTGCTTAATTAAGATATCCCACTAGGTTCTGCATCATCTGCATTATTCTATTATTATTTTATATTTTACACTAGTTTTCAAATATGTCCAATCATCTCCTCCATATTTTACTGCATATTCTATTCTTAATGATTCTTCATCTTCACACTTAATTATAAAAATACTTATTTACTTCACCACACTCAAGAACTCCACTAAAATTCAAAAACATCGAATCAGGTTATATATTTCTTGGATCCATCATCTCTTCTTAAATTCTAGAAACTCCATCTTAAAATTATTGAGGTTGTGAAAATCCAAAGTTTTAGTTTGTTTACCCTTTTATTGACCCTTAATCTGATACATCTTTTTTATAATTTCTTGTATTCATCATTATCAATTTTTTTAAATAAATAAATTAACAAACAAACTTTTACTTGTTCCATGTAAAATTAAATGAATCACTTCTATTTCACTTAACTTTTTACAATTTCATATTTGTAATGTAAAAATATATTATCCTTAAAAAAAGAGACTTTTTTTTATTTTTTAATAAATATTAGAATCAATTAGAGTATTTTTTTATTTTATTGAGGGCCAAATATATATAATAAATTTTCAGTTTTTAATAACTCAAAAATTAAAATTAATCTCAATTTATTAAAATATATCTCTATAAGTGCTTACATTATTTTCTAAAGTTTATAATCTAAAATAATATATAAAATTTTTATGGCTTCTCATTATTATTAATTTTAAAATGATACTTCCCATTTATATGTAATATTTGTGTAACTATTACAAAAATAAGAAATATGCAATTGCAATCTAATGTTAAAATTACAGCATTTTCTGACATTAGCTTTATATAGATCCGAAATTATTTATCTAAAAAAGAATGAATTAGAATATTTTTTAATATTTAACTCTTTCTAGTCGCACATATAATATAAAAATTTCCTTATTAACTTATTTTGCTCGTAAAATATATTTTTTTGAGATATTTTAAAAACAAATACCAAAATTCTTGAAAAATATATTTGTTCTCTAATTATAAGCATCTTGAAGAGTTAAGTCAGAACTTATCAATTATTAATTGATTTGTTACATATAAGATGTTGATTCAAAAATAGTTTAAAAATAATGCAATCATAAACTTATAGACGTTTCATTAAATAATTTATCTTAATAATTATTTCAAATACATTTTTTTAGATGCCATACCTTCAAAGGTTTGAAAATGACATAAAAATTTGAATAAATATGTGGTTGATGATTTTTAAATGTTTAATTTAATAAGTTTAGATTATCTAATAGATTTAAAATTTATAATTTTGAGTTAAAAATAAAAATTAATATAAATAAAAAAATAATACAAAATAATCAAAACACTTTTTAAAATGGATTAGATCAATGATGCAATTAATGTTTAAAAGGGAAAGCTTCAATATTTTTAAAGTGTAAGTTTGCATCATCTTAAGCTAACAAATCTAAATCATTGAAAGATTCAAAATCTTATTCTACTTATTCAATAGTTTTCATCCTTTCATGAAAATGTTTACTCGTCTCTTTACAAAAGGTTTATTATTATTTTTATACAACTGTTTGACTTTTTTTTTGGTTTCTTGGTATTTATTATTGCATGAATCTTCTATATTTATCAACTTCAATAATATTTTTTTGACTAGATTGATAATTTATCATTTTTGAAGTTCCTTAAGTATATATGCTAACTCCCTAATATAGTATAATATATAATATACATTTCGACTTCTATTTTCAAAATTTTCTGGTTCAGGAATGATTAAATGATTTGAAAGTTATTTTTTAGTATTTTCAACAATTGCTGTTGATCTCTTAATTGTACTTCTAACAGCAGGAGGATTGGCTAATTTAGTTTATTGAGTCTATTTTTTATTTTTAACTTCTGCTAATTTTTCCCAATCAAACATATAAAAAGATTCTTCACATTCTTTCTCACTGATTGTTTTTCTAAATTAATCTTTAAGAAAAGCATAATTTGGAGATTCTGAAAATTCTCTTGATTTGGCGTGTTATAACAATAATAGATAGCACTAAATAAATTTTTTGTTTTTACTTAAGGTAATTCTTCTGTCAATTCTTCTAATTTAACATTTTTCTTCATTTCAAATATAGTTTAATATTTTTCATGTTTATCTGCAATTTAAAGATTCATCCAAGGAAGTTTTCCAAGGTTTAAATAAATTAACACATAAGCTAAGCTTTCTAAATCATCTTTTCTAGATTATTCTAATCCTTAATGAGCTGCAATACTTGCATATCTAGCAGTTCCAATGATTCCTTTTTTATCAGATAAAGTTATATGTTACCCATTACTATCCTTAAAATATTTAGCTAATCCAAAATCAATTAAATAAACAATATGGGTATCTATATATCCAATCACCATATTTTCTGGTTTTAAATCTCTATGAATAATATTTTTGTTATGTAAAGATTCCAATCTTTCAATTAATTGGAGAGATAGTTTAAGACAAGACAATTATGTAAAACCTTTACTTCTTCTTAACAGATATTCTAAATTATGACCTAAATAAGTTATCATACAATAATTATAATTTTCATCTCTTCCATAATATTGAATCTAAGGAAAACCTTTATTTAATTATTATTTTTATACCATCCACCCCACTTAACTCTAACAATACTTTAATCTCTCTAACTAACATGCTTGCTTAACCATTACTTCGATTCTCCCTTTTTTCAAATTTTGTTGCTACTATTTCTTTTGTTTCACTATTCTCTGTTTTAAAAATGTATCCAAAGCTACCTTATCCTACCTTCTCCAATAATATAAATTTATCAGCAATTGTAGTTCCTACATGAAGATGAGAAATGTTTGTTTATAAATGTGTCTAATGCTTTTTAGTATTCCGATTCATCATTAGACAATTTTAATATAATAATTTATTTCTTGCAAAAATAATAAATTATAATTAAAATTATTTTATTTAATGTTTTTCAACTAACTGCTTAGCATAAAAGAATTTAATTGTTTAATTTTTTAAAATATTTTTCTAATTCATAAAATTCAAAAACATCAGTAAAAAATAGTTATTATCATTAGTCAATATCCATAATAAAGGATATTAATGAATTATAATTAATTTAACATTATAAAGAATATTTCGATATATTTATTCATATCATATTTCGTTAAAATGTCAAATCAAACTAAAAAGATTGTATTTTGTAATTAAATAAAATGAGTTAAAATAGTTTTGTATTTGTAAATACTAAAGAAGAAATTGCTTAAAAGAGAGTCAAATCTCTAAAATTCTAACTAAAGGCACTAAATTAAAAGAATAATGTTCTGCAATAAAAAATAAAGAGCGTTAATAGAGTCAATTTAGACAATACTAAATCACCAGTGTCTTAATTATAAGAGAATTTACATTTTGATAGAAGATAAGTAATTGAACTCTTCAAACCAATAATTGCAAAAGAGGCAATCTACATAAGAAATGAGAGATACAAGAAAGAAAATTCGATGATATAATCGAAGATGAATGAGATTTAACAGAAAAAAATAAAGGTTAGATAAATTGAATAATTCGATGCTGACGCAATCAGAAGAGTGGCAGAGTTTAAAGAGAAAAGAGTTACTGAAATTCGATAAAGAAATGTTAAGGAAATGGAAATGAATAGATTATCAGTTTAAAGAAAGCTCGAGAATGTATAAGTCTTAGAGAATGAAGAAAAGGAATTAATGAATATGATCTAATTGTATTATTAATTCATTAACTTAGAGCTAAACTAAATAGCACATAATTATAATAGAGATACAACAGAGCTATAACATCATCTGAAGATAGTTCGGTACTGCCACATATCAGAAATTTCAGTTATAATTAGAGATTTGAGTCACCATTTAAGAATCAAACACCGAATCATTTTTCACAATAATTTTTGGATGATTGTTGCTCGAGTCAAAAGAAGCAGTCTCAATTCTTTCCTAACAGAAGAAAATCAAAATCAACTAATAAATTAATAAACTCTAACATTAATGAGTTTAATGATACTCCTTAATGGAAAATTGACTTTAAGCAGTATGGTAATATAGACAATAAGGAAAACTTAGAGATTAAGAGAGATTCTTAAAGATCATCAACTTAATTGTGATATTGATGACGTTATTTGTATATAAATTCATTTTTTTTTGAGAATATATATATTTATAAATTTATTATATTATTCTTTTGATGAATTACTAAAATTAGCGAAAAACATTTTAATAATGATTGATATGAATTATGATCAGGTAAGTGGATGAAATGCAAATTCTATTTCTCTATCTTCTTTTAATTGCAGAATAGATTCTTTCAACCATTTTTCAATTGTTGTAAAAGCATCCATGCTATGTTTGATGTCTTTCACCCATAGAGACATTTAAATGAATCCTTTCTTTGTATGACAAACTATGCCATTGATAAATTCATGATAATCACAATCAGCACCAACAAATGAAAGCAGTAATTCTTCAAGAATCTAATTTCCAAGACTTTTTCTAACTTTGAAGATGAATCGTCCTCCAAATTTATTTTAAGGATCTTCCCAAACAGGTGTGATGTTCTTTTTGAAAAGAAATATTTGATTGCCTTCCGGTTATTACTCTGGTCTAACAATGTGTTAATAGTATGCCCAAAAATCTTCTGCTGTAGAAAATGATCCTTAATTGTCAATTTGCACATATACCAATCACTTCTTGAACATATTGTCCTTGTTTAAAGGTTCCCAACCAAAAAGTGAAATCTGAAGATAATTAAAGCATAATTTATTTAAATTATTAAAAATAATATAAATTGTGATTTTTGATTTCTTCAAGAATTTGATAGTAATTTCTTAACTTTAAATTAACATTATGATTGATGTACTTGATTTTGTAAGATAAAAAGAGTAAATTAAGTTTTTTTTTTGTATACATTGTTTTCTTTAATAAAGATTAATTGAAAATAGGAATTATATTGTATTTTTAATTAAGTGTTAGTAAATTTGGTATCAATTTAATTTCTAATTGCAGTACTTATCAATCAGTAACTTTAATACAATAAAATAAAATGATATTTTTAAATATTACAATTCTGAGTGTTCTAATATTGTTGACTAAACAATTAATATAGGAGACTGAATTAGAAAGTTAAGCAATCTTTAAAAACTGCATCTCTTCAGAAGGTGGAAATTGCAAATTATGTCAAACCTAGACATTTCTTTTTAAATTGCCCTAAGACAATATCGAGTTGGGTTTGAAAGCAGGTACAAAAATTTGTGTAGAATGGTAAATATGATATTAAATATAAAACAGTCCATATAACGGGTTTCGTGATGATTATAATTTATATTGTGGAGATTGTCTTGATAATAGTTAGACTTGGGATTAGAGCCGATTATGCACATATGATTATAAGACAAAATCAACAGATGAAGATTCAATATTTCACAAAGTAAATAGAAGTGCAAAATAATTGTTTTATGTTATTGAATCAGGTCAAAAAGAAGTATTAAATAAAAGTATAATTAGTATGTTACTTCAATGTGTGAAGGTTGTTCCAATTTTTGTAAATCAAAGAGTTAAGTTTGCTTCCCTGTGTCATTATAATATCAATATGATATAAATAACCTTTATATCGAATGTATGGAGGGTATTTAAAAATTTGAAAATAAGGATTTGCTTATAATGAAGTAAGTGGTGGATGTGATTCTTGTCCAGAGAATTGTTAGTCATGTGAAATAAATAATTTGAGATAAATAGATAGTGATGGAAAAGTTACAGTGAAAACAAAAAAGGATTGCCTAATTTGTAATAAAGGATTTAGTTTGATGACTACAAGAGAATAATTAAATAGTGTTGTAACTAATAGTTAATGTATTCCATGCTTTAGTGGTTGTAGTGAATGTTTTTTTGGAAACAATGAAGTGAATTTAAATACTGAACCATGGGATACTTTTAACAATGTAGATGGATTATTTTTACTACCAAATAGTTAACCTAGCAGTATATTTTATTCTATTTTGGCTGTAAAAAATATATTTTAAAGATGCACTGAATGTGTTAGTACAACTTAAAGCACTTATATTCCATCATTAGATAAAAAGACATGTGTTAGATGTGGAACATCATGTAAAACTTGTGAATACGTTTCTTATACATTAAGCATAGATAAATAGTAATTATAATGATGATTTTATTAATAGTCCAACTAGAAATAAAAACACAGTTATTGAAATCACAGATACAATTGAATCTGCCTATGTTATGAGATGTAGAGAATGTGATTCTTATCAATAAACATTTTTAGCAACAGGAGTTGGATGTACTGATTGTACAATCCTAAATTGTAAACTTTGTCATAAGGTTGGTGATCCTTAAGCTGGAGCAGATGGATCTTTTTCTACTCTAAATCCAGATTTCTAACCTTTAGAAAAAGAAGATTTCACTAAAGAAGAATGTTTATTATGTTAAGAGAACTTTTATCTTATTTCAAATCAATGTTTACCATATGAAGATTATGCTGCTGATCCTAGTGATTCATAAACAAATATTCCTAACAAATGTTTAACTTTTCAAATTGATTCAAATAATAAACCACAATGTTTAAGTTGTGATACTAAATAAACACTATTAAAATCAGAAGATACAGGATTATGGATATGTGAATAAACATGTTAAGAGAAACTATCAGATTATCTATGTTAATCTTGTTTATATATTAATAATACCTACAGATGTTTATATTGTTTAGATGGCTTTTATGTTGACATTTAGAGTGGTAGATGTAAACCTTGTTCAGAAAATAGTTTCTGTAAGGAATGCTATCGATTTTCACTGATTAGTATTCATAGAACTGAATATTATTTATATACTGAAGATGGTGATGATTAAATCTATGGTCCTTATTGTTATACTTGTAATGCAGGAGATAATGATAGAGGTCCCTTTTTAAACGATGATCTTAGATATTGTGAAAAAGGAGGACTAGCTTGTAAATTATTTTCTGCAAAGGGAAGCCAAGGATATTGTGATGTCTGTAATTATTCTAAATTGTCAAGTTCAATCACTAGATCATCTTCACTCGATCATACTGATTGTATTGAATGTCCTTAGTTTACTATTGGATGTCGTATTAGAACAAATGAAGAAATTGCTTTAGTTAATAAATTTTTTAATCCAACTCATCAAAAATATTTTGAATATTCGAGATTAGCCTTTAATTGTTAAGCAGAAACATCTTATTATTTAGATACTAATCTAGGTAGATGCATTTAAAAAAAAGATGGCCACTAATTTTGTGTTCGTTCTGATATTATTGACTTATAAGCTGATTGTTCTCATTATGAAGATGATTTAGATAATATTTGGAAAATTAATTCACAATTTAGTGATATCACTTAAAAAAACACCACCATTAATCTAGAAGAAAAAATAGATATTCTAGAAAGAAATCAATTATATATTGATTACAATGAAAAAGTTGTTAGTAAATTAATTATTAATCTTAAATTTAAATATGATGCTGATCCTAAAAATAATAAATGCTATTTTCAGAAAAACACTTTATTCACAACTAATTTTAGAAGAAATGTATTTACTTTAAAAGAAATTGAACTTCATATTTCAGTTGATAATGCCCCTCAAACAGAAAGGATTAAATGGTTTGTTCAAAATACTATTTATTTTGAATATTTTACTACTGTCAAATTGAGTTAAATAGAAATATTACCAGCTACTGATTTAGATCCATTAAATATGTACTCTAATATTTAAAGATATGATAAACCTTTTGGATTTGAACTTATTAAAAATGATGGTTCTAGATTAATCTTTGAAAATGTTAAAATTGGAAATGGATTAGCAGAAGATCATTATCAATCTTATGAATATACTACACCTTATAGTGAAACATCTTAAAGTCTCAAAAAATTCAAACCTTTTTACACTGTTCTACTAAATACTTATGATATCTAATTTCATAATGTATTTGTAATGTCTTAAAATTATCTATTAGGTAAGGATATTGCTTTCTAAGCCAAACCTTTTGGTCTCACTTATGATGAAGATATTAAACTACCTTATTTCTCTATAATTTTAGAGAATGTTAAATTCTATGATTTCTCTCTTGAAAGTTAAGCTATCTTGGAATTATAAGATATAACTTTGTTAACCTAACCTGAATGGAATTGTAAAATCTATTTGAAAAATGTATTCTTCAATGATACTTATTTTATCAATGATGGTGCATTTTTGAGTACCTTACTCACACAAAAACCTACTGGTATGATTTTAATAGAAAATCTTAATTTCGATAATGTTGAATTCAACAACTCAAGAGGTATAGTTAACTTTCAAACTATGCAAAGAGTTTCAGTATCTGGTTTTGAAATGACCAATAGTAGAGTTAATTACACTACTCTATTCTACATCACAACAATTGATGTTAGTAAGGTGTATGTATATAATACTACTTTTACATATTTTGGGAAAATATTTGAGACTTAATTTGACATAATGACATGCAGAGCCAATGATGTTGAATTTTCTGGTCTAAAACTAAAATTTACAGATTTAGAATTTGTTTAATTAAATTGTCTATATCCTGCATGTATCATGTTATTAACAGCAATTAAAAATGATTTTGAATTGCCTCTGAATATTAGCATGAAAAACATCATTGTTTAATAGATTTAGTCTGATGGATTCAATGAGACGATAGTAGAAGCTGCAACAAGTGCTGCTATTTAAATTTAAAAATCATATACACTATAAGTGGAAAATTTTTAAAGTATTGAGAATTCAAATTTGACAATCTTTTATACAGACTAAGTCTAGGAAATTACATTTATAAATTTAGTATGTTCACAGAAGGAAGGGATGACAATACGTAATAATTATTGCGTATTTTTTAATAATTTTTACAGAATGATTAGATTAATAGATGTTGATCTATTAAATTTGAATGGGATTGATAATTCATTTATAGGGATATCATCTTGGAGCAATCTTGTATACAATACTAGTAGTGAAGAATTTCATGAACAGATTACAATCGAAAATGTTATTGTATAAAAATGCACAATCACAACAACAGTATTGGCAGTACCATCAAGTGCCATATTAATTGATTCTACATAAGAATAATCTGTTTTAATATCAAATCTTTACTTTTAAGACAATATACATTATTCTGCATCCTACTTGAAAGGAACATTGAGACCTAGCAATCCTACATTTTTAATCAGGAGTGTTGTTGGATCCTTAATATTAAAGAACTCATTTTGGAAGAATAATTTTGTAAATGGATTTGGAGCTGTATTGTATTTAGAATGTGGAAAATAGATAGTGAATAATATTACAATGATAAATAGTAATTATGATCCTACCTAGTTAATTAATCATGATCCATTTACTTATGATATAAATAAAATAGCAGAAGGTGGACATATATTTATGGCTGGTTTCAACATATAATTATTAAATTCTTAATTCATAAATTCAACTGCAAAAGTTGGAGGTGCTGTCTACTTAAAAGCATTAAAAGAAGGGTAAGGATATGTAAATAACACTGTAATTAAAAATGCTTATACATCAATGGATGTTGCAGTGGTTTCTAGAGGTGGTTGTATCTATGTGGATTCAACATATTCTGCATTGAATTTATTAATGGAATATATAGAATTAAATAATTGTATAGTTAGGGCAGATGGAGGAGGAATTTATTTAATAGCTTCAGATCGTCAACAAATTTTTACAATTAAAAATTCATTAATTACTAATTGTTACGGATTGAGTGGTACATCTATCAAAGTAAAATTTGATGATCGAACTTAATAGATTCAGAAAACCAGATTATAAGATGTGAAAGTATCTGGTAATTATACAAATGCTTTAAATTTCTTTAGTAATCTGAGTAATTTTCAAATTATAGAAGAGTTTCTATTATTAAAAAGATTGGCTGCTTTTGAATAAAATAATGGTTAATTTGACATTTAGGATATTTATAGTGAAGGATTATTTTTTTATGGTTTAATATCATTGGTGAATCCAAATCTAGTTAGAATTAATACAATAGAATCTTAACATGGTGTATTATCATACAGACCTTATATTGAGATAATAGAACCATTAGTAAATCCAATAGAAATTGATTCAATATAGTTTCGTAATATTTCGTCAATGAATGTAAGTGTAAGTTGCACTGAGATGATACTCACAAATGAGGAGAATGCCTATTGTAAGATTTTACTATCACGAGTTGATTTTCCAGAATATGTAATTAATCCAGCAATGATGTTGATAGACCAGATTACTTAACATACACCATTGTTATTAAGAAATATCTTTGTAAATAGAGTGATATGTCTAGAGTGTTATGGAGGACTAATTTAGGTGATGAGAGTATCAAATAGTGTGGTTAGATAATTAGTTTAGATGAGTGCATGCCGATGTTCAAATTCTTAGGCTGGATATTATGGATGTTATATGTTGTCATCAGCATAATATTAAAAAATCTTAAAAAGTGAAGATACAAGAATAAAAATTGAATTTACTTCATTACTAACCTTAGAAAATATTTAAAAATAGACTGGTTTAAAAAATATTGGAAGAAGATTATTATAAGAATAAGTTTATCCTTCTGATTTCAATTATATAGTTCCATCTCCAACTTACCTAGCTCATGTGGTGATTGATTCAATGAATATTTAATATATTAAAGCATTTCATGGAGGAGGTCTTTCAATATATGGATTAACAGTAAATATTACCAATGCTTATTGTACACAATCAATAGTAATTGGATAAGGTGGTTGTATTTATTATGAAGCTATACCTAAAGATGGTAGAGTTGTTTATTAAAGAATTAATATAGCTACTAGTGTATTTTTCAGGAATAATGCAAGTATTGGTGGAGCTGTAAGAGTGAAAGAGAGTGGAATGAATTTGTGGAATAAAACAGGAAACACTATGCTTTAGAATTATGCTATCTTATATGGAGATGATGTTGCAGAATATCCAACTCATTTAGGAATTCTAATTGATGGGAAATTATAACAATCAAGTAATCTAAATAAAAACACTGGTTGGCTTCATTATCCTTTAGTTATTAAAAGTGGTTAATTGATGTCAGACTTTGAAAATCAAACTGTATTATTAGTTTATCTAAATTAAAATGAAGAAATCATTAAATATTAGTTCGAAGCTTAAGCTTTAATGAGTTCAAACATTACAGATTCTATTTAAGGAGAATCTCTTAGAGTATTCAATCTAGATCAGTAAGGATTTGTTTATTCAAATCTATAAATTCTATTTGATCCATATTAAAACACTACTCTTGATGTTACTTTAAATAGTTCCCTAGTGAATATTCCTAATTATTATTCTGAATATCCATATTAATTAATGGGATTTGATACTGGATATACACTCTAAGCAAGAGTAAGATCTGTTGAATGTGACAGAGGAGAAGCTTATAATCCTTAATAAGGTTCTTGTAATCCTTGTCCTATTGGTTAATATGTTTTAGTCTATAAAGGGATTTGTAAATAAATAAATGAAGATTCTATGAATTTCACTGTTAGAAATAAAATTAGTATGAAACAATCTTATTGGAGACCTGATCATCTTAATGATAAAGCTGAAAAATGCAAAAATAAACCTATTAATTGTTTTGGAGGATATAATGTTGGAAATGATGTATGTCTTGAAGGAACTATTGGAGCTTTGTGTGAAGAATGTGATATTCATGGGGCTTTCTGGGGTTCTAAATATAGTAATTCTGCTAAATATGAATGTGGTACTTGTTAAGATAAAACCAGAAATTTAATTATGATTATATTCTTATCAATCTTCACTTTGTATACAACAATCTCTTCAGTTGATGCAAATAAAGAGAGAATACGAAATTGGATACTTTATGGTATTTTTGCTAAATTTGGATGGGCATCATCTTAATCTGCAAGTGGGAATGTTGCAGTTCTCATGAAAATCTTAAATAATCATACATAGATTTTATCAATTCTTTCAGGATTCTAAATTTAAATACCAAATGAGGCAGTAGATTCAGTAAATACAGTAAGTATGCCAGCTAAAACAGTGGGAAATTCTTTAGATTGTTTTTTAGAAGAAGACTCATGGGGCATAGATTTAATTTACTTTCGTATTATTTGGTCATTAATAATGTAAATAATTTACATAATTGCAATATTTATTTTGATGTTTATTAGGGATGGACGAAAAGAGGATTTCAAAATTTTAAATAACTTATATACAATGATTATTTACTTGTTTCTTTTATTATAACCTAACTACATTATGGAATTTATGACTTTAATTTCAAGTCGTTAAATATCTGGTAACTTTTATATAATGGCTAATGTTTCATATAGATATGATACTTTCAAACATGATTAATGGATGGCAGGTTTTGGAGTACCTGGTTTAGTTGTTTGGTTAATTATATTACCTATAGCATTCTGGTATCCCTGCTATTTAGGAGCATAATAAATGAAATTAGATTCTATCATTTTTAGTCGTTCTTGGAGTTTCTTTTATTAAGAATATAGAAGAGATAGATATTACTGGGAATTCATTAAAATATTCTATCGTTCTCTTATTAGTGTATTAATATGCTATTTTCAAGAGGAAATCATTGTTAAAGTATTTATTCTTAATTATTATTCTTTTAGGGAATACTATCATTTTTTGTTGTATATGCATATTATGGACTGAGTATTCATTTCAATCCTTATAATCTAAAAGCATAAAATTATTTAGATCAACTATCTACTGTAATACTTTCACTCTCTTTAGTAATAGGAGTGTTTCTTTATAGAACTATTGATATAGATTTCTTTGGTTTAACTTATGCAGGATATGCAGTTATTGCTTTATTAAATGCAATTTTCTTATTGTTATTCTTTTTATATCTGTTCGAGGACAAAATAAAAGAATTATCACCAAAGATAGATCAGATTAGAGATTAAATCAATCTCAGATATCCACATCTTTAACATAATCCTCGTTTTAGACCATTTCTTATAAATCATTCTTAGTTAAATCATAAGGCTAGAATGTTATGGACACAATTAAGCAAAGTTGTCAATTAAAGTATAAATAATTGGAGATTAGATAAATCTAAACCATTAGTCTTTTAGAGATAGTAAAATATTAATTTTATTTTTAGTGTTGAGACTCCTGCTAGTGAATACAATAATAAGATCAATAAAATACATTAAGAATTTGACTCATAATACGAGGGATTGTGTTTAATATAATCAAAGGAGCTAGTTGAACATTCTGAATAATAGAATTAAATAAATGAAAATAAATGATCCTCGCTTTTTATAAAGTTTTTTTAAAATAAATAAATTAATAAATAAATATTAAATGGGAAAATTTGTTCAATAAACAAAATGTGTAATCCAAAAGAATTTCTATAGTAATATTGGAAGCTATGGGGAATTATTTTGTTTTTTAATTTTCACATTTTTATTGGCTTCAATTAATTGGTTATATTCCTTTGGCTCATCTGGCGCTTTAGTTTTTGCATAAAGGTAACTATCACCGAATTATATTTAAGTTACATGCTTTTTCCTAATTTTTTAGTTAATTTAATTTTTTTAATGATAATAGTCACTGAGAAGATAAATAGATAAAAAGAAAACTAATTAATAATGGGATTGAAATTAAGCTCATATTATACTGGATGGATTATATCATTTTTTTTATGGATATGTATTAACGCATCAGTGTCCATGATTATATTCTTAAGTTATTTAGCTTTAAGTAACTATCAATTTACATTTTACGATTACATAATGTTTTATATTCAGTACATATTTTTCTCATTTGCTTATGTTGGATAAACTTGTATGATAAGTAGTTTTTTTTCAAATCCGAGAATAGCTGTCTATATATATATTTTAATCAATATTTTCATAGATATGAGCATTGATGAATTATTATCATCGAATTAATAGAAATATTTAACATTCATAATTTCTATCTTTCCATAAGATTTGATATTTTATTATTGGATAAAATAATTCAACTTTAATCATAAGGACCTTAATGATTTAGATTAGATCACTTTTGGTTACACTTTTGGACTATTTGTTTTTTTAGTTCAAGGAACTATAGGAATTCTATTATTCTTATATTTAGATTAAATAATTCCTCATTCTATCGGAAAATAGAAATCTCCTTTTTTTATATGCTAATATTTGTTTCGAAATAAGAAACATCAAGTTGATTCAGGCTAGGTGACTTTAATATAAAATTTAGAATTACAACATTATAATAGTTTAGGATCAGAATTAATAAATCCTCAAGATTAAATCATATAGATTGATAATAATAAAAACTATGTTATTAAATTATTTTAGTTGACCAAAGTATACAGTGGATAATCAGTAGTAAATTAACTAAGTCTTAAACTGAATAAAAATACTATTTTTAGTCTATTAGGTCATAATGGAGCTGGTAAATCAACTACAATCAATATGATATGTGGACTAATCGAAAAGACTAGTGGTTAAATTCATATAAATGGATACGATATTGATAAAAATTTGGATGAAATTAGATAGGATTTAGGTTATTGTTCATAAAAAGATATTCTATATTAAGACATGACTGTTAAGCAACATCTTTAATTTTATGGACAATTGAAATTGGTTAATTAATTATAATTATCTGTATAAATAGAGCATGTTTTATAAATCTGCCATCTTTAGTAAGAATAAAATATATATGTTAAGAATTTAAGTAGAGGAGGAAAGAGAAAATTATGTTTGGCTATTGCTTTAATGGGAAATTCTAAAGTTTTACTTTTGGATGAACCTACTTCAGGTTTAGATCCTATTAGTAGATAACAAATATATAATATACTTAGTGAGATTAAATAAGATCGATGTATAATTTTAACAACTCATTATTTGGAAGAAGCATAAGAATTATCTGATTATATTGGAATTATCTAATAAGGAAAATTAACTGTTTTTGGAACTGCTGATTAAATTAAGAAATAATTCTCTATAGGTTATAATATTCTAATTGAATGTTAAAATGAATTACATTAAAATTAGATTTAAGATTAAATTTAAGCTACTTTAAATTTAATTTGCAAAAATGAAATTTTATTTATTCCTTAGAAGAAAAATCTAAAGTTAAATATTCCTCTTAGTAATAGAAATAATATGGCCTCTGTTCTTGAATATTTGGAGACGGTTTAGAATATTAATATTTAATTTGAAATGACTACTCTTGAAGATGCTTACATTAAAATTCATTCTTAAACAGATTGGGTTGACAATCAAATTGACATAGATAACAACATTCTATTAAATAAAATATTCTTTAATTTCACTCCTCATTTTGATTTTATTAATTAGGTATACTGTCTATTTATGAGTAGAATTTATATGACTGGATAAAATAAAAGGTAATATATAATTTTTTTAATTTCTTGGGCATTGTGTATGGGAATTTTTTATTTTTACTTGAAGTACTTCCACTTTTATATTATTACCGCAAGTTACATTGTAAACAAATTAATCTATATCAGCTCCTCCTAAGAATCTACTTATTATGAATAATAGAAAAATATCTTAGATTAATATTTAGCACATGGAGCGAAGATAATATCATATTATACATCAGTATTTCTATTTGATTTAGTTGTCTTAATATTCGAATAAATAATTACAATCATAATTTTTCTTATATCCTACAAGATTAAATATGATAACGATAATGAGTATCATTCAACACATCCTTCTTCAACCTATGTTGAATACTGTCAATAATACTTTTTAAATATGATCAGATATCAAATATTTTTAACTCTACTCATTATGGCTCAAAAGTGTCAAATTTATGCATTTATATCTTTTTATAAGAGCTCTAGGTTTTTTTAATTTTTTTCACCATGTTCAATCGTTTGTTTAAATATTCTTGAAGTTCGTACATTTTCTCTTTTTATTGATAAAGGTAATTAATTCATTGGAATATTTATACCACTTTGGCCACTTTGGCCACTTTTTGCAGACTCTGATGAATAAGAAAAATCTCTAATAGCTTCAATTATTTTTTATTTCCTTTTAACAAATTACGTGAAATATAAATAATTTTAAAGATAATCAAGTTAAAATTTTTAAGGAAATATTTAAGTAAATTAGGTCAATTATAAAATAAAGAATAAAACAATTTTAGAGAATATAGATTTTACAATATAACCCTCTGAAATATTTGGATTACTTGGACCGTAATTATATTATTTTTATTAAATATTTTTAGTAATGGAGCCGGCAAGACAAGTACTTATGAAATAATCACAAGAAAAAATAAACCAAATTCAGGATTTGTAGAAATTAAAAATGAATCTACCAAAGTTGGATTGGTTCCATCCTTTTCACCACTTCATGATGATCTTACATTAGTTTAGCATTTCAAAATTTATGGGTAACTTAAAGGCTTAAGTTCCGATAAGATTAATACATTCATTGAGTCTTATTGTTCCTATATGGATTTAAACAAAATATAAAATAAAAAAGCAGCGGTCTTGACTGGAGGTGAAAGAAGAAAAGTTTAAATTGGCATAGCGTTGATTGGTAATTCATCAATATTGCTTATGGATGAACCAACAGCTGGATTAGATCCTCTGTTTGGTTAACAATTTCAATAATTAATATTAAAAACATGTTAATAAATTTAGAGTTCTATTTTCATTACTACTAATTCTATGACAGAAGCTTAAAGAATTTGTGGAACAATTGGAATTATCATAAATGGTTAATTAAAGTTCAAAGGGACTTTAAATGAATTAAGATAATAATATGATAATAGAATTTAATTAAGTTTTATTTTAAAAAATAAAGAAGATAAAGAATAATTAAAATAGTTGGTTATTTAAAATTTAACTGTAAATATTATTGAAGTTTAAACATAAAGTGAAAAAAAATTAACTGTTTTTGTTGATAATCAAATAATCAAATTGTCTTAAGTTTTTAGATTTTGTTAAACTACGGAAGTTGATAATTTAATTAATGATTTTTAAATTTAATAAGCCAGTTTGGATTAAATTTATAAACTCTATGTATCACAATAATAAATAGATAATAATCCTTAAGAAATAGAAGAAGATTTTTATTGAAGAAATCTTCTAGGTATGTTAGATTTTATTATTAAAAAAATTATGATCTATAAATTATTAATATTTTTTTTGTGAATAATTAATAGAAAGATGTAAGAAGAGGATTAAGAGAATACAGTTATAGATGGATGGGTGATAGATACTTCTGCTTTATTGGGTAATGGAACATATGGAAAAGTCTTGCGTTGTCATCATTAGAATTAGCCAGATATTATTCATTGCATAAAGATAATTCCAAAAATGAATATTTATGTAAGAGATAAAGATTTGAAAAAAATTATAGAAAATGAGAAATCTATTGTTTCAAAGTTGGCTAATGTTAAATGCGAAAACTTAGTATAAGTTATTTAAGTGATTGATAAACCAAGATGTGTTTATATAATTATGGAGTTATGTGATCATGATCTGTAAAAGGAATTCGATAGTATTAAACCAAATTGGTTTTCGAGAATTGAATAATTGGATATGATTTAACAAATTATAAATGGAGCATGTATACTTAAAGAAAATTAAATAATACACAGGGATATAAAACCTTAAAATATTCTAGTCAAAATGGTTAGAGATAGAAATGGATCCTAAAAAAAAATTTATAAAGTAAAATATTCTGAATTTATTTTTAGGTTGCCGATTTTGGCTTTTCTAGAACTTTAGAGAATATGTATTAAAATGCAAATCTTACTTTAGTAGGATCCTGGAAATACTTGGCTCCAGAAATTTATTATAAAAAATAATTCTCGGCAATGTGTGATATTTATTCCTATGGATTACTATTCCATTAGATTGTATTCGAAGGTAATCTTCCTTTTGAAGAAGGAGAGGATTAAGTTAGACATTATCAGAGAATTGAAAAGTTTGATTTCAAATGTTAATAATTACCTGGATAATATGGTCAATTAATAACTAATCTTATTGAAAAAATGATTGTTTTTTCACAAGAAAATCGTATTAATTTTGAGGATCTAAGGTAGCATGAAATATCAACCAATTAGTTTAAAATTCCATAGGAATCTCTATTTTTACCTTTAAATATTAAATTAAATAAAGATGATATCTAAAATTAATAATTAAAAAATCTAGAAACCAAATTTAACCGAATTTATAAATTATTGAATATTTATCATCGTAAATATCTTTTATGTGAACATGTTAGAAATCATTTATAAACGAAGTTTTCATCCCTTGATGCATATATTTTAGTCACTTAATTATTCATTAGATGGATTGGTTTTATTTAAATAAAATACGCATTTTCTCTTATTAAAATGATTCCAACTAATATGGAAGAAACTTTAATTTAAAATAATGATATACAACTTTTATTAAATATATTACAAAGATATTAAGAACATTCCTAGGAAACAAATAAATATGGTTAGCTCAATTAAACTCTTACCTAAATATATTATTAATTCAAAATATAATTAAATTTGGAATATTGTGAGTTTCTCAAGACACTTTATAGTAATAGTGATAATAATTAATAAATTAATTTAGAACAATAATCAATTATTTTAAGAAAATTAGATGTTTAAAATTTTGATTGTTAATTCCTATGCGATGAATTAGAAAAAATTATAAATATTTAACCACTAAAAGAAATTTATGATTAAACTGGTAAATAATCTTGATTTTAATATATATAGACTAAGATTTGATTTAAAGGATAATAAAAATGTAAAGAGATTTTGAAATTGCCAAATATGCCTTTATTGATGTTAATTAAATTTTTCAATAAAATAATCAATGAAATGATATTAAATAGGTTTATAATCACAACACTTAAAAAAGTTCTGGCAAAAAAATATCGTTAGAATTTATTATTAAATTAACATCATCAACAATATCTGATAATCCCCCTTAATCGATAAAATCAGCAACTAAAAAATTGGGCATTTTCATGCATTTGAAATAATATTACAAGAATCTTTTTCTTACATGATTGTAGCTGTTGTAATTCTTTTTATAGGAGGAATCAAATCTTTTTATAAAATATAAAATATTACTTAAAGGAATTTTATGGACAAAAATGGATTTCTAAAAAAGGAGACAATATTTCCTCTGTCTATTTATTTACTCTGCCTCTAGCTATGTCACCATTTTTTACATCTTCTAAAGGATCTATTTCCCAATCAACTTATGCACTTAATAAATATGAATAATAAGTGTAATTTTATAATTCACCAATTATTTATTCTTTAGGTTCTATAGTAATTAATAAAGTCTATTGATTATTTCTACACCAACCCAAAGTTGGAAGTTCATTACCTGGTTTAATTCTAATTGCCCTTTAATCTGCTCTTATTTCTTTTAATAAACTATGTAACATGACACTTACAAGTCTTGAATCCCATTCTTTAGTTCCATTTCTTTTAGAATTATACAATAATTTGCTTTCAATTTTTAGAATGATGATTTCATTTGGATGTTAAAAAGATAAATCTACAATCTCTTTTAAACGCAAACTTGCTTTTTCTGGTTTTTTTAAAGCTCTTTATAATATGGTTAATTTACAATTAGAACCTCCATCTGATTCATGAGCAACTACAATCTATGTATGAAAATTTGACTTACTTCAGAATTATTGCCATCTTAATACCAATGTAAAGGTACTTTAAAGTGTCTAGCTCCATATTTTGTAAATTGTTCATTAGTATTAACATTCTATTATGCATATACCCAACCATAACATTTTGACATTGCAAAATTATGAGAACCCAAATAAACAATTTCATTTAATTTTAGGTTATCATTTAGATGCCCATTACCTCCTGGCATTTACTATTACATTTATTATTTATATCTATTATATTAGAAGAATTCTCTTTGTACTTATCTTTTTAGATTATTTTTCTTTTAAATAAAAAGTCTATAAAAAGAAGCTATGAATTTGTTATTTCTTCAATTTTATGTGCTTTTAAGGAATATAGTTTTGTATTAATTATTTTATTTAAATGCCAAAAGAAACTAAAGGACAATAGAAAGGTGGAAGATCTAAATATGAAACAACAGAATAAACAGAGACTTATAGATAATAAGATGCTGTAAATATAGATACTTATATAATAGAAAGAAAAGAAAATTCTGGGACCTAAAACAAAATTAGATTTAGAAAAATTAGAACCATACTTCTCTTAAAATAATAACTATGTTGGAATGTTCAAGAAAGATGCAGGAAAGACAGATAATAGTTCAGCAGTAGCTTATTCTGTAAGATTTAATCGTAACTGTTAGCATCCATTAGATAGATTAGGAATAGTAGAGAATGAATACTGTTAAAAATGTAAGAAAGATAAGGGATTTTGTCCTCATAAGAAGGGAACTCATAATACAGTAAAGGATCAATTCTAATTACCAATAATTAGGTAAGAATATTTTAAACATTGTAAAGCTCTGCAGAAATAGGATGGAGAGAACCTATTGATAATGTTAATTGGGGATATGGAGTTAAACAATCTTTTCCAATTTTCAATGCAGATTTCAGAAACACTTCAAAAAAAGAAGAAAAAGAAAAGAAATGATTTTTAGGTCCATCCTTTTAATAAATATAAATAATAGTTGTTTTTCTTAGATATCAGATCTACTTAGAATTAGATGCTCTCTCATTATTCATTCAAATATATCTAACTTAATGATTTTCTTTTTAATAAATTTATTTATCGTAAATGTAGGAAATTGAAGCTAAAAAACAATTGAAAGCAAGTGAAGGAGCACACTTCTTTTACACACTTATCTTCCTTAGTGCATCAGGCATAATAGAGACTTAATTTATTGAATAGAAATGCAATCAGAATCTAGCCTTGTTTATACATTTGGTTTTCTATGGCTTAATAATTTGGGGAACTTACATTTTAATTACTTTAATACCTAGGTTGATAGTTCAATTTAAATAGATACAAAAATCCTGCAATAAACTTGTTCTTTAATTTCTTAGATATCTGTTTTGCTATTTACATAGCCTTTTTATTAATTTATGGATACAAACTCTATTCATCTTAAAATGATTGTTAAACTGAAGCTCCTGTTCTTTACTTCTTTTTAGAAGTATTTATGCTGGTATGATATCATTAATCAATCATAAAGGTCAATGGAATCATTTTCATCATATTGGGTCTCGCTTTTATTTCATATATCTTGAAGAGATTCTCCAAACATTAACAATCATATGCTTAAGGAGAAGATGAATACTTAAATGAATGATATAATTACATAATGATAATAATAAATCATCCTTTTTTTGAAACAAAACTATTATTTTTTATAAAGAATCTCCAAGGTTTATCCTTGTATTCCTCTGCATAATCAATGTTTATTCTCTTTGATATTCCAATCTCATATTCTGTAGCATTATCGATTATATACATTCCACTCTTCTTATCACATAAATTTAATCCATTATGACTCTTATTAAGTTATAAACATTATCCACATTTTCCAGGACCATTTGATAATTCTTATAATTTGCAAGACTTAATCTTTCTTAAATCTTTAACTATCTCAAATTTTAAAGGTTAAATAGCTCTTATTAATACTGCTTCAGGGTCCTTATTTGTTGCAGCAGTAATATTCAAACAATAACTATTCCCATAAATTTAATAAATATATAAATGTCCTCCATCTTACCAAAAATATTGTGTCCTCTCTGTTTTTTTATTCATATAAGCATGACAGGCCTTATCCTCAGGCGCTTTTTTTATTATCTAATTTACCTTTGTAGGCTTCAGCTTCAACTATTAAAGCTCTTACCTCTCCTTATGGTAATTATCTTACTATTATCTTACCAATTAATTTCTTAGCCAAATCAATTACATCAACCTTATAAAATTCAGAATTCAACATTGTTTCAATAGGCTAATATTATTCAGCAGGATTTATGTATTTTTATCCTCTCGGATTCTTAATCTTCTTTACAATCTCATTTTCTTTCTTCACATCTTCATTAGTATTTTGAAGCTCTTCTTAAGCTTTATCCGACATTAAAAATAAATTACAGAATTAATTTATTATTTTATTATAAAATTAATCAATGTTTTTATTTATTTTTGTTAACTTGAAGTAGAAAAATAAAGAAAAAGAATTAAAGAATTCTAATTTCTTTTTCTTAAATAAAATTTGAACACTATGCATTAAAAATTAATAATTATCAATTTTAAAAAAAATAAATATAAATCTCTCAATTAATTCCTGAAATACCCATTTTGAATGATTTCAAATAATATTTATTTTATAATTTTATTGAAATTCATTGTTTTGCTACCAAAAAGTTCTGTTGTCTTCAAAAAGATTTTTGATACTTTTACTAAATATTATAGTTTTTAATAGTTTGTTTTATGGCATATATGAGAAATAAGTAAATTTTATTATTTGAAACCTTGAAAATATTTAAATTATGAAAAATAACTTCTAACATGTTTTTAATAAAACTTTTAAATTCAATTTAAAAGTTATTTACGTTAGAGCTAAATTAATACTGCTAATTTAGTGTCAAACATTTGAATAACAAAAATTATCAACATTTTGATATCCATGATCACACATTTTTAACCACCAAATAAATGTAGATTACTGTAAGTTTTACATGATTCCCAATTTGTACTCAGCAACAATAATCATAATTCCCTTTTTAATCTTAATATTATCCAGTACAAAAATCTTTAATAGTCAAAAATTAAGAACACATTTAAATTCACAAGTCAAGCGAGACTATTCACTTTCCTAATGCATAGAGAAAATATAAATATAATATCCAAATAGACAAATAGATAAATTATTCACAATAAATAATTTTAATCTACAAAATTTAAGCAATTATTAAAATTGTTCTTGGAAATCTATTAATCAGGTGAGAATTTTTTACAAATCTTTCTGTTTCATAATAGCCATTAAACATTAATATATAAAGATTTATATCATTTACTAATTAATAATAATCTTATCATATTTTATACAATAATTTTCTTTGAGCATTCAATACAAGGATAATTACAAGATTTGCATTATAAAAATATGTATAATTTACTTTATTGAGATTTACAGATGCATTTATTATCAATAATAATGTAAAGTAAATCAAAATATGACAAACATTTGTCTAAGGTGTCTATAATTATAAAAAAAATTGATTTATTTTTTATTATGAAACTGGAAACAATTATAAATGCAGTATTAGTTGATTAATACATAATTAGAATCTAAACAGGTTACATATCTACAATTATTTTAATAGTGATTATAATATCCTTTAAAAAAAATGCATTAATAATCATTTTTTAACAATTGGCGGCAGTGTAAATTAAGGATCCAAGAATATAAATTAAATCCAATTTGACATTTACTTTATAGCTAACCAAATATTTGCATTAAATTTTTTTTTTCAACAATATAAAGCATTTATTTCTTAATTCATATCAATACATGATTCAAATTAATTAATTTAATTAAAGAAGGTCTTTAATATTATTAACAACTATTAAGAATCTTTAGATAATCTTTCTTTGCATCTGCAAATAACACTCTAAAACTCATGATTTCTATCCTAGTATTTAATACAAGAAGATATAATAGTTTAATATGACAAATGTGTAAATGCCAGTTATCACATCCAAAATCACAATTGATTCGATATTCGTCTTGAAAAATACATTAATTTTTTACAAGATTTTGATTAAAGGTTATAAAATTAATTGCATTTCTTAAGAAAGTTAAAGGGTTTAATAAAAATTAGTGTTAAAGTTATAATGAGAATCGTTTACAAAGAGTAGAAAATGATTATTAAGCTGATAAACATGGCCTTACTTACTTTAACTAAATTAAAATATATACCTCTTAGTATTGAGTAGGATGATCCAGTGGAAAGATAATTTATTGAAAAAAATTAAATTAAATATGCCAAACATTCTATAATTTAAATAAATAAAACTAATTATTTTAGGTGTTTACTATTTTCATTATATTACTTAATAATAAATATTATTTTAAGAAATGAATGTTCAAATCAATTATTTACATTAAAGAGCATAAACAGAAACAAAATCTTAAGGGTTAACACAATCATTTGAAAATCTTGATTCAAGTAGTTTGAAAGAAGACTTAAATAAAAGCATTGAATTGGGACGTAAAAAGAGGAAACAGTTGACATTTGAAAATCCTGAATTTTAGATAAAGCAAGATATTGAGGATGAAAAATAAAATATTAAGGTGCAAACTCTAATTAGGAGAGGATTAGCTGATGCTTTGAAAATATAAGATTTATGTAAGATAATAATGTAAGTTAATTAGTAAAGTTGAAGATTACAGCAAAAGACACTAATAACCCAATTCAAAGTTTATTTCGATGGTTTATGCTTATATTATATAAGGAGAATCCTGAATTGTATAATTGGACAGAGTTTAGAGTAAGAAGATTTATATTGATTTGTTTAGAAACAAGTTCTTGAAAAGAATAATGGTTAAGATCTTCGTAATCGTTTAGGATATTAAAGTGTTATTCATATAACTGCAATTGAAGGAGAGAAAACAAGATATTTATTAAATTTAAGGAAAAAAATTATAGAATAAAATAGTAAGCCTGAAGAGGTTTAATATGTACTTGTGAAAATATTTGATATTATAGAAATAGTTTATAAGATACATGAACATGCAAGAAAAATAAACCAACTCGTTGATGATTTGTTAAAGGTATTGAATTTGTTAATTAATATCTTTAGCAAGAGAATATAATCAAGCAATACATAAATGAAATTGAGAAGGTAAATTAAAATATTCAGGAGGCAAAGTCTAACCTGAAAAAAATTGGTAAGCAAGTCTTTGAATGATGAAATCATTCAAGAATGATATATAATTATAATTATTATAGTTATAAAAAGTATTGATGAATATAAAATATCAATTAAATTATTTATATTTAAGAATGATAGTAACAATTAATAAAATAGATAATAAAACTGAGATAAATAGATAATTTAGATTAATAATAAAAATAAAATAAAATTGAAAGGAAGAGAATAGATATTTGTAGTTAGTTTGTTAAGTAATTTTTTTGAAGATTGAAATGATTAGAATATAAATATATATATATATGTTGAATAATAAAATATATATGAGATTAATTAAAACGGATATTCATTAATAAATTTTAGATGAAATAGATAGTCATATTGTTATTAATGCTAAGTTTGGCATTGAGTACAAGTATTGCATCACCTAAACTATTGTTGGAATTATAGGCAAGGACTGAAAATGTAATAGATGATGGTGTTGATTTATTGGAATAACTTCTTGCTACAACAGAATAGTAATATGAGTAGGTGATTCAAGAGAATGAAGTTGAATAATAATAATTAAAAGATTAAGTGACTTAGAAAGAATAATAACTATATGATCTTTAAAATACTTGTATGGTAATGTCTGATGATTTGGCTTTATTGAAACAGTAAATAGAATTGCATGGAGATGATACAGAATACTTTAGAAATGAAATAGTAAAAGATAATCGTAGAATTGAAGTACTTGAAGAGCTTCGTTGTTAATAAAGCAAGAATTGGTTGAATTTCATAAAATCAAGCAAATATATAATGAATTTGATTGAGTTTTTAAGAAGGGCTATATAGAATTATGGTTCATTTGCTGAGATTCAAAACTTTTCAGTAATGCTTGAGACTTTAAGTAAAGAGATAGATGATAATGAATTATTGAATTCACTTTAAGCAGTAAGTAAATCAAGAGCAATAACTCCTGTAAGATAAGAATTACTTTAACTACTAGATTAAATTGAGGAATCAATAAAAGCAAAGATTAATACAAGTTAGACAGATGAAGTAAATAATAATAAAATAATAATAGATTTTATCAACATCAAGAATTGCTGATTATTTACATTAACTCAAATAGGAAATAGCATGGTATGAGAATGAAGTATAAAAACTTAATGAAGCTTGGGGAGAATCACCAGAGGAAACAGTAAAATAGAGATAAAAAGAATTAGATGTTTGTGAAAGTGGTATTAATGCAAAGATTGAAGAAACAAAGGAATTTAGAAATCATGTAAGTGAATAAATAATTCATAATGAATCAAGATAAGCTCGTTTCTTAGAATAGAAAGATTTAGTTGCTTAATTAGTAGTTGAATATTAGAATGCTTTCAATAAAATAGGAGAAACATATAAAATAAGAATAGATGATTTTGTAGAAGATGGAGTTTTTGATAAGACCGTTGATTTCGATAAAAGGTATTAAAATTGTAGTATATAACAAATTAGATCCTTAACTGATCTTTATGGTGATAAAGAAGACACATTCTAATAATATGTAGATGATTTAGTGAATGGAGTTGCTACACCAATTGATGTTCCAGTAGTAGAAGAAGAACCCGAAGTAGGAAGTGAAGAATCAGGAAGTGAGGAATCAGAAGAAGTAGGAAGTGAAGAAGATTAAGAAGAAGGAGTTGAAACTATTACTTAAGATAGTGTTGTTGAAACAACTACTGAAGATACTGAAGAAACAGTTGAAACTGTAACAGAATCAGAAGTCGAAACTACAGAAGAAACCAATTATTTTGAATAAGGGGAAGTTGAACAATCTGTTTGATTCTATTAAAATAAATAAATATATTTATGTCAAGACATTAAGGAGTTTATAATATGATCAGACATGGCGATTATATCGATGATGAATATGATTATGTTGATGATTAATAAGATAATGAAGATGATGAATAATATGCGGATCATAATTTCACTAGAAGTAATTTAAATTATTTATTTTAAAGGCGAATTGGAAATCATCAATAATCTTTATGATATATTTCAACTTGATTTTACTCGTAAATAAATTATTGATGCATTATATGAAACTGACGGAGATCATGATGCAACATTTGAATACTTAAGTAATAAAATTAAAAAAACATCAAAATCATAATAAAATTCAAAACCTTAACCTAATAGGAAATAATAATAATAAATATAATAAGTTAAAATTGAAGACAAACCTTAACCATTACCTTAATTAATAAAATAATCGAATAGTATTGATAAATCAAAGAATTAATTTCATATTGAATACAATGTTGATGAATTCAATTCACCTTATCCAAGTATCAAATATAAAAATGTTATTCAAACCATACCTTCTACAAGCATTGTTATTTTAGGTCATGTTGATACAGGTAAAAGTACATTAACAGGGAAACTTCTTTAAATATTTAAAGCTCTAGATGAAAAAGAATTAAGAAAAAATCAAAAAGAAGCTAAAAATTTAGGAAAAGATTCATCTGCTCTTGCCTATGCAACTGATATGACTAAAGAAGAAAAAGAAAAAGGTGTCACAATGGATATGGCTTATAAATCTATTGTCATTGATAAAAGACAATATAATCTATTAGATTCTCCTGGACATTAAGATTTTGCACCTCATTTAATAGCAGGAGCAGCTTAAGCTGATTATGCCATCTTAGTAATAGATACTACAAAAAATGCATTTGAAAATAGTATTAAAAGTGGTATGTTAAGAGAAAAATTGTAATTAATAAATGCTATGCTTATTAAATAAATTATAGTTGCTTTAAATAAAATGGATCAAATTGATTGGGATTAAAAATAATTTTAAGAGGCTAAAGAATACATTTAATCTTCTGCTGCTAAATTAGGCTATAATTAATAATAGATTAAGTTTGTACCCATTTCTGCATTTCAAGGTTTAAATTTACAAAATAAACATAATATCTAATGGTATTAAGGACTTACTTTGATTTAAGAAATTTTAAATCTACCTCCTATTTAAAGAAGAAATGATTAGGTAATTTAAATTATTTAATTTTAGCCAATAAGATTTACTATATTAAATAGATTTCATTAAAATGAAGGTAAATTAAGAGGAACCTGTCTACTCGGTAAATTACATTCAGGTTATTTGGAAAAGAATATAAATTATGTTATTTTACCATAAGGAATCTTTTGTGAAGTTAAAGAAGTTGAAAAATAAAGTGCTGAAGGAGATATATTAGAAATTAAAATAAAAACTTTAATTGATTCAGAATTTTAAAATATTCACATTGGTTCAGTTTTGAGTTCAATCGAATATCATGTTCCTGTTGCAAATAGATTGGTATGTTAAATTAGTACACTTGATCTACAAACTCCAATTATAAGAGGATCATAATATTTGATGCATTTAGGGGCCTAGAAGGTAATATTCATTCTATTTTAAGGTTGGCGTAGTTGTAAAGAAATTAAATCATATCTATGAAGATGATACTTAAACAATTAAAAAGAAATTCCCTAGAGCTATTGTTTCTAATTAATTAGCAGAAGTTGAATTAGAGTGTGATGGTTTAGTCTGTGTGGAAGTATATTCAAATTTAGAACAATTAAGCAGAATTATTTTGAGGGAGAAATTTAATATTGTAGCCATAGGGAAAGTTACTATTATTAATGTAAATTAAAATAAGCTAAAATAAGGAAAGATTATTCATGAATAGTAAATTTGATGTATATCAATATAAATAATAATGGTGTTTAAGAATAATCATGTATTTTGTTTATAAATTAAAATAAAAAATATAAAAATGGGATAGCCAAATCTAAGGTACTCTAAACCTCCAGAAGATAGTTTGCAAATTTTATTACCTATCAGAAATAGTCTTGAAGTAAAGTTAAAATATAATATATTTATAGCCAATTTCAGTGAGATTAGATCCATCTGCATAATATCCTCCTTTAGATTAAAAAGAATGGGGATAATTTCTTTATTAAATTAATACCTCCATTGATAAGAAAAATAAGTTGAATCTACTTAATGATAGTAATTCATTTTATTTATATATAGACTATAAAGCGTAGATTCTATATTAATACTTAAAATCAAAAAAAAAGAATGTGGAGCCTGCTATTTTGGGAACAGAATAAGGATTAGAGGATTTGTTGATTTATTTGAGAAATTTATCCAAGCAAGAATTATCTAAATTTATTACAGAAAAAAATCTTATTGAAAAATTAACAAAACTTAGTCAAACTGATTGTGAAGGCCATCATGATAAAGAAGTATTAAATGATATGTATATTATTAGTGCCTACTGTTAAATATCATATTATTGGCATTAGAATCAGATAATAATCTTGAAATTCCTACTTCATCATTAAATGAATTCTGTATGATTTTGAATCCTTTGCATATAGTAAATTTTTCATTAATTCTTGAAATTTATGTGTTAATTTGCAAATTTTAAACAGATGAACGTATGCTTTAAATAGCTTTAGCTTGGTTGGACATGAAACGTTTAGGTTATTGGAAGTATCCAATAGAGCCTTTTATTTAATTACTTTAAAATAATAAGAGTGTTTTTGCAATAGCAAGTATGTGCAGATTTTTAAATTATTTTATGGAAGCACATGCAGATTAAACTTATAGTTATAAATTGAAAAAAAGTTTTATTTAATATGGATTAAGAATTTTACTTGAAGATGTAAAGAGAAAAATCTAAAGTGGTAGTTACTAAATGTAAGATTGCACTTATGCAGCAATGGATTAATAACTAATGGAATATTATTTGATATAAAAAGAGAATTCAACAAGAAAACGAAAAATATTACCTCCAGATGGTAAACCTGTAGAGTTAAGTATTTGTGCAAAATTATGTCACGAATTATTTATTGAATTAAATAATCCAAATGCTCCATTAAAATTTTAGAAGATATGTGAAGAAGCAATAGCATAGATAGATGCATTTTTATTTTTAACAGAGGAGATTAATGATGAATTGAAAAATTAAAAATAACCATAAAAGAATGAAAATAATTTAAGTCAATTTCGAAGATCTTAATCTATATCAAATATTTTTGAAGGTGAAGATTCATAAGAAATAAGAATTCCTAATTTAGATTACCATTCTTTAAATACTTAAGTAAGAGAAGCATTGACAATATAAGATGCAGTTAAAATACTTGATGATTATGTGAATTAATAAGCAAATGTAGGAGTGAATCCAGTTTCTTAATTAATTTAGACAGCTGCTTAGAAATTATTAGAATTAAAAAAAAATGATCCTGCTTAAATGGAATTAGCAGAAGCTGAAAAAAAATGTACATAATTAGAAGGTCAATTAAGAAAAATATATGAATAAAAAGACAAATATTTTTAAGAAATGAAAGAATTAGAAAATAAACTAGAACAATAATCTAAATTAATTTAATAATTACAATCAACACCCTCAATATCATTAAATGTAACAACATAATCATAACCATAATCTTTTACAAGTCTACCACCTCCACCTCCACCTCCACCTTAAACAACAGTAGCTCATCCTCCACCACCACCACCACCACCACCTATTTAAGGAAGTGCATAATCTGCACCACCACCACCACCGCCACCACCACCTCCTCCTCCTGGTGGTGCAAATCCTCCTCCTCCTCCACCACCACCTCCTCCTGGTGGTAGAGCACCTCCTCCTCCTCCTCCTCCACCTGGTGGTAGAGCACCTCCACCTCCTCCTGGGGCTGTAGCTATTTAAGCAAAAAAAAAATGTGCTCCTACTAAACCTATGAAGTAAGTTCCATGGGTTTTAATTAAAGAAGATAAAATTAAAGGAACTATTTGGGAAAAATTAGATGATTCAAAAATTAAATTAGATATTGAATTATTAGAAGAAAAATTCTCTAGACCTGAAACAATTTAAAGATAATAATCTACTATTGCATAACCTATAAAACCATAAAAAGTATCTCAATTATCTAGTGAAAGATGTAAAAATGTTGAACTTGTGATCTCAAGATTAAAATTAAGTGCTTTTACATTAAAAGAAGCATTATTAACCATTGATTATGATGTTTTAACAGAAGATAAAGTTGGAATGTTGATTAATGCTGTTCCTGAAAAAGAAGAATAAGAATTATTTTTACATTATTAACCTGAAGATATTAATTTAGTTGCTGTTCCTGATTAATTCTTTATGGATTTAAGTCCTGTACCATAAATTAAGTTAAGAGTAGAAGCAATTACAGTATCATATGAATGGAAAGAATTATCATAAACTATTAATGCAAAATAAGAGAAAATTAGAGTAGGAATTAAATTGTAGAGAGAAGATTAAAAATTACCTATATTATTAGAATATTCATTAGCACATGGAAATTATTTAAATGGTTAATCAGCTAAAGGAGGTGCTAGTGCATTTAAATTAGATATTATGTCTTAATTAGATGACGTTAAATCAAATGATAATAAGACAAACTTATTAATTGTAATCTTAGAAAAAGTTGAAAGAGAAATAGGATGTTTATATGATGTGGAATTTTTAGCAAAAATAGATTATGAATTCTTATCAAAAATATCTCTTTCTACAATAAATTAAGATTTAACTGAATTGAAGAGAATGTAAAGAATTGTTGAAAGAGCATAGAAATCATAAGGAGAAGATTCAAATGACAAAGCTGCAGAAAAGTAATATTTATATATTATAATTAGATTTAAAATTTTATTTGATCAATTAGAAGAGGCTTGTGGAAAGATTGAAAAAAATAATAAAGAATTAGAAGTACTTTATAAAGATTTGGTTACTCATTATTGTGAAGATTCAAAAACATAATCAGATGAATTTTTTGCTAAAATTGAAAGAATTTGGACAGATTATAAAAATGTAAGAATATATTATATAGTTAGGCAAAAGCACAAATGGATAGAACAAAATAAGCTTAATAAAAAGAATAGGAGAAATTGATGAGATCATAATCATAACATTCCACTTAAATATTGATGACATAATCTGTGATGTAGGTTTAGTCTACATAAGATGAATAAGTACAATAATAAGAGAAGCCATAACCTGCTCCAGTTGCAGACAAGAAGGATCCAAAAGAAGTATTAGCAGAGTTAAAAATGTTGCAATCGAAGAAAGCAGAATTAGCAGCTAAGAGATAATAATAGTAAAAATGAAAATATTATAAAATCATAACATCATAATGTTTAATTAATCTATATTAATGGATGATTCATTAATACTAAATTTATATATTTAAATCATGATATTTGTATTTTATGCTATATTATCTACATTGATTTTAGCAGAATCAACAAAAAATGAAACAACAAGAGATTATTGTTCTCTTCCTGATGCAATCTATGCAGATGGAGTTTCTGCAGCTGATTTTGGTGCTACCGGATGGAGTTATGCTAACGCTGATAATTGGGCAGGTCTAACAATAAATTATTTAATTTAGATCTTGTTGTTACATGTGGAGGTAGTTTCTAATCGCCTATAGATATTATTACTAGTGGAACTACTTAAGAATCTATTTAACCTTAAATTAACTACAAAAGTAAAGATGCCGGAGTTGGATATGAAGAAGCAAACAGTAATATTTTGATGACATAATTTTAGAACCATATACCAAAGAATATGAAGGAGAATATTCAGAAATTGATGTAACTGATGCATCAGGTTCTGTTTATCGATATTATGCCAAATAATTTCATATACATACACCATCAGAACATACCATAGATGGAAAATATTTTGATTTAGAAATTCATTTTGTTCATCAAGTAAGTTTATAAATTATTTTAGGCTATACAAGATGAGGAATAAGACTGTAATAAAGTTAAAAATAAACTTACTGTTTTTGGTTTAATGTTTTCAGAGTAACCAAATGCAGCAGATTATGAAGCATTTAAACCATGGTTTGATTCAAATGCTACTGGAGAAGTCGATTCTTTTGATCTAAAGTAACATTTTATTACTCAAAATAGTGATTTTTTCTCCAAAATGTCCGATGTGACCTATTATCATTATAATGGAAGTTTAACAACGCTTCCATGTTCATAAACTGTTAATTGGGTTGTATTCTAATAACCGTTACCAATATCTACAGCCTAATTGAAACAATTCTAAGATTTCCTTAGTGATTCTACTCTCTTTCCAATTAAACACAACAATAGACCAATTTAACATCTAAATGGAAGAAAGATTTTGAAAGGAGTAATTAATATTGACGAATATAATTAGACTGCCATTACTGCAGGTGTAACTGAGATACCAGATGTTGAAGCATCTTTTGCTTAAACACTTTTCATGGCTATTTTGATGATCATTTTGATATAATGAGAAATTTATCATCAAAATTTATAAATAAATAATATATATATATATATTGATATTAAAATAATAAAAAATTATAATCAAAACTTGAGATTTTAATTATTTTAATAGATGATGACATAATATCAAATCCCTTTTTCTGTATTTACATTAATTGTTTTTTGATATAGACATACACAAGAAGTCATGGCAATTCCCAAAAAAAAACCCAAAATAGCAAATACCAAAGCATGATTTATATTAACCTTTGGTAACTTCTTAATATGAGTTAATTTACTATTCAATTCAGCTGTTTGCTATTGTAAAATTTAGATTTCTTTTTCCATTCCTTTAATTTTATCAATAAAAGTATTAGCTTCTGCAATTTGTTATTAAATTGATTCTGAAATTCTAATTTCTTCTTCTTTTTATCGTTGATGTTCTTCTAATTCTATTTGTTTCTATCTTTCTAATTCCATCATTTCTTTTAAACGTAATTCCTATTCTTCTTATTCCTTTAACATCTTTTCTAATTATTACTATTATATTTCCTATTTTGTTTCTTCAGACATTTAAGCCAATGAATCAATCCATTGAACAAAGAAATCATATCTTCTATGATTTTAAAATTAAGATGTTGGTCTATCATTTCCAGGAGGAAAATATAAAATTGTAGGAAAAGAATGAACTCCAAAATGATGACAAATATGCTGATTTTGTTATTCATCACAATTCATTTTAGCAATTAGAATATCTGGTCTTGTTTCTTAATAGTGTTCAAATACTTAATTAAATTCTCCTGCCATATGTTAACAATAGATACACCATGGAGTAAAGAAATCTAAAACAACCTGTTTCGATAATTACTTACATGTTTGTCCTTTCCTAAATGCTGTTGATAATTATTTGCTGCCAATGTAAAAGCTAATGTACTGTGATACCAATCTGCATTTACATCAATAAGTAATAATATCAATACAATAATCATAATAAAAATTTTATCAACTCATCATGAAAATTCTGCTTGAAATATCTGTTACTATCCAATCGATTCCTTCTAGTAATCCATCTCCTGTAACTGCTGAACATGCTATTATTCCCCAATGTCTTGTTTGAATTAAATCCAATTCCAAATACTCTCTTATCTATTATAGACTTAATGATTTTGGAACATCTTATTTATTACAAAATATCAATAGAGTTGCTCCTATCAATTTTTCTTACTTTAATAAATTTTATAATTCCTTTTTGCAATCATCTAAACGAGCTTTGTCTGTTGAGTCCACTACCCATATTAAACCATCTGTTTATTCAAAATAATTCTTCCAATATGATCTAATTGTCTATTAACCACCAACATCTAAAATTATTTTCATTTTGTTACCCCAACAATTTAGTTTATATCCATTATAACTAAGAGTTTTGATATTGAAGCCTAATGTTGGAGAAATCTGGGAAATGTCTTCCCCATTAAATTTTTTTAAGATTGTAGTCTTTCCTGCATTATCTAATCCTAAAATCAACAATCTCATCTCTTTCTCTCTCTCCTTTGTTTTTTTTATTATTTTCAAAAGTCCCATTATAAAAGAAAATTAATTTAAATTTAATATGTATTATTATTTATCTAAATAACTTAATTTCATAATTTTGTTTCTTCATCATTTCTCCCAAAATATTGTTAATTCATTATCTTCATACTTTACAGTTTACCCATTACCTAAAACAAAACTCTCTCTTGGATTCATTTCTAACCAAATTCCAAATTTTGACATTACAAGTTCCTAATTTATATTACCTTCTAGCCATTACTCCTTTCCATCTAATGCACTTTTTGGTTGCCCATCAAATATTATCCAATTTTTATCCATATATTTTATAAATCCATGTCTAGAAGAAACTTATTTTGATTTAAATATTATATCTGATTATTCACATCTTCCTAGACTAAAATAATTTCTTTCATTTTCAACTAACAAATATTTTTGAATAGATTATTTTTCATTAATTTCTAAATAAATACAATTTTTCAATCTTAATTAATTAAGTTCCTTATTAACTAATAATTAATTTATACATTCTCTAATTCTTTTGATTTCAATTTCTACTAAAAGTAACTTATTGTTGTTTCCTTTTTGAATGATTAATCAAATAATATTTTAGTCTCTTGTGGTAAACCAATTATTTAAGTTCTTTATGTAAACTCATATAAATCTTCTTTATCTAAGAAATCTCCAAAAATTTGATTATCTTATCTTACTTTTAATTTTGAGCTTAAACCTACAAGGAATGTATTATTTTTAATTAAAACTTGATTTTTGCATTAATTATCTATATTAATCAAACTTAAAAGGCCTTTTTAGCCTGAAATATCTGTTATTTTTATATTCTTTTCATCAGTAATTGTAAATTCTCCTATTTTATCAATTATATTCTTTTCGAGATAGAAACTATTCAAAACTTTAAAATATTCATTTTAAAATTCCTTTTAATTTTAAGGTATTTATAGAGAAGAGCAATCAATTTCAAAATGAGTTGGTAAAATAGTAAGCCAGTCTAATACCAAATCATTATTTTATGAACATCCGATTGTATATTCTCAAAATTTATTTATAAAAATACTATGCTTATCATCAAGTAATGTCAATTCTTTTGGAGAAAATTATTACTTACGACCTGCTCTAATTATTAGTGATTTCCGAGTCTACTGTCATGATAAAGTATATACTTATTGATTCATATTAATGCTAAATATAATTATTAATTGTATTTTTTTATTTTTTGAGGAGAACTTAAATTTCATATTTTAATAGATTAAAAAATATCATGCAACTTCTATTTTAAATTTTATGAAAAATAATAATAATGGGATAATAGTTTTTATTCATAAATAGTTTTTATTTAAAATTTTTAAATAAAATAGAAAGAATAAAAAAAAATTAGATATCATTTAAAAAGAAACATTATTTTATATGAATAAGATATTAATAATTAAAAGCAAAATAAAAGTATTTTAATATTATAAAATAATATTCCAAATTTAATTATTTTATTTAAAAATACAAAAAGATAAAGTGGAAATAGAGTATATTATATATATATAATTGAAAATTTTATTTGACTGAGTTATTTATATTCCAATTGCTTTGAATATGAGATATTCATAAATTTTTAATAAAATAAATTAATACATTTTTTTTTAATTCATTAAAATACATACTAAAAATTTAGTAAAAAGAACAATTAACAAAAGTCATTGGTTTGTCAATATGAAGATTATGTTAAAAGTGGAATAATTGGAGCATGTTTGAAAATAGATTGTAAATATTCAAGATCTTATTGTTATCATTGTTTATTAAAATATCATATTTCACATACAGATCTTTTAAGGACCTTAAAAGAGTTAAATGAATGAAGAAGCTATACCTATGAAACCCTTATAAATGAAATTATGTAATTAAGGGAAAGATTCTAAATTTTTTAGCTTCAATTCCTGAAAATTATTAAACAGATTTTTTCATTATTATCTCAAAGGCTTCATTAATTCCTTTTATATATAATTTATCTGATGATTTAGGTAATTTAAAGTTAGAAATTAAGAGAATAAAATAAAATTGTTATTTAATCTTAATTCTTAAGGATATGAAACATTTTCAATCTGTAGAATAAGATAAGTCACAGTAAGCTCAAATACAACATGTTGTTTATGAATAAGTAAAAAGATTGACAAAAGGTAATTTTGTTGAAAAATGGAAAGATGGTTTTATATAATTAATAAATAACCAGATCGTTTGTTTTCTGCGAGGCTAGGATTCCATTAAATCAAAATGTAAAACTTACATTCGAATTAAATAATCAAATTTAAATAGATTCATTGAAGTAGGTTTCGGATCTGGGATTAAGAAATAAAATAAGAGCTATATGATTAATAATGATTTATAATTTAGAGTGGAGATACTATTTTACTGGAAATAAGAATGAAGGAGAAAAAAATAACATTTAATAATCTAAGAACATCATAGACATATGTAAATATAATTTAGAAAGTTTAATTGAAACTTTATATAATTGTGATTGATTAGATGGGCCGTTTTAAAGAAATTGTATGATTATTGATTAAGATCCTTATAATTATAATGAAAAATTAATATATGAACTTATAAGTAGCTCTTTTTGACTTTAAATTAATTTTTTATAATTTCTCTAGAACTTAATTTTATTAAAATCAAGATAAGATTAATAATAATAATTAATACAAGAATAATCAATTGAATAGATATATTTCTATTTCATTAAAAATATAAAGATGACTTGAGTAATATAATAATATAAAAGAAATAGGAAAATAATAATTATAATTATTTTAAAAATATAATTATCTTTACATTCTGAATTAACTGTTAAAGAATAAGTTAGAGAATATGATATTTTCGTTATAATATTGATATAAAGACAAAGAGTAGCATTTATTATGTTATTAGAGTTTTTATATACTTATTATGAATACTTTAGTCACATTTCGAAGGATTGTTTAATTCAATCGAACCATTTAACCTCTTGAATAAATGAATCAGAATCAAAAGTCAAGAATAAATTTTGAAGTTCCTTAAATTTCTAATCTTTTGTCATAGGATTTTCAGGTCTTTCGTGATTATCTTGTTCAAACTTTGTAAGTCTATATGTGTTTATTGATTACAAAATACAAAATTCTTCTTGGGCTTTGGGAATGTGTTAATGAAGATTCTTGTTTTGAAGTACTTTCTTCGAGGATGTTAGAATTTGAACTTTACCTACTGGAACTAGATAAACTTAGTGAAAGCTTCAATGGAATAGGTGTATATATGATGGAGGATTTGTATGATTAAGTATGTTAATTAGACATATTGTATTTAATTTTTATGAATAGAAATCATTATTAAAATTTTGCTTAATTCTTCAAGATCATTATTATTATATCTTAAATACTCTTTACTTCCATAATTAGATAAATTATCAACTCAGAAACAAATTATAGGATTTATTTTTATAAATTATTTCTTTTTTCATTAATAGGATTATTTTTAATGAACAATTTCTAGATCTAATTTAAATAGTAACTAAACTTTTAGGTTTAAAATGAGAAGTATCTATTTAATTATTAAGATAAATTTGAATTAAGTAAGGTTGTAATATGTTTATTGAATATGTATTTTTGGTGTTAATTTAAAGTTAAAAATTTCAGGTATGTGGGAATTTGTTAAAAAGAAATAACTGTAAAGAATATTTAATGATTAAATGTTTTTTATTTGAATAGAAATTTATAAGTATAGTTCGGGTAACAAAATATTAGATAAAGAAATATAATTCAAACTAGTTTTCAATAATGTGGTTTAGTCTATTTAAGAATTGATTTTAGGATTAAGTCTTTTTGAAGATTTTCAATCATTTTATTGCTACTAGATTTGATGTGAAACTTTTCCTATTCTTGAGTATTTGTACATTAAGAAATTGTGTCCTTAATTGACAGTACTTCCTCATCAGGATTAAACACACAAACAGTGACAAAATTATCAAAAGCAATTCCATAACCAGTGCCCTTTAAAATTTATCTGCCTTTAACATCAAATCTAGGTTGATTGTATTTGATGACTTTTATTATTTTTTATTTAATTTAAATAGGAGAGGGTTCTTCAGGTACATCTTCCTCAACATCTTGCTGTCTAACTTAATTCTATTAGAGCAAGACCTTTGGGCCAATATTCATACTTTTCATTTTATAAGTCTAAGCTTATTTAGCAATTATTATTATAATAAACGATTTGGTAATAAATTTGAAAAGACTATAAAATTCAATAAACCTATAAGTAGTAATAAAATAAACATTAAAAACATCATAAATCTTAATCAAGTATTACTCTCTTAGCTCTTTTATACTACAACTATTTCACTACTTTAAGAGTAAACGATTCTAATTAAGATTGATCATATTCTTTTCCAAGTTTATATTCTTTTATATCGTATTCAATTAAGTAACATAAATGATAAAATTTACTGACAATTATTAATAACACTAATAATTCAATAATTATAAGTATTATTAATAAAATTAGATATATTTGATCTATTTCTAGAATAATTAATGCTACAATTTCTAGTGTAATAAGTGAAAACAACAAAGACAAACTCATTAAAAACACAAACTTTTCTTTTCTGCTTAAATTCGATATGCTCAGTCTGATAGTTTATAAATATTATACTTTTCATTTATTTATATTGGAAAGTAATCATTACAAAATTAACATCTAAATAAATTAAGGCCTAATTTAGGATAAAGATGAGCATAATCTAAGATACAAATTATATGATAATGTATATTTAAGCAATGGCATAATTTGATTGCTAAACTCCCTTTTTCATTTTTACATTTTACACATTCATTATTATTTGTAGAAAGTACATTTCTAGATTTACTCACTCTTGCAAGATCACCTTCAAGTATCGTTTTAGGTTTTAAGCTTCTCACTTTATATTTTGGTTATTCAAGTGATTCTCCCTTAGGACTTAAAAATGGTGATTCATTATAGTCAAAACAGGTTTAAAATTGTTATCTATTCTTAGGTGTTGATTTTGGACTCATTTAATAAAATGACTGCATAAATTAATATTTATTAAAAAATATCTCTTTAATCTTAAAGTTGAGAGTCTGATAAAATAAATAATTTCAAATCTATTGGAAAATGACTTCATAAAAAGGTTCTGAAATTACTGTTTCATAATTATGATTCAAAGTGCAGTTTTTAGAAAAATTATCGAAATAGCTGTTTTATTACTTAATAAAACAATTTAATTAAATAAATATTATATATTCATTATTATTTTAACAATTCTAGTTTTTTTTTTGCTGCTAAAACTTTTAATTCTAATTGATTCAACTATTCTCTTAATTATTGATTTTCTTCTTTCAAATTATAAAATAAATTTGCAAAATGCTCATCAACATTCACAAATTTTGATCTCTATGTCTTTACAGGCTAATTTTCTCCTTAATACCTTGGAGTGTCAAATGGATTTGAGTTCAATTTTCTTTATATTTACTATTATATCTAAAATAATATTTGAGCAATTTACTATTATTGGTTATGATGAGAATTTATTGCTTAGTAATAACTTTTAAGCTGGTTAATAATACATAAATTAAATAATATATTATAAATAACTCACATATCAATTCAAAATCAGAATAAAGATCAAATTAATAATTATATGAGGTGTCTTTATCTAAATAGAATACTTAATTCTCAAAAAATAGTTTATTATTACATCAACAAAGCTGAAAACTTATTTTTCATTAAGAATGAACAAAATGAATAAAGTTGTAATGCTATTTGGAAAATGAAAGGGAATAAAATATAGAATTTGAAAAATTCAAATTACAAAACAAATTTCATTAAAAAGATGTAAATGAAGATAATCTGTAAAATTGTATTTAACAAACTTTTATAACAAGCCATTTTTATATGTTTAATATTTGTAAAACAATCTATTTATAATCAATACATAAATTATTTAGAAAAAACTTAAACTTGAAAATTATATAGTTTAAGTTAATCTAAGAGAAAATTCATTAATTATATTCAAAATACTATTATTTTGGCTTGAGATATTTTTAAAAATTAAAGATGAAAAAATTGTGTTTTTAAAGTCTTAATCTTACACAACTAAATGGTAAGGCATAAGAAAATGTAATTAATCTTGAGGGTAAATAAATGATTGCTTATTTGCTCTCGTTAGTAAAATAGAAAAAAAGAGCTAGTTATGTCAATTTTAGTAAAATTAAGATCATATACGAACTTAATTTTGCTATAAAATGAGAATATATATTATTTTAATAAATTTCGATTTTTTTGGAATCATTTTTTGAATTATAGTTTTATCGATGGAGATCTAATCGAATTTATTCATTTTATTTTATTAATTTCTGAAATATTTTTGGTAGATAAAAATATAAAAAAGTCTTGAAGTATTTTTTCTAAATTATCGAAATACTGTCAAACATCTCTTTGAGATATATTTTATATTTAGAATTTAAGAATATAAATATATTTGTTAAGAATATTTGTTAATAATATATTTAAGTATAATAATTATTAGACAATATGATTCTAGGAACCGTAACTAAGATACACAAAGTAAATTCTACAGTTTTAGGTTAAGATAGAATGATAAGGTAATAGTAATTTTATAATTAGGACTTATACTTTTCTGTTACGGTTCTTCAAATTACATATATTAAAAAAAATGAAAAGTGGTGAATGCCTTATGAACTGGTAAAACAAAGTTGATGTTATATGTTCACACTTTTCTATGACTAGAAGAGTATTGCAAATCAATATTTTAAGATATTACGATGGTCACGAACAGCATTCTATATACAGATTTTAATTAACAAAATCAAATAGTAATGGAGCAAAAATGAATTAAAATATTATAGAAACTTGAATGATGTGTTATTTTACGCATACCTTATACTTACAGACGTTAATGATTTAATATTTTGGATGTGTTAAATTGGATTATGTAGAAATGTCAAATTATTATTAATAACAAAAGAGATCAATCCAAAATTATATTTTGTTGAATGTATAGGATGGTTTATAACTTTATGTCTTGAATATAAGGTTAATCAATAAGAAATCTAGAAGTCTCAATCACATTAGGATCCTAAAAATAAAATAAGAGCTAGATAAATTTAGATATTATAAAATTTAGTAAAATATAGTCTAGATATACCAGTCTCTTATTCTTATGTGAATACAAAAGCCATTTCATAAGAAAAAGCAGTTATTTTAGGAACAATTTCAAGTTTTATAAGTTTATATCAAACTTTTTAATAACATTCTGGTGGCTATTAGTGATAACATATTGTAACATATTATTTATATCAAATATCATAATCAGTCTATTAATTTGTATATTTGTAATTTTGTAAAATTCTATTAAAATAAATCATGAGAATTCAAGCTATATATAATTTGAATTTTTATATGATTCGATAATTATTTTAATGAGGATGAATATTTATCAATAGATTAAAAAAATAATTAAAGTTAATTAATAATTAAATGAAAATCATTATATTTTTTAGAATTATAATTTTTAATTAAATATAATAATTTAAGTATTTTGAAAAATTTAAGCTTTGATTAAAGATTGAGTCAATAGGAGATTCGAAATAAATTCTAAAGATAATATATGAGAACTCGATATAATTAACTTCTTATAAAATGTTAAAAATAGAAAATGAAAACAAGAGAAGGTAATTTTGATAATAAATTAAGTTAATTAATTATTAAAACATCCTCATTTTTAATTTGAGTCAAATAACTGCAAAGATTATTGATTTTGTTTCTTTTTATTTTTACTATTAATTTTGTTATAACAACACATTTGTAGACAATTCTTGCAAGAAATGTTGGACTATTCATTTGCTTTCTTCATTGATTATGAATACCTATGAATAATAAATAATAAGATTACTTTTCATAAGTTGTTTATCCTGTTAATAAATTTACTGTTTAAATATAGAATAACAGCCATAGAGGGAAGAGAAACAATAGCATGATAATGATGGAAAAGATAGAAAGAATGAAAAGGATAATAAATGAATGATCAATACCTCCATCATCTTAAATTTATTTGATTACAAAATAAAATTGGTATGCTAAAGTAAAGGTAATATCTAAACAGAGTAGGAACACAAATATATAAAACTAGAAATGATTATTTGAACCTATCTTATATTAGAATAAAAAATTACACAATTATCAACCCAAGGACAATGATGATCATAAACTAATACACAAGATTAGCAAATATCACAATGTTTAGATCTAGGAGCTTTAACACAGATACATTCAGGACAGATATCTTTGGCATCATATCTTTATAATATTTCATATAGATTTTTGAGTAATTCTTATTCATTTTTTTCTTATTTTTTAACTTATTAACCAGGATCACTTCGCCAAACTAAGATTAATAAAAACCAGATTAATAATTGAGATGATCCATAATAAATAAGATCTTAATTTGATTGATCTGCATAAAAATTGTAATAAATAGTAATTCCTTGACAATATATTAACATAGCAATAAATTTAAACATTTTATCTTTACTTCTATTTACTTTTTAGAATCCTTAACTAATACTAAAGTAAGTAATTAAAAAGTTTTATGATTCTGTTAGCATTTTAAAAATAGCTTTAAATGAATTAGATTAAGCAATATCAGCTGCAGTTTATCCCTCGTTATTTTTAATATTTCTATCAGCTCCTTAAAGTAATAGTTTCTTAACAATTCTACTATTTCCACTCATAGTTGCTAAATGAAGTGCAGTTAAACCTTCTACATCTTTGATATCTAATAATTAATCAGTAAAAGATAATAGATAATTAACTGCTAATTCACATCCATAATAAGATGCCCAATGTAATGCAGTTCCTCCTTTAGAATCTTTTAAACCAAAATCAAATCCTATTTTTTTAAAATAAACAACAGATTTTGGTTAATCTCCTTGAGCTGCTAAATGTAATCCATTCATTCCTTATGCATTTCTAATGTATAAATTAGCTCCACATTTTTCAAACTCTTAAATCATTTCTATATTTCCTCTATAGGCTGCAAAATGAAAGGCTACAAATCCATCTTCTGTTTATAAATTAACCCATTCTGTAAGAATTGATGTACATTTATGTTTATGCTGTTTTTTAACATGATTAATCAACAATCTTTAATAATATTTATAAGTACTTAACAGTATCTAAATTATTATTATAGGCTGCTAAATGTAACAGAGTATATTTTTTATGATCAATAATTGTATAAATATTGATGTTTTCAGCTTCATCTAATAAGTTTTAAATTTCTGATAAATCATTATTCTATATGACTTTTATAAGATATTATTCTGCTCCTTTTGATTCTATTAATCCATGAGTGTGTGATTTTGTCTTATTTCTTTCAAAATTAATCTCAGATTTAATCTTGGCTGTAGGAGGTGAAAGCAACTTTTTAATATCTGAATAAGATGAAGCAATTTAACGAGGCTGATCTATATCATACTCTTCATTTAAGATAGAAATATTTGGGAACATAAATAAATGAATATTTATTTTAATGTAATATATTTTCATCAAATTTTTTCAATAGGTTCTATTCCAATTAAATAAAAGCATTGCAACAATACCATTCTGATAGCTTCGCACAATAACAATCGTGTTTGTGTATGTTCATCATTCAATATACGATACTAAATTTTAAATTTAATAAATTACTTAATTATAAGCTTCAGCAATTTTTATACATAAGTAATAAACTACAAAACTATTCGAGTAATAAATTTAAATATTCGACTATATAATCACATAACCAATTAATAGCTAATTAATCAGTTACTGATTATATAACATCAATAAATCGTAATAATTATGCAGCTAAATGACGTTCATGTTAATGAGTTATTTTGAATTTGTTATTTCTTTTAAATAATTCAAAATCTTTAATACCACTCTTCCTTAAAATAGATACAATTCTAACATAAGAATACATCAAATATACAGCAGTATTGCCTTTAGGATCAAGCATCTTATCATAATCAAAAATATAATCTGAAATACGATTTTATTTCAATTCATAGTATTTAATTGCTGCTATTCCAATTCTTTCTGCAGTAAAATCAAATTCTTCTGGAGATAGAGCTGTTCCAGTTGTAAATTCTTTTCCTTATTAATTTTGTTAAAATCTTTATTGAATTTATCTTAAAGCCCTCTCTTTAGCTTCATCCAATAAATCAATAAATTTAACTGCCTCTCCTGTTCTGGATCTGAACCTTTTACTATCAGGACCTAATACTAAACCAAATCCCATATGTTCCATTTATGTTTCTAATGGATTATGCCATCCCATTAATTTTGCACCTTCAAAAATAAGTTTAAAGTGATTATATTAACCTACATCTGTTAAATAAAGCAATCTATCACATTTCCAATCTAAAATACGAGTTTTAGCTGCTGCCATATCTGTTGTATCATAATTATAACCACCATCTTTCTTTACAATCATCAAAGGAACCTTCTCTCCTTTCACTCTGATAATCTTAGCTCCTTAATCTAATTCAACTATTCCTTTATCTTCACATTCCTTTACTATTTCTGGGAGAATTGAATTATAATAACTTTCTCCAAATTCTGTTATTTTAACATTCAATCTTTAATAAATTTTATTATATTCTTATCGACTCAATTCACAAATCATTTTCCAAGCATCAACACAAACTGGATCCAAAGCTTGTAGTTTTACAACATATTATTAAGATTTAACTTTAAATTCCTCATTACAATCAAATTTCTTCTTTGCTGCCTTATATAAATCTTCTAATTCTTTCAAAGCAGGTTTATTAGTTTAATAATCTGGATATTCTTCTAATAAATGATTAATTAACATTCCAAATTAAGTTCCCCAATCACCAATATGATTTACTCTTACTACTTCTTATCCTTAAAATTCTAATATTCGACAAATTGATTCTCCTAAAATTGTTGATCGTAAATGACCAACATGCATTTCTTTCGCAATATTTGGACTTGAAAAATCTACAACTACTTTCTAAATTATTTAGAAATGCCATCAATACCTGTTTCTTCTTCAGTGGAAATTTTAATCCATTATTTAAAAGTACATTTAATTGATCCTCAATAAATTAATCATTTAACTAAATTGTTAAAAATCCTTTATCAATTAATTCAACTTTTTATATTATATTATCTTAAACTTCTGTAGATGCTAATTTTTGTGCAACTTCAACTTCTGATTTCAAGTCTATTCTAAATTATATTATCTTAATACCTCCAAATACATTTTATTTCTTGAACTAATTGTAGATTCTTATTGCTGTAGGTGTTTTGTATTCAAAATTCAGTTTGTTTGATATTGTTTCCAATTAAATCTCGAAACTATTTTAAGGGAGATTTGGAAATGCTATTTAAACTCTTGTTTTTATTGATGATTTAATCAAATTTTGCACACTTTACATTGTATTTACACCAATTTAATCCATAAACTAATGAAATTAAAAACTAAATATTATTTATTGAATTTGATGTATTAAGCTCTATTCACTTATAAATACAATTGTAATAATTCTTTCATAAAGTAATTATAAATTTAATTTCTATAAAACATTTATGGAATTTTATATATTATTCATTTATTATTTTTACAATAAATGAGGAAATTCTGATAAATGTTAAATAATATTAAATTTATTAAATCTCAATTATTATTATTTGTAGAAATAATTATTTAAATAAAAAAAAATATTTTAGTAATTTGATATTAACTTTATTCAAATGAATGCTATATCCAAAAAAAGTTATCAATTAATATCGGTTAGGAGAATTTGATATAAAGCTTTTTAAAAAGTTTTTCTTTAGAAATAAAACAGTATTAAAAGATAGGTAAAATCTCTAAAAGAAAATAAATTTTTCAAACAAAAATATATAAAGCGAATCATAAAGGATTTAATTTAAAGAGAGAATCAAACCCCTAGTAATTTTAAAATTTCTGATTTAAAAAATAAATCACTTGTTTTTAACAATCCCATTCAATGAGAAACTATATGAATTCTTAATCTTCAGTTCTAGCTATCCTTGATATAAACAATGCTTATATTTAAGAGAAATAAGATTTATTTGGTTGTACTTAGAAATATTATTCTCTTATACTACCACAGGATATTTTAGAAATAATAATAAAAATTTATACAATATACAAAATCCCCTATCCAAGGAACAACAGCGAAATAATAAGATAATAAGATTTTGGGATATCAATAAGAAAGGGATTAAATGAATTGTTAGAAATTTTCAGCTATAAATTTTCTAGTTACTAGGATCTTTCAAATTCAATTCAATAGGATGATAGCGAATATGAATATTAAAATATCAAAATAAGTTGAGGTTTTCCGTTATTATGATTTCCCAAAAAGTTTTGCTGAAGTAGTTTAATAATACTTTTATACCAAAAAAGAATTTGTTAGGATAATTGGGTGAAAAATTTACAATGGTTCAAGGTAGACATTTAGGTGGAAGATTACAAGATTGTAAATCTAAAGTTTATATCAAGTTCAAAACTTAAGTATTGCATCCTGATTTGCTAGTCTCATTTATTTTTATCAGTTAAATCAAATGTGAAGTATATTATATTATTCACAGTATTTGTATATTCGAATACTTATAATTTAATATTTTTGATAAATTAAAATATAACTTTTATAATATAGAGATTTAAAAAAAAATAAGACATAGAGAAACTATAAAAATTAATTAAAAGTCAAATAAAATGAGTTATAAGCTAATTTATTAATTTTTAAGAATTATTCAAAAGGTTTGACATAATGATTAATGTTTATCTATTTTATCTAATAATTATTATAATTATTTATCTAATAATTATTCATCTAATAATTATTTATCTAATAATTATTTATCTAAAATCTCAGTGCAGGACCTACCACTTAAATAAGCAAAAGGATTTAACACTTGAGAAGTGTCAATAGATATTTGCTATATTATTTTATAATTTATTTACTTCTTCATATAATGATGTTTGATTTGTAAATATTAATTTTTTCTCTTTCATTCTTATGGTAAGTAAAACAACATCTCCAAAATTTAATGGAAAGGAGTACTAAACATTATTGCCAATTTAAATCATATATTTTTTATCTAATATCAAATTTACAGATTTACCCTTATAACCTATACCTAATTCAATGTAATCATAACACAAAATTCGAAAGTGAATTTGTACATTTGCATCAAATGGAATGCTAGGGTCGCACCAAACATACGAACCTTATTTTTTTTCATTTCGAATCATCTTTCCACAATTCTCAACATTAATCTATTCGTTTTCGATAAATATAAAAGAAAATTTTTAGAAAGGATGAAAATATTATATTTCCTCTTAATACTTAAATTATTAATATTTGTTTGATTAATATGATTAATTTTGACCTAATTATGGTTACTTGTCTACTTATTATATTTAGTTATTAAAGTCTAATTTGATATTTCTATGATTTGAATTATATGAAAATTATTCTTATTATTTCTATTATAGACTCTCCATTCGTCTTTATTATTATTTTTAATTTTGTTAAATTTCTAAATTTAATTTTTCTAATTTTTGTTAATGTTTCAAATCTTATTGAATTTAATAGCTTTATTAGTTATTCCAATTAATTTGTTAATTTTTTTCTTAATTTCTTATATCTTAAGTATTATTTGATGAAACAACAACTTAATTTATTCTGTTAATCTCTTATTTTAAATTGTTTAAGTCATTTTATAATTTAGATATTAAAGGAATTAATGTCGTCTTAGACATTGAAAATTGAATTAATTTTTTTATTTCTTCTTACATATCCTTTTGTGATAATATTGAAAAATCTGTTTATTAATTTACAGTAATTGAAACTAAAAACTTTTATAATCCTTCACTTAATTACATAATTCCATTTATAAATTATTTTAAGTCTTAAAATGAATTTTTTTCTTATTTTATCCATTCATTTAATTATTTAAATGTCTTTAAATCATCGGTATGAGAAATATGATGTTTTATTATACAATGATGACAATAAGATCTTGAATATTTACAATCTATTCTCAAACATGCTCCAATTATAGGACTTTCATCATGATTTTCATATTGGCAAAACTATGACATTTTTATTTTATTAGTTTTATTCAAATTCTATCAAAAATTAAATAACAGGAAAATACAATTTATATTATTTATTAAAAATATATATATGAATATATCTTATTTTCAATGTATTAGTAAAATAAATAAATCAGCCAAATTAATCTTAAATATTATTTATATTTTTATATTTTATAATCAGAATAAATTCCTGCCTAAACTTAGGCTTTCATTTGTTAATAAATCTAATGCTTCTATTCATTCTATTTGAATTTTTTTATAATAACCATGTCGTCATCTTTAATTAATTAAAAAATAAAAGTCTATGAAAATATTTAAACACTAACCTAATAATAAAAATATATAACTAATAAATATATTATAACATTTATATGAATCAATAAGTATTTAATTTATGATGAAAAATTAGATTCGTGGATTTCTTAGTATTAGGTCAAACGAGAAAAATGCCCCCATTTTCATAAACAATATAGACTTTCATTTTTAATAACCACAGTATTTTATAATAGAATATATAAGAATTTTCTTGGACGTTCATAAGACAATGATTTCGTATTAGATTGTTTAGTGCTTTTCCTATTCATTTAGAAATTAATTGCCCTTCATTTTTAATGTTTAAAAATTAACAATAGTTTTTAAGATGAATATTTTTAATTTTTGAATAGTTTCAATTTTGAATAGAATATTATTGATAGAATCGGATTTAAAGTTTTTGAATAAGAGAATATAAAAATTAAAAATGATTCAGACCAAAAAGCCCATTAAGTTTTATTAACATAAAAGATTCAAATTTTAATTAAAAATAATACATTTATCTAGGTTAAAAATCAAAATAAAAAATATTATAACATAATCAAATTTTTGGAGATTTTTAGATACATAAGATTTATATTAATTTACACATAGAATTATCTAAATTTGATCTAAAAAATATTTGATGAATAAAAATAATCTTATTAATAACAAAATAAATAAATTGAAAAAAAATCCTAAATTTTTTTCTTAGTTTATAATTTATCTAATCACACAAATAAGAAGTATTTAAGAAGAAATAATAATGGTCTCAAGAATAAAACAAATTTATAATTATCATTTCTATTCATGAAAATTCAATACAATAAATCTAATTATCATAATTAATAATATAAATTTTCCATCATAGTCAAACCTATTCATTTCAAGCTTTTCATTAATAATAGAAAATAATAAAAGAATATCAGTTTTCTTAGAAAATAATAAATAATATCAGCTATCTTAAATAAGGGAAAATAAGACAAGACTATCATTTTTCCTTATAATTATTGAAAAAAATAAATGAATATCAACTTACTTATCAATTATAGGAAATAATAAAAAATGGCATTAAAATTTGAAGAACAATATTTAGGAATTTTCATTGTTTAACTTTTTTGGAAAGTATTTTTTCTTATATAGAATCATTTTTTTTATTCATCTTTTTGTTTGTTTTTCTCAAATTTGTTTTTTTATAACTCTTTTTGATCATCTATCAAGATTTTCCATTTTTATAAAATCAGATCATCAATATCATTTTTGGTTAGTATTTTATCTTTAATTAACTGTTTTAGAATATCTCTCCTTAAAATCATTAATCATTCATGTTTAAGAAAATTAATTCTGATTTTATTAGTTATTTCAATTGTATTTTTGATTAGTTATTTAATATGATGAAATTAAATAGCAATCTTGATTTGAAGATTATTTATAATAATAAAAGGTGAGTATTTCAGAATTAGATAATTTGCTTAAAATAATTATTTTAAATCTTTAAATTGATGAGTACAGGACTTGCAAAACCAAAAAAGCTGAAACTCACCGATTATGAAGTGTTTTAGACCTTGGGTACTGGTATTGTATTGGTGTAATGCTGAACTATAGGTTCTTTCGGTAGAGTGAAACTGGCAAGGAATAAATAAACTAATAAATATGTTGCTTTGAAAAGTTTAAAGAAAGCTGAGATCATTAGACTTAAGTAAGTTGATCATGTGATTAATGAAAACACAATATTGGGAAATTTGCAACATCCATTCATTGTAATAAATATAATGATCATATTAGGTAACCTTTGAAGGTTTTTGCTAAGATCCAAGATATCTCTATTTAGTCTTAGAATTTGTTTCTGGTGGAGAATTATTTACTTACTTAAGAAGTATTGGAAGACTCGATACACAACATGCAGCGTATAGCCTATTATTCGAGTTTATTTTAGGTTTTATGGTGCTTAAGTTGCTGCTATATTTGAGTATCTACATTCCAAGAATATCATCTATAGAGATCTTAAGCCTGAAAACTTATTGATTGCAGATGATGGATATCTCAAATTAACAGATTTTGGTTTTGCTAAAGTTGTCGAAGGAAGAACATACACATTGTGTGGTACTCCTGAATATTTGGCTCCTGAGATTTTATTGAATAAAGGACATGGTAAAGCTGTTGATTGGTGGACTTTGGGAATTTTAATTTATGAGATGAATGCAGGAATCGACCCTTTCTCTGATGAAGATCCTATGGCCATTTATCAAAAAATATTAAAGGGCAAAGTCAAATTCCCCAAAAGCTTTGATAAGTACCAATTTCATAAACTATCCAAGAAATGCTAAATCTTTAGTAAAACACATGCTTGTTGCTGATCTTTCGAAAAGATATGGAAATTTAAAAAATGGTAATTCATATGATAATATCAATAATAGGCGCTGCTGATGTAAAAAATCATAGATGGTTTGGAAACTTAGATTGGAATTTATTAATTTAAAAGAAGTTGCCTGTTCCATACAAACCAGTAGTCAAGTATTCAATTAATATCATAAACTTAGAGCACCAAATGACACTTCTAATTTTTCATCATATCCAGAATCCGATACATAAAGTCCAGCTCTTAAACCAGCTGACGATCCCTTCTTAGAATGGTGATTAAATAGAAAAATATATTCATTATCATATATTTTAACTTTCATTTTTATTTTATATTCAAACAAATTGTCTATAGATTTTTGTTTAATTATCTAAATCTTCAATCAGAAGCTAAAGATAAATATTAATTTTACTGGATTCATTATGAATATACAAATCTTTTATAGACTTCTTTCATACTTTGGAGTTTTTATATTTAGAGTCTTTTATGCTTAATCAGGTATTAATTTAATTAAGCAATAAGGATATTCTTTAAAATTCATATAGCTAATACAAATCTAATAATTGTCAGAATTTATAAGTTATTTTTGATAAATTAATTAAAATTATAAAGTTGTATGAATAGGCTTAAATAATCTTATTTAATTAAATAATACTTAATTAAATTTTGTATTTTTTAAATAGTTTTAAACAAATTTAATTATGTTTTTGAAAAATATAATATTCCTAAATGATTTCTAAGAAAGATACTATCTAATATGAAATAATTATGTGATTATAGAATTCGAAAATCATTAAGAAAAAAAAAAAAGATAAAGATTTAATTGTTTGGGAGAGTAAATATATTAAGATACTAAAAGGAGGATGATATAAAATCTTATTATTAATTTTAAAATTAATTAATAAAAGTTTAATTTAAATTTATTAATATTTAAAGAATAGTCATTAAATTTTGAATAAGACTTTATAAAAGAATTTTATCTTAAGAAAATAGTAAAAATAACATCTTATAAATGCCAAAGGATAAAGTTCACGTAAATCTAGTCGTTATTGGACATGTTGATTCAGGGAAATCAACTACAACTGGACATTTGATCTATAAGTTAGGTGGTATCGATGAAAGAACAATCAAGAAGTTTGAAGATGAAGCCAACAAATTAGGTAAAGGATCCTTTAAATATGCTTGGGTATTGGATAACCTAAAGGCTGAAAGAGAAAGAGGAATAACAATTGATATTTCTCTATGGAAATTTGAAACTAATAAATATTATTATACGGTAATTGATGCCCCAGGACATAGAGATTTCATTAAGAATATGATTACAGGAACATCATAAGCTGATGTTGCTTTATTGATGATTGCATCACCAGCAGGAGAATTTGAAGCTGGTATTTCAAAAGAAGGATAAACCAGAGAACACGTTCTTTTGGCTTATACTTTGGGAGTAAAATAAATGATCTGTGCTACAAATAAGATGGATGAAAAGACTGTTAATTATGCATAAGCAAGATATGATGAAATTGTTAAGGAAATGAAAGATTACTTAAAAAAAGTAGGATACAATCCAGATAACGTTCCTTTCATTCCAATTTCAGGATGGGTAGGAGATAATATGTTGGAAAAATCATCCAATTTAGCATGGTACAAGGGTCCAACTCTCCTTGAAGCTTTGGATTAAGTAACACCACCAAAGAGACCAACTGAAAAACCACTAAGATTACCATTATAAGATGTTTACAAGATTGGAGGTATTGGAACAGTTCCAGTCGGAAGAGTTGAAACTGGTGTCTTAAAACAAGGTATGGTAGTCTAATTTGCTCCATCAGCCATTTCAACTGAAGTTAAATCAATTGAAATGCATCATGAAGGTCTCCTTGAAGCTTTCCCAGGAGATAATGTAGGATTCAATGTAAAAGGGGTTGCTGTTAAAGAATTGAAGAGAGGATATGTCTGTTCAGATTAAAAAAGTGATCCAGCTAGAGAATGTAATTCATTCAATGCTTAAGTCATTATCATTAATCATCCAGGATAAATACAAAATGGATATTGCCCAGTATTAGATTGTCATACTGCTCATATTGCTTGCAAATTTTAGGAAATTATTTCTAAGAATGACAGAAGAACAGGCAAAGTTATTGAAGAAGAACCAAAATTTATTAAATCTGGAGATGCTGCCATGGTCAAATTAATACCAACTAAACCTTTATGTGTTGAAACCTTCTCTGAATATCCCCCACTTGGTAGATTCGCCGTCAGAGATATGAAATAAACTGTTGCTGTAGGTGTCATCAAAGTCGTTGAAAAGAAGGAATTAAAAAAGAAATGATTTATTATAAAGATCATTTAAATTTTATATAATTTATCTAATTATTTCTTTTTTTATAAAATATTCTATATATTATTATCAATTTTTCATTTAATTCTTTTATTCTAAATTCTTAAATGGGTAATTTATAATTCAAGATTGCCCAATTTGATAACATATTTATATTTTAATTTTATGTAGAAGATAAAAATAGACTTTCACTATTTTATTATAAAATAATATTATTTTAATTTTATATTATCATATTTAGTTAAATGAATATAATCTTGTTTTTATAAAACATTAAATTTGTTTAAAAATAAAACTTCATGAAGCCTAATTATAATATATAATCATTTTCTACTTAATTATTATAAAAAATTAAAATTATTAATCATCCATATAAATTTTTAAAGGTAAAAAAGCTGTTCTATAGAGATTATTCGATTTATAAAATTCAATTTGAAAGAATTTACTTCCACATTTCTAATAATCAAATTATATAATTAACTTGGAAACTTTATCAACAATTCTCTTTATTGTTGCCTAAGTTTGCAAACTATTTTAATAGACATTATTATATTCAAGCAAAATAGATTAAAGGTTTGAATAAATTTATTAATTATACTTTTTAACAATAATATTTATCTAACCAAATATCAAATTAATAAAAATATTAAATCAGAATCAGAGCGAGGATCGATCAATTGGAAACTTTGAATTATAAAATCAAAATTTTGGATTTTGGGTTGGAATTCTAAGACTATTTAAAATATTATAAACTCACTTCACTACAAGATCATTATAATACAAGACTGTGAAAAGTTATGTTTGGTCAATGTTTTTATGAAAGGTTTTTTGTTATTAATTTAGGCAAATTAATTTTAATATGAAGTGAAACAATCAATAAACTATTAAAAAGTGATTAAAAAGTTAATTAAAGATGGTTATCAGATCATTTAAAAACAATTAATTATACTTAGCTTTGATTGAAAGATAAATGATTTATTAAATTATAATAATTTTAATTTTCAAAAAAAAAACTTATTCCTTAAAATATAAAAAGATAGTAGTTCACATATTCAATAAAAAGATAAATTAAACCTTGTGATTTAATTTTTTTTTTGTATTTATAGCTTTCTCAACTTTAAAACAATTTTTATTAATAATCTAATAATCCAAAATAATTAATAATGGGAACTTGTGCTAGTTAAAAAAGTCCAGGAAAGCTATAAAGAAGCGTTGCTTAAAAACATATAGAGATAGATTTTGAAAAGCTGTTGAAATATAACAAAGAGAAGGAAGCTAAAGAGGGAAAAGAACATCTTCAGCAATAACAATCATTTTGTTAAATATTTCTTCAAGAGAACAAATTGTCAACCCCTTATTCATTAGCCTAGAATTTGGGACCATCCACTCAATTAGAATACAAAAGATAGTGAGAAGTGCATCTAATTTATTGATTCTTATATACATATTACTCTAAAATAACATATTAAATAAGTCTTTTTAGTTCTAAATTCTCAAGTTGAAAATTAAGAGCCTTATAATAGGGAAAGAAAAGAATTTCATTCAAGATGCATTTATTCAATTAGAAATTAAATGCAGCTTATAAATACGATTCTATTTCATCTCTCAAAGATAGTTATAGGGTTTATATATTTTTGAAATATTGTGTCATCAATATCCGATAAATCATAAGGAATTTAAATCAATTATTAAAGCAATTCAGTTTTGCTTTTTAAGAAAGGACTAACAGCTTAGAATACAACTTTCTGTCTTAAGTTGATAAATCTGATGTCCAAATTTGTTTAAGTTACTGGGTATTTTTTTATTCTTATTAAATACTTAAAACCTTTCTATTAATTAAGTTTGAATAAATTTAAGCATTTTTTAAAGAAAAGTCTAACAGACGACAATAAATTTAGAAGAATCAATAAAAAAATTGGTTATTCAATGATCTGAATACCAGTCCATTGTATATTAATGAGTAATATTAAAATTTTATTTGATGATCATAAATTATTAATTAATCTGAATATCTAATTAATTAATAAAAGAAAGTTGAGTTAAATATACATTTACAAAAATATTTTAATTGAATTTTAATTTTCCCTCTTTAACTTATATAAATTAGAAATATAAGAATATATTTTATTTATAATTCTTTTATATATAGAAATACATAATTATTATTATGGATTTTAGTAATACTAGTTTGAATGCTAAAATTCCTACATTAAGACGTAAAAATGATGTTTTATATTCATATTAGAAGCGGAGAGCTCCTTTTAAAGATATAGAAATCCTTTGAATGAATGTCATCACAAGAGTGAATCTAATTCATTTGAGCATAAATAGGGAGATATGTAATTTCCAATATAACAATACACATACTTCCAATCAACTCCAATTTTTCCAATATTAAGTTTTATATATTGAATTAATATAGGTGAACCTAAAAATGAGTTTGTTGAAACAGCAAATCAATTTATTAAACATGGAATATAAAATAGCTTAGCAAGCATGATTTAAAAGTAGAGTATCGTTTCGAATGAATTTAAGTTAAATTAAACAACCTATGGATGTAAAAAAATGTGTGAAATTGATTGCATGTTGGTGGAAAGATATTTTAATTAAAAATATTGGGTATTCTTAATAGCTCTATATTTTTGTTAGATATTCTAAAATTCAAATTAGAAGTATAAACTTGATTAAACAAAAACAAGTAATACTGATTGGTTAAAGGCTAGAATGTAACATAGATATAAATCCTAAATCTATGATGCATTTTCAGAAATGATAGATTTGATATTTAAAGAGGGAGAAATTCAAATGAATTCTAGGACATAATTAATAAAAATACAAAATCTCAAAGGGTTTCAGAATTTAGAGAGGCAAATATAGAAAGCTGTAAAGGCTGATAAAAAATTTGATGCTTTTCTATTTGAAATACAAAAGGTTTTAGCAGATTTTATATTTTCAACTATAAATTGATTCATATAACATATCTAACTTAATCATTATAGATAATAAAAATCCACAATATAATCAGGTCCTAGTTAAGCAGATTTAAGTAAATCTAATCGTTTATCTTCATCAGTAAAATGACCTAAAATGTTAGATATAAATTGAAACCTGGTAGAAAGGAACAACACTTTTCTGATTCTGGAATAAATCCCATGAGTTAATATATATAGGCAATCAGTTCTGAACAAAAAAAGTTTTACCTTGTACTTTTTTTAAAGAATTTCATCATGCTTAAAGAGTAACCTTTACCAATTTATGCTGAAGCATAAGTATGCATAAGAATACGATCATTTTCAGAAACATTCAGTAAGGGTTTATATAAAATCCTTGAGTTTAAAAGAACTATTACTTTTCATAATTTTTGTAAGACTTGGCTCGAACAAAGCGTTCTAAAGAAAATCACAAAAATCATACTATAACTAAAGGAAATAACTCCAAATTGATTACTAGACTCAAAAAGCATTAGATCTTCCAATGGGTCTTTTAGAAACATAACAATATGATCATAATCACTTCTAGTGACAGATCTTTATAAATTTTAAAGTGTTCCTCTTGTACGAAATATCAATAAATCTCCAGTTTATGCTTAATTTAAAATTTAAGGATCCAAAATTCTTTCATGTCTCCAAAATCTATGAAATTTCGTTAAACTGTTAACATTATTTTAAAATCCAATTGATTATTAAATATACTATTAAATTAAAGAAACCCATTATTTAGAATGTTCTCTGGTTCTACTTGGAACAACAAATTCAAATTTCTTTTCACAGCCTTCTGGCTGTAATCTTTTATATTTAAATCTATACATGAAACTTTGAATATATGCATCATCTTTAGATTTGACAAAAGAAAAGATGTATCTTTAATAATCAAAGTCTAAAATTCCTAAAGGTTTATCTTTATTTTTAATATTATAATATGTAAATCTTCTTGACTATAAAGTGCAATAATAAGTCTGTATGGATAGATGATAAAAATTACAGAATTAGTTTCTAAGAAATGAGGACTAACTTTATAAAATTCCCCCTCTAAATCAGGTTATGGTCTTTATTCATAATTTTAACTAATTTCTTATGTGATTTAAGCTAATTGTATTTATTATTAGTTATTACCCTACTAAATGTGGTTATTTGATTCTGGGATTTCTTCTTGAAATTAATCATCGTTTAGATTTAAAACTTTAAAATAGTAAAAAGTAACACATACTATCAAGAACAGATTAAAATTCTAAATTATCAACAATATTATTAGGTTAATCATCTTCACGATTAGTTGAATTTTGCTGCATTTTTTACGATGTAAATAATAATTATTAAATGCAATAATACGAATAAGACATAGAAGATGATAGTATAATTTACAAATAACTTATAGTGTCTGATAATACTTCCTACGATGAATCTCCTTTAAAAAGATGTATGACAGCTCCCCCAAGACCATTAACAGAATTAGAGGAATTTAAGAGGTAAAACTCTAAATAATGATTTTATACTAGGTTAAGAGAGTATTACCTTTTAGAGAAAGCTCATAGATTATCAAGTCAGCTTGTTTAAAGAGATTTTCATAAATACGATTTAGACAACCCTGATGGATAGAAGGGCTGTAAAAAATTTTTATAAAATCTCGAAAAGATGTGTGAAGTAAAGAAATCAGTTTCATTAAATAGGTATATGATATTAAAGCTGAGTCTCGTGAATACAGGAATCAATTTTCGAAAGCATATAAAATACTTTATACATAAGACAAATTATGTTATTTGACAGAAATTCTCGACAGTGCTTAAGAAGGTTAACGAAATTGTTTATTTTCAAAAGGTTTTCCTTATCTATGGGTGAATTCAGAGAAATATTCATTCACAACAGAAGTGTTAGAATCTGGCAGTAAACTAGTTGAAGTATTTTATAAAGTGCAACATGTCATAAGACATATGTATACAAGCACTTTATAAGAGAGTCCAGATTTTAGTATTTCTAAAATAAAATAAGAGATTAAATTTCTATTAGAGAGTTTTGATGAAACTTGGGTTAATTTTGAAAAAGTAAAAATAATATAAGATCTAATATAGTTATATGTAAAGGAATTAATGGATATAGAGGCAAAAGCTAGAAGATTTATTTTCTAGGCTATTGCAATTGATAAAGATATGTAATCAATAGAGATAAGAGAAAAATTGAGAGGAAAGATTTTAGTTACAAGTGATAATTATATCTAATTAAAGTCATAAGTATAGATTGATAATTTAATGTTAGTTTTGTAAAGTGATTGCTAAAATTAATTCAGTAGCAAATGTTGAAGGAAAAGGCAGAGACGATTTAGGAGTTAATATATTATTAGAAGCTGAAGGAATAACAAGAAGGGTTACTAAAGAATAATCTAAAGCTGTTAGAACTTTAGCTGATAGTATAAAAACAAAGTATTGTTATGACAAAATATCAGTTTTTAAAAATTTCGAGAGTAGATGAGAAAATATGAGGGTAATATTGAAATGGTGGATCCTTAATTAAAAAACAATACAGAATTGGTAGATTTATTAATTGAGTATGAAACTTAGTGGGAAAAAGGATTATCTTATTTATTAGAGCCTAAAAAATATACATAATTAATGTTATTTTCTCATATTATAGAGACAACAGCTGAAAAATATATTTAATTTTCAGAATAATTAGAATGTAGAGATAGTGATATTTTTGTTACAATTCCATGTTTGATAGTATTAAAACATTTAGAAAATGAAGATAAGAATATTTGCAAGTATTTTTTACCAATGTTAAATGATGAATCATCTAAAATTTATATGCAATTCTAGTAATTAAAAGATAATTTTCTAAATTTCAGAAATTAGCATACTAAACAATATGAATATTATAACATCTTAGAGAAAAAACTATTAGGAATTCAATAGAATGATATATCTGATTTAGAAACTCAATAGATAGATAGAATAATGCAAAAGATTAAATTATTATCAATAGAAATACAAAGGTACAATGCTATTGAATGGAATTCTTTTATTGATGCAGCAATTAACAATACCTGATAATATTACATATATATTGTTTTTTTTATATTCTTCTTCATTTTTCAAATAGATAATAAATTTAGTCATATTTTCACATTAATTTCCTAAATTTTGTATCTGGAAATAATTAATCTAATAAATAATCAAGGATTTATTATTATCCTAGAGTAGATTAATAATCCTTGATGATTCAAAGTTTCAAAATTATCATCACAACACATTAAAATGAATTATTTGTGGCCCATTAAAATTTATTTTTTTTTTGATTTTATTTATATCCAAATATTTCTATTTATGTCATACTCCTTTAATCTTTAATCTAATTTTATTTATAATATCAAATTCTTTATTTTGAAAATCTAAATCCTCACTATAATTCTTTTTTACCTTTAGTATCTCAATTTTATCCAATTTTATTAAAACTATATCCAAATTAAAGAATATTTCCCAAATATTATAATTATTTTTAAACAATTTTCAAATTAAATTATTTAATCTATAAATATTTTACACATAGATTATTTTTCTGTTGATAAGAAAATTATAAAAAAATATATAATATTATAAAATTATACATTTATTTTCTAAATAATGTAATTTTTAATTTTATTATTGATAGCTCATTATGGAACCCTGATATCGGGTAGTTGAATCTCTACATGACTTTTATTAGTTATCTATGGATAAGGTACTTATTGAGTGTAATACTGATTAATTGGATATCCAGCAACAGGTTGTTAAAGAAAATGATTGTTTTAGGTAGACGATTATTATTATTATTATTATTATTATTATTATTATTATTATTATTATTATTATTATTATTATTATTATTATTGTAACAAAGCTTATTACTAGTATTTTTATTAATTTAACCAATTTTTGAATTGTTTATATTATCTATTGGTAAGGCATAAAATTATGGTTATGGAATGTTATCATTGACTGGTTCACCATAAACTACTGTTTCTGACAGTTAATTCTATTTCTACTACTTTTTAATTTTTTTGATATGTCGTCTTTTTCTTCCTATTTTTCTAATTACCAAAAAAGCCCCGATTGCAATAAGAGAAATCAAAATCCATTTAATTACTAGAGTAGATTAAGTTATTTACTATGTCCTATCATATGCTTACATGGTTTGTGTTTTAAGTCATGTTAATCTCCAAGAACCAAGATTAGTAATAAAGCTAAAATGATAATTTATTTCATTAAAAATAATATGTTTTTAAATTAAAAATCAACTATTTAAATAGCTAATCTTTTAATAATCCTAAACAATAAATGAAAAAGATTAATATTTTTAGAGTCAAAGTATATGTTCAAATTATTTAAAACAAAATAATAATATATGCATAGAAAAATCATCATTATCAACTCTATTTTTCAATAAATAAACTTTGGTTACAATAATTTTTAAGATTAACATTTGAAAATCCTTTCTTAAGTAAAGAATTTGAAGTATTAGTTGGCATGTAAGTGTTTCTTTAAACACTCTTACAATTCTTAGTCCTTTCTATATCTTTAGCTAATTTATCAAACTAATCTTTTAGTTTGATATAAGCTTCATCTTTTTAAATAATTGATATTTTAAGACGTTCCTAATCTATTTTACCTTATTGTATAATCTTTAATTAATCTTATATTTATAATCTCAGTTATAAAATCTAATCTTAATATTTTTAATTTTCATTTTCAATAGATTATGCATTCTATAAGAGATCATAAATGTGTTTCTACATTTTTTTATTACTCTCTTACCAAAGATAGGTCTCAGCTTAAAATTAGAAATGAATTATCACATTTTTATTAATTTAGTTAAATGACGAAAGGTTTTTGTGTTTTCAATTCTTTATTTTATTTGACTAGAGTTTAATAACAAAGTGCATCCCTTTTTAAATTCTCATATTCTAATTTTGATACTATACTGAATAATCAATATAATCTACTTCTAACAGTGTCATCTTTAATTTCAAATATTGAATCTTAACTTAGATGCCTATTGGTATTAGTTGTAGGATTGTTAGTATAATAATCTTCTTTCTTTGAATCAGAGGTATATTAGCATTACTAATTAATAATCCAAAATTAATACATCCTCTTTGATGAAATGTGCACTTTATTAAACTTCCTTAAATGAGGGTATTTCAGGTTTTTTAGTATCAGTTGTTTTTAGTTCACAAATAGAAAACAACTAATGAATTTATGATTATGTCAATTAGATGTTAGAAGACATTTTTAGTTTTAACAAAATAAAATTATTTATATAAATTAAGAATCTAAATTTAAATACTAATCTTCTAAAAATAAAGAATTAGTTTTATTTTATAGCAATGATTTAATCATCTTGTATAATATTTTTAAAAAATAAGAGAAAAAGAAGTAAAATTTATTAAAAAAATAAATAAATTTGAATAAAAATAAATTGAAATAATATGAAACAATTAATATCAATAAATATTTGAAAGTAAGAAGTAGATTTGAAAAATATGTATAAAAAATGTTTTTATAAAATTAATATTTTTTATTACATCATTCATCAAATAATTGATGCAATTACATATTCTTCAATTCCTAAATGATTAGATCCTCTTAATATTTTAAACTTACCATTTATACCCCATTCATCATTCCATGAATTAACAACTTCCCAATATGGTATTCCATTTTCAGTTCCCCATCCTATAATTTTAACTGCATGTTTGCCTCTTTCTTATCCTAGAATATGTTAATATACTCCTGATTTATAATTTAAGAAGTCATCATAAACAGTAAATACTGCTTAGACAGGTCCATTCAAATAGATTTCATTTTTAATCTATTCTTCATTTTTAGTAATTTTTTTAGGAGTTTCTTTAGATTTAATGATGTCAAGTTCATAAGTTCTTAAAGATTAAGCATTACATTTTTTAATACAATAAGGTGTTTTCATTAAAATAAATATATCGTCATCACATTTAGAATATTTGCCAGAATTATTTCCATGACTACAAGGAGGAAATGAATATGATTTACAATAACTAAAATCATTATATAAGCCTCCTGTAACAATTCCATAAACATTGAAATATTTCCAAGCTCCCATTGGTTCTCCACCTTCACAACCTTCTTCAAATCCACAATTATAACCACAACAACTTAAAAGATCTTCTGCTGAAATTAATCTTTTATCTTTTTAACCAGAAGAGATACAAAGACGATCACTCATGGTTGAAGCAGCAGATACTGCCCAACAAGATCCACAGTTTCCTTGATCATAAACTAATTTTATAGAATTACAGCCAGGCCATTTTTCTGTTGATGAAAAACTTGAAGGTAATTCTTCTAATTTTTCATAATATTTTAATTCAATTTATTCATTAGGATCTATTCTTACATTAAAGTATTTAAAAAAAAACTCATCTGATTTATCATCCCATCTTTCATAATTTGTAGCCTAAATTAATTAAGACATCTCTTTACTGTCCATGTTGTCTTTATTTCATTTACAAATTATGTAATTATTGGATTTCTTCCAGATACCAACGATATAATTACACAAACAAATTATAACATAATATATTATATATCAATTATCCAATTCAGATAGCAATTTTTTAGTTCTTGTTATTTATTTCAACTATTCAATCACACTTAAAATTGATTATTCTTCTATTAAGGAATCATCAGATTCATTTTCATCATCTTCTACTACAGATGATAAACTACTAGCAGAACTCTATTTATATGGATCTATTAATTCTTGATTCTTATTTATTTATATTTAAATATTATTACCCATGGATAACATTTTAAGTTTATTTAATTGTTATTATTTTTCTACATCATTTTATAAAAATATGTTTTAAGTTCATCATAATTAATTACTTTGTATTAATCAATATTTGACAATTTTACATGATAATAAAATTAAATTATTTCTTTTGGTAATGATGGAAATGCTTTCTCTATTATTAAATTCATTTTCTATAATTCAACTTCCTTTATTTTATCACTTTTTGTTTTCTTCTACTTTGTCTTAAATAAACGACCTCCAATATAAAAATTTATCAATATATATGCTAAAGATTCTAAATCATCTCTAGGACAGGGTCCTTTATTTAACTTATTGCTTTACTTATCCCTAAATGCAAATTTAAACTTGAATATTTATTTAATGCTAATGCATATTGGAATTTATTTTTAGTGTTCTAGTTTAATAACTACCTTAATTTGTATTTTTAGGCAAATTTTAGGTCAGTTAAAATTAATTGAACTCCTCTATGCAATGTAACAAATTTCTTAGGCTTTAAATAACAATGAACTATTGATGCTGAATGCATTCTCTCTAATGTACTTATCTAAAATATCATTTTCAGTATTACTGCTTCAATTGCTAGAGTAGCAAACACTTAATCAGAAAATTTTCTATTTTAATGTTAAAAACACAATTTTAAAGAAGGTCCACATCTTTCTTTAATATTAAAACGATATTCCATATTCTTATATTTATAGACTCCTGACTCTATTTTCTTTGGAATGAGTTGTACTAAAATAATTATTTATATAAATAGTACAATCTTCCATTTTTTTAACAATCCTTTCATCACAAATAAAAGAATTATGCTGCTCTTAACTATAAAATATATATTATTCTTTATACCTTTTCATTTCAACTAAATAGTAGATATTCGGATCCTCCTTATTTAAAGCTACACTTACTATTAGAATTACCTAATTACCTAAATACAGGTTATGACTTCTTCCTTTGTAAATTAAACGAACAAGATAATATTTTTCAACTAAAACTACAGCCTTAGCATTTCTTTCAAAAGAATTTGACTCAGTTATTGAATCGCTCATGTTAATTATAAGTCTTTATTATATAAAAGACAAATAAATAACTCATTTAAAAGGATAGTATATATTATTTTTAAACTGTAATCACTCCTTATTTTTCATATTTCTAGGTAGATTTCAAAATAATAAGTTTATTAGCTTTCTTGATTTAAAAACTACAAATAAAATTAAACATTATAAGAGGATTTTAGGCTTTTATTATCTTTTAAAACTTTATTTAAGCAAAAAAAATTGTATTATCTGTTTTATTTTCTAATGAATTATGTTAAGCTTGTAGTTTATTTTAATTTTTTATAGTTTTTTTGACTGTATAAAAAATATTATAAAAGTAATCAGTTTGGAAATATTCATATTTTTTTAAATTAACAAGTAATTTATTATAATTTTAAGTAATCTATTTCTCTGTTCATAATTTATAGATCAGAAATGTGTTATAGCTTTTGAATCATATAATATACACAATTTTGCAGCATGTGTCAAGTTTCAACTTTAGAATTTTAGAAATTATTAATTTAAAGACATTAAGACATCGATTTTATAAATAATTTTCCTTATCAGAGAAATAATTTAATAAATTTATTTAACTTTTTTTTCATATAACTATATTTATGTTTTCCGTATATAAATTTCTTGAGAAAAGATTACTGTTTTGTAAGTAGTTTTGAATAGAGTTTAGAGATGATAAAAATTAAAAGTAATCAAAAAAGTTAAAATAAAGATAGTAAAATAGTATAATGACTCCATACCAACATTTTTCTAGGTATAATAAGTTTTAATATCACCAGATATATTCTAATACATGATTTTTAGACAAGTATTTTTTGAGAAATGAACTTGAAAGCTTATAATTTACTAATAACTCACAATTAATGTGAGGAATACTTGTTCAAATTCACTATTAATTAGGTTGTTATGAAAAATTAAATAATCTTTCTTAAAAGCATAAACCAATAAAAATTGGGCGAGATACTTTTTCTAAAAAATAAGTGCATTTTGTTTTTTTTACTTTAAATGAATTAAAAAGTCATAATAAAATAAGAAGAAGATTGTAGATAAACTTTATAATTTTGGCTACAATTCTAAGATGATAATGTAATTAACCTTAAAAATAAAAAAATACATGATTTAAAAGTTCTTATTATAATGATCAATAGATCATCCAATCTTGATATTAAAACACACAAATCAGTAATTGTAAAATAATTATCAATTTTTTGATTTATTCATAATTATAATATTTTATGTGTAGAAATAACTTATGGAAGAATGAAATGAAATATTCCTTAAACTATTTCATCTCTTTCTTTTTTCTTGGATTGGAAATTGAACTTTAAAATGATATAAATGTAATCCAAATTCTTTCAATAATCATCATAATAATATCAATTGCATTTAGAGTCCTCTATTCGTTTTAGAAAATCTAATGGAAAATAGGTACGCAAATCTTAATATTAAGATATTTCTCCTATATTCTTTTGGTTATTAACACTTGCAAGAATCAATAGTGCAAATAATTTAAAATAAGAATCTAATTGTTTTTTGTTTTATATTCTAGGCTTTATGAATGGTCAATACAATAACACATTTAATATTTAGAATGAAAATCCAATTATTTTTAAAGGCAAAATTTGTGTTCAAATTTTAATTTTTGTTACTTGTTTATTTATTGCTAATGATATTTAGCTTTGGATGATATTTATACTAATAATTTTATGTATATTGATTGGATTAAATGAAATATTTTATAGATAAATGTTAAATGAAGTAGAAATGTAAGGTAAAGAAAATAAATAAAACAACCTTTTTAATGAACTATCATTTCAATAAATATTGAAATCTTAAACTAAACCATCAAATGATGAATAACTCTTCATAAAACATTCAAGGGGTTGTCCTCTTGAATCTATAGCTGAGGATGGTGAGATACCAGAATCTAAATAAAAATAATAGAATGCTTCAAACTCTACCAAATTATCTCTTTGGGGTAATTTTGTATTCTAATGCGATGATTACATAATTAAATTTTCATTTAACGCTTATTAAAATAATTCTCTCTTTTAAAACTCTGTTAGCAATTATTCATTTAGTAAATTCCTTTAAGATCATAATATCACATTTGTAGATTTTCTATCTGAAATGAAGGTATTTAATGACATCCATTTGACTTAATTTGATATTTAAAGCCCAGAATTTAAAAAATAATAAAGCCTTTATGATTGGTTGTAATATCATTTAGAATAATATAAACTAATTGAATAACTTTAATCCAAAAAATCTTTTAAATAATTGGATGGATTAGATCCTTTATAATTAAGTAATCTTTCTAATCAGAAATCAATTTTGATGGATCTTATAATGGAGAAATCTATAATGGGATTATCGTCTATTCCATATTAATAGAGTTCATCAGAAGCTATCAATCTCAGAAATAGTAAAATGAATCTTTTTGGAAGAATAAAAACTAATAAAACTATTTATGATTTGTAAATTAAGTTTTTTATTTTTGAAGAAGTATGAAAATTTTGTAATTAGGAATCTGATGGTTTAGCCATTGTATTTTTAATGAGAGATATAGACAAATTGGTTCAATCAATAAAGTAGAATATTAAAAATATTGAACTATTAGATATTTCAACAAAATTTATTTAAAATTAAGCTTATAAAATAACTGAAATTCATAAATGGATTCGTGAAATTAAGAGTCCATCTAATTTACTTGAAACTGATTATATGAGTAGATTAGGTACATCAGTTCGAAAAAGAACTTACTCATTATGCTCTAATAAAAATAGTGTTGAAGAAGGTTAATCTGATATATCTGAAAAAGTTTAGCAGCGTAAAGTTAATTAATTATAATAATTCTTGTCCAAATTACAATTTGATTTTTTTTAAGTTGAATAAGATAATTTCAATTTTTTTGAAGTCTTTTCTTAAAAAGAAAAAATTTGGTTTGATAAGAAAAAGATTGACATATCTTAAACAATTCACTTATTATTTGATTAATTTTAGTAGAATCAAACTCTTATTAAATATGGTGTTAAATTAATGTTGATTGATACAAATCTTCATGACAAAAATATTATAACTGATGCAAGGTTTAAATATAATTATATTTTTTAGAAGATTAAAATAATTATTGATTAATTTAATTAACAATTCAATAAAGGCTTATTAATTTGAATAGTTCATGTAATAACCAAATGAAGTTGAAATTACTGTGTGGAACTATTATGAAGAAATTTATTTCACAATTACAGATTATGGTTGTGGGCTTAATTAACTATAGCTTTATCAATCAAGGTTATAAGAATGTAAGTTAGGTTTGGCAGCATCATAACGTTTATTATTTTAATTGACTGCTGGAAGAAAATAATTAACAATTTAATGTCTGAATTAAAGGACAACTGTTTCATTCCAATTGCCTAGAATTCTTTTGGAAGATAAAATCTTATCAAATAATGAGTTTGATTATGAATATATTAAATTTAATAGTTCTTGATTAATTTATAAATTAAAACATAAAAATAAATCTCTTACATGATAGAATTAAATTTCAAAATCTTTAAATTAAATATGATTTAGAATTAGAATTTTTAATTATTGATATCATAAGAGAAAGTGAATTTTCTCCTAGATAGATTTTTAAAGAATCAATTAATTATTTTATAAATTTCTGTGAAGAAATACAAAATTAATAGAAATTATAAAGCATATACCAATTTTAGAATGAATTATATGATCAACTTATTTAGATAAATAGAAAAGAATGTATTTGAATAAATAATCAAAAGGGCCTTTTTTGTAAGGAATCCAAAAAAAGTGACAAATATATTAATTATTAAATTGAATTAATTATACCATAACAGATATGCTAATACAATATTTTCATCAATACATAATTATACGATGATATTTTAAATTTTCTTTGATTAATTATAATAAATGAAATTATTTATACATTCTGGAAATGGAGTAGAAATTTATGAAACAAAATAAGATGAAACAATTGATCAATTATAAAAGGCTTTAGGAAGCGAAGTACTTTTTAATAATAGGTATTATATCAAAAATAAAATACAAGAGCAATTTTAAACACTTCAATGTTGGTCAATAGTTTTTTCAATGAGAATGATGATGTGATTGTATAAAAAGTGAAACCTATGCCAGTTTAATAGCCTGTTTAAGTAATTGCTACACAAAAACCAATTCATTACAATAATATTACAAAGTTTGCATTTTGGGATGTAGATGAAATGAATGTTAGGTAATTATGAATAATAATATTAAGAGTTGTAGTTGAATTAAAGGATATAGCAAAACATCCATTAGAAAAATTCTAAGCTAGATTTTTTGAAAGATCATTTGAAATAAAAATTCATGATTATTAAAATAAGAATTGGACATTTGGAGTTGCTAGAACACAATGTAAATTAGATGCTGCAAACAGTAAATTCACACTTAAAGGAGATAAGATATTAATTACAATTAGAAAAGTAAAAAAGGATGATAATTGGTTTTCAATTCATAAATAAAAAACGATAGGCGGTGGTGATGATTCAGATTGAATATAATAATATTATTATGAAAGGTTAAAAGAATTTAGTTTTTTTAATGATATTCTTTAAAGCTAAAATTTAGTTCAATTAGATTGAATTGAAATAAATAGTAATATATTTTTATTTATTTATAATGAATCAAAGTGAAGTTAATGAAGAACATTCACCTCATAATTCAGAATAAGCATCTTAAAATATTTCTTAGTTTTTGTAACGTGACTATTATGAGAAATTTAAACTAGGTTAGAATCTTTATGAATAATCAATAACATTATCAAGATTATCATTAGGAGAAAAAACAAGTGAAGATTATAATAATAATACTTGCATAGGATTAATACATATTTAAGAACGTTTATCAGATGAGATTTGTAAAAACCAAGTAATTAATTGACTACAATTAGCTAGTTGTTAGAGAATAAAGTTACTTAACTAACTAAAGATTTATAGGCTGCTATGGAGCATACAACAATTCTCTAAAAATAAAATGAAAATTATGTTCAAATGCTACAAGAAGCTAATATGAAATTTTAAAAGTAGATAAAGAATTATGAAATAGAAAAAATGTTAAATTAGTAATTAATGAAAAAAAATTAAGAATTATTAGAAGTAAATAAGTATAATCTTAATCTAACTAGTAATTATAAAAAATAAGTATAAAGTATTGAAAAGAAGAAATAACTATAGAATTTTTCTGATTGTAAAAAGATAATATTATCAAAATGCCATTAAAAATCTAATTAATCAATTTGTTCTTCTAATAGAAATAAAGAAAAATAAAATTAAGGCAATACTGAAGAATCAACAGTAAAAGATTCTTCTTTTAGTGAAATGAAATCAAATGATAATTAGAGATTTGCTGAATCTGCTCAACAATTTTATAAGTCCTAAAATTTTTGGTCTCCGAATAAATAGACTTCTCCAAAAGATTAAAATATAAATCTTGTAAAATAAGTTGAATTTACTTTAAAATAAATAAGAGCCATAAAAAAATAAATTTAACAATTAAATAAAAAATGATAAATTTAATATGTTTTCATTATATTAGAGGCATGCAGAAGTTATAAAAATGCTTTTCTTCAAACATATCTGCTTTTCTCCAGCTTACACCTTATTTTTCAATGACTGATTTAATGGTGTCATTAGCAGTATAATGAGGATCTAAAATTAAGAATCTACAATCATCATCATTATAATCAATTCCTAATAAAGTATAAGCATAAAGGCCACCACCAAACATAATTGGAGCTCCATAATTTTCAAAATAGCTTTTAAATTCTGATAATTTTGATATTACATCTGTTCCTTTAGATACATTTAATATTTTGCATTCAATTCCAGTAAGTTATGTAATTAACATACTTACTTCAAAAGCACCAATCCACTCTGATGTTCCAACAAAGTCTATTGATTTATCTCCCATTTCTACTAATATTTATTAAATTCTTTTATGATTAGGAATATCTTTCTTTTTTGTATATCCATTTTCCATTAACCATGATAATACACTTTAAAATGATCTGTAAGCACATCCCCAACCTTTATCATCAAAACCATCTTGCATATAATGATGAAAAACATAATCACCTCTTACAAAATATCTTTGACCATTCTCCACTTTTTAATAAAATATATTATTACATGCTTTTGGACTTAAATAATGATGAACATTCAAAATTTTGTTATTTTCTGAATCAATAAGATTATTTATCTTATTCTTGTAAATTATAAGTCTTCTATTATTTTTAAAATCTGACTTAAACAATCTGATTTTCTATACTGCATCATATTTATTAATTGGAAATACTGTTTTATCATTAAAATATAATATTTATTTCTAAAAATTTACAAAACTCTAAATCTTACTTGGTTAGATTATAATGCTTGTATTAATTATTTAACATGTGAATTTATAATCTAAATTGGATTAGCATCACTCTAATGATATGAAATAAATTCAAATTCATCTTCAGCTAATTCGGAACTAATAAATGGTTAATTAACTTCATTTTCATCGAATATTTAAGCAAATACGAAGTTTAAATCAATTATTTAAGGATGTTTAAATTATAAGATCTTTCCTAAATTACCTATTTACTTTGAGCATATGATAATAATTTACTTCTTTATATTCTCTTTTAACTTATTAAATGAGTGTAACAAATAGATCAGAAGATGATTCTTGTTTTTATTTATTTTTTGTCTTTGCTTGATTCTATTATTATTCTTATACAACTTCTCCTCTATTAAGTGGAAATACTATTTAATTATTGCCTTTTTGAACGATCTTCTTTAATCTATAAAGATACTGCATGCAAAAATTATTTTTCTAATTATCCATTAGTCAATAATCTTTAATATCCAACTATATTTGTGAACAAACAAATATATTGTTGAAAAAAATTATTCAAATCGCACGATCTATTTATTTATATATTTTCTTTTTGTATTTCTTCGATTCCTCCTATCATAGGAGGTTTCATTCCTGTGTCTAATATTTAATTTCCTAAACCATAGGCTTTTTCATTTTCTTCAAGTTTTAGATTACACCATAGATAATTTGCTTTATTATTATTCATAATTAAATTAATAAAATAAACAAACATAATTATTTTCATATAGAACCATAAAACTATTTCTAACCAGAAGAAAAGGTTTCATCTGGTTCATCATTAGGTAAAAATGTTTCTCCAGTCAAACCAAAGCTTTTTCTAATACATTTACCAATACATCTAGAATTTAATATATATTAATACGTTCTTTATTGACATGTTATACAAAGAAGTAAACTAATTATTGAAGTAAAAAAAGGGATATTTGCCAATCCTTTCTTTCTTCCAATACAGAGATTGATAATCAAACCAAAAACAACAATGAATATAATTATATAAACAGCAAATGCTATAATAATATTAGTTGTAAATTACATTTTGTATCACCCTCCTAGTATTTGGCATTGATTACATTTTAAACTTTGAATGCATAATTGCAATCTTTAACAATTACTAGAGTGATATCTTTAAAATATTAAAATGGAAAAGTAATCTCGATTTTAGATGTTCCAAGACCAACACATTTAAAATTTAATGTAAGTTCACTTTCTTTATTGGTTATTAAACCTCCATTTGATAATTATCCTTCAAACCATGATTTTGTAACATTCTCCATTTCTACATCTACATAAGGCTAAGTTAGATTAACCTCTGGAATTTTCTTTAAAGTTTCCACATCTGTTACAAATCCTTCAGGTAATTCATCTGATTATTAATTAGTTTTCATTTAAAGGATAAATTTAATAACATTTATATCTCTTGAAACATTGAACACGTAATTGTCTAAATCAGAGTCAAAGTATGAAGCATTAATTATTTCTGAATTTTTTATTATTTCTTATCTGTAATTCTTATAGACCATATCTACACTAAAACCTTCTCTTAAGGTAAGAGGATTTCCACAAAATTTCTTCCAAAATATTTATGCATCCCCACATTCAGGTACTTAAAATTACATTTCATAATTAATAAGGGTTCCTCCATATTCCTTACATTAATAATTGATTTCTATTGCGTATTCAGTATGCTTTCCATTTAATCTATGATCCAATCTAATTGTTGAATCAGCATAATAGTGATCATCAAATATTAATTAAAAGTTTTCAAGTGATAAATTTGGATTATCACTTGTTATATAAATATAATCTACATGTTATTAAGCAGGTACTATAATTGGATTTTCTATTTTATTAAGTGATAATAAATTATACTTGCTTTTCTACTCCATTGTTTTGATGTGATACCTTAGGAGATGATATCATCTTGTGACTTTTTGAGATTTGTACTAACTTAAAGTGTTTTACATATTTCACTAAGATGAACAAGATTGAAAAGTCCAAGAAGAATTAAATAACGAGTCATAGAAATTTTAATTATTATTAAAGTGAATTAACTTACTAGAAAAAAATGAACATTTTAATTTAAATAAAAAACGGATGAAAAAATTAATTTATGTAATCTTTAATCAAGAATCTACCTTATGAATTCTATTCAAATATTCTCTAATAGCTTTTATTCTCTGAATTAAATTTAAAGGTATCATTGATAAAAGGAGTGTAGTTCTTCTTATCTAGAATATATATAAATTAAATTTTACTTCATTATTAATTTTATTTGCTATGGGCCACCAAAATAAGAGATACACAAATACAAGTAGAACCAAGAAAACTATGAAAATTGTCACAGTTGTTGTAGTATTTGTATCTAGATCTTTTTGCAAGCTTTCATTAAATGTTATAAGTAACTATTCAAATATAGATCTAATGTAAATGTCTTGCATTTAATCTACATGAATTAATTATAAATTCATACTTATTTCTATTGCAGCAATATCTGTATACATAAGAGAGAGGATCTTATTCTATTGAATATCATTTGTAAAATTGTAAACAGTACCTGCTATTGTTGTAGCTGAAGAATCATTTAAAAGAGAATCATAAACAGTAAGCAAATATCTTAAATTTTCAAAATGTCTTGAGAGAGCTAAGGCAAGAGATTCATCTACAATTCCTTTAACAAAAGCTTAGCAAGTAGCTAAATCGACTCCTGCAACTTTAATGACTTCATTACAAGCTCCAGCTTTCATTATTGTATCAAAATAATTATTATAAATAGTATTATGATAGCCTAAATTTAATGAATGATCTTTTTGCATATTGGTATTCAAGTTATATAGATCCTTAACAAAATCTGTTGATATAATTTTAGATGAGTTATTTTTCACAGAAAATTTAGAATCTAATAACATTTATCTAAACACATTATTTGCAAATGTTATTGATGGAACAGCCATTGCAGTTGCATTCATTTCTTAGATTAATTCTTGCATAGAGGTTTATAAATTTGCTCCAATTAAGTAATGAGCTATAAAGTAAGCAATTAACAATCCTATAGATATTATAAATTTAATATAGAAATTTCTTTTATCTTTTGAATCATATTTATACTTCTTTCTTTTCTTTCTTCTTCCAAATTCTTCCACAACTCCTTCTCCTTCTTCATTCTCTTCAAATGATAACTCATTTTCTTGATTTGCATCTTCATCTTCTCCTATTTGTAAAGTATTTGAAAATGCTTCACATTTAACAAACAATTATTTAACCTTAGCCAAAGGTATCTCTAAAAATAATTTAATAATTTCCTCTTAATTTTAGGAAACTAAATTAAAGGCACAAGCAATCCATGGTATTGAAATTACAGTAAAAACACAAGCAACAATTAATAAAATTAATAAAACATTTGAATCATATGCTAAATCAACTAATTAATTTGTATATAGATCTACGCTCTCAAGAGTAGCTTAATAATAATCATTCAATAAATTGTATCTAATGAAAAAGATAGTATCAGAATCAGGATCAAAATCTGCTATATTTAAATTCATAATTTCAAAAGCCTTTGATATTATTTATGATGTTCCTTAATTTATATCAACTAATTAACTACTCTCGCTTCCACTATTATCTCTACTAATCATTTTTATAGAATTAGTAGTCATTAATTCATCTTATCTTCCACTAACATCTGTGGATGACTATATTTTTGATTGAATATCCTTCAAATCACTTATTGTTTTATTCATATTTATAAGCTAAGTTTTCACTTTTTCATCTGTACCAACAACATTTATTTTATTTAATCGACACAATTCCATTATTTACCATTGTATTCTTTAGCCTAAAGCCACTCTGATATTTGAATCTTACATCATTATATAACCTTCTTAAATATCTTAAAATAACTATTAAGTTAATACATAATCCAATAATCCTAAAATACCTAAACATATTATTAATATAGCAGCACTCCATTTAAAACAAATCATACTACTTTAATTAACATTACGACTTTCTGATAAAAATTATTCAAAAGTTCTTCTAGATTTATATATATTAGCATGACCTCCTTCAGCTTCTTCTTCTTCATCTTCTTTTTATATTTATTACATTCCAGTTGTTCCTCCTTTTTTTTAATCATTCTCTTCAGCATCATCATCAGAGTCCTAATTTTTAAAATCCTCTATATCAAATAATTATCCATTAATATATTTCATTGTTCTAATTCCTAAAGCCAAATCTAATTTTTCATCTTTTTCTCCAACATTTGAACTTGGTGTTTTTTCGTCTTCTTTCATAGGTTCTCTTTATGAATAATCAAAAGTTTCATCTTATTTAACACTTGAAAGAGCTGACATCTAAAAATTTTAATCTTAAGTATACTCTCCTACAAATATATGTTAAGCTTAGTCAAATTAAAAATAAAACTTTACTTATTATTACTTTTTTATTTAAGATTACTCATTAGGATTAAGAAAAGATTTCTCTTATTTATTATTTTCAATCTTTATTATATAACCTTATAATTTTGAATCTTTGAACATGATTTCCCCTGCAGTAATATTAAATTTACCTTAGACTGATTAATCTCTATTTTTAAAATTAATTTCAGCTTCAGCACCTGTTTTATTGAGATATTCAGTAATATTTTCTTAAAAGTTTGGAATAAGATCACTTACTTTAGTTTTCTTTTTAGTAATATAATTTAAATCAATATGAAACATTGTAATAAAGGTAGCTGAAATATTTTCAATTTCTTAGGTTGATCCATTCACAATCATAAAAGCTATATTTTTAAACAATTTTTCTTGTCTCATAGCCCCAAAAAACTAAGCTCCATGAATAAAAGAAGGTACATATCTAACATAGATAAAGAATGGAAAGATATATCCATTTTTAGATTTGCCAATAATCATTCTTTCTCTATTCATAATTCTACTTTCATATGTTTATAAATAAGTTTCCATAAATTAATCATGTGATTGAGCAAATACATTAGGCATCAAAATATTGACTTTTCTATTAATTAATTCACTTTTGGAATAACCAAACATTTTAGATGCTGACATATTTAATCCTATGATTCTGCCAAATGTAATGTCTTCAGCAGAAATACTAATTAATGAAGTTGATTCATTAGGAAAATCATTGATATTAGTTGTAATTTTACCTCTATCCATATTTACAGAATAGAAATTCTTTAATCTTTCTAAGACTTCTTCTGCAGATTGTTTATCATATAAAATATCAACTAAATATCTTGAATAAATCATCATTAAATTAGGTGGAACATCTAAATTCATTTTAATTATTCTTTTCCATGAATCTTCTAACATTTTATCTACATACATCATTCTAGTTCCAACATCATATAATTTTCCTAAATCTGGTGTATCTTCACTTAATTAAGACCAAAATTCTATATGCTAAGATGCTGATTTCTCTATTTAAGCTCTTATCTCTCTAAGATTATTTTCAGTTGTAAGTTCATTAACAGCATCAATTCCTGCTGCTGGATTTTTTGAGGATTTTGAATTCTCAAACATTTATTCTTCAATTAACTTCTTTAATCTATATATAATAAATTATTCATCTACATATGGTTTCTCTTATTCTGCTGCTATTAATTCTTACAAAGCTTATTAATTTGATTACATTTTCTCCATCAAGAATAATGAATGTGCTATTCTCAATTCAGTACAATTAGGAAATCTTGTTAATGATAATGTGAATATTCTTTCCATTATATGCACTAATACTACATATTACTCTTTAATTTCTTCATCTTAATTCTGTAATTTGAAATTCTTCTAAAATTTTGCAATTTTCTTATTACCCATATTTTTAGCCTAACAAGGACAATCTTCTCTTTTACAAATAGTTCTGTGATATTCTACAAAACCATCTAAAAGAGTTGCTATATTTCTATCAGTATGATAATAATTTAAAAATTTAGTTAAATATTATAATTATTATATTGCCTAATTTAAAGAATCAAACTTATTTGAATCTATCATCATTATATCATATCTATATTCTTTTCTTAACATTACTATTAGCAATAATAATGGACTACCAAAAACCCATAAATATGGTGCTCCTTCATAATAAGTCTCTTCTACTATTATTCCAAAAATAATCATGCATATTGTCCACATTATTATGGCATGTTAAGAATTCAGAACTTTTGAATAATAATAATTCAAATAAACACTTGATTTATTAAATGAAAAGAATTAAATTACTGCAAAGAGTGTAATTATTATTACAACTAAAATTCTCAATTCTTTCACATTCAATAATGTAAAGCATAATACTAAAATTATTTTGAAAATTAAAAATTTCATATCATCTCTTCCAGAAGTTTTACAAAGAGGATTGTTAGGTTAAAATCTTGATTCATAAAATGTCATAGTAACTAATCCACTTACAAATATTAGTATTAAAGCAGCAATTGTTGATAAAAATGCATGTAATAAGTAGTTACCAGTATAACATTATGTATCACTATAAAATTTATGATAACCTGTTGATGTATCACAATAAAATATGGTTAAAAATAGATGTAATGCAGGCATAAAGATAATATAATTCAGAATTTCAAAAAATATTTTTAGTACAACTAAAGGACCAGTTAATTTACCAACTGATGTAGTTTATGCTTTGATTGCAATAAAGATAATTAGCACTATCAAAAGAAAGAATAATCCCATTACAATATAAAGTACAAGGATAAAACTTTGAAATCCGGCATTCTTTAAATATGGTGATATCATAAAGTATCCGAAAAATGATTAAAATGATTCTGACCATGATTTCACCTTCCATAATGAGAGAAACTAATTTTTATCAATTTATTTACATCATCACTAAATGCAAAGTAAAAAACTTAAAAACTTTCAATTACCACAAAAAAAATGTAAAGAAATAGTGGAAAGTTCTCTCCTGATATCAAGTAATAAATAATTTCAAATAGGAGATTTTTGAAAGAATTTTACATCTTGTCTATGGTTGACTTATCATCATCAAAGATTGAAATTCCTTGCATAATAATAATTCAAATAATAATAAAATAATAATATTCATTTGACTGCTTATAATATTTCTCCACCAATAAATTATTATTTCAAGTTAGGGTATTTTTGTATAATATCCATAGGTATCATATTCAACATTCCTTTAGTTCTCCAAATCTATTTTGATAAATTATTTAAGTAAGGAGTCCAACAAAAAATGAATGCAGCAAACATCAAAACCAAGTAGATACTAAATTTCATTTATTCAATGGAATCATTGTAAGATAAGAAATCTGCAATGCCTTACATAAACTAATCAGTTAAATAATCACATGCAGGTGCAATATAATATAATAGCCCATGCAATTTATTATGATAAGTCTGGTTATTAATTGTAGAAATAAGGTCTAATATAAATTATGATAATTTTACCAATTCTGGTTCTTTCAGTGTTCTTCCAATAACTGATCATATCATTAGTACTTAAGGCTACTGAAACAAAGGCAGTTTTTAATCCACTTGTAAGTAAACCAGAATCAACAACAGCACATCCAGTTTGATCAGTGACAAAATTATCTATAATATATATTTATATTAATACTTATATTAAAATCGTTAGTACATAAATTGTTATAAGTAAATGCTTAAAATTTAGACAAATATGAGTCAAATTATGAGGGAAATGATTGAGTCAAAGATTAGAATAAATTTCTTTCATTATCATATAATCTATCTTAAAATTCAGTTCTCATATCTAGTGAATCTTCTAATTAAGTTTAATTTGTAACAACTTCTTCAAAAGTGAAATAAACATTATATTTAATAGATATTGGTCTTTTAGATGAATACTAAAGATGATCATAAACTTTTTGAACATTACCAAGAAATATCAATTCTAAATTAATATCCAAAATAAAATAAGCTATAAAAATAAGAGCAAAGATTAAGAATTAAACAATAACAACAGATTTATTATTATCTTTAGAATTGAGTAATTTTTGTGATCTAAGATTTTCTATTTCTTCTTCATTCTCTTTTTTATCTTATTCTTATTGTTATTATTATTTTTAATCATTTTTCGTAGCTCCTTAAGTAAATGCAGATGGAGTGGCTTTATTTTCAGTTGGTTTTGCTGTAATTGAAGTATGAATGGCATTAGAATTAGGTTATCCGGTTTATAAGACATTTTATCCACTACCATTTGAACCATTATTTTATTATTATGATTATTTTTTTTTATCACTTTTATCTTCTTCTTCATTATTCATTTCAAAAACATCTTTATTTTGAGTTTTTTCAACTTCAGGAGGTTAAACACCAGGTTAAGGAGGTTTTTCATCTTTATCAACAATATCTTTTTTTTCATTTTTATCTTCTAAAAATTCTTGCATATAATTTTCACATTTAGCAGCTAATTCTTTAATTTCTTAAATAGGGATGATTCCAAAAAGTGACATAACCATATTATTTGTTTTATGTACTTAAAATACAATAGGAATAAGAATCATTGCTGATACAACTAAACAGAATATACCAACACCCATAATGACAAAAAAGGTTACTTAATAATTATTGATTTCATCTGAATAAAAGTCAAAGAATCTTTAAGCTATATTTTCTGATCCTTATCTTAATACGAATAAACCATTAGTCATTACATAATAAAAATTCTTTTATGTGTTATCTACGGTAGTAACAGATCCATTAAAAGATGCTGCAGATGAATTTCTTAAAGAAGAAGCTGAAGTAATAATTTAAAATAATGCATCATTAAATATGTTATCATAACTATAATCATATTAATAAATATTTACATTTTAACTTCACCAGAAGTTAATAAAAATTTAACTTAATACGTTTCTAGACTAGATGTCCCAGTCATTCTTGCCTCCATTTTAATACGAGCTTTAATAACATCAAATTGAACCACTTTTAAAGTATCTACTAAGTATGATAACTATAATTAAATATTATTATTATTATTTTACATTAGCTTTAATAAAAGTATCTGCAGAAGTAGTAGTATATCCATGTTTTTCAGCTATATAAGTACTATTTCCTAACATTTAAAGTAATCTAGTATAAAAATTAACATCTGCCATAATATTATGTCTCATATATGCTAAATAGATAGCATCTGCTCCTTCTTAGACATCTTAACTTTGAGTCATTCTGTATCCTAATATCAATGCACTTAAGATAATTAGAATTAACATTATAAACCACACAGTTCTTTTTAAAATTCTAATATATTTTGGTTCTGTTTTCTCAGATATCAATGCTTTAAAATCTTTCAATTATCTCATTTCATCATTTACTGATCCACCAGATAAATTAGATTCTCCTTCTGATGCATTCACATCTTCTTAAACTTATTATTCATCTTTTATTGCAGTTTTCATTTAATTTTATTAAGCTTCTTCAGCTGCTGGTTCCATTGATCTTTGTTATTTAATTTCCTCATTTTCATCAACTTCATAAAATCTTATTATTTGTATTTTCTAATCACCAAATTCTGTTTCATCTTAAATAAAAGCTTTTATTTTATATTTCTTATATCTTTATTACTTTTATAACTTTTTACTCTTAGCTTCTTCTAATTTTGAATTCTATACCTATTAAGATAAATCAACAGCAGTTTCTTTATATTAATGATTCTAATTCAACATTTATCCTAAATTTGAATCTCCAATTTTAGATTACATTTAAGATACTTATTATGGTGGTTCATAAATATTTTCTTCTTCTTCTAAAGACATTTCATCATCACTTTCACCTCTTCCCAAAAGAAAGTTTTATTAAAGTTAAGATGTATCAATTGTTGTAACCAATCCTTATGATTTTAGATCATCTTAATTTTTAATATCTACTAATTCTGGAGCTATTGCATCAATTGTAAATTCATTTGTATTAGTTGAATTACCATATACTAAAGATGCTGGAATTCCATATCTTGTATAACAGGATTATGTTATTCCTAATATGGCTTAACTATTAACATTTATTATTATGAAATGCCATTCTTAATCTATATCTTATTCACTTCTTAAATAAGAACTTCCTGGTTCTATATCTTTTAAAAATCCTACTATTTAAATCCCTTCATCCAAATTTGGTAACACTTTAATCATTAATGTACAAGGAACCAAATAATTATTTTTATTTTAAGCCAACAGAATCCTTTCTTATCCTATTACTTTTGAATCACTTGTTTCTAAATAATTCTTCATAAATTAATCATGTTAATCTGCATATACTTTTGGCATTATTCTATTCACATTCTAACCTATTATATCTGATTTAGAGAATCCCAATATTCTAGTTATTTCATTATTCACATTTGTTACTACACCTATATTATTATAATTCCCTGAACAAGTTATTATACATGTATTTGCATTCTCACCATATTTCTATCTTTCTTAATCCAATCCTAATTTATTTACTGCTGTGCTCTTTTAAATATATTCTGCCTTCTCTAAAATTCTTTAACCTTCAACATCATCATTCACTATATCTTTCAAAAAGTTCCCATAAACTTATAAACATTTTATATGATTCTAATTCATTTCCTATAGCTTTTTATAAAAATCACTTGTTGATTCAACTGTATTTGTTATTTTTGATCCAAGTGATTACAATTTCTAAATATCTGGATTTTCTTCTAATAATTCTCTCCAAAATTCCATATGTAATGTAACACTCTTCTCTATACTGCTTAGAAAATTTACAAATTTATTTTAAAATACTACAATGATGTTTACATCCACTCCTTTATTTTCTGATGTTCTCATATCATTTTCTATCATTTCCTCTTCAATCAAATTCTTATATCGATAAATACTAAATTCTTCTTATAAGTTAGGTTTGTTTTCTTCAGTAATCATTAATTCAAATAATGCTTTAAATTTGTTCTTCAATTTCTCATGATGAATGTATGAATTCAATAAATGCAATCTTGGACATTTTGGATATCTATCCAAAGCATCAGATATTATACTTTTTATTAATTGATACCATCTTTTTAGTTTTTAAGGAGTCTCTTCATCTTTCAAGTTGTCAGCTACTAATTATTGACACACACAATTCTCACTTGGTTTTCCACAATTTTTTAAATGCAATTTTAGTACTCCTTCCAAAATTATTCTAGACTATAAAATTTCACGATTTTCAATTAAATCCATGAGATGATTAATATATATTTCAATGTCTGTTTCTTTCTTAAAAGATTTGATTGGTGTTCTTAATAATTGCTATTGTCTAAAAGTCAACAATTAAAAATAAACTAAAGAAATTAATGGCATTCCTAAGATCATATAAAATAACCCAATATCATCAACAGAATCTAAATCTAAGAATGCAGTAATGACACCTACTAAACTAGCCCAAAATAGTAAAACTTCTTAAACTACAATAAATCCATAAACACTTTTATTATAATAGGGGGGTGATCGATATCTTTATACTAATAATAGTAAATAGAAAGCTGCTAAGAGAGAAATATAAACTTTAGATATATCTCCATTAAAATCAAGTGTTACATAAAGTGGAAGAATAATTTTAATCAATTATCTAACCAATGGAGTTTTGGATTGAGGAGATGCAAATGGAATTGGTGAACTTGGATTGAGTTCAGCATAAAGTAATCCAAAATAGAGTACATTGATTAAGAATAAGATCATACCAATAATCTATAATAATGATGATTGATTATAATACAGCCAAAGATATATGCAGAAAATGAAGACCTGTATAACATTCTAAGCCATCTGAAAATGGAGCCTTAGAATTACAATAAATGCTGGCAATGAAGGCATTGAATATGGGGATTGTAAGAACAGTATTCAAAAGTAATCCATACAATGAAAATATTTTTAGACAGTATGTAAGAAAGGTACTTGGCTTTCTCTTATTTGATGTCAATTTGAATGTTATTATGATCAACAAGAATAACATTAGAATCTGAATGCCAAAAGCCTATAAATAATACAAAAATAAAACATACAATGTACATTACTATTAACAGCACATTCACTCCACCGTTGAATATGATATAATTTACTTAAAAGTATTGTAATGCATTTCGAAAGTATTCCAACCACACTGTTTAGAATAAAAATTCTAAGTTAGGATGGATGGAATAATAAAGCTACATGATTTATCAATTCAAAAAATACAAGTTAGATGAGCTCAATCAATATTAGGAACTTAAACAAGAAAGGACTGCAAACTTGATTCTATAATAATTCATGAGTGAGTCCATATGTCCATGTTTTTATTCTGTTCTCAAATCGTTCCCAAATAGACTCATCGTAAAACACTCGTCGATTATTCATAATCATTTTGATATATAATAAAATATGATTAATAAGTAAAATCAATTACCTAAACATCCTAACATCTCCTTTAAATAATACTGTGAATAGTTTGTCAAAGAAAGTCCTAAGGCTAAACTTAATAAAACAACTTATGTTTTAGAAAATTTACAATTAAATAAACTTAGGGATAAACAAAAAGAATAATTCTAAACTTTTATCGAGGATCACATTTCATAAACTAGAAAAATTAGAGATTATGCATAATATGATGCCACCATTGTTATGGGACTTACTCCTAAGTGGCAAAGACCAAAAAATGATTATTTTAAATAAGAAATCCCCCTTATTAAACATTAATTAGATATGAGATGTACCAGATAATGTTAAGACCTCAATTTTGATTCCTGGAGGCGAATTGATTAAGCTAATTAAAAAAGAGTAAGAGGTTATTCTATTGATTCAACTATCAAAAAAACTAATCGAAAAACATACTCATTTGCTTATCGATTTTCATGATGATTACTTTCTTTATTTGTATCATATCAACTCTTTTAAATGAATTAATCAACAGAAAAATTTTATAAAATTTATTTAAATAAATTTATAATTGTAAAACTCTATTCCATTTATCATTCTTTTTCTTGTTCTAATATTTCATTTTTTTAGATTCTATATTTATTTCAAATCAATTTAATGTAAACTAATTTAATTATTATTTTTTACTTCAATCCTTAATTTCTAGCTTCATATTTAAGAAATAAATTTTATTATTAATTATTACCTAATCACTATAGAATGCTTGCATCTTTTCAATATCTAATATTCAAAAATATTAAAATTCATTTATTTAAGTTGATACCTTAAAATGATTATAATTAATATTCATTAAAAATATAAAAGAGTCAGAAACCCTCTTATAAAAATAATAAACTATATTTTCTGAATCTTCATACAAAGATCCTAATGAATGTGAATTAGTCCATAAATATGAAAAAAAAATATCTAAAAATTGTAACATCTAAATCTTTTTAAATACTGTTGGCGATTAAATTGAAGGAGAGTTTTGAGTGTAAACCTGAATATGAAATTTAATTAGATTTTATTTTGAGATTTGCTCAAAAAAATTAACCTCCTTCCAAAAATATTTTGAGATAGGCTTAAAGTGAGATTTTGAACAAAAATATTGCTCTTAAAAAATTTATAAGCTATGTTGCTTGAAATTTTAAGGAGAAGGAGCTATCCCATAAAAGTTTAGACAAATAAAAAGAATTAAGATATTTTTAACATAAGAAATATATTTGGATTCGAATAAGTCAATTTTTAAACTTCTATACTCTTATTTGATAAATAGAAGAGGGTGTGCATCTAATGAATTTATGAATGCCAAATTAAATTATTTGGTTCCTAAAATTTTAATGAATTATTAAGCCTCTTTAACATAAAAATAATATCTAATATTTAGGCACGGTTATTTTAGAAGTTGATACATTTAAATGAAGTAATTAGCTATATAGAAATGAACAATAATTAAAATTTGCAAAAGAAACAATAAATGTAATTGCAACCATTTATGGAAGTCAATTAGCTGACAATATGTTATTAATTCTTAATTTCAATTAAAATGAGTGTTAATTTATTTAATTATATCATAAAATAATAGAGAATTGTTAATTTATCAAAATAATTATAATAATATTTACGGTAATTAATTAAAAAAATAGTAATATATTAATATAAATTAATTATATCCAATAATTTTAACGATTTGGAACTTAAATATAAATTTAGCCATAGATTTTCAATTAATAGTTAAGAATAGACATCTCACAATTTTATGAATAAGAAAAAGTGGAGTGCTTAAAAATCGAAATTTAAGGTAGATCAGATTAAGCATATTATAAATAAGTATAATTTCAATATAATAGTCTATTCTAATATTCGCTCAGGCATTTAATCTTAATTTATATAATCAAATTAAATTATTTTTAATAAAGAAAAATAGAGTTAAATGAATAGATTATAATGAGATGAAAAACAGAGATTGAAAGAATGGAGATCAATGAATTAAATTATATAATTATTAATAACCTATAATAAAAGATGAAAGACTTAAGAATGAAATAAAAAAGTTATAGGTTATTATGTAAGAGAGATTAAGAGAAAGCTTTTATGATTTTATTATATAAATAATTATTATAAGATGTTGCCAAAATTACATTAAAGTTCTTCTGTGTAATAAGTAAGAACATCTGAAGATTTCAGTTTAAATGAAGCAAAAAGGAGATAAAAATAACTTGAGTTGGAATCTTAGAATGTTGAGAATAGAATCAAATAATTAAAGAAAGAAAATGAGAAACTGTCAAAAAAAGTAGAAATGGCAGAACAATTAGCTCTTGATGTGTATGCTTAAAGACTTGCATAGAAGTTGAAAGTAATTATATTAGTTGTAATAATTAAAATAGAAAGAACAAAAATAACATCAATTATCTTTGACTGATCCAGCAAAATATTAGTAAACATAATATGAAAGAATGCATTTAAAAAAGATGAAATAAGAGGTAAAAGAGATGAAACATTAAGATGCCTAATTAATGAAAAAATCTATAAAATTCGAATTGATGAGAACAAATGATGAGCAATTGAAAATAGCTTAAAATTTAAGATTGAAAGCAGCATTAAAGAAGGAAGAAGAGAAATTATCTTAAGCAGTAATTTAAGAAAAATTATATGAAAAATAATAAAAGGTGAGATTAGAATAGGAGAGAGAGAGATAGAAAATAATAATGGAAAATGAGAAATAGGAGTATTAGATAAAGTAATTAGAAGTATAAGAATTGAAATTGGTTGAAAAATTATAAGCAACTTAATAAAGAGAAATAGCTGTTAAAGAAAAATTGATAGCAGCAACAAGATTACCACCTGAAGATTTTGATAGAACTTATTTAGGAGGTTAATCAATAATATGCGATTAAGAAAAATAAGTAAAAATATAGAAATAATAATAAGGAATAAAAATAAGAAGAATAAAAAGAATAATAAAAAGAATAATAAGGAGAAGGAGAGTAATCAGGAGAAGGAGGGTAATAAGGTGAAGGAGGATAAGGAACATAAACTGAATGAATATGATATATAATGAAGAAAATCAGTATATATTATATAAATATATATATATCATAAATAATTATCTCAATTAGAAATATTATTTTAAAATGGATCGTTCAACTCAATCTAAAGTTAGATCTGCAAGTGGTAGTAAAGATTAAAAAGAATTAGGGAAGAAGGAAAATTTTATTATTTAGTGAGAATAAATTATAATTGGAACAATTGAAAATTACAATTAAAAATATAGAAGTATATAAGTTTTTATTATTTTAATAAGGTTGAATAAGATAGATAAATTAAACAAAAATAATCTCAAGGAAAAAATTATTAAATTGCTGTGACATTGTGACAACTGATCAATCATTTAGTAACTGAAATAATTTAAAATTTAATAGAAACAATTGCAAATTTAGTAGTAGATAACTAAAAAATTTCATGAGAGGCAAAAAAACGATTTGTAAAACCTTTTCATGATTAATAAAATTAATTATGAATATACAATAGGATAACTCTAAAGTTAAAATTAAGTTCAATAAATACTATTAAAATTTATAAACTATCAAATATAGGTTGTTGTGGAAAGGAAAAAAATTTTTTAAATTTTGAAAGCCAATTTAGAAAACTAGAATTAGAGTTTTTTAATGGACAGCACTTTCTAATTTAGAAAATAATAATGTTGATATTTATTTTTGTGGTGAAAACCAGTTTGAATTATGAAATAAATCTTTAGATGATTATTTTCTTAGCGTAGCTGAAAAAACAATGATTATTGTAGTAAATGGTGATAAACTATTTGAGAAAAAGGTAGTTGAATATTTGGAGAAGATTAAAGAAACAACAACATATAGAGATTAACCTGTTTAAGATGATAAACTAAGAATAGCATATAAAATGTTTTATGGAATAGGGCGAACTTAAAATTTTTCGACATTCTAAGGATATAATACATTAGGATTTTTTCTATTAAAATGATCCAGATTTATAGGAGAAGATTTTAGAAAATGATTATCGTAAAGCTATCAAAGATTGATAAATAGCAAAAGAATAAGGTTATTCTAATTCATTCTTTTAGGTAGTTCAATGTTATGAATTAGTGTATGGTTATGGAGTGAATTTAGAAGAAGCCAAAAGTTATCATAAAAAATTAGCTTTAAAAGGAAATTTTGCATATAATCTCAAATACAAGTTAAATTAGAAAAATAAAAATCTTAATTAAGGAGATGATACATGCATGATGTTATGAATGATTGTAGCAACTTTGGAAAGTAGGAAAACTATTTATTTGCACATTAATACTTGATTCAAATAATGATATAAAATTCATATTTCACACAGATTTATTTCTACTTAAGATATCTCTAAGAATGTGGTTTTAGAGTTTAAGAGGATCAATCAAAAGTCATTCATTATTATTTTAAAGGTTCTAAACTTAAAAGTTCATTTTGCATGACTGAATTAGGTATTTTGTTCTGGTGTTACTGAAAAAATTAGAAAGAAGCTCCTAAATTCTATAGGGATGCAGAAGCATTAATTAATATGGGTTTATAAATGATATGTCTATGAATGAGTCAATATAAATTATGCTCAATTTTTAATTTTTATGAGGAAGCTTAAAAAAAATGGGTAATTCAAAATGTGATTTCCATTTTGAATTGATGTATGAAACTGGAAAGTATGTTAAAAAGGATGTTCAAAAGACTATAAAAAGATATTAAAAAGCTGCTCAAATGTAATGTTAAGAAGCTAGAGATCTACTCAAATAAAATAGATAATAATGTTATATGATGATTCAATAGCTAAAATATTGGTTAAGATAAATATTAATTTATTATAGTTATTCATGCTACAAATAGAAATGCCATCATGAAAGTTATACCTATGATCTAAAATCCTTTAATCATTCAAGAGGGAAAAAAAACTAATTAATCAAACATAGCATATAAATCTTAATATTAAGATATGGGTTGAGGCAAAATGATTAGGATTCTTGCTACCTAATGCAACTCAATATACTTATTTTAAAAATCATTTTTAAAAACCAGGCCTTTATCATTGATCTCTATGCAAATGATTATTTTTATAAAATTATGTTAGACTCTTCTTCTCTTTAGATTATTATGTAAATTTAAAGTAAATACTTTTATTCCAATCATTATTATGATAATTTCAATAAATTTCTCCTTATTCTAAACAAATATACAGTTCAAATGTTTCAAATTATTGAATGAATCATAATTAGATAATTTTAAAACTTATTATGTAGGAATTAGAAGAGTTCTTAGAAAAATAAAAAGAATTAAATATTAAAATGCTAAGAGATATGTTACAAACATAAAGTCTCATCTAGCATAATTTATCCATTGGATTAGACTCTTTGAAAAAGTGCATTGAAAATTTACCTAATAAAATTGTCCCACAATAAGGATTATAATCTAGAATTACCATACATAGATAAAAGTATCATGTTATTTTACTTAGCTAACATCAATTTATTTTAAGTCAAATGGGTCATAAGAATTTCTAATCATACTTGAATTTAGAAGAAGAAATCAAAGAAATCTATAGAGAGAGAATGTTCAATTTGTCTGTTACTTTAAGAGATATGAATGGAAATCTTTTAGACGATGAAGACTGTCCTACTTTCCTAAGAATGTAAAATTCCCTTACAACTCAGATACACATCAGAGAAATTTCCAAAAGAAGTTTATGCCAATATTAAAGGAAAACCAATATTTAAAGGGTAAACTCAAATACTACTAAGGGGAAAAGGAGAATTTTAAAGAATATCAATCACTGAAGTTTTATCATATTATAAACATAAACTTAGGTGTCCTCTCATTTTCCTTCCGGGAAATTTATTTTAGTGATATCTTCAGAGAAAAGTTACGTAAAACCATACATTATTGATAATTTAATTGTTAAAGCCAAAAAATTGCTTAAATGAATTTCATATATAAATATTGCATAATTTTCTATGATTATGAAAAATATGCTTCTCTTAATTATTTTTCTAATTATAAATTTTTGATGTAATTTTATAATTAATTTATTCAAACAAAATAAATGTAAATTAAAATATATTGCCATTTTAGAAAAATAAATTTAAGCAAATTCACTTTATCAATAATAATATTATAAGTTAATTCAAAATAATATTATTTCAACATAAATTTATAAAAAAAGTTGCTTCAAATAAATTATTTTACTAATATTTTAACATGGTTATTGTAACTGATTTGCCATTATTTTTGTTTTTATTAGTTTAATTTGATAAAAGAATGAAATACAATCACTATTATTTATTGATATTCGAAATTCAAATAAATGATGGATCAATATTTAAATTCTCCAATTATTTTATTTTGAATTAACAAATAAATTTTATGCTGTTTTATTTTTCTAGTTTGTTTCTTCATAATCTTTTGTTGAAATTAAACAACACCAAAAAATGATGTTTTTTGAATTTGGATAATGGAAAGGATTTTTATGCTAAAATATTTTAAAATATTATAAATAATGTTTTTCTAGCCGTTGTTTAAGTAATTTTTTTAATTTAAATTTATTTGATTGTTTACTTAATTACTTTTTATTAATTTTTTAGCTTAGAAAATTTGTCAAATACTTTTTCTAATTTATTATAAGTTTATTTTAGATAATTTTTAGATGAGTGAAAATTAGATTTTAAAAACATTTATTGATTATTAAAAAATGAACAAAATTCAAGAATTAATAATATAACACAAACAGAGAATGAGAAAATTAGATTTTCAAAAATTTATTTATCTTAAAATCTTTCCAATTAGTGTTATCACTCATAACTATTAATTAACTGAAACAGTTTACCTCCGTATTTGTATTATAAATACACAAATCTAAATATTCATTTATATATTTGGGATTTTAAGTAATTATTTCGAGTTTATAATTTAAAAAAGCCCCTATTTTGTGAGACTTTTTTAAATTACGAAAAATTGTTAATAATCGAAACTTCTATTAGTAGGTTTAAGGAATCATGTAAAAAATTTGGAATTATTTTTTAAAATATATTCAGTAATAGATTTTTGAAACTATTTAGCAATTTACTTTATTGAAAATCAATTGATAAATGATTATAATTAATATTTAATTGATCTCATTAATTATTAAGAAATAATATTATTTGTATTAAAAAAGGATATGATTTTTTTGAGAATTAAAAAAAAATTAATATAATATTTTTAGAATAAATAGATTAATATCTGTTATAGATTGTTACTCATAAAAAGTATGGTAATTATTTTATTGATTTAATGGACAATTATGATATCTAATGATAAATTGTACAAATATTTTATCAAATGAACTCTAAGAATTCTAAATTATTAAATTTTTAAAGTATTAGAGTCTAATAAATATATGCTATAAATGTTGATATTTATTTGATCATAGTAATAATAGTTTTAATTTTATATATTTTTTTTTAAAATAATGAAATCGAAAAAAAGAGAAAAATCTTTAATAAAAGAACTTGATGCAATAAGATCGTTAAAAAATGAAAGTATAGATTTGAAAGAGTTGGAAGATAAAATGGTTAAATTAATTGAGAAAGCAGCCCAACATTATTAAGATTAATTAGATAATAATATGGCTCAATTTTATTTTGAATATGGAAGCATTTTAGTTTAAATATTAGAATAATCTCAAGATTCTGTTGAAAATTCATTAAATTGTGTAGAGATTTCTAGAAATGATAGAGAATTAAAAAATACATAATTGGCTTTTGAGAATTTAGAAGCAGCAAAGACAATCATACGTAATAGACTTGATAAGCAAAATATTGAGATGTATAAATTGTAGGAATAGTTGCAATGTAAGATATTATAGATTATCATAGAAATTAGATAAAAAATAAATGAAACAGAATTAGAAATGAGTTTAATATTAATAAGAATAGGAGATCTTTAAACTTGGAGAGAAGATTATAAGGATGGATTATTAAATTTTTATGCAGCATTAGAAATTTTAAAAAATTCATATAATTATAAAGAACTTAGTGCAGTTCATTTTAAAATAGGAAATGCAATTTTATTATAAAATGAAAATGGATGCGAGAAATTAAGTTTGAATCATTTAGAGTAATCTTTTAGAAATTGTTACTTATAACTTTATAAGAAAGAATGTGATTTTGATTTAAGTGAAAAGAATTTAACAAAAATTGTAATTGATAATGATTTACTAAAAATGTTAATAGAAAAAATGGAAGATACTTATATTTAGTTAAATGAAATTAATGCATGTTAGAAAGAGATTGAAAAATGGAAAAGTTCAGAACCAATTTTGTAACAGGAAATATAATATTTAGGTAAGATTAGTAGATAATCTAATCAAATAAATGGTATAAAAATTAAAAGAAAAATTTGAGTATAATATTCTGTTTTTCATTTTTAATAATTTAATATAATGAATCGAGATAGTCTTGAAAAAATTTGTAATTAAGCCACAAAGTTTTGGAAATAATAATTCATTCCGTCACCTAAATAAGATTAAGACATTTCAACTAATGTTGGATCAAATATCTTAGAATAAGAATCTATTTTTGAATTATCTGCCAAAAAAACAGAATAATATCTGTTTTTTGATATTGAAAGATAAAACTAAAAAAATGAAAAAATTGAGTAAATATTTTCAGAAGACCTCATTAAACAATAATAGTAATTTGAATAAGAAAACAATTATGATGCAGAAATAAGTTGTTCATAGTGTTCAGATTGCTCGAACAAAAGAAGAGATAAAAAAAAATAAAAACCAAGATCTTTTAGATCGAGTAAATATATCAAGTATATCTAAGCAAAATAACGGTTTACAATATCTGAAGAAGCTTTTATTATAGAATAGTCAAGAAAAGGAACTAGTTTTACAGATATTGCATCACAAATTCCAGGTTCTACTGTTAATCAAGTCAAACATCATCTATTGAAAAAACTTAAAATCTGTAGTAAAAATACTAATCTTTAAGGAGATAGTATTGCTGAAATAATCTTAAAAATTTAATAATTATAACAGTATATCACTATTAATATTTTAGAAATGAGAATATAGATAATGCTGTTAAAATTTAAGAACTCAGATAACATATATCTTCAATAGAAAATCATTTGCATCAAACTAAGTAAATGATTCTATATAAGTATATGATATTATTTCAATAATAATGATAATGAGTAGATATCTTTCATATTTTAATCATTTAGCCAATAAAAAAAACAGACGACTATTTATATTATTAAATATCTATATCTAAGAATGCAATAATCTTTTTGTTAATTTAGAAAGAGAACATTAATTACAAATCTAAAAATATAAATATCAAAAACAAAACGTTATTAGATATATATTAATATTATAATAATGCTTAAAATAGTAAATACAATATCAGAAGAATTCTAAATAGACTCTTTTTGTAAAATCATTAGTTCTAAGTTTTGAAAAAAAATCTTTAATTTCTGTTTCGTTAGTAAAGAATTTACTTTCTGATGAGACTTAAGATAATTATTTGAGATAAAGCATATTCATATTTTAGTTTGCAATATTAAAAACTAATAAATGAACATTCTTCTTTTCTATTAAGCTTTTTAATCTATCTATAGACATTTGATTATAATTATGTACTCCTTCACTAAAGATACAAACATATCTAATAGTATGTTCATCAATTTCTTCATGAATATTATCAATATCAATTTTATATTAATCCTATTATGGAATATTTTAAAGTCATACCATATTTTAATCAATACTGACATTATCAAATTATTGTTCTTCATATTATTTTAGAGCTTAACTGAATCCACCAGAAAAGGTTTTTCCTACTCTTGGAGAACTAGTTTTACATCTAAATTCTAAATCAGAGCATCTAAACTCTTCTTATTCTATTTGCTATTTAATTTAATTAGATTTTAAATGTAAAGATAATTGTTTACTTTATTCTGGTTTATCTTTCTCAAAAAGTGATGCAATTGTAATTTCTAAGGCTTGAAAGATGTTTCCTTAACCTCCAGGTTTAATCAATACTTTTTCTATTGTTGATTCTAATAGCTTTTTATAAGTTCCTTTTAATTATAAAGGAAATATCTCATGTAATGATTCATTAAAAGCATATAATCCTACAAATGAGTCATCATTTAATGATTATACAACATTATGACACATATGATGAGATAATGTAAATTATTCATTAGTCATTTCAGATGAATAATCAAGTAGAAATATCAATTCAAGTCTTTTTAATTAATTTTATTGTGAAAATTTTATCAAACAATTATGATCTACATTGCATCTTTTAAATATTTTTGTTAATGTCTTTAAAACAAATTTTTAAAATCCAGGATCATAATGTCCTTCTGCTTTTAAAATAGATATAAATTTATAACAAGCTTCAACATATTCCCCATTTATCATTAATAATGATGCCTATATATATAATAAATATTATTACTTCTAATCCTGTTAATTTTTCTCTCACAATCTCTAAAGGAATTTCACGAAAAATATCTACAAATTCAGAAATATCAAGTTATTTTATTTCATTTTTATTTGCTTATAAAATTCTAAATTTTGTTTCTGCTTCTTCTAATTCTAATTTGGCTTTTTCAAGCATTCCAGCTCTAGCAAAACAAAATGCTTTTTTTGTTATAATATTTATTTTCATATATTAAATAGAAAATGAATCAGGTAGAGTTTATAGTTCATCCATAATATCATTAAATTATTTAACACTTTCATTTAAAAAAGTTGATTATGACTTTGTCATACTATAATTATATAGTATACATGCTAATTAATATTTTCGAAAAATAATTTTATGTTCAATAATTATTTATTATTTTGAATTTCCCTCATTATTATTTTAAACTTTTACAATAGGACTAGATTTTTTTGGACTTCCTAAATTATCTATTCTCTCACTTTATAAATCAGAATTTTCTTCTCTTATTGGATTCTTTTCTTCTTATTATGGATTTCTTAACCAATTAGTTGTTTATCTAGGTGTTGATTGCCTTTATAAATGTACTTCTGATTCTATTGAACTTTTTAATTAAGAAGTTTCATTTTGATATTTTATTCTTTAAGTAGTTTACCTTCGAACAAGGCCATTTTGAGAATTTTATATCACTTTTGTCTTACTTTCTAAATTTTTAATAACATCTTTCATTTATTTTTCTTCCTATCTTTAGAATTTTTACAAAACATTATTTTTTAATCTAAGATACAATTTAACAATTTATTAATCATCTTAGAGTTGAGCTGCTTAATTTGCATATTATTCCATTTCTTTAAGACTTTGTAAATCTTAATTTGCTATGAGAACAGATTCTTCTTATTCATTCATAGCTTCAAGATATCTTTGATTTCTCATATGAATTTTAGCAATATTATTTGCACAGATTCCAACAGCAGCATTATTATTTTATTTTTTATAGAATCTTTTAGACATACTTAAAATAATTAAAGCTTCAGCTTCATCCATATCTTTAGATCCTTATAATAGTTTATTATTTTAATATTTAATACTATTTAAATAATTGATAATGACTTCATAAGACTTAGTGATTTCTTTATTGTTAAAGAAATCTTTATAACCATCTAAATTAAAATCTTAGGCTTCAAGATATTTCATATCTACTCTTAAAAGATTAATTAATTCATTAATAGGAGCTTCAAGTGAAAGTGCAATAACAACACCTTTTCTCCAAAGATAAAATATAAGAACTACATGTAAAGCACAAGCAATAATGATTTCATTAATTAATACTTGAGTAGCTTCTAAATTTTGACCTGCCAATTATAAATAATATGATAATGACATTGATTATAGATAAATCATGGAACAATTAGTAATTAATTCTTTTGTTAAATTAATATTAGGATAATTAGGATGAACAAAATAGTATGATGAAAAAAACACAATACGTTCCTCACCCATTCCATCATATAGAATTCTCCATTATCTAGATTCTATAGGAACTGTAACTAATGTATATATTTCATTTATAAAATCGTTTGTTTGATTAGGCCAAAGTTAAAAGGCATCCTCAAGAGTACTATTTACAAGTTATCCATTTAAAATTATATTAATATTTCCATTTGTAAGAAATGAATATATTATTGGACTACTTGTATTTAATATAGCAAGTTCTCTATTCTTCTCAACATATAATTCACATTCATAATCTTCCTTTCCTGCTCTCATTCTCCAAACTTCATATTTCAAATCTAATTTTGGATAAGCTATTTTTGATGATAATTTGTTTATCTAATCCAAACAATCATTATATGCTTTACAATTAGATACTGAATCTTCATACCAATTCTCTAAAGTATCAACATTAATACCCTAAAATGAAAATCCTATACCATTTTGACATAAAAAATGAAAATGATCAAATACACCATTTTCTGCATATATTTCAATCAATTTTGATAAAGGAGAGTAATATTTTAATAGTTTATATTAATCTGGATAATCACTTTGTAAACTTTTCAAACTTGTAATATTTTTAAAATGCCAATCTATTTCACTTAAACTTTCATCATCTAATTATTAATAATCTCCTATGTAATTTATTATATTTGAAATAGCATAAAATGAATTTATATTCGGTCTATTGGATCTTCCATAATAATATCTAGCAAATCTTATTTTACTCTAATCTAAAATTATTGACTTTTTACCAAAGAAGTTTCATTATAAATCCCTTGAGATAGTTTTTCACTCTCTATTTTATATTCTTCATCAAAATATTATCCTAATAACAAAACTAGACTAAATAAAAAATAGTAAAGTGATAAAAACACTATCATCAACATTATCTTAATCCTCAATTACATTAAATTTTTATATTAATATATATATTATAATGATACTTAATTTTTGAATGATTATAATTTCATTCCTCAATAATCATATTTTTATTATTAGGACTCTTATAGTTTTATAATGCTATCAGTTATAGCTTTAAACTCGGAACTCATCTAAAATATTATTTCATTATTCTTACAGTCTCTAATAATTGAGTTAATTCTTCAAATTATTTTTTTATTCTCTTTACATTCTCATCATTCAAATCAGGTTCTTCTATCAAACGTTATTTAGGCAATTCTCTATTTCTTTAAGTTCCTCCACAAATCCCCATTATAATAATGTAAAATAAAAATTATTAAATATAATTCACAACTTAGCTTCATTTTAAATTGTAAACATTTCTATAACCTCTTCCTCCTATTTCTTTGAACAATATTTATAAAGCAATATTGTCAAAACAAAACTTAACATTATGAAAATAGCTAGTAACCACCAAATATATGGTTTTTTATTATTTGTATTTGTTTATGTTTCAATTTCTTAATTTGAAGTCTCCAGGGCTTCTGATGTATCAAAAAATGAGACTTGTTAATTGTCAAATATTGTATTAATATCTGTATTAAGTTCACTTATATTAATTCTGAAAATAATTTTATTGGTATTTTGAATTAAGTATTAATCATATGAATATTCATATGTTGAATTAATTCTACTTTATACATAATATGATTGAGGAGGGATTTTAGGATCTGGATTTTTTTAAGTTTTGAAAATTTCTACATCACATTGATAACTAATTTCAAAAAAATCATTTTTAGAAATATTTTTAAGTGGGTAGCCTTTATTATCCTGGTTCCAAATTCCTGTAGTATTTTATGCTTTTAAAACACTAGTTTTATCACTTTTTACGATTGTTAATTAGGTAACTGAATAGCAACCACCAAAATTTAAAATCAATTCTCTTTCTCCATCCCATTTCAAAATTAAATAAGGTTTAACTAAATCAATTAATGATAGGGAAGCCATAATATTTCTATTAATGTTACCATAACCTTATTTATATTAATTTAATAATTTTGAATCATAGAAATACAAAGGAGGCCAATTTTCTAGTAATTGATTGGTAATTTCAATAGTTCCAAGTGTAGAATCACGAGGTTATTTATCTAATCCAGCTTCAATAAGATATGTAATTGCTCTTGCATTAGAAGATGGTTTAACATATTCATCAGATTTTCTGTTACCACAATTATTAGTTTTATCCCATGCAGCTGCATATGCCCAATCTTCATATCCTCCATTTACTGCATAAACTTAATCAGTCATTCTACCTATTTAATAAAGTTGAATTTGTAAATGAGTATTTTCAAAAGAAATATCTTTCATAATTTTAGCAATCATTTCCATAGCTTTATCATCTGGGGATTCAGTAGCTAATCTATTTTATAAATGATTTTTAGTTCCCCATGAATAAGAAATACTCTTATATAATAAGAAAGAATTTTACATTATCACCACCATGAAAAGTTATTCCCAATTAAATAATATATTTGTTATAAACTTAAGCCAAAGCTCTAGCAGCATTTGTTTAAAAACAAATACTAGAGGGATTATCAACATTAAAATCTCGATTTGCATCTTTTCCCATTTCCTCTCTTACTTTATGATAATATCCATATGGATTTACCATAGGATAAAGTATTATTCTTCTATTATTTAAAAATTCTAATTTTTATTCACTTGTAAGATATTTAGCTAATTCTGTTACTACATTTTATCCTATAACTTCATCTCCATGAAATCCTGCAGCTATTAATACAGTTGGTAAATCATTTGCTTTTGGATTCTAAGCAAATTCTGCATAAAAAAATTAGCATTCTTCATCACCACAGTCTAAATATCTTAAATTTTCTAAATTTTCTATTGGATAATAAAGTTAGAAGACATCCGAATGTTCTTTTTCAAGTTTTTTAAATGTATCAATGATTTCTTGATATGTGTAATATTAATATGCAGATATCACAGAGAAGAGTGTTATTAATAAACTTTTCATTTTATTTAAAAATAATATTATTTATGAATTCTATCTGAATAAATTAAAAAAATAAATAATAAATTAATATATCTCACATCAAAAAACTCATAGAATATAATCTACTTAAGTATCATATATAGTAATAAAACAGAAAATATATTTAGAAATAAATGTTTGCCTAAATTATCTCTAAATTAATTTATATAATATAAATATAAAATTAATGATAGAAGAAGAATAAAGACCTAAAGAGAAAGCTTCTATAAAAAAAATACAAAGTCTTTTAAAAATTTTCCAAACAGGTTGTTTATATCTGAATCGACAAAAGTAATTGATGATAAGCATATTGGGAATAATTTGAAGCAAAATATCGAACAGATACTTTACGAAATATAATATTATCTTATAAAGTATAAATGAAATAATCGTTTATTAGAGTGATGATAATTAAGATAAATTGCTTATAAAATTAAATAAGTAGCTCTTACTATGGATGATGCAAAAAAACTATTTTTGAATCTAAAAATCTTGAAATTAAGAGACTTATTATGGTTTTCCCTACTTATACATCTGCTACTAAAATATAAGTTGAAAATAAGAAAGCAAGATTATTTAAAGATTAAATTAATTCAATTTAAAGTTATTCTTTTGAGAAGATGATTTAGTTTATGATGTTATAAAACATGAATTAGTAGCTTAACATATAATATTAAATGAAAAAGAAAAAGAAATAATATTAATCTTTAGTTATTATAAAGACTATATATGGTTTAGTAGATAATTAATTACCTAGAATTTTAAAAAGTGTTCCAATTGTAAAGTTTTTGAGACTTTCTAATGGAGTTGTTGTAAAAATCGTAAGAAAAAGTGAAACAGCTGGATTGTATGTTACCTATAGAATAGCTGTATGATTTAAATTAGCAAATATATGTGTATGTAAATTAGTTTTAAAGTTTTAATTCATTTTAATACCATATGTACAAATTTACAAGATTCAGTACTAAATTTCACATGCTTGGTATTTATTTTTTCATCAGAACTTGAACTATGAAATGAATCTCTATTCTTTAAAATTCCTTTTCTCTCTATAGATTCTTTTGATATATTCAACTAACTTGTATTTTTATTTATAGAGGCATCTCTTTAATGACAAAATTTTGATTCTTTTTAAACTGTTTTTAAATCACGTTATTTTAGTCTTAGAGCTGAACCAATCTGTTAATCCAGTGGAGGATCTAATTAAATTATTTAACTTGGAGGAGTTTATGTTGCTTTTTCAATATCTGCTTTAGTTTTTATATCCAATATACTTAGCCTTTCATAATTTTGATATAATGAAACAAAATTTGATTAAATTTCTAAGTCTAAGTCACTTAACATTAAATTAAAGATAATATAGTAATCTAAAAAAAGAGTTTTTAGAAGAGTAAATTAAATAATTCAAGATAGAATTGAATAATCTATAGCATTTAATTTATTGTCATAATTAAGATTTGAATGAATTCTTTAATGTCAAAAAATGAATAAATAAAATAATGTTGAATAATATATTTATTTATGTATGTTTTTCATGAAAACCATCTTTATTAAATTTCTAAAAATGATTTAGGTTGAATCTAGTAATCAAAATGGGTACAAATAATAAGTACCATACATATTGAAATTCCAACAAAAATGAGAGTCAATCCAACTTTTTTATTATAGAAGCTTGTCTATATTAGAAAATATTATACCAATATGATACTCCTACAGTAATCAACCAAAATACACTTGCAAAGATAAACCCTACAATTGCACCCAAATAAGGTCCAATATCTAATTATCCAAACATTGGAAATAAAGATAAAACCTAATTTATATAAATTTATTTTACCTAATAAATAGGTAGAAAGAACATCCAAATTCCTATAAACATTAAAAAAAATGCTAAAATTCTAATCTTATTTAAATCACTCTATTTAAATGTTAATTTAGATTCAAAAATATCTTCCAATGATATTAGACCTTCTTCAACATAATCTATATTCTATTCATCCTATGACCATTCATTCCATACAATCCATTAATAAACTTTCTAACACACTAATTCTTAACAACCCTTAATAAATGATTTTAATACTTATTTAGTTGAACTTGTACTACATCCCTAAGTAGATTCAAGAATTGGAATATGTATCTCTATTGGATTTAATTATATTCCAAATGATTTACATACAACAGTAAGCAATTATGAGGGAATATACCAATATGATATTCTTAAAGTTGTATTTCCAGTTATGTATATATTGTTTTAATCTATTTAATATTCAGGATATTGATAAGGATTTAGTTTAAGTTTTTACCAATTTGTTAATTTTTCAATTTAATTATCATTTAATTGATAACCTAATAAAAAACATTAACTATTTTAAATTTGTGATTTCCATTGTGATAATTGTATTTCATTATCTTCATCATCATACCATTATATATCACTTTCTCTTTCTATCCATTTTCTATCTCCTTAATTATTTATTAACAATTCTTCTACTTTTCTATAAAATCTAATTGCATTTTCAACTTTTATTCCTGTTAAAATATCAATCAAATGTTCTTCATTTATTAATGTTGATCCTTACAATATTATTAATGAATTATCATTTTTTAATTCAACTACATCTTTTAATATCATATGATGTTTATATTTTCTTGCTTCAGAATTTAAGAGTAATGGAAATGCTATAAAAACTGTTAATGCACCTAAAAAAAATTCAGTTTATGCTAGCCATTCAGGTTCATCAGTTACAATTTATTCTATTTTTGGTCTTTGATGTTATTCAAATACTTTTGTATCACTAATTGGTGATTATAGTTCAGCATAATCAGGTATTTCATTTTCTGCTTCACTCATTAAAAGAAGCATTTATTCATTTGTTCCATCACCTATTGTCTCTGCCATTGCTAACATTTATTCAATCAATGGATTCTATTCAAACAATAACACACCTGCTTAAAATATTAATTCCTATTAATATAAATCATCATTTATAAACGCATCTTCCAATATATCATTTCCTTAAAAATAGTCCTCTATTGTGGCCTTTAAAATATCCTCACTTTGTCCTATCCATAAAATGAATAATAAAAAACGGAACATATATAAAATTTTATATTATCATACCAATAATATTAAAAACTAGATAACCTTATTATTCTTGATTTTTACTTGCCTCTTATATTTTAATGAACTACGAATATTTTTGGCCTTAATATAAAGTTAAACCCCTTATATAAGGAGGATGTGTTTCAAGTTAAAACGAATAATTTCAAAAATTCAAAATCAATGTCATTAATCCCATGTTGGATTCTATAACATCAATCAATTCTGATATAGATGAACCATTAAAATTAATTCTATTATAGGCAGGCTTATCATAATAAGATCTTAAAAATCCAGCTTTTAATCCCTTGTTTCGTTATCTCTCTTAAGAACCATTAAAAAATACAACTAAATTAATTGCCAATAAATAATTAAGAAAGACATAAGCTTAAGCACCAAGTAGGCATTCTACAATCATGCCAAAGAAATCTATAATTATATCACAATTCAATTTTTAAATTTGTATGTATATGATCTTTATAATATTTATTAGATAATTAGAATGCTTAAAATAAGCCACCACCTAAATTATTAAATAGATTCCCTGCACTTGATCTCATTGAATAAATTTAAACACTCAATTCAAAATAAATTTAATAATAATAAGGTTTAGAGGATGATGTTGAACCTAAATTTGCTCTGAATAATGTAACTAATCAAAGAAATCTGGATTATAGTTTTTCAAGTCAATCTGATGAATCTGATTCTGATAGATTGGATTCATGAATTATCAACTTTTATTAACGATATATCAAATTTTATTTTTAAATCTATAAATGTATTTTCTGATTATAAAATTCTATGATGAATCAAGAATACTATTATTTATCAGAATAAATTTAATGTCTGATTAATGGATGGTAAATCATACATAAAAGGTATGTTTTACCTCATTTTAATCATTGTTAAATATTTTAATTTAATTTATTAAAATAATGAAAAAGAAAATCACTTAAAAATTAATAAAATGAGCCCTAAATCCATAAATCCTATATCAACTTAATATATAAAATATATTTTACTTTTATGAAATATTATTTTGTTTATTAAATAAAATGCCTTTAATATTATGAATATATGGCAATAATTAAATTTATGAAATACTATAATTCATTCTAAAGAAAAGAGAATAATTTTGTTCAAATAGATTCATTATATGATAATTCGATAAAATCAATTAATGAATTCAAAAATTTTCTGCTGATTATAAATGCTTATTTAATGATACTGCAATATTAAAAGTTAATGTAAAAATTGAGTAAAAGTATATTAAGTTTTGTTATATACATTTATACATAGTGAGTACTAAAATACATTAAAAAATGAAGAATCTAATTTTAAATGTAAGTAATCTTTTATGTTTATAATAATTATTTTATTTATATGAGAATGAATTGACGTATTTATTAATAAAATGAGCAAATAATATAAGACCATAAATGATTTGCCAGATTGGGTGAAAATGATTTCAGGTGGTATTGCAGGTAGTGTAGCAGAGGCTTTAACTATCCCAATAGACACAGCTGTATGTTAAATTATATAATTTGAATTTAGAAAGTACGTCTTTAAATCCAGAAACCAGATGCATAAGGGAAATATAAGTATCATGGATTATTACATACTACTCGTTAAATATACAGTTAAGAAGGAGTTTCTAGTTTATTTAAGGGTTTGACAGCAGGAATATAGAGATAATTAGTGTTTGCATCAATTCGTATTGGATTGTATGAACCTGTAATAATAAAAATGTATAATTAGATGCGTGATTTCTTCTGTGGTAAAGATTTTAAAGGAGATCCTCCATTGTCTAAAAAGATTTATGCAGGTCTAGCAACAGGTGGAATTGGTATATCAGTAGCAAGTCCATTTGATGTGATAAAGGTAAGATTCTAAGTAGATGGTAATCTACCAATAGAATAACGTAGATATAAAAACTTGACTGATGCTTATATTAAGATTTATAAACAAGATGGGTAATAATAATATTAAAATTATAAGGTTACATGGATTTTGGAGAGGTGTTACTCCAAATATTATTAGAAATGCTGTTATTAATTGTGCTGAATTAGCTACATTTGATCACATTAAAGAATCTCTAATAAAAACAGGATTATTTCATGAAGGATTAACATGTCATTTTGCTTCAAGTGCTTGTGCAGGTTTTATAGCTGCAGTTGTTGGATAACCAGTTGACTTAATTAAAACAAGAGTTATGAATTAAAATGTTGGTGTTTTAACTGTTGTTATGAACATAATAAAAAATGAAGTAACAATTTATATTTTATTAATAGAAATTGCTCAATCTATATAATGGATTTTCAGCAAATGCTGGTAGAATTATTACATGGAACATTTGTATGTTTGTTACATTAGGATAAGTTAGATTATTTGCATTAAATAATTTCTATAAGTCACCTGAATGATCAAATTATATATATATATATAAATCATTAAAAATAATTGAATACATTATCAATTTCTTATAATTAGAATAATTTTATCTAAATCCAATAATGATCAAGTTTTTGAGCTTTCTTCTTCTCTATTCTCTATTAAAATATCTATCCAGCATCCTTAAATTCATACTATATCTAATGTACAATAATAACAAAAGTTGTATTATAAAATCTAAAATACTTTTAGTTCTAACTCATACTTTAATATCCTTTTAAGTCATAAAAAAGGATTTTACTATGACCTTCTTAACAGGAATAGATGGAAATTTCAGGAAGATTTCAAATAGTTGACATTTTCCAATATCATTGTTCTCAATTTCTTACGAATTTGTAAATCTATTCCTTTTCTAAAATCTATATACAGTACTTCCAAATCTAATTAGTATTATAAAAAGAAATCAATGACTCCTTAAATTCTATTATCAATAAAAGTCATTTTCAAGTATAGTTTCTTTAATCTTAGTTAAATATATATTAGTTTTTCTATTAGTTAATTTTGATCATTCTTCTCTTCTAGTTAAATGCAAGTGATTTTATGTTTCATCAACTCAATTATTATTATTTCTTTAATTGATGAACCTAGATAATTCAATTAAATTTTTTCTTTTTTACTCTTTTTTTTCTAATTTTTTTGATTATTTATAATTAACTCATAAATTTAATAATATCAAAATTAATGTAATTTATCAACGATTTTCTTAATGTTTGAAAAACAATCAATATAGCAATCTTCCATTTCAAGAGCCATAGAATACTTACAATTGAATAAACAATCTTCAATTCCATTTTCATAAGTTTTAGTTATTTTTTTTAAATAGTTTTTTGGTGCCTCTCTTTTTGCTAATTATTTTTCAATGCATTCTTAATCCTAACATTTTGCAATTTCATGAACACTTTTAATATGTGCTTATTTGATTAAAGGATTATAATAAAATTGAATTAATTGAGACCATTTATCATTAATTTCTTATTCTAATTATTTAACTTGATTCTTTTTATCCATTAATAATAATTATTATGGATTATATATTGATAATTTTTACACTTGGGTATTTGGTGTAACATGCAGGAGCTTATTTTTTAATAAAATACATAAAAGAGAAAAAGAATATTTAAGGATTGGCTTTAGAAACCTAAGTGATGTATTTTATTGGAGCAGTGATGAGAATCCTATATATTAGTGATACTAGATTAATAAGTTTTTTTTTAATTTGGATTGAGTTGGTGATATCTATTGTTTTGAGTTGTTACATATTTTATCTTTTCCATAAATTTAGGTATACTAATAAATATTTTTAATCATAGACATACACGTTTCCATTAAATTTCAAATCCATACTTTTCATATTAAACAATCATACCAATATGTTTAATATTATCATTCTTTTTTCATCCTGGAACTAAGAATGAAAATTATTTTACAGTTTAAATGTTCGTATCTATGAGTATGTTTATTGAAGCTTGTGGCTTATTGCCTTAAATTTATGTGAGGTATATTTCTTTAGAGCACAAATAGCAAAAAAATCGGGTCAATTGAAGCTGATATTTCTAAATATCTTGTTGCTATGGGATTTTCTAGACTTCTTAGACTTACATTTTGGGTAATGAATTATTTAGCTGGAGAAAAGTTTGTCTATTTGATACTTGCAGATGTTATTCATACAGTCATAATTGCAGATATTATGTTTATTTGGGTTAAAGACAAATAGAAAGGGGCTATTTTAATATGAAACATTCTATTTAATAAAATCAATTGTACATCATCATTAAAATATATTAATAATTTCATGTTATTTTCATTTTAAACTATTGCATACAGTCAAACATAAAAAATATCATATTAATACAAATATATATATATCTATGACAATCATTCTATTGGTCGATTCAAAAATTTGACCAGCAAGAAAATTTATCACTAAATTAATTTAGAAGAAATTGCACTGAAATCTGGAGTTACAACACTAAAAAGAGATCCTTAATACATTGATTCACCATAAGGGTAGTTACTGCTATTATTTTTATGTTAGAATGATTGTATGCTTATTTTTTTTGAAGATTCTCCTTTATTCAAACCACTAATAAATTCAAAATCTTCTATAAATTTTATATCTTTATTTTAAGGAGATTATTCAATCTTTAATTCACTTTTATCAACTTCTTTTATATCATACTTCTTGCAAATCTATCCCATATACTTAATTTTAATTATATAAAATTAATACAATTAACACTTGAAGAAATTTCATTGCTTGCATTAATCAATTTTATAATTAAACCTATACCATAATTACAAAATTATATTAATCATTCCCATCATCAAATTGAATAATAACCAGAATCCCAAAAAGTTGTGAAATTGCTATTTTTTTGGACTATTGGAAACTCATAATTATTGGCTTTTATATGATTTTATTCAAATGAAACCTTATAATATTAATTACTTTATTACTTTTAAAATAGTTTCATTTTTTTGTGATTGATTTTCCCTTTAATTCTCCAAAAACTGCTAAATAAGTTTTTCATTATCTTCTTCTAAACTACAATTAGTTATATCCAATATATTTGTAAAAGCCAATAGCATTTCCAAAGTTGGAATATCTAAAGCTTTTAATTTAATGAATTTATTATTCTCAATAACTAAATAATCAAATCTATGTTTAAATTAAGTATTCTAAATTTGTTCATAACAATAAAATGCCTTTAAAATACGAAGATCTAAAAATAAATTAAATTCTATACTTGGTAACTTATTAATAAATGCATTAAAGACATCTTATTTAATTTAATTTGATTCATAAGTATTAAATAACAACTCCAATATTTCAAGATTTTTTATTGATTCTAAAAAGTTTAAGAAATTTTGATAATGTTCTTCTTTGAATGTAGGTCCCCACAATTTGATTTTTAAAACCTTTAATTATTCTAAAGGTGGAAATTCAGCTGTGGAAAAAAAGTTGTTTTTCTCTTAAATATGAATATTTAAAGAAACTAAATTTTTACTAAGTTCCAAAAAGCTTTTATCTTTAATTTCTATAACAGTTGATAAATCTAATTATTTTATATTCTCAAGAGGCAACCATTTTAGAGAATAAAATTTATTAATTCCTACTGAGATAATAGAAGTATATTTTTAGAAAAACTCTTTTAAATATGCTTATTAAGATTCTGAATCATTTAAGAAATCACTGAAAATAACCTAAGTTAAATATTAAGGATCTATTTCATCACATAATTTATGCTCTTCTGAAGAAATTGGAGGTAATTTTATTTTAGTTAATTAAGAAAATTGCCCTATTATAATTTTCTATAATTAAATACTGATAAAATTATTGAATTATTGAAAGGTTCCTTTTTACACATTTGTAAATAGAAAACTTTTATTAAACTATTAAACTACTGCATTAAATTGATGAGATACTAATCTCATTTATTAATACTATTAAGGTGTTAAAAATTGGAAAATCATATTTAATATTCCAGGTATCAAAGGAATGCTGGTAGATTATTCTTGATTCAATTTTACTTTTCTTGTTCCTTTACCAATATTATCTTCATCTTCTTCAAATTATTACATCAAAATAATATAATTAAAATTAATATGAAATTTATTTTCTTATTTTTATGTTACATCCTAAAAGTCATGAATATATTTAGTCATTTATTGTTTGAAATAAGTTCCCTTATATATTATTTAATAATTAGACTTAAGATCAATAATAAACCATTCATATTTTTAATAAGTCATACATTATAAATTTTTAATTACAACTAAAAGATATTCTTAATGAATTCATTTTTTAATATTTCATTCTATTTCTCTTGGAAAATATATATTATTTATTGCTTGTTCTCTAAAACTAGTGTTTATATAAATTTATTAAAAAATAAGTTGGATTCTAACCTAAAATTTAGTTGATAATCTTTTAGAACTTAATTTTAATTGTTTTTATACTTTATCTTTAAGATTAGAAATAATTTTTTAACTTTCAATATAATTTTAGTAAAACTATTAATTGAATGCTAAAGAATATTGTAATCATTTGATCAAAAACTTCTGTTATTATGATAAGTATATTAAAAAATGCATAGGTTTAGATCAAACTCAAATTTTTGTAATTGTTTTTATTTAAATATAAAAAAAAGAATAGTAAAACATTATTTTATTTTGCATCAAATAAATTTAATGAGTATTTCATTGTCTGATGTGAAATTATTCATAATAAAGAATAAGGAACCACTTTTAATAAATATCTCATAAAGCCAAGAATCTATTTTTCATCTCGAAACAATAGCAGGTACTATTTATTTATAATTAAGAGTAATCTCCAATTAATATTCATTTACCTTTAATAGATTCAAAGAATTCAATAATAATAAATGTCAATGATAAAATTGCAAAATTTGATCCTAACTAATTAGATAACTTCCAATAATATAAGTTACTACTTAAAAATGGATATTTGATAGAAGGAAAGATTACATCAAATGATGATTATGCTTTAACTTTTAAGGTTAGACATATTACAAATCCAATAACAAATAATTCTTCAATGTTATCAAATTCTCAATCAGTTAAAAACAAACTATATTCAATAGAAAGAGGAACATCTGAATATTAATCTGCTTCTTCTTTAAGACATAGTATACCAGAAGTATCATTTAGTTAAGCTTAAAGGTTATGAAATTAAAACTTATGATAGGTTTGCAAGAGAATCACTTAATACAACTGAATATAATTATAATTTACCTGGTTCTATTGGTAGTGGAAGAAAAACTAGTTTTGGTTATGGATCTAAATAAATTTCACATGGATATGTTTAAAGAAATGCAGAATAAAATCCATCCCCAAATGCATATTTCTTAGGAAACTCAAATTTGTTTCATAAATAAAATAAAACCAATTTACCTTAAGATGATAGATGGAAGAATTCAAATACTATAACCTTACCTGGTCCAGCTTCTTATGAAACATCAAATACAATAGGAATTGATAAAGTATTATTTATTAGAAATTACATTATAGCCTTCAGCAACAATTGGGATTAGATTTAAACCTATAACTAGCTTTAAGGATTGTGTACCTGCTCCTAATTCATATGAAATTAATAATAAACTTATTGAGCAATCTAGGTTTAATAACATATCTTTTGGGTATGGATAAAAATTAGATTTTACAAAAAATAATCAAACTCCAGGACCAGGAGCTTATGATCATTAATCTGTCTTTAAAAGAAATACAAAATAAATTTTTAAGAATATTAACTAAAATTAGTATAATGATTGATTAGAATTAGAGAATTATATAAAATTTATTTATTTATTTTATAAAATTAAATCTGTTTCAACTAAAAGGCTTTAAATATTAAAGGAATTTTTATCATAAATTTTATTAGTTAGATTTATTAATCTTTCAAATGATTATAAAATTCGATTTCATCCTATTTATTCCATTAGACATTTTATTAGTCAATTATACAAAACATCTAGATTTATCAAATTTAAATATTCTGGAAGAAATTCAATTCACTAAATATATAGAATTACTATAATACTATTATGAATTATTTTATAAAACATTAATCTTAAAAAATAAATATTATAATTTTATGATAGAAGTGTTTTTAAATAGTATTAAAACAATTTTAATTTTAAAGATTTACATAGAAAATTCGAAATCATTTGGATACAGATGAACAAGTTTATAATCATATTAAATTAAATGTAAATATAAAATTAACGAAAACTAAGAAAAATAAAGTAATTTTAAATTATAGCTCATTTAAATGGAATTATGTAATTTAAAATCAGGCCCTTTATTGATGTTACATAAAGTAGTATAAAATTTCTTAAATATTGAATAAATTATTAAAGTACCAGAATAATTCTAGTTGTTTGAAATGAAATAGTTCAAAAATTGATTATTGTTCTTTTTAGAATTTATTAAAAATCATTTAATAAAGGAGTTGTGCATCTAAAAAGATAACTAGCAATTTCTAAACATATATTGACAGAATAATTAATAAATCAAAGACTAAAGAAATAATACTTGAAACAGAACCTTATACATTCTAAAGCTTTTTAAAAACCTTAAATTCAAATTGAGAGGAAATTAAGAATATGAAAGAAGATTTTTGTCTAGAACTAAAATATTTAAATTTAAAGGCTACTTAAATCTTTAATCCATAATTTATTTTATTAACTTGGAGATAAAAGTTAAATGAAAACTTGAATTGTATAAAATTCAAAATAAGTTTTTTTTTTTATTAAAATTTATTTAGAGCTTTTTTTCTTTCTAATATTTAAAATTAAGTGAAGTACAAAAATTCTATTAAATCATTATTGTTTAATTAGATAATTATTTGAAATGATTATGAATTATTGAATTAAAGTTTGTGAGACATGATTTAGAAATTATGATAAATAATAAAAGTCTGTATTGTTTTTTGTTAAAAAATATTTGATTATTAATATAAAGGAAAATAGATAACAGTTTTATAAATTATATATAAATAAAATAGAAAGTAATGGATAAATTTGGTACATCGTTTTAATCTGTTGAGGGACCAACAGATGGACCTAATTTAAAAAATGCTAGATTAGTGGGTGTATATTTTGGAGCCTAATGGAGTTAACCATGTTAAAGATTCACACCTTCATTGAGTAAATAATTAAATTATTGAATAGTTGAATTCTATACAAAAGTAAATGAAGACATTCAATAATTTGAAATAATATATATTGGTATGGATGAGAATGAAGAGAAGTATAAAGAAACAGTCAGTGAAATGCCTTGGTTATTTTATGATTTTAAAGAATTTGTAAAATATTAAGTGTATTATGAATATAAAAAGCATATATAAGGTAAAAATATAAATTTATGTAGGTGTGCCATGTTTACTTATTTTAAATCCAAATAATGGATTAGTGATTACAAATCAAGGCAGGGGAACAATAGAAAAAGAAGGTTAAGGAGCTTTTGAGAAATGGTTAACACAGATGAGCTTTAAATGATATATATATAAAAATAATATTTTTGGATACTATTGTATAATTGTTTTCAACATTTCAAATAATCTTCTAAGCTTTCTTAAGCGTATTATCCTGTTTTGGCAATGTCAAATACTTTCTAAAATTGCTAATGACACTTCTTATTCCTTTGACTTAAAAAATAGTAAAGATTTAATACACTCCCAAAAAGCAATCAATGAATGATATAGCACTATCTTTGCAAAATTCAGGTTCTACATGCTTTCCTAATGGTGTTGATCTACATAGATTAAAACTTTTTCTTTGATCTTTACATACTTGATTACCTTTAATGGAATAGATCATCAATTATAAGCTAAATGATATATTAATTGATAACTCAACCTCTCATCATTAGTATATGTATACAAATCTTTTGCAATAGCTTGTGAAGCCATATTTATTATTATAAAATATAAATTAAATAAATATATCAATATTTATATATATTATAACAAGTATTATTTACAATGATCAAACTATAATTGATAAGTATTCAAATATGAATCAAATTATTTTAGTTCATATTTTACTTAATACAAAAAAGCATTCGAAAAAATAGAAAATACTTTATTTAGAATGTAAAATACTTAGCTTGATCAATTCTGTTAAGAACATTAAGACCCAATCGTTGCTGTAGTTTATAATGATCAAAACACTATCAGTTAAACATTATGTCTTAAATGTTGGCCATAAAATTATAATAAAAAGGTAGTATTGCTTAAAGATGCATTGGATTTATCTAAAAATGTTAAAGAAGAGTATCAATAATTTGATTTTGACAATAAACTAAATATCTAAAAACTTTACTAACTTTTGTAAGAACTTGAAAAACTTAAAATTTTTATGAAACAATCAATCAATGAATAAATTAAAGCTATTGATAATTGGATAAAAAGTATATCTGATCAAGAACTATAAGCAAAAACTTCTCTTTCCAATAATAATTTTGATCTTTATATTTCATTATAGAATGCTTAATAATAATCTTAAGAATCATAAAAATAAAAAGAAAAATATATCTCATTTATTTAACAATAACTAATTTTATTAAAAGAAAATGAATATTTCAATTAAATCAATGAATTACTTAGACTAATCAAAGAAGAAAAATTTGATTCTCCATTAAATTAAAATTCCCAATAATTATCTTAAATTGATAATATGTAACATAAACTAATTTGTTAATAACATGAAAATGAAATTGTTATGGTAGATTTAAATTAAAAACCTAAAATTCCTTAAAGATTGGCATGTGTTTATTGTATATAAACTTATCCAACTAAATACACTGCAATAAAAGTTGCATAAAAAATATGGTAAAAATAAGAAACATAAAAAATTCAAAATCTAAATAAATATTCAGAATCAATTGATTAAATAAATCTTTCTTTGAATACTATAAAAACTACTTATAACAATATTATTCAAAATGTAACAAGCTCTTTAACTTAAAATAAAAAAGAGATTAAAGAAAAAGCTGAAAAAGACTTAAAAAATCTTAATTTTGATTGGGTATCATTAAAAAATGATGATGTTACAGAATTAGCAGAAAAAATAAGTCATAATGAAAGTCAAGATAGTGAAAAATCAAAAATTTATTCAGATATTATAAAAATTAATTAAGAAATTAATCATAAAATAAATGAAGCATTTATTAAAATGAAATAATCTTAAAACTCTGGTTAAAACTTAATAAAATAATTAATTAATTAAGAATATTTTAATTAAAAAGAAGATTAAACAAATGGCATTAGCCAAAATAATTCAAGCAAAGAAATTTCTTGCACAACAAAAAAGAATTAACTTCAAACAATTATTTAAGATTATAATGATAAAGTTCAATAGCAATCAGAGTACAATCAATTGATTAAAAATAAAAAATAAGAAATAAAAATTAATAAAAAAACAATTAATGAATAAAATCCTGTAAAAAAAAATCAAGAAAGTAAAGGTTCAAATTTACTTGAATTACAATAACAATCAGATGAAGCCTTAAAAAATCAAAATAATTAACAGAAAATTAAAAAGTTACACTTTGCTTTAAATTCCAACTCAATAGATTAAGAAAAAACTTGCCGATCATTCTCGTTTAGTACAGATTCCACGTATCTAATAGCTGCTTGTGAGAAATCAATAAAACTTTATAAATTTAATAGAGGAAGCTTAATTTTGTTAAGAATATTAAATGGACATCCAAGTATGATAGTAACTTGCATATTTTTTAAAAATTAAAATAGATTTATATCTGGATGTTATGATGGTTCAATGTTAATTTGGTCAAATTCAAAAGAAAATGAATAAGAATGGAAATGTGAATAAATATTAAATGACCACAAAAATTATCTTGGACAAATAATATATAGTAAAATTGATAATATGATTATTTCATGTAGTAATGATAATACTATAAAGTTTTGGAAGTAAACTTAAAATTGGAAATTATATTAAACTTTGAATGGTCATAATTAATATATATGTAGTATTAGCTTAAATGATTCAGAAAATAAATTGATATCAGGAGCCTATGATGATTAAATTTTAGTAAGTGAACCATAAGGAGATGATAAACGATGGGTTATAATATAAGTTATTAAAGTAGAATGGGGAAGAAGATTATGTTTCATTACAGATAATATATTTACCTTTTAACCTTGTAAAAAAGATTTAATGTATATATATTAACAAAAGGATTCTTAAAGTGATTTTTATAAATCAAAGGAAATCGCTGTTAAGTCTAACGGATAAAGTTGCCTTTGGCTATTCCCTTAATAATTTTCTAAAAAAAAAAGTTTATTAGTAAACAAAAATTGCCATACCATTAATATCATCAGATGGAAAAGAAAAAACAAATTTATTACCGATTAAACTATAAATTTTGGGACAAATGAAATTTATGGGTCAATTTCAGATGATGGCCTTTGGCTTATAACATGGGATAGTTCATCAAAATAAATATAAATTAGAGGTCTGAAATGAAAATATTATATAGGAATATAAATCAATGTCTATCTTTATTTAATTCATCTTATATTGATTAAAAATATATAAATATATATCTATAGTAAAGATTAATGTGAAATAAATAGTTTAAAGAAATTTTGAATTTTTATGTAAAAAAATGTAATGTTAAAGGACCTATATCGTTCAAATATATTAGATATGTTTAAGTTAAAATTTATAGAAACTAAAGCAATTGAATAAATAATTTCAAGAATTTCCTCTATTTATAAAAATATAAGTTATAAGAAATTTTAATAAAATTTTTTTTCTAATATTTGATTTTATTAGAATTTCATTTCAAACAGATTCCTTTTTGAGAATTATTTTAATGTAATAGAATTAATGTATAATAGTATTCATTAATTTAAATTCATAAGAGACAGAATAGATTAAAAATAAAAATGATTAGAAGTAATAGATAATTAAATTAAAATTACATGAATTTATTTAACCTTTTAAATTATGATTTAATATATTCTCCAATATTATAATCAATATAGAAAAACCTTTATTGAAAAATATAAAAAAGTTAAAAAAGTAATTAATAATAATTTTCATGATTTTAAAGATCTATAAGGTCTATCATTTTCTAAAGTTTAAGAATTCTTTTAAAACGGAATTTTATGAAAGATGTATTTTTATATTGACAAGTAACACATTAAAATAACAGAAAATAAAAAGTAATAATTCTCCATTATCATGGCAGGCATAATATTATCAAAAGATTATCCTATAACCATAATTATTGAAATGCAATGAACAATAATCAATGAAATATAATAGGCTATCGTCATATATTTCCTAAATAATAGATTGAATTTATTACATGACTTTTTATATGGCTTAACTCGAAATCTAAATCTTACAACAAGTTTAAATAACTATTATTAAGATTAAAATTGATAAGATAAGCCAATCTATAAGATTTAAAATCTTGAGACTTTAATCAAGAGTAAATATTTTGATTCTATATTCACATTATACAAAATCAAAGATATAAAGAGGCATTGATAAAATTGGAAATATACAACTAAATACAACCGTATTTAATAAGGGAACTTTGACTTTGATTGGTAAAGTATTAGTGAATTCTTAATATATTATATTTAAGATTCCAACTTTGCATGCTATGTAAGCTATTTAATTAATATAAATGAGCGAGTGATCTAATCCGTATAGTTTACAAAAGCTTTATTAATATCTAATTAATTCAATCAGATTTAAAGTGATATTAGTACCAATAATTATTATATAATATGTAAACAATAGTTTCCATCTACAATCAATTGATTTATCATTAAAATATTCAGAAATGTTTACACTAGAATAATAAATTAGTTATTATTCAAATTTACTCTAATCTTAGGTTCTTGATTTTAGTTTTTTCAATCTTTGATCATTATTCTAAACTAAAGACTTACATTATTCCGTTTATTCTTGCAAATTATGTATTTCATACAATTACGAGTTTGAAATATCAATTATTTCTCTTATTGTAGGAAGTCTATCCTAAAATTCTTAAGGTATTCTAAAATTATTTTTTTATGTTATTAATCAAATACCTCTACAATTTCTCTATTCTTTTTTATTCGCATTATTTTAACTTCTCTTTAAACCTTTACTCTTCCAAAATCTAATCTAATTAAGTTTCTGATTGAGTTTATTGAAATTCTAGTTCAATAACAGTTTCATTTTCTGGACTTGTTTTTTGTGCAACATTATCAAAGCTACTTTATTCATTATTTTTCATATAGAAATTTTTAGATATTTTAGAAAATTAATAAACAATTGGGAATTATTATAATTAAAACAACATAATACATATAATTGATCTTAAATATATCAAAAGACCATCATTTATCTCTTATAGCTATTATAAAAATTCTCAAAAAATTTATTATTTTAATTTATAGATGCTAATTTTTGTTAAAACCTCTAATAAATTTGTCTAAAAATTAAATGATTATGTATAATAAATACAAATATTATCATAATCTTTAGAAATTTGGAGAAATAAAATTTAAGATAAAAGTAAATTACATTAAGAAAAAAGACTTATTTGTAGAATTATTTTTTGAAATAATGAAATAGTGATTTATATATTTAAAATATTTTCTCTTTTTTTATATATTATTTTAATATAATTCTTAAAATTAATTAATAAATTAACGTTCCTTGATGATTAATTTAAAAAAAAGATGGAATAATATTTCATCAATTTAATATATAGAATTTAATAACAGTGGTTAAAATACTAATTAATTATTATCTATAATGAGCAAAATAAAATAATAATTTCTTGATACATCTAAAAATTAAAATTAAAGATTTTAAGTATATTTAATGAAATGCTCATATAATGAAATGGATAAAATACTTCCTTAAACTAAAACTAATGGAGCTTTATGGTTAGGAAATATAAAGGCAGCTTAAAATATTGTTAAACTAAATTAAGAAAACATCAAAACTGTTCTTACTATAGCCAATAATACAAATTTATCTTACCCACATCATCAAAGAATGAGACACAAAGTAATTAAGAATATAATAGGAAGGTTTTTGAAATAAAAGATAATGATAGCGTGAACATACTTGATTTAATAGAAATTACAAATAAATACATAGAAGAGTCACTTTTATGTGGTTCTGTCTTAGTTCATTGTATGGCTGGAATTTCTCGTTCAGTTTCCTGTATAATAGCCTATTTAATTTACAAAAATAATTGGGATTATGATTAAACTTTTAAGTTTGTGAAATAGAAACGAAACTGCTCTAAACCTAATGAAGGCTTTAAGAAATAATTAATTAAATATGCTGAATAAAAATTATTATTAAAAAGTTAGATTGTAAATAACTAATAAAAATTATTAAATGATCTAAGAAGGAAATTATATTAATCTCCTTACGAAATTGCAAAATAAACTTAGTTAGTAAAGTCGCCTAATAAATTCATTACTTCACTAAATTATAATTCAACTCCTGAAGAAAAATAACAATATCGTTAATAAATGGCATAAAAACTATTTTTGAGTACCTTTTTTAAAGATCATTTACATAAATATTCTAATTCCATAATATAAAATAAAACTAAAAATGGGCAAACTTTAATAAAAAGGGCTTAACTAAGTATGTATCATTCAATTTAAGAATCTGACATTGGGTATTTATCTGATAGATACAAAAATGCTTGACTTTTTGATTTATTTATATTAAATAATTAATGTAAATATTATTGGATTTTAAATTGGTAATCAATATAAAAGATTCTTAAAATTAATCAATTCAAGATGATAGTAAATAATGATAGTATAAAATAATAAAAGTTTTGGATTTAAATTTTCAGATTGGAATATCAGATAAATATAATAATTTTATTCTATTCAAGATATAAGAATTAATCATGTATCATTAATCTAATGAATTCATAAATTAAAATTACGAATTTTACTTTTAATTATCTCGTTTTTTTTTCCAATCATCTACTATATTATTCGAATTTAAAAATTCTAATTTATGATTCTAAAAAATAATTCAAATAAATACAAATTGCAATTGTCTAATTTATTCATTTTGAGAATAATCATAATTATATTGTTATGTTTACCAATAGAGATTTTGAAATTAAGGTGAATTGGGATCTAAATTAGGATTATAATTCCATTGAGGAGATGTAAATGTATTATAATAAAATTGGAATTGCTATGTAGGTGTATAGGTCATTGGAGTTTGATTAATCATAGAGATTGGTGATATAACATTATAATTTGATTCGAATTGTTTCCTTTATTATTCCAACATGATTTAATATTAATATTATTAGAATTCTTCCATTTAATTTCTATAACTTTAAAAGATCAGTTAATTCTATTTTTACTATTAAAGTTCAAATTATTATTATTATTATATAAATGGTTATAGAACATGATTTAAAGTACTTGGTGTTTAAGTACTATTGATGTCAGAAATTTAAGGTTTTTATTGTTATAAAGGTGTTTATTATGGCTAATCTAGTAGATGATGGTCATTGATAAGATTATGATTTTATACAATAATTTTATTTCGATTATTTTCTTTTATATTAATTGAATTATTTTAAATAATGAATTCTTAATTATTTGATTCTTACTAATTTTTTATTGTTCTAAGATGAGTCTTCATTAATTTTTTTTTTTTAGTTGTTTTTCTAGGTAGTTTAGCTTAAATACGTGGTTTTCTCATTTTATACTTAAAATCTTGAAAAGATTGATTTTTTTAAATGATTGGGTCTCCTGTTATTTAATCATAAGAAACTCCTAATTTTTTTAAATAATCTTATATGGCTTAGAGTTCATCTAAATCATCATCATCTTCATCATTATATATCTTCTACATTAAACTTTTAAATCTTATAATATATAAAAGAGAAATACCTATTTTTAACTTGATTTTCAGTTCTTCCTTATAAAATAGTGGAAAGTTAAGACCATCTTTTTCCATTCTTAAGTATATTAGTCAATAATTAAATATCTTCTCTCTATGTCCAATTAGATCTGCAATATAAAATATTGATATTTACTTATTCAATTTAGGGTTTAAATAATTCATCCATCTTTCTCTAACTTATTTAGGAGTTCGTATAAATTGACCACCATTTTAATTATATAATTCTAAAGCAATAAATGTCCAAATATGTTTCTCATCTTATTCACTATATTATTATATATATTTTTACTTCATCAATGAACTGATTATCTCATCCTCTTTAGGATCCCAATTAATACTCTTTTATACTGGATTTATTAGTGTAATCCATCTTTATTTTAGAATTGTTTCATCGGTTTTTAAGATACTCGCCAGCTCAACCCATTCTTCTTTTTTTGGATTTATATTTTTTTCATTTTTCAATTAAAAATACTTACTTAACACCCAGATGAACATCATTTTACATTATTTATCCCATTTTCTCTTTATACCCTATTTTTCCTCTTAAACCAATCTGTTGTTTATATATATATTTCTTACTTTTATACAATACCATCAAAATACTTGCTGTTAGGATTTATGAAATTTTCTTTTATTTTAAATTGATTTCTAAAATAAAAAGGAATTTCGGCATTTTTTATTGTGCCAAGTTATGAAATGAATTCTTGAAACATATATTAATAATAATTTAATTTTGAAATACTGGCAAAATTCGTTAGAAAGTACAATTTTACTTTTAAATCTGAATAGATTCTAATTAACAACATTGTTGGTAGCTTAATAATAATGAAATTTATGCATTAAATTAATGTTAAATGTATAATAAAAGTTATTTTAATTTTTTAATATATAAATGTCATAATTAATATAAACATATATAATAAGTCCAGTTTATAATTTACTGATATTATAGGTTTTAATAAATTATAGCTATAAAGTACTAAATCAACTCAAATATGAAAATCCTGCAAGTGTAAAGGGGCTATTTAAAATTTTGTTGAATTTTGAATTTGATTTATTATTATTCTTTATTGAATTTTATAATACAGTTTTTGCATCCATAGGAGAAGTTCCTATTTTCCTTTATGCAATAACATTAGGTTGCTCTCGTCCATGTTTTCTTGATAGGTTTATTTCTTCATTCAGAAATGAATTTTTAGGTGGAGAATTTTAAGATCGAGAATTGTTCAGTTAAGAAGTATTAATAGATCTAGAATTTCGATTCTTCAATTCTCTTATTTTATCTTAAATATCACTTAATTTTATAACTAATAATACCTTGTAATTGAAACTCCATATTCTAGTTTTATTGGACTGGCATAATTTTAAACTAATGATACTTAAAGAGGTTATAAAATGTTGAAAAATCTTCTAAAATCCTAATAAAATTAAGCTTATTTTTTAGAGAGTTATTGCAATTCATCTTACATTTATTTAAATAAGTTCTTAAATTAGTAATAATAAAATTTACAAGCTATTTGATTGATAATTATTTATCTTAAACTATACTATCAACTGTTGCCACTAACTATTTGAATGTATAAATATCTTAACTATCTTAACTTTTCAAAATTGCTTTTATTTCATTCTTTAAAATAGTCATTTCTTCAATATCTAATTACTTAAAATAAATAAAATCTTAACCTAAACTTCTTCATCTTTTGTTAGTTCATTCAAATAAGTAGTTTCAACATTAGATAATTAATTATAAAATTCTTCTTATTTTGAATCCAGGTACATATGTAAAGCTTTAAACTCTGTGTCTATATCATTTTTTTGTGATTGACATTTGTCCTTCACTTACTATTTATCGAACTGAATGTTTCTGATCTTATCTAAGCTTCTTTCAACTGCCAAATTTAGTTTTTCTAAACAAGGATGACCTTTAATAGTAAGATCTTCTTGAAGTGGTTAAACATATTATCGCTTCTCTGTTGTAAAAGGTTTAACAATATAATTAGGTTATGTTTTTGAAGCTTATGATTATGATTCTTTAGTTTATTATACTGCTTATAATGATTCATGATCTAAAACTGTAGGAGCATTACATTTTAGACAAGGAACACCACTATCATCTTTATGAATAGCATGTGAAATGCAATATAAACAAAATTTATGTTCACAATCAAGAATAACAAACTATGTTGGAACGCTTTAACATTATTCGCATATGACTTCATCTTCTTCTGACATTTTTATGTTTTTTTTTATCAATAATTTTATTTATTAACAACTTTTAATTTTAAATTATAATAAATATTATGCAAAATCAATACTTTGTGAAAGGATTAGGGTTTGGTCAAAAGTAAGACCCTTAAGAGACTAGATCATATGGTCGTATTAAAAAGAATCCGTATTCATCGTATTACAATAGAAGTTATAATATAGTAAGAAAATCAATTCAAATTTAGAATTCGCATGATATTAGAATGTGTCAAAATAGAATCAAAAAAATGATAGTTATTCTCAACAATGCAATTAAGAATTAAGCTGCAACTGTATTCAAATATTTAAGGTAGTTTTGTCATCTTCAATTAGTATTTATGTACAAAATAAAGAAGAATAAGAAATGAAAGCCTAACTTAAAATTATTCAAGAAGGTTTATTAAAATTTCAACATGCGATATCATTATACAATTAAAGATTAAAATACACAGAATTCTTTCGTTTAGCAAGAATAGATGTAATGTCACATTTGAAAAAATAATTGATAAATCAGCATTCTTTGTAATATCAACCACTTACACATGAAATATTTAGAAAATGGCTTAGTAAGACTTTTGAATTGAAATTAAATAGGCTTTTAAAATAATAGCAATAGAATATGATAGGTTTTTATAAATTTACTTTGTGCAAAATTCTAACAAAATAAGAGTCATTAAAAGTATGGAGTTTTAATAAATTAAGAATTACTCAAAGAAAATCTAAATTAAATAGATTAATAATTAACTTAGGTTTATAGAATTTAAGATTAAATCTATTTAATGCTGAGGAAGCAACATACTAATATTTAAGAAAACCTCATTATTTAGAATCAATTAAAGCATTTTAAAAATTAAAGAATTACAAATATTTTAATTCAAATCAACATTACTTTATATTAATTTTATTTAATGCAATCAGTAACAACATTAAATTAAATAAGATAGCAAATTAAATGTATTGAAAACTTTGTTCTTATCATCCATTAAAAGAATTGATCAAGATTTTGACTTTAAAGTACCAAATCAATAAATACAATAATTCAATATAGAATTAGCAAGATAATTAGTTCATTGTAAATTAGAACACTAAAAGATATAATAAAGATTTTTTTAAAAATCAAATTTACATTCCTATATAGTAATATTTCAATCAATTAAAACAATAATCAATAAATAAATGATGCCAATTTTTTATTAGATTGGAAGATTGTAAAAATAAATTTAAGCACAAGATATAGATGTTTAAGATGGAATTACAAAGAATTTAGTATATTTTATTCATAATTCAAGAGCATTTTAGTTGGAAAATAAAATTTGAAAATAAAAACCAAGAATATAAAAACATAAAAGTTAGATATTCATCTAAGATTGGAATAAATTTTGAGAAGAAATTATATGCATGAAAGAAAATCATTAATGAAAGCCATTACAAAATGGTAAATTAATATTACTTTTCCTGTTTAATTGTATCATGATTATGAAATGAGATTAAGAGTATTGTAAAATGAAAAGGTGAACTATTAAAATAAGATTAGGTAGTAATAATGATAGATCTAGAATAATTGGAAATTTTGAATAATGAATTGATGACTTCAATTAATTAAAATACAGATGAGTCAAATCCTAATACATCTAAGAAGAATGATCATAAATAAATTTAAATTCAAAAATTTGATATTCAAGATAATTTGACATCTCAAAAAGAAATTAAAATAGCATTTGAATATGTTGATTATCTAAAAGAAGATGTATAATTATTTTAAGATTAATATAGAATATCAATTTAAAAAAGCAAGTTTAGCTGAATGAATAACTCATGATAAATGAAATTTTAAAATTAGAATAAGAACTTTAAGTAAAATATATTTTAATATATAAAAGGAACTCAAAAATTAAATAACTAACTGAATTATTTAGTTTTATTTTCTTATTCATTTATTTATATCTAAATTTTAATTTAAACAACAAACACCTTTAAAATTAATAAAATAATTAATTAAAAAATGTATAGGTATTACTAAAACCAATACTTTGATCAGATTTAAATATTAATTTTTTCATAAATATCCCTCAAACTTGAATTGCTTAAGAATATTTTTTATAACTTCAACAAAATACAATTATTATTGAAATAGTTTAATCCATATTTAAATATCATTCTATCATAAAATAATAGGAAACATATTTCATCATAAAAACCTTTCGAAATTGAGATAGAAATGATTAAAATAAGATGTGAATCTTTAGAAATTTAAGTCAAACTAAAGTGATAAAGAATGAGTAAGATAATAACTTAAGTCAAGACATAAATACTATTTTATTATTGAACATCAAATGAATAAAAATTATAAATTAAAAGCTCTCTTTGTCATCTTAATTATTTTTCAATCCTTTTTGACAGAAATTAATTATATAAAAAAAGTTCTTTTTGTAAATTAAGTTCATCTAAAAATAATTGATGATAATTTTTTCTTTTAACCTAAACAATATGTCTTTATAGACAGTAGATTTTGATGTTAGAAAATGAATTTTTTGAAAATTTGATTTGATCGCGATTCATTAATTTTTATGTAATAAAACATTATATATTAAAAAGAATAGATAACAAAGGGTTAGTCTATATTTGGCAGAATTTGTTCTTGTTTAAGCTTCCTAAAATCAAAATAACACCAACAAAGTTAACAGAAATATTAATTAGGGATTGATAGTCCTAAATCTTCGTTTTTAGTACTTTTTCAAAATTATTTTGTTAGGGACAAAGAAAACTTATAGTTCTAGATTTAGATGAAACCTTAGTACATAGTTAGTTCTAAATAATAAATGGTTATGATTTTTCAATTGATGTAATATACAATTTAAATATCAGATAATTGTCCAAGGATAATTATTTAAAGTTTATGTAACAATAAGACCAGGAGTTTATGAGTTTTTAGAATAACTTAATGAATTTTATGATATAGTTTTTTGGACAGCAAGTCTATAAGAATATGCTGATCCTGTAATGGATTTTATTGATCCCAACAATAGAGCTATTGGTAGAATGTATAGAGATAGTTGTACACCCTTACAAATTGGATTAACAAAAAATCTAAATAAATTAGGCAGAGATCTTAAAGACATTATTATTGTAGATGTAATCTATAAGATTTATCAAAAGAATTCTGTTCTGTCATTTCACTTAAACCCAGAAAATGGATTTTAAATTAAAGATTTTTTCTTTGATAAGTAAGACCAAGAATTAGAATTAAACTTGCCTTTTTTTATTTGGTTATCTTAAGTATTATTATGTAAATAAAAAAGTTACCAGATGTACGTCCAGTTTCTAATTTATATTAATAGTTTAAAAGTACTTCATCTGATGTTTTGAATATGAGAAATGCTAATACTATCAACAGTTAATTTTAATAAAATCAACAAAAATTTTATAACCTTTCAAGATCATTATCCCTTTAAAAGGCAAGGATGATGCTCTCTAATTAAGTTATAAGAACATTAACCTTATCAAAAGAAGAAGAGCAAGATGAATTAGATGAAAATAAAATTAGAGAGAAACTAGGATTAAATAAGCCAAAATTTGATTAAGAAATTTAATAAAAAAAATAAACAGAAGAAGATGATAAAGAAACTTATGAAATGGCAAATTGAAACACTAACATCTGAATTTTATTTTTAATCTATTTCTATAATTTTTTATCCCTTTATTATAATTTTTTGCTTCATCCAATACAGGGATAAAAAGAATATTGATTATTATTATGATAAAGTTCTGTTTTTTTAATCTTATTATCTTCTTTTGAAGATTATATTTATTTAAAATTATGATGATCTAAAAAGCCTGTTTGTTTTGATAATCAAATATTCAAAATGTATGAATTGGAATCAACAATTTGTGTTTGAAAACATAATGCTTATAAAATATAGCAAAAATAAGCAAGTTAAACTCATTATCTTTTAAGATAGGCTTCTAAAGTAAAATCTTCATATTCAATATCAGCTATTTCAAATCCAGTAAAGCAAACATCATTCTAATTTATTGGTATTTATTTGAGTTTTCTTTATGTTGTACTTTAATTCTGTTGTCTTTTTAAAAAATTAGTTTATTTGGAACATATTGACAATTGCAAATGATTGAAATCTGTTTTGACTGCTTTAGCCATTATTTTAGGAGATTATGTAGAAAGCTTAGGTGAAATCCTAACAGCTTTTTAATGTTAGATGGATTAATCAAAAGAATTTGCTCTTTATCTTTCTGCAAATAATTTAGGCAATACAACTTTACAAGGCTTTTATCTTGTTGGATCTTGTTAAATATAAAAATACTTAATGATAAAGATTGTTTAGCTCTATAGGTTAACTATATTATGCAAGACATTATAATTAAATATGCTCTGATAAATAATATCAATAATACACCTTTTTGGTCATAACATTATAAAAATCTTCAAATGTCATTTTTCCATCTTAGTTAGAGTCAGTCTTTCTAAAAATCTTTATTTAAGATTTATTCTATTACTTCAGCTAATACTTCTTCATCTATTTCTTCTTTTAGATCTTTATAGACAACTTATCTTAAATCTTGTAAAGTAATGTATCCTTTATTACTTTTATCATATTTTCTATAAATTCTTCTTATTGTATCCTTTTTCTCTGACTTTGATTAATCTTATCTTATAATTGCCAAGAAATATTCAAATGTTATACCACCTAATTCATCTTCATCCATTTCTGAAAATATTTCTGTATTAAAATATGATTTCAGTACCATATAATGTTTCTTTAGTTGGATGATACCCAAAACTAATCAATAATTATTCTAAATCATTTGGAGATAAGATTCCAGCTTATTCTGAATCATAGTAATCAAAAACTTACTTTATATCAATAATATCTGTTTCCTATAAAATAATAAAGTTATGATACACCCTGAGATCTTTGGTTACAAACTTTTTGGGATTGAATTCATTTGGATTATTTCCTTTTGCTGAATTTCTTTCTTTAGCAATTTGTTTTCTAATCTATTATCCCTAATTTGTAATATTAATATGAGATTAATTAATTTTCATTCTTGCTCTAATTGATTCTTTATTTTATAGAGTTCGATTATTTGAAATATTTGATTCCTCTAATTATGTATGTGGACTATCTCTTATAGTAGACTATGCCGTTTTAAAAGGACTCTATTAATATAGTAAAATGCAGTTACTTAAACAGTTCTTGGGTTTTTCATTCAATTTATTATAAATTATAAAAAACTTAAAATTCTGTTGGCATTTCTTATAATTATTTTAATGAAATAAATTATATTTTTTATATTCTTAATCCTAATATGTAGTTGCTAATAATAAGATAGTGAGTCAGATTTATTTATAACAACTTAACAAATTAAATTAAAAAAAATTGGTTTAGGATTGATGAGGAATACCGAGGGTATACCTTAAAATTTAGATAATAATAATTTTAATCAAAATGAGAATGATGTGATTTGGAGCCAAGATCTAAATGAAATATTATGAAATGTAACTTTGATAAAAAGTATATAATATATATTTAATCCATAACATAATTTTTTATGAAAAGAGATTTAAATTAAATTTAAAATGTTTGATGATATTGAAAATTAATAGGGACAGTAAATAGATGTTAAAATCAAAAGAAAATAATATTTCAAATTTATTACACTCTCTAATGTTATTTTCTTCTTTACTGTTCATCAGGTAAAGGTAGCTATGGCTTTGATTCTAAAGGTTATAAATTAACATCTAAGAATTTAGCTTTAAATTACTTTTCTTATTTGTAGGTGGAGTTGCCTATGATAAATTGCTATTGTTTTAATTGCTATTAAAACCATATTGACTAGTAAAAGTAGGTACTGTATTTCCTCTATTATCTATAGGACTCAAGATTATTTTTTAATTAGGTTTTTTTTCATTGAACTATTAATTTGAGATTTCATTTGAATAATGTTATTTTCCTTCTTTTTCTTCTAACATTTAATAATTCAACTTAATTTTTTCAGCTACCAATTATGCTCTATCTAATTAAGGTTAACTGATTCCATTTTATTTTTGTTGAGATTCTTTAAATTAAATTAAATAATAATACCTTTTCTTTGTTGTTTTGGAGAAGCCATTCTTTAATTGTATTCAGTATCATTGTAACTAATTTTATCTGATTATCGAGAATTAATTTCAAGCATTCTTTCTGCCTTTTCTTATTCTATTAAATCAATTGCTAAGATAAATTTATTTAATTACCTTATTTATAAGGTAGATTAGGGAAATTGACTTTTTTTGCTTTAAAATTAAATGGAGGAATCTTATAATCTTAAGATTCATCATCCCATTCACATGCTGCTTGAAGTGATTCTAATTCAATTTAATTAAACATCATTTTTATTATACCAGAATATAATTTAATTTCTTTCTCTTAACTTCTAATAGTATCTAATAAATCTTCCTTTTCATATTCTACTTCTTATTTCAAATCTTTTTATTCATTTTAAGCTTCTTCTAATTTCTTTCTTAAATATTTTACTAGTTTCCTCAATTTTTCAACTTCCTCTTATACACTTTAATATTTAGTTTCAATTTATAAAAGTTCTTATTACTATTATTCTTATTAATTGATAAGATTTTCATGCTCCTTTTTTTATTAATCAATTGCTTATCTTAATTTTTTATATTTCTTTTTCTCATCTTCAGTACCTCTTCCACCCTAAACCATCATTTATTCTTTTTCTTTCAATAAATCTTCCAACCTTTTCCTAGCTTATCTCTCCTATTCTGCTTAATACTCTTTCTCTTTAACTTCTAACTCAATTCTTTCTTTCTCTTAAAGTAATTAATTATTTTTCTCTTTAAATTCATGTAATTCTTTAAGCTTTTCCTCTGATGGACCACTACTTCCTTAAACATTCTATTTATTCTTCTCTTTTAATCTATCATTTTCTTCTTTTAATCTTACAAGTTCTTAATTATTTTCAGGATTAACAGCAGGTTAAAATGCTTCAAATGTTATTGGTTAACCAGCTGCTTATTTTGAAAGCATTTCCTTAAGTCTTTTGATTTCTTCAGCTTACTCTTTTAATAATGCATCTTTTGGATCTTCATTTACTTTTGGTTAATTCTTAATCATTTTAGCTCTTGAAGCATATCTTAAACTAGATAAAGTTTCATCATAATTAAAATCAGATGGACTAATAGCAGTAATCATAATAGTTTTTGTATTTCCTCCTAAAGAATCTTAGAGTAATCTTGTTAATTTAGAATCTCTATAAGGAATATGTTATGTTTTTCCATCAACAAGAGCTGAAATGACATTACCTAACGCTGATAGAGATAGATTAATTTTAGTAGCTTCTTTCAATCTATCTCCAGTTGCTTATGTCTTTGATTATCTTTCACTTCCTGCCAAATCAACTAAGTTTAATTTACCAGCAGTAATTCTTTCATTACCTTTTTAATCTGTAACAGAACATTCTATGTAAACAGTAAAAATGCAATGACTACGACTAGATTCTTTATTCATGGCTGTTGCTCCAACTGATCTGTTTTATGTACCCAATTACATATATCTATCCATTTCTTAAGTGGTTCTAACCACTGCAATATTTAAATCTTTAATAAATACTCCTTATTATCCTTCTTTTAAATCATATTTCTATTTAACATCTTTGCTCAATAAATCATGTATTTCTTCATTATAAATTTCTATGTAAGAACAACGAAGTAGAAATTTTTTGTTTGTGTCTGAATTATTATTAATTATGCTGATTATTTAATCAAAAGTTCTAGGTATAATTCCCTTCATTGTATCCTAATAATGAATAATATTATTACACTAGATGGGTCTCCAATCATAGTGAAAGTTTTACCACAACCTTTTTATATTAATTCAATATTAATACCTGTTTAACCATATGCAAATATTGTTCCATTATAGCCATCTGCAACACTCTCTACCAAATTGAAAGCAGTTTTCTAATATATTTATAATTAAGGTGTTTCTGCTCCAAATACATAATCATATGTATATGATTTTACATCATTATCTTATGTCTATTATATTAATGTTTAAAAAAATATACATTTCGTAATTCAACTGCATTTGTCTCCTCATAAACTGTAACACATGGCTTACTCCCATTTTCTTTTTCTCTTTGATTAAATGGACGCATTCTAACAATGACTTTAACACATTCTGCTGGCATTTATTTATATTTTATTAATCAATATTTTAGTAACAGTTTAGAAATTACGATTTATAATTATATACATTTTTAATCTCTTTCTTTCATAGTTTGATCTATTTTTTTTCGAATCTTTTTGTACTCATTTTCAACACATTCCTCATTTATTAATTTTATTTAGTTATTTCTATTAGTAAATACTTATATAATCATCAAATGAATATTCAAATTAATTCTTTTATTTCCTTATTTCCTATTTTTATTTCTAAATTTATTTACAATTCTATCTCAAATTCTTCTATCTTTTTAATAGTCGTTTCTTCCTTCGATTTAATTATTATTATTTTTCGACAATTTCTCTAATACTTTTCATCCATTCTTAAATAGATTGTTAACTGTTTCTCTACTTTAGTAAATATTGTGTTTTTTATTTAAATTATTAAATTTGAGTTGAAGTTCTAAAACACTTTATTAACTTTAACTTTTTGTTATTAATTCCTCTTCTAAGTACCACTTCAACTTTGAATGATCTTATTAGGTTTCAATTTTTTGATCTCCTTTAAATATTTTTCTCTCCTAAATCCTATTAAAAATCTGTCTACTA